CATTTGATCATTGGCATTTGATCATTGGTATATTTGATCATTGGACATTTGGTCCATGGACATTTGATCACTGGACAATTGATCATTAGGACAATTGATCACTGGACAATTGATCACTGGGACAATTGATCACTGGACATTTGATCATTGAGACAATTGATCACTGGACAATTGATCATTGGACAATTGATCATTGGACATTTGGTTCAGGAAGAGGGGGGGTAATTCAAAGGTCAAAGTCTAGGTCAACGTCTAAGGAAGCCTATGCCTAGTGCCCTACTGTCTACACCTATTGAATAAGAACCCGTGCCTTTGGATATAACTGGGAGGTATGAAAGCCTGAACCTGTGGAGAGGATTTTTGAAAAAGGGGGGTCGGTCATTTTTGGTGCCAGATTTTCAGTGCGGGATTTTTAATGTGGGACAGTCAGGGACAATTGATCACTGGACATTTGGTCCATGGACATTTGATCACTGGACATTTGATCATTGGTACATTTGATCATTGGCATTTGATCATTGGTATATTTGATCATTGGACATTTGGTCCATGGACATTTGATCACTGGACAATTGATCATTAGGACAATTGATCACTGGACAATTGATCACTGGGACAATTGATCACTGGACATTTGATCATTGAGACAATTGATCACTGGACAATTGATCATTGGACAATTGATCATTGGACATTTGGTTCAGGAAGAGGGGGGGTAATTCAAAGGTCAAAGTCTAGGTCAACGTCTAAGGAAGCCTATGCCTAGTGCCCTACTGTCTACACCTATTGAATAAGAACCCGTGCCTTTGGATATAACTGGGAGGTATGAAAGCCTGAACCTGTGGAGAGGATTTTTGAAAAAGGGGGGTCGGTCATTTTTGGTGCCAGATTTTCAGTGCGGGATTTTTAATGTGGGACAGTCAGGGACAATTGATCACTGGACATTTGGTCCATGGACATTTGATCACTGGACATTTGATCATTGGTACATTTGATCATTGGCATTTGATCATTGGTACAAAAATTTGGATGGATTAAAAAAAGATTTACAAACCGAGGACGACAGGTTAGTGGACGAGGGATGCAAAAATAAAATAATTGAGCATACTGACCTACTATTAATCAAAAGAAATGCATTTTTTATTTAAAAAATTCAAATTATGTATTATCCATAGTTCTTTATTATTAGTTTGTGTTATTATTTGTTTGTGTTATTAGTTTATTCTTTTTTATTAAATGAAGTACTACTTGTTGCAAGATTTAGGACTTCATCGCCTAGATCTCACTGTTTAAAAAATTATCTATTTAATTTACTATTAAGATACAAACCTAGATTCGATGAAACCATTCGTCAAGATTCGCAACATAAAATCTCCCTCTTGTCCTGGCTAAGAATAATATTCTCTCAAATACATATTAGAATAAAGTCTTCACCTCATATGTTGAAGGCACGATCACATAATCACCTGGCGGCATGCGAAAACGACCTGTAATCTAAAGTTTCTGAAGCTTTAACCAACCATCTTGGAAATAGAAAACCTCTCGTAGATTTATAAAAGCCGGACTACGTGCACAAGACTTAGTATTAGCAAAATATTCAGTACTTAATTTGCCGGCAGTGCCACTCGTCTGAAAAAAACTATTTTAATCTTATTAAAAGTGAAACGAACTTCATAAACGGCAAAACCTATAGCCAAATTTTCAACTCCCGTATGCTTCAATTCACGTCGATATTTTTGCATCACCGCGATTACAACTGTGCATAGGTTGTCATTATCATTTGGATCAGAATCAGAAAGCCTCATACGATACTGGGGATTCATAGCAAATGTTCCTTTTGTGTTAGAATGTGTTAAAAAGCATTATCAGAATTTAATAAGTTTAACTCAAATAATTTCTACAACCGCCAGCTGTTTGACCAGCACGCCATGATCCATCATGAGAATTGGTCGCCCAAGTATTTCCTAATGTTGGCTTAACACCAGTCATTTCTAAAAGTTAATTCATTCAAGTCAACTGTAAAATAAATTTTTCTAACCATAGATTTCTTCCATCACATCTGGGCCCAGATTGCAAATCTCTAATTTCTCAAAATTTCGTATAAAGTCATCGAAGGACATCCTGACAAACAATAAGCAAAAACTATAAAGTAACTATTTACCAGAATTCCCCGTCGTGAGCAAAATTTAAGCCCATATCTTTCTTTAAATCTGCAGGTAATTGATTCCACTCCTTCGAATTGTCTGACCTCAAAAATGTTAAACTTGGAATTTATATTCAATCTGGAAAGATTCAAACATTTGTTTAAAGTTATTAGAAGCAAAGAGGTTATTTATTGTTCTATTCATTAAATAATTTTAAATATTGAGTTTGTTAGCACTTTAACCAATTAAACAGGTATGACAATCAACCTACCATGGTCCATTCCATTCTTGTTCATTGCCCCACGGATTCCTTATTCGTAATAAGGGCACGTTACCATAAGTGGTCGAAACAATTCGCATTCCTGTGATTGAATATGCGTGCCCCTAAAATGAGTAAGTACTGCCGAATTACTAATTTATTGTGATTCAATCTTTGGATATTTCTTATTGTTAGACAGCTTCCCCCCACCTCCTTGAATAAAAGAAAGCTATTCGACATAATGTCGAAATCTAAAGGTTTCAATTTCAGTTTGGAATTTAAACTAAGGACTTTTTAAATAAATTATCGAATTATTTACTTTAACAAGCCCATTTGGCAGTTTTGCCTCCCATACGTGAGGATCTGCTTCGATAGAACATCCAAAAAGTGATCCCATTTCAAAGCCACGAACCATCATCTGCATCAAATTCTCGGTTCGCTCTTGCAGATCATAGAATTCTGTAAGCCCCCCTGTCATATCCTCAAGTGCTTCACTAGTTGTTCCACCCTTAAGAGCTTCGTATGAGCCATGCAACCTTGTAAGGTTAACATTACCAATAAATTTTCAAAATTTTTCAAACAAAAACTCACTTTGCATATGCCTTTTCTAGTAACGCGCTCCAGAATTCGTTCCTATTTTTAAAAAATTATTTGACAAAATAACTTTACATACAAGTCACGTGAATGCATGTATAACAATTCACCCTCCATTGAACAAGGTAATCGATCGTCGATTACAACATCCACCCAACGTCCATACTGCCAGAATTGGAAATGAAATATGCCTAAAATTATTAAAATGTCAAATAAGATTTTCGATACCTGCATAATTTTCAGTAAAACTCTGATCTGGAGGCACAACTCTGTAGAATAATTCATCCCTAAGTGTCAGATTTGCCGCAGCGGCCATCAACCAACAGTCACCAAGTTTTCCTTGAATTACATCAAATCGACTGTGCCCTTCGCAAATTAACTGCGGGTCCTTTACAACTAGAATAAGAAAAATAATCTCAAGTTTTTCAAGTCTCATTACTTTCGCCAGGACGTAACCATTGTACTCTTTCTGTTGGTGGCCGACTGAAAAATAAAGATTGCGTGTTTGCAGGAAAATCAGGATCTTCGTAGAGACGCTTCTCCTGATAATTGTTAGATTAAAAACAAATCCAATTTGTAATTATTATATCGACCTGCAAACAGCGATCGCGCTCGTCATAGAAATTGACAGGTTCTTTACGACGAATAGGTGGCCCAGGTGTAGGAACTGGTTCTGGCTTCACAAAAGGGTCAACCTTACAAAATGAATGTGGAATTGTACTTTAAATTGTATCTTACATCTCTGTGGAATTTTCCGGAGATTATATTATCTAATATTATCTTCCCGATTGTTCCAAGTTTGTTGTCCTTCCCTCCAAGGTTGAAGAGTACATTTCCAGCGATAGCTCCTATAATCTTTCCAGTATGTGGATTTACGCCTAAATGGAAAACTCATCTAATTATCAACAAGCTACGAACCTAGAAAACGATGTGCAGCCTCGCCAATAAGATTCCCAATTAAATCACAAACACCACCAGTAAGAAACTTATTGTTAACATTAGCTCCTGAAAAGTTCATACATAAAATAAAATAAAGAAAAACCTCCTCCGGCATATTTTCCTCGATCTCCTCCTCCACCAATAAGACCTCCGATGATATCATTTATACCACCAGATTTACCATCACGTTTATCTTTGCTTTTTCCACCTATAATTTAATTCATTTAAGCGCTAAAGCAAACTCTTGAAAAATAATAATTCAATGGGAAAATTGATTTGACAAAATTTTTTGATTTTGAAACTTCATGTTCTGACCACCTGCAATTCCGCCTATTAATCCGCCAATCATGTTGCCAAAATCGCCGCCACCACCTATAAATAGTCATTTATAAATATGAAATGAAAAATATTCCGTGAATATCTAAACAACCTTGGTTTTCACAGATATGTCCCTATTTACCTTTGCTTCCACCACCAAACAGTCCTCCGATTATTTGGCCTGCATTGTCTTTTATTAAATTCCCAGCTATGTTGCCGATGAGCCCATTAAATTCATCGGGCTTCACCTCTATCTAAAAATTAAAATAATTTTCCCATTGTCATTGTCCCTCGTTACCTTCTGAAACTCATTTTCCATTCCCGAAACTTTTAATTAGGCTGAAAATAAAGAAATAAGGCAGTAAGATATAAGATGATTCAAACATTTTATAACTTTTTCTAGACTTTTATTCGTATCATAATAAATATATTTAAATAAAATAAAGCGACACAAAGGAAAAAAGTAATTATTTAGTCGTTACAACCTGACGTTTCTTCCTAGGTATCTTCTTTCGTTTTGAAGTCGATGCTCTGTTCATAAGATTATTCTGCTTTATTTGCCTTTTCCTCTCCATTTTCTCATCCAGAGCTTGCTTACGACTTATCCATTTATTTTTCCTTTTTACCTTTTCTGTCGTCTTTCTCTTAAGACCCTTCATCAAGAGTTGAGGATTGTCCTAAAAGATAAAAGAAAAATCAGTACCCCGCATTGGTGGTGCTCATGGAAGTACTTTATTCGACGAAAATCATTCACACGGAGGCAATATTACAAAAAAATTTATAAACAATATCACAGAATTTAGATCAAATCTCAAGTTAAATATTGTCCTAACAATGTATAAACAAATTATAGAATTATCACAAACCTTCACTTTTAAACCAGAAGCCATCTGGAAAGCTTTTTCCCATGCAATCTTTGTTGCAACATCTTCAGCCTTACTTGCATCTTTATTTCGCAGTTGAGTCAGCATTTCTTCCCTAGATTCAACTTTTTTAAGAAGCCTCCCATAATCGCGACCTTTGAAGAGATTCCGTTTAGGATATGAGCTTTTCTAAAATGAAAAAATTCTTTCTTCTATTAAGATATGCCAGACAAAACCCAATTTTTGGTTACCGTTTTCAGATTTTCAAATAGTTTCAAAAATAAGTATAACCCAATAGTGAAAAAATCATACTTGATCTTGGACAGAAAGCTTCGTTTTTGTAAAAGCAAACTCAGCAGAAGTTAACAGATTCTCCATTAATTTCTATATTTCATAAAATTGTTAATGTTAAGATTTAAGATAGTTAAAAACAGTTGAAGAATTTTACAAGTAAAATGTTAATAACACCGATCAATAACTATAAATTAATCAAAAACAAATTTATTTAAAAATCAAAGATAAATTTATTACAACAAAAGTAATGACTGTCTAACTGAAAAGCTAAATACTAAATTAAGCTGGTAATAACTCATTGAGAAGTTTTACTTGCAACAGCTCCATCCGATCAAACAACAGTTTCTTTATATCAACAGCCAAATCTTCAACTTTTGTAAAATGGACTTTATTTGGATTAAATATTTCTAGGATGAAACCAAAAATCTGCTCCTAAATTATAAAATATACATATCAATCATAATATAAAGTGTTCTAACCTTTAAGTAAATACAGAGTTCAGTAAATTCCCTATCACTACCACCAAACAAACCCATTGCTAATGAACTAGTCAATATTTGTGAAATATCATAAAAATGTGATATAAAGCCATCCTTGACCTAAAAATTCGATAAACCATCATTTACATATATTCTAGAAAAACTACTTGTAAACGTTGTCTTTTGACTTTTATAATAGACCATATTAAATTGTTTAATGTTGATTCCTTCATCGATTTGGAAATGAATGAATTTTTGACCTGAAAGTGAAAATAAATTTAAAAGAAATAGTTGAGTGATCATTTTATCATCTATTCAATCATTTTCCTAGGTTATCGAAAATTTTATTAAGTGATCACCTCTATATAAAACTTACCAATGCAGCGATTGCTGAGGGCGGACGTTGTAAATCTTAAAATAAAATTTTTGCTATTTTTTAATTATCTGCTAAATCGCAGTAATATAATTTTGTAACAATACTAAACAACCTTCAAATGCGTCCAGAATAATTAAGTCGAAAAGAGTATCCCATAAATTTGTGCTCTCTACTTTTCTTGACTTAAGCTCGCTGCGAATTGTATCCATATTATTTTCATTAGTAATGAAAGCAATCATTCGATCATATGCCTTAAAATAATATATTAGACATTTAGTTTTATTAAATTTCATTCAAAATAGCTCAATAAAAAACTATGTTGTGGTAAAAAGCGTACACAGCTGCACGTGGTAAAACTTATGGTTCGATATGGCCGTTTGTCCCAAACTCTAGGTAAGTAGAGCTCCCTATCACCTTTAAAAATTTTATGGGAATAAATATATTCCTTTGACCAATGTATATTTTTTATATAAAGAATTACTGTGTAGAATTCGGATGGATCACGCTTATCATGTCTCAAAAGATCAGCCATAATAATCCTTCCATATTGAACCAGCCTTTGCATAGTCTGTGGATCATCCATCAAACGTCGAAAAGCCAATCTTATACCGAACAATTTTGCGGCAAAATCCTTAAAATTCGATAATTATATAAAATATAGAGGTTTAACCTGCTCTGAATCGCATCCGCATAATTCAGCCCTAAATAGGATTTGAGAGAAAATGATTATTAATTAAACAACCTTGATTTCCTATATTTTACATCTCCATTCTGGGTAGCTCTTAATCCAGCGTTGTAGAGAGCTAATGATGCAAAATCAGTTGAGATAGACTCCCTGTCGCTAGAAGGCATCTAAATTACTCATATGAAGTTAATTCTATTTATTATAAATGAGACTCTTAGAAAGTTAAGAAATCGAACCAAATATCATAAATACCAAAATTAGTTTCCCCGCGTAAATGCCAAATCGTTTAACTAATTTGTAGGTAGTTTAAATAAAAAAATTAAATCATACCTCACATAAATTTACAAATTCATCGCAAGCTGTAATAAAAGAATCATCAGAAAGCACAGAAAGTGTGCCAGTTTTTTCAATAGGATATGCTCTTCTGTTGTTCCATACAGATCGGGCGATATCTCTGCAAAAAATTACAAAATTTAGTAAGTTAATACTCAATTAGGTGTTATAGTATATTAATATAGGATACTCAAAAATAATTAAAATCTTTAAAAAACCTTGATTTTCCATATTTTAAATCTCCGTTTTCAGTAGCCTTTAATCCATGGTTGTAAAGAGCTAAAGAAGCGAATTCTGTTGAGGTTGACTCCTTGTCGTTAGGAATCTTAATTTTAATAAATTAATTTAATTCCTTTCGTTATAAGCCAGATCATCAATCTGAACTTTAATTTGTAGGTTAAGCAATTCTTATAGTTATATAATGGCAAGAATAACAAAACTTTAAACCCTACCTCACATAAATTTACAAATTCATCGCAAGCTGAAATAAAAGAATCATTGGAATGCACAGAAAACGTGCCAGCCTTACCAGCCTTCTTAATAGGCAATGTTCTTCTTTTGTTCGATACAGATCGGGAGACATCTCTATAAAAAAAACACATTCACATAATATAGGCATATTATAGATTATAATATATTACCTTCGCCAAATCTAATAAATGAAAATGTTTTTAATTTTATTTAATCAAAGAATAAACTAACATAATAAAATCCAATACCAATGCCGGCTCCAATTCCAATAAGCCATATTCGATAATTAAATAGCCAATAATTCAGACTGCGATCTGTAGTAGTTAAACGATTCCCCATGAGTTTCTATACTTTCAAAAAATTAACTACAAAATTTAAGATTAATTAAAAAGGTCATGGTTAAAATTTATCAATAACGTTCTAATAATAAATCGATCAATCAAAAGAAATTTAAACGGAACAGGACTATAGAGTCTCGCTTGTATACCGCCCGTTGAGTACCGTTGATTGGTTTTGACCGGCTGAGTCTCGTCGAAAATGGAACCTTTTTAAAGAACTGGGCCAATTTTGATAACATATACCATATGAGTAATATACAAGCAGAATTTAGGCCCAATTTAAGCCAAAATAATTTATAATTAGGTCAAGCAGTATATACATACATATAGCTAAAATAAAATTTATAACAAAATTCTTATTTTTTGCAGTATATTTCACAATTTACGGTAATTAATTTTAATAATATGATTATTTCTTATCCTTTGTTGATTAATCTTCATCTTGTCCACTTTTCAAACTCGCCTCATTGACTGATTCAATAATTTGTTCTCTTTCATGAATCTCCTGCCCGTTTGAAGCAGCTGATAGTATGTCTACTAAATCACCAGTATGTGTTTGAAGTAATGCTGCATAAGCGGCATTCCAATCTAATTCATTAGTTACCGCGCTAGGTGAGAGTACTGATACAATCTTTGGTGAGATCTGATTGTCTTCATTCCGTTCCTTATCCACGTCCATGTTTACACGTGTACTGCCCAACGGATTAACATGGATATTTCTTAAATTAATATGCATAAGATAACGAATTGCCCAAAAAATTTAAGAGCACTAAATTATTCTTTGCAATGTTGGAAATCTGGAGCTTATTTTTTAGTTATAAAGTTCACCTTTTATAAAATTTTACAAACCTGTTTGGCCTTCCTTCACGCAACGTCCAATTACGCACCTTCGCATTGTTTTTTAGGTGACCTAGTATCATCTTCGCGTTCCCCTGATAATTATAAATTGTCAATTTGATTGCTAAATAGCAAATCATACCAGTTGTTCATCATCAGGCAACTCATTCCAATTAAAATAGTTCATAGTTTGTTCAACAACTACTCTAACCTGAATTTAGAAAATTATTTCAGAAAGGAATATAGAAGAATAGACTATAAGGGTATAGGTTTAGAAATAGGTATATTTAATTTATCTTGATACAGAACCTTAAGCTACACTTCAAAAATGCCTAAATCTTTATCAAATATAAAATTTAAATCAATATAAAATTTGCCTTTGAAGCTTGTCTACTTAATAAGTTCGCTGCTGTTTCGCCGTGAAATGTTCGTAAAGATATGTTGATATTCTTTAACTCATTGTCGTTTATTGACTCACGAAGTATTTGCCACGCAAAGACCTAAAATTTTAAATAAATTATCAAAAAATCCTTAAGAGAATGACAGTCTATTTTTGAAGATGATAAAAAAATTAAAAATTTACTTTCGGTTGTGTACTTTGGAAGCTACGTGATGCCTTTTCTGCAGCTCTCTGAACTGCCCCATCAGGAAACATCGTATCACTCCTTGAAGATGCTGCATTAGAAGAAAATGAACTCTTATTGGTACGATACCAAGAAAAATTGGCTTTCAATTTGGAATGCAATTTATTAGGTGATTTGCGACATCTTTGTAATTCTCGTTTATTTTCCGTAGATATATCGCTGCAGTATTCATGCTGTGTATGATTGTTGATAACACGTTGATGATAGCAATTTAGTTTTGAATCAGTTTTATCAAAGTCTGATGCACCACAAGCGTTTGATGGAAGCTGATTCGGATTATCAGGCTTGAATTAAAAAATTTAAGTTGTGGAGATAAACACTCGCATACCTTAGCGATTATTGAAGTAATTGAGTGTGAAGGAGAACAGATATTCGATAGGTCTCCTCCGCATCCTGTGAATGAAGGTGGTGTGCCTCCAGTTCGTCGATTACCAGCTTGCCGTTCAACAGACTCTAAACTCGCTAAATTTTGCTTCATTTCAACTCGCAGAAGAGCTTCATCCGTCTCATCAGATGCTTCTACTTTTAAACTGCAAAATTCACCGTTTTCAGTCTTCACGGCGGGGTCATGCAGATGTGACGGACCAAGAAGATTATTCAAAGAAGGTATAACACTTGAATTAAGTGACTGGTCAATCATATCATTCATAAGAGAATTGAGATAATTAGTAGCTGTGGTAGTTGCAGATGCTTCTGATTGCGCTACTGAACCTGTTGATGATGATGCCATTGGTAAAGTAACACGTTTATGCGAGGACTTGTGCTGATTCTAAATTTTGATTTTACAATGAAATGTGGTTGCATATAAAACTTTATCTTTGATTAACAAATTTAGTGTAAAATTAAATTTTAATTGATCTGCGTGATAAATAACATACTGAGGTAGCGTTTTGCAACAATGCAGCAAAATGTGCCGCTGTCATGATATTTGAGACAAGCTGATGATTGCCGGAAAGGGAATGTGAAGAATGGTCCGATTCTTGTTTATTAACATATGCCAACGGAACATTCAGCGACGCTACATCATTATTTCTAATTATAGACCCTCTAGTGAACATCTCCATGATCAAAGAGAGTTTCTAAAATAAATATTCTATTTTTATAAATTCTAAAACTTTTTTCTCGAGAAAACCCAGAAATAGTACTATCGTTATTTTAACCCCGGACGTGATTTTCAAAAGGCTCTTTAATTATGATTGTTTTATAAGGTATTTATTTAACCTACCATATCAATTTCATTTAATCGGCTGATAATCTTGGCGAGAATATCATTTGTATTGTCCATAGAACTAATAAAATAATTTATAGTATGAATCTATATAAACATGAACGATTAAGATGTTATTCTTTTTAAATCCTTTATAACGTGAATGTGTAAATTAACGGAGATTGGCGCATAGGATATACCATATATAAAGAATAAAATGAAACTAATTGGTATACATAAATAATCTGCACACTATAAGAATTGTTTCCGCATGCAACTAAATGAAAAAATGAAGCTAATTTGCCAGAAACATGAGTTTAGTCTTATATTTTACTATAGTTGGTTCATATTCTAATATAAAAAATTAACCTGTAATATAATAGGAAATAATAGGGAATTTCTATAATTATCAGTTTACTAATATTAGATTATGAAATCAAATTTTGCAATGATAGACATCCAACCTAGGTTCTAGACAAATGCGCATACCTCCAATTAAGCCTTAATTCTCAATTTCCTTCACACGTTTTGATTAAAAGGACTAAATATTTAGAATAATGGCGTAAAATAATGCTGCCGCACTTAAAAAATGAAAGACTCTCATGAGACTAATTGGACTATTTGAAACCGACAATTTAATAATGAGCTTTTTTTAACCAGTCTTTAAATTGCCGGAGAAAGGAGGATATCTAATGAAAGAAACATACGCCATATGATTTCTAAGTAATAAAATAGGTAAGCCAAGTTTTAATTCAAGCGATGACGAAAAAGTTTACTAACAATAAATTTCTTTTTTAAATAGATTGCCAAAACATCGAAAGTCAGATAAACCCGAGTGTGAGTTTGATTAAAAGGCAACAACAGGTAGTAATTGGGATATTATTTAGCACGTTTGCTGAGCTTAATACCCGTTTACCTTAAAAAGAATTGCCGGCACAGCCGACTCATCGTTGCGCCATTTTTTAACGCATATTCCCCTTGGGGCAGAAAATGCAAAACGAGTCATAGCTTTTTATGAAAGGATAACAAGAATATGATGAGAAGATTGCGCCAGCAAAAGCGGTTTGTAAGAAGGTTAGGGGACTTCTTAAGGGGATAATGAGGTCAGAAAAATGTAATGAAAAATGGCCCCAATTAAAGAAGAAAAACTGAATAAATAAAACTTAAATGAACAAATTAAATGTAAAAAAAGTAAAACAAAAATATATTTGCGTTGCACGAAACTCTAGACTTGAAACACTTAAAGTTTACTTTAATAAATTTGAAAAAGTGTCTATACTTTATTAAAAATAAAGCATTTGATTAAAAATAGAATGATTTACCCCTCATATATTAAATTAAATCTGTTTTCCTGTCAAGTGGGCGGGCATATTCTCTTGCGTAGCATAGATCAACTCTCGAACCGCTCAGCACTTAAAAAAATCAGAATCGCTCAGCACTTAAAAAGCGCAGCAATGAGCCTAAGCTGTAGACAGACCGCCCATCCCATCAAAATGACAAACCACTTTGGAGTAATCTGTAGTTGGGATATGAAAGACCCAGCGCTCAAATTCGATTGGAGGTGGTAGTACGCATAGCACCGGTAAATTGAAAACACAAACGATGGTTGATGGCGGGTAAAATAAACAGGTAAGAGAAGAGGTAATGTGGAATGTTCAATAGAGATTGCGGATTGGATTTGACTGTTGATGCGGGAAAATGGAGAAAGACTTGGCTCGTGCAAACAAACATAGGCGGCCTTATTACCAATTCTTTAGTTTAGCCAATGAGAAACTTTCCATTCTTGCATCCCTCAACAAACATTATTTACCACTTTTTGATCTGCGTACCCTTCGATAAAATTTCGCTCAAATCAATTGTTCGGAAAGATCAAACCATAATCTGCTCTAGATTATTGTGACTTCAATTGTTAAAAATTAGAAAATTTTTATATACTTAGAATATAGCTGAAATTGGATGTATTAATGTTTGGCTTAAAATCCTTAGAACCTAGGCAATTATCCACTTCACTAATCATATTCGAAGGATGAAGCCTTATTAAGAACAAAAGGTGTAAACTACGTAACTTTCTTTTTCAAATAAACAATAAGTTTACACTTGATATAATCTTTTTAAAATTTTGCTTTTGAGTATTTTTCAAGTATATGTATAGTAATTTTAGTAAATCTGGTAGAAAATGAAAATTTTTAAAACTTAAATCTTTAACTGAAACAAAGGTATATACTATAAAATTCTCTTAAATACGGAACTTGGAGTTTTTGTGTTAATTAACTTTGTAAGATTTACCAAGCGTAAGTAAAATAAATTATATGATTATAGTTGAATGAGAATAGAAATTATACTAGACGCGCATTGTCTTATGCTAGATTTTATTAAAGAAATGGTTAAATAAAATAACTATAAAACCATCCAAATTAAGTGCTCAAATTTAGGTCAACAATCTTCCTTCTTGACGTACTGGAAATACAGATTCATAAAGTGGTCTCTAAAAATATTTTTCCTTTCTCGATAAAACTCAACACCTCTTTTTTACCTAAATAAATCCCTCATCTACTTTTCTTTCCAAATGGTGAGTTGATTAAGTACGCTAATGGACTTTTCTTTCGAATATTCAAGCATACAAGATGCAGAATGAGGATGTTGATGTGAGACGACTGTCATAATTGGATTTCGATTTTTCACTTGCATACTTAATGATTTTGAACTAAAAATAGGAAGAAGAAAACATCAAAACGCCGGCCACGGAAGATGTATGTATGGTGTTCGAATAGAATAAAACGATGTTTCAAACTATTAACCTTTTCAATAGCGTATGTTTTTATTAAAGTTTTAAGTCTGTGCATCCCCAAAACTATGTGCAATTATAACCAAGTGCCGTCAACAAAATAACGGTGCACACATCGGCGTTAAGTGGAATGAGAACAAACAAGAGCAAATAAAAATAATACATTGAGTTTCGCTGCTGAAACTATTTACAATTCTCTCGAACCTCGCGCGCAATTTTCTCCTCCGATAATAAAAATAATAACTCACTGGGCAACAATAGTAGGCAGACCATTTTTCGCGCAAACTTACTTAAGTAATGTACCTATTGCATAGACCGGATAAAATTATTTTTATAAACAAACTCGATTTTTGTGTGCAATAGAGCGCAACCACTGCGAAATGTTGACTAGGACTATAAATGGAATTTCTACCTAGAATTTGGATGATCAGCTATTTTGAGGATAATAGAAACTGTAATTTGTTTTACTGGAAATCTAGTTAAAATAGGAAATATCAAAACTGCTAACTACCAAACGAAATTTGTCGAGGGAAAATTTTCAAAACTTAATTTTCAATAAAAGACATTACATTTAAATACATATACATAAAACCCACAACCTGTATAACTTGTGTAGCTTGCTAGGATGCCTCTTGTTTCCCATCACACAATTTTGGAACTGCAGGCGAAAAGTTGGCAGTAAAATAAAAAATTAAAATATCATTAGAAAACGAAACTTAAAGTTGAACCGATACAATTGTTCTCCAAGAAACATCAGCGATGAGAGCAGTATTAATTAAATTCATGAGCATAAATTGAACGATTCTATCAAAAGTAGAGTTACAACAAAGGTGAAAAAGAGCAAATACCCTCAATATAAGTTTTAAAAATTAGAAACTGATGAGACTCGACGGCATCTATTTTATATTTTAAATATGTAAGACAATCTAATAATTTTATAATTTATTAATTTAAAAATGGCATAAAATTAAACCGAATAACATATTTTCGAGGCAAGTAAGAAACATAAAAAGAATATTCATATAATTTTTTTTAGAAATTTGTCAGGAACAATAACGGCAAGAGAGAAATAATGAGATAAAAATCCTAAAAAGTATATTTATATGTTTATCAAGAAAAAGGAAAATGCTTTGAAACGTTTAAAAAAACATTTGAAAAATGATTTTCTTAGGGTAACGTAATTGAAAATAAGCTAATTTCAAGTTTCTAAGCATTAAACAAGAGAGACGGCAAGAAATATAAATAGTATGGTATGATTTGGTAATCACAAACTGAAACTAATCAGCTTTGGTCGTAAGTTATCTCAAACATATTATAAAAAAGACCAGACAAAAAATATTGAATATTGACTTTGTTGCTTCCGTTATATTCATTGTCAATGGAATCGGGGCTGTCCAGAAACTAAATTATTATACAATTTAATTTTAATCATATAACAAACAAGGAACAGCTGGCAAAAACGGGGCAGTTGGCAAAAGATATGGATTAAATTGTGGAGCGGCATAAAGTGGCATCCCGAACGCAACAGTTGTAGGTGTACATTTAAAACCACTATTGGCAGAATTTGAAATAGCAGTAGTTTCAGTTTTCTGTCGCTTTGTTGTACTTCCTGTAGAGGTGACTGATATATATGGATTAGTGTTGTTCACCTAAGAAATAAAGCTAGATTTTAATTTTAAACTTAAAATTTCTGACTAAAAACAGCTGTGCCGGAAATATGTTTTCTGGTAAAGTGAGTTAAATTAACATTTAGCGAAAAGGCAGGCAGCTAGCGCCATAATTAAATACATATGCATAAAATCAAGGAAAAGTATGTAAATTAATAAATAGAACACCCAAAACAGCTAATAAATGCGAGCGTAGTATGAATACCAATAAATACCGATGCAGCTGCAACAGCAGCCATAAATTGCATATGCTGTTGTTGGCCGGAAATAGAACTGCTACTAGATCCGGCACTTTCATTAACATTCTGTGCTAGCAAAACATTTGCATCATTTGGATTCTGTTGATCTAACCCTGCCATTCTAGAGCTTCTTTTTCTATTTCCTCCTAATAATGCTGGCTGTTGTTCAATGTTGTCATTACCGTTACTCGAAGATCTAGTGGCTGTTGCTTGTAAAACTGTTGCGGCGTTTAATTGTTGTTGTTGTAAAAGAGCAATATATTGCTGTTGTGCAGCCTGTTGCTGCAACAACATAGCTGCGGCCGCTGAAGGTTGTTGCTGCTGCTGTTGAATAAGTGCCAGCTGGGCAAGTGTTGTTGCATGATGTAAAGGAAAAGACGATGCAATGGAAGGAAGATGAGCACCGACAGAAACGGTTTGCTATAAGAAAAAGCAAAAAGCGAATACAGCTAACAAATCACATAAAACAAAATGCTAATAAGTGAAATAAAATGTAAAAATTATCTTGTTTGTTGTGTGTGCAATTAGTAAGGAATTTGATAACAAAAAATACTTTATCATAAATATAAAGCACACAAAAATTAGGCAAATTTTTGTGAGAAAGCTTTGTGTAAATAAAAGCCATGAGGAGAATTAATTCGGATAAAGAAGGGTGTTTTACTTAAGTTAAATTTTCCGTCTGAAATAGATTAATAAACAAAAAAACGTGACTAATAGCGGAAAGTTTTTCAAAGTTTCAGGCTTTCTGGGAAGTATCAACCCCCTAAAAAATACATAGGTACATATTTCAATTAATATTAAATATGACAGATAATAAAAAATTTTTAAATGACATACCGTGCCTTGAAATGCTGCAGAAAATGGATCAGGCACCGGCGACAACAAGTTTGCCTGACCCGGATACAGACTTGGAATAAAATATGGTAATGAAAGAGTCGATTGCAACGCTAACGGGTTGCTATACTGCTGTTGCTTAAGATAAAGAGTTTATCGTGATGATTACTATTAGTGAGTTCAAAAGAAACCGTAATCTGTGCAAGAGCAGGCATTGCCGGCATCTGATTTGAATATTGCTGTGATAATAGATTTTTCATCACGAGATTTTGTTTTCCATTCGCAAGTAATTGATCTTTCAAATGTTGAGGTGGATGCTGAAAAATAAGAGATTATGTAAATATTTGTTTTATCTCTAGAATACATATCAAAAGGAAAATATAAAAAAAACTTACAAGATATTTGCATTTGGGATTTTCGCGAGAACAACGCCCCTGAAATTAAGAGATATTTAAATAGTTCACGCTTTACCCCATAACCCAATATACTTAATCTTAATTTATAAAATATACTTAACCTTTATGGAATCAAAACAAGCCGTCACACGTCCATTCTGTATTTCAACATTCGATGGTGGATGAGCATATTTACAATCTTGTTCTGAACGAACGCATTGCCCTCGTTGATATTCTCTACAAATTTCGAGCTGCAACCAACGTGAGTCCTTACCAGTCAAAAGTTGTGTTAGTTGTTGTTGACTTTGGTTTAGTTGTAAAGATAATTGAGGCATTACTGCCGGAACAGAACCCGTAGATACGTTTGTTCCTCCTGCACCCGCATTTGAGTTTAGCATAGCGATTGTAAGTGCAGCAGCTGCAGCGCTTACTGACGGATTGATAATAGCAGCAGCAGTTTGTTCGTCGAACATATTTGTTATAAGTTGTGTAGAAGCAAAAAGTAATTAGTATGCTAATTGTAAGCAAAAGCCAACTCTAACCAGAGGGACAATCAGGGATAGACTGAAAAATATATGAAAATTAAATTAGAAATTTAGGTTTGAACAATCCAGATTTAACTTATATTGCATGACCATTATCCTAGATAAACACATATAGTATAAAATATTTCACTAAATTTGAACCCTTTACTAAAAAATTTTATTTAAGGAAGTGCTCTAAAATTTATTAAGATGAAGCTCATGCAAACAAAATGGTAATGAGTCCTTTCAAAAGCTATAGGCACATTCACCGAAGAGGTAGACCAAAAAAGCGGAAAAGGAAAACGAATGAGATGCGTTGAGGGTAATGAATGGGCCAAGTCAAAATGAGAATGAAAAACAGAGGATCGTTAAAAGGGAGCTAGCAAAAACTTACTGTGGATTTTTTGAGAACAAGGCTTGAAAGCACCACTTAAAATGAATTGGCAAATTTTTTAGAAAAACTAATAAAAACCAACTTAAAATGTCAGTGCCGAAGAAGCAAGAAGCAAAAATTGAACATAAATTATTCTATAAAAAATCTGAAATTAAAATTTTGAATTAGGGATATTTTACGATTTTTCAGATTTTTGAAATTAGGCCTTATAAAATTCTATAAATACGTGTTGGTATATCTCGCCTCGAAGACTTTAAATGGAAAACAATGCTTAAAATGTTAGGAAAAATAGAATAAAATCGAATAAATCAAAAATCGCAGTAATGATTCAACACCCCCTAATTTGTCAGCAACTGTCCCTTTAGAAAGAAAATATATTTTGTGCGTGGAAGTCAAGGTCGCGATCGATTGATTGCCGCCACAGACGGACTGGCTCTTCCAATGAAGAATTGGAGTTGGAGAAAATAAAAAAGAAAAATACATATATGTATGCACCTATATTGAATGTAATAAAATCACTCTTGTTGATTTTATATTTTAGGGTTTAAAATCTTTAATTTTTAGTTCAGGATCAAACAAAATGAACCTTATTTATCGAAAAAATTAACCTGGCATTTGATATTTATGGAAAATTGTTACCCTTTCTCCCTTTACTAGCTGCCTTATAGTATTTAGATTTTTTGGATCTTTTTTGGCCTTTACGCTTTTGAGAAATGGTATTGGTCAATTTATTTTGTTACTCACTGGCTGGTAATTTAGCCGAATTTTTTGTCGTTAAAAATGACAAAGAAATTTAAAGCAAATGCTGGTAGAAAAAATACTTCCAACAACCCACCAATCTTTGCTGAAACACGAATGCCATTGCTTACTAACCTCATCACTTTCCATTCTCCTTTTTTTTGCTTTCCGCTCTCGAGGGTATCATCTCTGAAACCAAATGACCCTAAAAACAGGACCAAATTTAAGCACTTCCTTTTCCTAAAAACAAAAGCCTTTCAAAATATACATACACACAAAGGTTTTTTGCCATTCGAAACAAAATAAATTTAAAAAACTAACTGTTTTGTTATATACTTACTATTGTTATAGGATTCCTTTCCTTAAAATGAATTGTTTAATCAATTCTTAAACTGGATATCTTTCCAAATTCCCAAATATAAATTGCATGAAATCTTCGGGTGGTGGGCTATGATATAGAAAACAATTGCAAACAACGGCATCTCTTTCTCTCTCAATTCGTGTCACTGCAAACCAAACGGATGCATACGCTTTTTGGCCAAATTGCCCTTGGGGACCAACGTTGGTCTCCTTTTTATGATGGGCAAACGACCAACGAAAGCATTAAGAAAAAAATAATAAAATGGTTGTAAAAGAGCCGACCAGAGCCAAAATCCGGGCCTAAATTCTACCAGCCCTTCTAAAATTATTTTCATTGTATAGAAAAAAATATTCAACTGCCGCCATATTGCTTTTACTCTAAATGAGCGCCACACACAATAATCCTGTAATCCATTCTAATTTAATTTTATACTACCGACTTAAGAATGTAATTATTTTGTAATTTAGTATAGATATCCTAGGGGAATTTTATTCACGCACATCCCTCTTTGTATATCAATTCATTCTTTTACCCACTATTTTTTGCCACAAATGCTCATATATATGAAAATGCATTAATTTGGTTTTGGTAGGGCGTTAATCCATTTTTTTGGGTTTTCTAATGCAAAAGCTATATAAAATTACTATCTAAAAATAAAATTCTTGGGGAAGAGGAAAATTAACTTAATCTTTTTCTAAAAATTTTGCAATGAATTTCAAAATTTTATAAAATCTTTGAAAGAATCAAAAATAATTTCATTTCAAAAGTTTAGTAAGATATTAAAATTCAGTTTAAAAAATTCATAAAAATGAAAAAGTTAGAATATGCCAACACGGCAGGGAGATGTACCGGGACGGACATTCGGATTGCTGTGAGATAATCTCTACATGTTTAAGTTAGTTCAAAACATAAAAACTCCTTTCTTCAATAGGAACCCAATGGCCGTAGGTTCCGAAATTGAATATATTGAAATATCCCGATATGTCCGACCCTATATGTTTAGCTCCCGTCAAAATTTAAAAAATAATAAAATTCTTACATTTCTACATCACCTTTTTACATATTTATTGCATCATGTTATTTCCATTAGTGGATTTTTTGCGCCCTCTCGATGATATCCTTGGTTTAAATTCTGTTATTGTAAAGTTTTTTCCATCAACAGTCACAATCGTTTTCTTAGCTGAACTACGCACTACAAGAGAATCTCGGAATGTCATCCTTCTATGCAATAATGAATTTTGCTGCTTTCCTCCATTTGAATAGCTACCAGATTGCAAAGCTGTTTCATTATTATTTACAAAGTTAGAACCAGTACTTGAATAGGGGGTAGATAAAGGATCTGGTGAACTCTGAGCTTCGGCATTCCTTTGTTTTCTTAAAATAAAATTTTTAAATCTTATAAATTTAATAAACTTTTGGGTACTTATTGGTTATCCCAAAGTAGTTTTTGCGGACATTTTATGCGGACTCATTTATGTACGAAAAGGTCAAATGTTCTCCATTCCTCAATTTCACTCAATTTTCTCTGTGGCATTTTTCAATGAGGCATCAACTTAAAAATCGGTCATTTGTATTTAAAATTAATCTTTTCTTTATTGATGCCCTCATTGATAAATGCCACAGAGAAAATTGAGTGAAATTGAGGAAGGGAGAACTTTTGACCTTTTCGTACAAAATGAGTCCGCATAAAATGTCCGCAAAAACTACTTTGGGATAACCAATAAGTACCAACTTTTGCATAGAAGAGGATTAAGAATATTTTCTTTAAAAAATTAAACCAAAATTCTAAAAAATAGATCATTTGTCATATATGTATTACTGGGATTGTCAGTGTTACAATTAGAGAGAAGTGAAAAATATAAGCTCAACAACCCTATTACTTATGCTAAAATTATTTATAGAATACCGACTTCTGCCTTTCAACTTCAACAGCTAATTTCTGCACGAGTGTTTGCTGTTGTACAACGGATGGATTTAGTCTGGGTTTCCTCGTCGAAGTACCCTTGCGTGTATCACACATCAAACATTTGAACGCCTCCTTGAATTTATAACAGATATTAAACTTCAAAATAATAATAAACTGACCTGCTTATTTTGAAATGTGCAAACTAAACTTATAAATTTGTTTGAGTTAAAAAAGTATAAGAACCTGTACATTCCCAGTGCCCAAATTGCTCTTTGTTTTTTCTTTCGCTGTCCTCACGATCATACATTGAACTTCTACTGCTGTCATCATCCTCATTATCACTATGTGCAGTATTACTTAAAGATTTACGAGATTTTTTTGAATTACTTGACATCGCCTAAAATGATTGCCCAAACATTTAACTATGTTAATATATATTAAATCAAGCACAATATTAATATGTGAATAAATAATCTAACAACTGAGAAAGAATAGAAATATTTAATATGCAACTTTAACCATTTAATACTTGTATAAATAAAACTTTTATCACTTTACAGAATAACCAAATCCTTAAAATTTACATGGATTATGAACCAATCAACATTAAACATACAACATATATAGACCTCCACCAATTATTGAACTTTATAACTCATCAGCAACAAGTTCTGGTGGCAAGGGGCTCTGAATTTTAAATTTTATGTTTATATTTTGAGTTGTAACCTTAGGATGCTTCGATTCAAAATGCTGCTTATACGTCTTTGGATCCGGCATAGTTGCCTGAAAGTAGATGTAGTTATTATTAGAAGTATTTATAAATTAAAAGTGAAACCATGCAAACAGTGCACTTATATGTGAGCGCTTTAGCTGCAGCCGCCTTCTGATTGATCCCCGTACTTTTCTTCAGCTGTTGTTGCTTAGATTGATTCTTTTGTTGAGACAAGGCTTTTTGATGACCACGCGCCATTATAAACTATCAAAATTCGATTATATAAAAATAAGGATGACTAATTGTAAGATTAAAATAGAATACAATGCAATATAAAATACATATTATGAGAAGACAATCATTAAAAAATTTTTATAATGGATGAATTAAAATAAATAACGAGCTTACAATTAATCATTGGATTCCTAGCGAATATTTCGAAACTCTCATAGTAAAAATTTTAAATTAACTCAAAGTTAATGCAAGCTCGCTTTCAACAATTAAAAACAAAACTCATACCAGAAAATATTTTCAAAAAATCAAATAATTTCACAAATTGCTCCTGCCTTTTCCAGTTGAATTTTTAATTCTTCCGCTTCTTTCATACCCAAATCTGTCTTGATCTCAATTGGAAATGATTCAACAAGCTTCTTTGCCTGAACTAGGTTCAATCCTTGAACACATGCTTTAACTTCCTTAATCAATGCAACCTTCTTCGATTCATCGTACTTGCTCAGTTTCACCTATGAATAAAATAAACTTATTTAAATGTAAAGTAATAAATCAAACCGCAAACGACGTTTTAGTCGGCGCATCTTCTTCCTTCTGCGCAACTGTTCCTGCTAAAATAAGAATAAAACAAATGTGAAGCAAGCAATACCTTGACTCATTTGCGGCGTAGAAGGCACTCCTGACATTGGAAACATTTGTTGGTCACTAATATTGAGCCGCTTTTTGAGAGCATAATTGAGGTCACTCACCTGGGATAAAATACTTTGATTTTAATAACTTTAAATATGGATCAGGTTTGTTAAAATTATGTAATGGGCAAACTAATCTCCCACACCCAATCTGCCTAACATCTTGAACCACTTAAAAAATTAACCTGTTACCTCAAGTAATGACAAAGAAGCAATTTCATCGACAAGTTTTTCAATCTGCGAAGAAACTCGTCGCTCATTAACTTTTTTAGGAGCAGAATCTTCTGGAAGAGTACTTTCCACAGCAGATGCAGCAGAAGAAAAAAATCTAGAGCCATAAGGCTTGATAGATTGTAGAACAAAATTAGCATATCTGATGAGCATTTCTACCAATATAACTACAAAATCTCATAAAAAAACAAATAAATATTAAGTATAGATATTTCTTCATATTTCATGAGAAAAATTTGGATAAACAAGTGTCAATCTAACATAACAAACATTTATCATTTGACAATAACAATAATCGGAAGATAATCCGTTCCATTAACTTTATCAATTAATCTCATCATGAAACCAAAGCTGAAGCAGTAGATGATTCATATTTCCATGTCGGTGGAAGCATACGTTTGGTCTTGCAGTAACGAGCCAAGCGATGAATTCTAGACTCAACCAAAATCAGACGATACCTGAAAATAATAGAAAAGTAAAACAATACAATCATAAGAAAAACAAACTTGGAGTCGATATCCTTGCGAAAACGCTCCAAATGTTTACGAATGCTGACAGCTTTCTTTATTAAATGATAGAGATCTTCAGGAATCTCTGGTGCCATTCCCTGAAAAAAAGGAAATTGAAGACTCAAATTATTAGAAATAACCTTTGATCGAAGAATACGAACAATCTTGTTACCAGTGATACGTCTAACTTGTGCCACACCATGAGAGTCACGAAGAATAACACCGATCTGAGATGGGCGAAGACCTTTGCGAGCCAACTTAACGATTTGTTCCTCAACATCCTGACTAGTCAACTTTTGCCAAGTTGGAACAGAACGTCGATATGGAAGAGCAGAACGCGATATACCCTTTCCTGGATTGTGCATACGACCCATCCTTGTTTGCAAAGCTAACTTGTATTTTTAATTTAATAAATCTAAAAACGTGTTTATTAGCAAAATTTTAGCATTCAATGAACAAATAAACCTCGAAAAAATATTTTACTAAAAAACGGGTTGACAAAACGAGTTTAACTCACAATTATTTAACAAAATGATAGACGACAATTCATCACACAGAACAAAAACCTACAATTCGCCCCACTGAACAAAAACTCCAATTCGTCCCATTGAATAAAACCCTAACATTTGTGGCGCCACCATACCTTGAGAGTTTAATAACTTTAGGTATCAACTAATCACTTAAAATTTCAATTCTTTGAAATTATGAGCACAGCATTACAGCGTTTTGCCCGCTCCGAAGTTGAAGCACATGTAGACGAAAAATCCCTATGGATTATTTTGGACAATAAAGTTTATGACGTCACGAAGGTTGGCTGATTTTTTTCTTTTATTTTAAATTTCATTATTAATTAGTTTCTGCTTGAACATCCTGGAGGTGAGGAGGTGCTCATACAGTGGGCAGGTCAGGATGCTACCGAAAGGTTAGTTTTTATGACAATTTTACAACATTAATTTTAAAATATTCGTATTTAGTTTTAATGATGTTGGCCATTCAGCCGATGCTCGAGCAATGACAAATGATTATTTGATAGGGGAATTAAGTGACAATGATAGTGCAACGACAACTATACCACTACCGCCGGAAAGCGCGCCAGAAGCAGAATCCTGGAAGCAAATTATGACTAGCTCGGTTTGTGCTATTTAGTCACCTAGACACTATAACTGTCAATAAAATTTCGCAACAAAAACTGGTGACTTTCTTTTTTCCAATAAGATTAAGTTTTCTAAAATAATTACTTTTTTAGACTTGGACAAATTTTCTGATTCCTGTTGCATTGTCAGTTGGTGTTTTTATGATTTACAAGTTTAGTAATGCAGCTTATAGACGTATGTTTCTCTGATGAGCCAGAATATTATAGACATTTTTATTTTAAAACATGAATGACAAATCGTGATAAATATAAACAATATACTTATTTTTTGGCTTCAACCATTATAATATGGTAACCAAAATTCGTTTTGACTGGGGGGTCTGTGTACGTTGGTGTGGAAATTGAACTTATTGGAAGAGCAAAAGCAGCATCTTGGAATGGTCCAACCATAGAACCCCGAGTCATCCAACCAAGATCACCCTGTAAAACGAGAAGATAAATTTTCAACGAAGACAAATTAAGTTTCGAAAATTAACATAAACTGAACACCCCGCTTACATAGGCCAATATTGCTGAAAACAAAGAGGACTTCCCAATATGTACTTATTAAAATATAAACTAACTCCAGAACGGGCTTTATCCTCGCTGTATTTGCCAGCTACCAGATTGAAGCTTTCTCCAGCTTTAAGTCGTTCTATAGCTTCCAAAGCCTTTGAATGTTTTTCACATAAAATATGACGCACTTTGATAGATGTATACCCTGAACCGCCATCCTTTTTGCCTTTGTCCTTTTTATTGCTAGTTGGTTTGTTGTCTGATCCACTGCCCTTCTGTTTATTTGATGGCATTAACTAGAAATTAAATTGGTGGCATGATTTATATAATCAATTTAAATGTAATCAAAAATTTTCATCAGAATTTTTTAGATAAAATAAAAACAAATTAATGTAAAATATTTATTTTATAATCCAAAAAACTTTAATATATATTTACATTACAAATCCCAGAGCTAAATCATTTATTTAACCAGAATTTTTTCAAGTTTCGTTTATTTCGCATTGCTTCTCCCTCCTCTTCCATAATTTCTTCTAAAGCAGACTTCCTCTTATGACTAGCTAAAATATTAAAACAGTTCAAGAATTCATATGATTAAAAAACCTTTATTATCGCGTAAGTTCGTTTGAACAGATGAGGAAGTCGATGAGGAAGTCGAAGGCTGCATGGTCTTTTCCTTGAAATTAGAGGAAGATTTAGCATTGAGCACATTCGTTGGAGTACAAAGAGCAGAAAATGCTGCCTTGGTTTCAATTAAAGGTTTCTTTCCACCCAATGAGAAGGTAATTTTTGATTCATCATTTCTTATCAACTCTTGAGGCTCTCTTTTTTCTGGTTCATTGTCGCCCTGCAGTTGACGTGCTCTAAAAATAAATTTAAATGAATCTGAGAAAATCATAACAAAAAAATTTCTGTACCACTAAAAAAATTTCCTTAATTCAAACCTATCAATTTGTCGTTGCAAATGGTCATTCATTCTTTCCTCGTCATCCTTCTCTTGTTTAGCTCGTTGTTGCGATTTTTGCTTCTTCAATTCTTCTTCTTGGTTAATATAAGTTATAAACCACCCTGAAGAATTTTGATAAAAATGGACAGAATTCAAAAAACCTTTTTCATTTTCTTCAATTTTACATTTTCCAGATTTTCCTAAATAAACGACAAATCCTGTAAGAGTATGCCAAACAGTAGAGTTCATATGAATATGGCCTTTGTCTTTTATCTAAGATTAAAAATGTATTTTATTTAAAATCCTTAAGAGTTCACGTACATATTCTTGATAAACATCATTAGCTTTCACCCTCTTACCACCAAAAGAATGACGAAGAATCTTTAAATGTATAAAAATTAAAACAGCGCAGTTCAGTTCCGAATAGCTCATGAAGGAATGGTCATTTCTTCATGTTATTGGTACCATTGGATAGAGAATTAAATGCTCTAGTTGATTTCAAAAAATGTGATTTTCAGCACTTTATCGATCATAATTTCTAAATCAAATAGTCGAGTTTTGATTTTTTGGAAGCTTGTAGTGTAATTTCTAACCAATAGTACCAAGAACAGTGAAAATTTTAGGCCCCTTGATAAGTTAAAGGTGCCGGGACTGAACTGAGGTGTAAGGAAATTAAAATATTTAAAATAAATCACAAACATGGAGAAAATTAGCTTCAAATTCATGACTAAATTGTCGTAGATAGGAATTTTGATTTTCTGCAAAAAGAAGCATTTGTCGCTGGTGGGCTTCACTCATAAGATGGCATTTGAATCCATTCTGGTCCCGGCATTGTTTCTGACACATCTGACAGAACCATTTAAGTTTTTGAAGTCCTTTCGATTTGTGACGATTAGCAATTTCTTTAGGAGTTCCTTTCTCATGTTTTGGCATTATTTCTATAGAATCTGTAAATTTCAAAGTAGATTAAAAATATTAAAAGCTAAATCAGATATAAAAAATAGAGAGATATTCGTCTTTCCTTTTCTTAAAAATTTATATACTTTAATGTCCTGGATCATTTGTCATTGGTTGTCAGATAAAATTTGAATTAAACACAAAATACGATCAGGACCGGATTACTTTTGGGAAGGATAACAAACATGTATAGGAAAATAATTTAAAGAATCTATTTTATAGTTATTTAAACAAGTTCGCCAAACAATTCATCCACTTCTAGGTTTCTTATAGTTGGCATTATATATTGTTGAGCGTCTTATCCGGTTGAAGAAATCAGCGATTTGATATTTAAACTGCCGGGTGTGGAGAGAATGATGTGAACGTCCACTGACTAAGGAGGAAGATGGAAGGATATCCAAAGTGAGAAGAGTTGGTGGAATTGCCGAAGTATGTAAAAATGCAACACCTAAATATAAATGAAACGAATAAGGTAATCTAATTATAGCTTACCCCTTTGCCTAGCATGCCTAATTGCATTACTCTTTTGGCATATTCCAGATTTCTGGTGGTGTTCATATCCAGGGCCATAAGAATTAAAATTATATCAAAAAATTAATTATTTATAACTAGTACCACATTCACAACGACCAAAATCACATATCTGCCCATCCAATGAGCGGCATTCACTATCCGAACGGCAATCTAAAATATCCTTTCAATTTTGCTTTTGATACTTACTCCTTGATCTCCATAAACAATCACAACTCTGGCAGCCATTTGGATCAATTACAACACCACAGTTCCTTCCACATATTGGAGGAGAATCACAACTTTTTAATGTTGTGCGTTGCATTGTTTGGGGTTTTCCCAGCGTCCATGATCCATGATTTGGTACGCGTTGTGTTGTTCGCGAAAGGCCTTTCAGAAATTGCATCTTTTGTTGATGGATTTTTGTTGTCTTCAATGCTTTTGTTGTTATCGGCCTGAAATATTAAAATAAAATTTAGAAAATAAATTAAATAACCAAAATGTTGTAGTAGTTTTACTTTGTCCATCACAGTTTTCATTATCACAATCTTTCTTTTCGTCATCAATGTTTTCAAAACTTTCCAAAGAATTTAGAGGATATTGTTCAGTTACTCCAGTTGTGCCTGTGAATTTATTTTGTAATGTGAAACTTGGGGAAACCTGTTTGAATTTTTGCTGTAGGAGTGAAGCCTGGACATACATATGAATTTAACTTGATATTTAAGCAAATTAATTTTACCAGGTGGTTGTGGATTGAAAGCAGGGGATGAGACAACATCTCGCTGTAGGTGGATATCCTCGCTCAATAGCTCTCTACTCATTGTTAATGTTATGTCATCAACCCCAGGAGAGCGTTTACCATGTGCCACTGATGTGCCTATTGTTAACTTAAATTGATTCAAAAAATAAAAATTATTCTAATTCGCGGTTAGTGATTAACCTTCGCATCGTTGAATACTGTTGGAGCTGTTACAAAACTTCCGAGACCACTCTTCTCGGGTTCAAGGTGTTGTTTTAATTCAGCCTCTAATTCAGACTCGCTGATAGTCAAGTGTGTTACTAAATCTCTTTTCTCGGGCATCGGAGGATGGGACCAGACATGGGCGAAACGTTTCGTTTCGTTTCGTTGTTTCGTTAGTTTCGTTATGTTTTTTACTGTTTCGTCTCGTTTCGTGACGAAACACTTTTTAATTTGTTTCGTTTCGTTTTGTTAACGAAACACCTGTGTTTCGTTAACGAAACATTACCTATTTTTTAGACCAAAACATTACTCAAAAACTGAAAAATTTTCCACTTTGGTAATGGAAATGCAAAAAATTTTTGCCTGCGGCGCCGAAATCTGAATTGTATGCGCCTACGGCGCATAATTTACTATAGTTTTTATTGAATTTCCCGTTTGATTTTATGTTTTTAATAGGTAATGTTTGAGTTCTTTGCTAGATTATGCATATAGAATGGGTCTATCTCTTAATGGGTCGGTCTATCTCTAATCTATTCCTTAAATAAACACATAAATCATCTCCTAATGCCAACCATGGGTAGGCGCAAGAGACAATCTCATAAAACGAAAAATGCAAAATATGCCAATGATCATGAATGTTGTTGATCAACATAAATCTGAGTACTTTCGTATTTGACTAGGACTTTCGTACTTGGTATCAATAGAAAAATTCCTAAAATGTTTCTTTTGACCACTAAAAAGTGAATTTTTTTCGCCTCAGCCTTCTGAAATTTTCAAAATTTTCGCCTGCGGCGCTGAAAAAAGAAATGCGGCTTCTTGGCCTTCCAAAATTTTCAAAATTTTCGTATGCGGCGCTGAAAATGTCTGAAATAGGAAAATTTATGGCTTCAAAGTCCTCTAAGATTCATTTTGCAAAATTAATGGTGATAATGGAATTAGGTGAAATTAAGGGAAATTTGCCGGTTGAACTGACTGGGCACACAACAAATGGCCAATGGGACCATAATTTGTGGCCCCACATAATTATATGATAACATATAGTCATTATTGGCCAATTAACATGCTTAAACTTGAATAGATAATAAAATAATTAGGTTTTTTTGAGATTTTTTGGAAATTAAAATGTTTCGTTTTGTTTCGTTTCGTTAAATTCTGACTGTTTCGTTTCGTTTTGTTAACGAAACGATTTTTAAAAATTTTTGTTTCGTTTCGTTTCGTCCGAAAAAAAATTTGAGTTTCGCCCATGTCTGGATGGGACCGCAAAAGTGCTTCAGAAGCAAAAGGATTTCCCTTAAACAATGATAAAATATATTCAAATTAGAATAAACACAAACAATTGTATCAAATGGTTCTTCTTCTGATTTGACAATTGGTCGATGATACCTAGTGTTTAAATTTATCTATGAATTTATCAATTAAATCCCCACAGTTTTCTCCTTTGAACGAAAGTGTCAACTCCTTTATCGCTCGTTTCCACATCCCCTACAATTGTACAAATTGTAGACTTGCATTGAAGTCTGCATATTGGTTGACAAGTTTTATATTGTTCACAATCTATATCGGATCTGCATTCTGCATCAAAAGAACCTTAAATAACAATGCAAAAATATAAGACCCGTTCTTATTCAAACCTGTGCAATGAAGTAAAAAGACTATGATAATAAAAATAAGTATAATAAATATCAAAATTTTCATTAAAACGAGGACAGACTTTGATGATAATCGAAAATTTGTGAATAAGTGAAGGACGAAAAATATCATAAACTCTAATCACACCCTCCAGGCTCGGGGTGATTAATGGAACTAAGGAAAAAATTAATTGATATAAGAAAATTGATAAAAAAAAAAGGCCGAACTTCAATAACAAAGAATTACATCAATGAAACTCCAAAGAATTACATCAATGAAACTCCATTAATAACTAAGTTGTAAAGATATCCGAAAAGAAATATCCTAGTGAAAGTAAGTTGGAATATAACGATTCTTTTATTATTCATAAAATACTTCACGAATAATTAACGCACTTTTTAGAATGGGAAAATTAGTGGGCGAAAAATGAATGTGTTACCTGCGCAAGTTCTCAGGTTATTTACAACTCTCTTGACTGAATTTAATACCAAACAATTTTTATAAATCCAGCAAAATAAAATAAAAGATTTTAGCCTTGAAATATTTAATATTGAAAATTACCAAGTTTAAATCATTAAAATGTAAAGAAAATCAGATCCGCTATAATATGTAAAGAAAAGCGAATCTTTACAATCAAATATCTAATCTGGGTGACAGAAAGAAAAGAATACAATGTTACTATGTTTTGGGTCAGAAATGCATGGCTGTAATCAAGGGTTTATCAAAAAGGATCTCAATTTATCATCCTATTTATAGCCATATAGTTGGGAGCAGTTTATCCAGAAGACAGCCTTGCATAGAAGCGTTTTTATGGGAGATAGAGATGCTAAAGCATTTATGAAAGCAATTTCATTAAAATCTTGACTCATAATATATCTAGATACTTAAATAGATCCATACCGCTTCATTTTACTTTCTGTTTGGTGGCATCGACTGAGTGTGGTGCTTTACCTTAGGAAGGGAATTTAAATTCTTATTCATTTAATAAAAATTTCCTCACCCCAAAGCATTACATTCATTCCATCGCCAATTAAATATAAGAACCAGAAAAGCAAACCAGCCACAGTGATGAGAAAACCAATCTGCTGATTGTCCAAATGATCAAAAATGGGATAAAGCCAATATCCATTAAAGAGACGTGTCGAAAAAATTCTTAATTGAAAAGCATAAATTTGGAAATATTTGTCATTTACTAACATTCCAAGATAGAAAATAAAGAGTGACAAAACAACCAACGATCCAACTCTACGATCAGGAGCATGATGGCAAGTCAGTAGTGTATCAACCAAAAGAAAAGCAATTGGTGCCGTATGGGTAACTAAAAAACGAAAGGAAAATGGTAAAGAACGAGAGCAGGAGCAACAAAAAAAGCAAAAATAAAACCATGATTGAGCCAATGTGGAATCAATTTCGCTACCCAAGCAGGCATTACAAACTCAGAGTTGACAGCATAAAGCGACCTACATAGAACATTTAAACTTTTAATTTAAAATTAAAAAATACCAAAACAAGAGACAAGTTGCCTTAAATTATTAAAATTTATTTCTCATCAAAAATAAAAGTAATACCATTCCAACGGGAAACACTGAAGTCGCATACATAAAATCGCAAATTTTGTGCAATTTAGTGCTGCGCCAATAGCTTGGAACGTGTATTTGCTTTTTATATTGATCCTTATGTCCAAGCTCTGCATTCCAATCAAACAAGGCGCAGAAAAAGCAAATAACAGAATATACGGTTTGAAATAGCTATTAAAAAATAAAATTTTAGAGAAAAATTTTCAGAACAGAACGAAGAGCCAACCGAAAAGTCATCAGTTCTTCGGTTCGATTCCGCCCCCAACCCTAATAATAACATAAAAGCCATACCAAATTAAGCATACTCAACATTACAAGTTTCTGTATCCAAAGCTGAGAGCCAACTCGAGGAACGAATCGAATGTCATAAAATAAAGCCCCAGCATATACACCAAGCATTATTCCATAAATTAGGACACGAAAAAATCCCATAATAATAATTGGATTATTATTAAATTCGTAAAATCTAAAAATATTAAAATAAAATTAAATGAATAATATGTATATTGAAAATGAGAATGCAATTTAAATCAGGAAGATATAAAGTCGATTAAATTTTATAAAATAGAATCTATGGCATATAATAATAATTATAAGTGATTATAACCAATCCAATTTAATTTTCATTTTTTCTTCAATTTTTTCACTGTTCCACGTTGCTTTAGCAAGATGAAATGAATAATTCTATTGTAAGCATCGGTAACCAAAAATGATGCAAATAGTACAACAATGCATAAAATAATAAAGAAGATTCGTCTAGGTAATGATAAAATTCCGAGGATTGGATATGCCCAAAAATTGTAAAAATAGTAGAAGTAGTGAATGCTGAAAAGTATGTAAAAATAAAAAATAATAGAAAAGAAACAAACTCGATCAAATAAGCAATCATAAAAATATAAATTATTATAAATGCACTTTTCCAAGACGGTCTAGAATGACGCCAAAGCAAAAAATCTATTGTCATTGTCAATAAGGGAAGAGTGTGCTGAATTAAAAAATAAGGTTAACTCTGAAAACCTACAACTTTTTAAAGGGAAAATCGGGGGATTTGGAGGGATTAAGGGGATATCGATGGATTTGGTGTGATTGAAAGGGATAGAGATATCTACTCACCCAGGTTTATGGTATTAACTCACAACACCGCACCAGTTTCTAAAATACAGAACTGGGTACTTATCTCCATAAAGCTGGGTATTTATCCCCCTTAATCCCTAGGTATTTCCTATGAAAAGTTGTAAATCTCAATCACAGGGTCAATAGGTCATCAGAGATGAACTTTAAAATATACAAAAAAATAACTAGCATACCAAACAATGATTAAACCATGGTGCCGACATAAGAATCTCAGCTTCTTTGTCCAAAAGAAATTGCGGATCCAAATAAACTAGTGCCCAAAAGAGAACAGTGACAGTCTATTGATTAAACATAAGTAAATATAAATTAAAAAATAAAATACCAATCCAACAGGGAAAATTAGCGAGGTCGCAATAAAATGAAGCCCATTAAGTATAATTGAATTGGTTAATCCAAATAAAGCAATAATTGCGGCCAAAGTATTGTAAATTAAATGCAAGTTCTAAAAAACTGTAGGTTGGCTTTACACAAAGATAAAATTACAAGATTAATAAATGTAAGCCAAACAAATTTGCTCAAATAAAAGCCTGGTACTGAAATTAAATAAGCGAAAATTTGAGGTAAAATTGAATTCATTGATTAGTGAATTAAAACCAAACCTGGACATAAGTTGTAGAATACTTCGGTATGATAGTCGAAATAAACTGTATAAGCATAAGCAGCAGCAAAGAGCAAGTTTGAACTTTTAAAAAGTACTTGGTAAAGCATTTATAAACTAAAAAGCGGCTGAAAAAGAACAAAATTAGTAATGAAGTCGTCAAGACAACTCAAGAAAGATAAAAAATTACTACCACTCTATCATTGATAAAAATAAAAACATGACAACGCTTTTCGATAAAAAAATAATGAGTGTTAATAAGTGAAGGCACCCCAATTCGTCCCATAGGACAAAAACACGCAATTTCTCACTACCCAATACTGAGGTTTTTGTTCAGTGTGACGAATTGCTGGCGGACCGAAGTGAGTTTGGATGCATTGAGGTTGGACAATTTGGTGTTACCTAATTGAGTTGGGAGATTACGGGTGGATTTTTTGTTGTGATGAATTGAGCTGGGACGAATTAGTGATGGACCTAATTGAGTCAGGATGATTTGGAGATAGACGAATTTGTGTTTTACCTTTTTAATCATAATTTCCAATAATTTTTGATGTTTAATCTCAATTTTTTAATTTAGTATTCCAAAAATTCAATCATTTTGACGAAGATGGGCAACACTCTCATACGACGGAGCTTTTCGACTTCACGTAATTGCCTAGATATTGTGACTAAAGAACGTGCTCGATTCACATATTGTCAGGATAACTTTGAAAAACTAAAGTAACATTTTTTTATTTAATATTTTTTAAAAATTTTATATTTACATAGCTTCAATGTATATCCTTATTATATTGAGCGTGCATGGTGGCAACGAGGTGCGAGAATGACCTTTTGGGCTACATGGCGACAAGCTGCAAATGTACGCCGACGTCAAGCTTTCGCAACTTTTGGTTTCTATTTTTTTTAATTTTCCGAACTGAATTTCCCATAATTTTTAGGACCTGATAGAATGCGCTACAAGGCGATGACTACCAACAATATCCTACCCAGAGCGATAACTGATGAATTCAGGGTTTGATTTTCTAATCAAAATTTAAGATTTTGTCTTTTTTTATTAGGAAAAATTAAGAGCTTTGCCTAAAGACGCACATCCTAAATTGGTCGTTAAAATGTGCATGTTTACAGGACGTTCTCGAGGAAAATTCAACAGTTACCGAGTTAATAGGCATATCTTCCGATTATTAGCTGACAAGGGAAATTTATGCGGCGTTAAGAGAGCAATTTGGGGACGACAATAATTTTGTTATATGTAGTTGTAGTATACTTTTACTTTAATAATTTTATTTTATGAATATTTTTTATATCCATTTTTTGTTTTAACAAGCCATACCTTTTAATGTTTTTATGCTTTAAACATGTTTAACTTTTGTTAACAAAAGATTTAGCTTTCAAAAATGTTGCTGAACCTGATGTTTATCCTGTTGTTCATCATCTCTCTTTTTATTGGTAAGCTCTTATTCTAGATAATTTTACAAATTAAATATTAAGGACTAAATAACGCTCAAGAAAAGGACAATCTTAAAAAGCTTGAAGATTTTCGTCAAGCATTAAATGTCAACCAGGTTTTTTTTATATATTAGTAGGTTTAACCAATATTTTAAACATTTTTAGTTCTCAAGTCCAGAGTATCCAGCAATGTTTGGAATTGTAGCGGGTGTATCTATTGTTTTAGTGGTAAAATAGAACACAAAAATATTCTCATTAAAATTAATTTAGGTTGCTGTAACATTTATCGTTGTTGGGTTGTTTAGTATGGAGCCATCTAAAGACTCGGTAAGGGGATTTAAATGCAGGTTTTCAAAATTACATATTTTTCAGATAATCTACCGAATGACAAATACGCGAATGAAAAAGGACTAATTATTCCTGTGATGTATTTAGTTTACACATTATTTTAAATGTACGAATTAGTTTATAAAATATTAATTTCTAGAGTAGAATTAATGACAAAAGGAACTTAAATTAGCCTGAGTTTCATTAAGGGTACCTTTTCTATCGTTTGATTGAGTTCACACAAGTTTTGACTTAACGAGTTTATTTCGATAATCTCAATTTGTTAAAATTCTATGAAAGAAGGAAACAATGAAAGCTTACAATAAAAGGGTCTGAGGAATTTAACATTTTGTTGGCAGTAAAAATCGGAAAATAAAAATTGTTTTTAAAAAATCACTGGTAATTACAAAATATAATTTTTCCTTTCCAAGCAGTTTAGTTCGATATTTGTTTGGGAATGAGGTTTGAATAACAATTAACACTGAATTATCAATACAATTGATTAAACAAACAAAAATAAAACCTTTGCGATTGATGCCGTTGATATTTGCAACGCAAAGTCTTTGAAGTCATACGGCCTAATAAATTTCCAGATATTTCCCAAACGTTTTCCACTCGCAAAAGGATAACGATTTCGTAGATCCATCAAACTATTGAATTCAAAGGAAGGTAGCAGCGATTGCTGGGTAATATAATAGTTGCTAAAACATTTTTTATCCTTGTCATTTGCTAAATAAAAATCCAGAATATAAAATTACTTGAATACCTTGTAAAAATAAATCTGAATTTGCCCCGTACACTAGAACTAAGATAACCCATATTTTAAGACTAGGCACAAATATTTTTAATTGTAAAATAAAACCTTTTGACTCTTTTTTAGAAATCTTCGGTTTGCTCACATCCTCTTTAGAATCATAATATTCACTCTCATCATCGATAGACCCCGCTCGTTGATTGTTCCTTCTCTCCTTTTCTAATAATGTCAATTCCTGAGTAACATAATGTCTGCTGTCATCAAATAAAACATAATTTGGATCAAGTCGCATCAAAAGATCATAACGTTCTTCCTCATCAATTACATTTACATTCAGTAATGTCGAGAGCAACAATAGAAAATGAGTTCTTAGTTTCAGCTGTTCAATTTGACGCCAATGATAACCAACAAAGACTCGCTAATTTTAAAAAAAATTTGAGAAAAGTAAAAAAGAATAATCACAGCAGCTTTGTAAGTCATTTTTCGTGCAAGCATTGTAATGTGAATGCCTGGCAGAAAAGCATTCCACATTTGCATCATGATTCGTTCAGCAGGGTGTAAATCAGTAATATCTTCCAATTTCTTGAATTTGTGTTTCACGTTTAAAAATTAAATAAAATCACCCTTGATCCACTTTGAATTAGCCATTGTTGATCAATTTTTGTTGGAACTTCAAAAACGTAACGACCCATGCTAAGAAGATATTCAAATTCATTGCAATGAGCATGCGCAATTGCAGTAAAACGTTCAATTGGGAACTCATCATTGACGCGTATCTTTTTGGCCAATTCCCTAAAATAAATAGTTAAAAAATGTAATAGAATATATTAAATAAACCTGGTAACTAGCCAAACAGGTCGACTATTAGATGAACACTTTCGAACCGAATTGTTTTTAGATGAGCATCCACGCTTAATTTTGCCCTGAAGCGATGTTAATTCGAATAATGCATCAAAGTGTGTATTCAACGATATGGAAAAACCGGGTAATGAAAGATTGTTTGTGACTAGAATTCTCGGCTTAAAAATTTATTTTTTATGTAAAAAATTTAAGAAAACCTCATATGTAAATGTAAACCGCGGATGCATAAATCTAAAGTGCTTATACAAAGTCCATAAATTAGTTAAACGAAGTTTAGCTTTGCAGAAAAAACAAGGTGAATATACTGATAGAACACGCAACGCAAATTGTATACTTGAATCCTTTGTTTGAATTTTTGTTGTATCGCTGCTGCAATCGACATTATGAGTAGAGGGACCTAAATTGTTGTTAAATAATTCTTTGTTTAAGGTGAAAACCGATTAATGAGTTTTCGTCAGAAGAACTATTTTCAGTTCCATGTTGATCTTCTGTTGCTGAAGAGTCCGAAAAATGCATCTTTGGCACATTCCATCGTAAGTTATTGCAATTTCCTGACGTACCAATTTCCCTGGATCTAGTATTTTGATGGCTTCGCGTAGTAGAAATCAAAGAGTTGGAGGATAAGGATGAAGAGTCGGATGAATTTAACATAAACTTGAGGCTATAAATTAAAGCATTAAATTCTTAATTAATTTAATTATTAAATTTAAACATTACATAATCTTTTCGGGAAGTTCCAGGAGCCCTTTTTGCATAAGTTGACGATTCTTTGCTGAAGTTGTACTCTTTCTTCCTTCTTCATTTGTTAGAAGTGAAGTAGTAGAATCTGCCACATCCATCTCCATTTTAAGTAATCCGCTTACCATCCTATCTACAGAACGTCTTTCAGCATAAGAATCACCTATAGAAGGTATTGGCGTTTCTCGCTTCTCCCTTTCAGACTCTGCCTTTTCAGTTTCTGCTTCTTCCTCTTCTTCGTTTAAGGCAATTATACGAATGAATGGTATAGATCCTTTGCTACTACGATTACGAGATAAATGTATTAATCTTGCTACATGATTTGCTGAAGATTTTGTGCTCAAATCATCTAAACCCAGTTCAGTGGCAGTACTAAAATTAATTATAAAATTAAGCACAGATAAGATAAATAAAATACCTTAACAAAATGCTAGTTTCGCCTGTTAAAACACGAAGTCCATGTTCTGGAGTATTTGAGAAAAGACGCACTGAACCGAACATTACAACTTCTCTAGTACCATTTGAGCTATTTTTGCGCAGAAATTTTGTTGATGATTCGCCTGATTGTCGTGAAGCCATCTTTCTAAGATGACGACCTTAAAACAAGAAATAATAATAAACTTATTATTGAGAAATTAAACCTCCAATTTCAGCGTCCTCCAACCGAAAAACTACGCGTACAACAAAATGTTCAGCTCTTAAAATAAAGAGTGCTTTTTTATTTTTGAATTAAAACAAATACCGCAAATTCTTGTCTTCAAGAACGCCACCTTGACACTCCTCTAACATGTCTATATCAATGTAAGAACTGATCTTTTCATTCACGGCTTTTTCAAAATTAGCAGAAGGGATTCGTTTTAGCTGACTAAATTTGTTATTTAATTCAGTTACATGATAACACTGAACAAGCGCAGTTTTATGGCCTGAAATTGAACATTAAAAATAGAAAATAAAAACTATGGCAGACCAAAACAATTGTAATTACGTATCAATGTAAATTTAACTGTTGTTGGAATTTTATCAGAAGCACGAGAACCAGTTCTTAATTGGAGTTGATGCTAAAATTGTGTTTAAACATTAATTATTAAAAAATTAAAATTCAACCTTCTCATAAGAATTTTCCATCAGAGATCTTTCATTATCAATAAATAAATCACACGGTTGCTGCTTTCGCATATAGAACAAATTCCTGAGAAGAAATGGCCGATAAACTGGCCTACGACAAAATCCATAATTGTCTGGACGATTTAAAAATCGGTATAAGTCAACCAAATCTTTAAAAGTGATATTATTACAATTTTGAGAGTCAAGTAAAACCTCGCATTCGACGCTTGTATTTGCTTCTATTTAAATTTCGTTGTTCATCATCATTACCATCTTCATCAAAAGGATTGGAATAATCATTTAATAGGGGAGAAAATGCCATTCTTTGTTCTTTTAAAGGTGAGATCTGATGAAAAAAGTTAATGTTTGATAGAATATAAATTTACTTTTTTATCCGATTCCGTAGTAAAAATGTCATTAAAAGCTGATGATCGTCTCTTCCTTGTGTGTTCAAATTCCGAAGATGACACTTTTGAATATGTCAGTTTACGCTTCTTACAATGACCAGCCTTCTCTATATGCCCATTCTCAAATTCGTTTAAGTAACGCTTCGATAATTTTTTAACTTTTAATGGACTTTCCTTGATCTTTGGAGAGTTAGCTTCATGAATAGACTTTTCGTCAGACTTATTGATGGGTTCTTGTTTTGGTGTTAGTAAAAGGTTGGAATGAACTTTTGTAGCATTCTCCTTTATTGAGTTTGTACAATTAAATTTCTTTTCATCCTTTATTATGCATGGCGATTTTGTCAAATTTTTGACGGGCGTTTTTGACTTGATAGAATTTTTCTGGATAAGTTTTGAGGGTGATGAACTTTGCTTCCGTTTTAATGGTGAATTTTGTGATTGGTTTCTAAGGCTAATTCGCGATTTTTTCATCGATGAACATTTCCTAGGTGAAGAACGCAGTGAAATTCGTCGCCGAACTGTATTAATTGCACGACTTGTAGGTGGACGAAATTCTGCTTCACTACTTGAATCAGATACGCAATCAGAATCAGACGAAGCTGAAATGAGATATTTTAAATAAATTTACAAAGCTATCAAACATACAACTAACAAAAACCATTGCAAACGGTTGAGAATTAATAAAGCTGAAATTTTATGTTGAAAGTATAAAGTTAAGTAAAGCAAATTGACAATAACACATACTACTGAAACTGAAATAAAGAAAAATTATAAAAAACGAGTGAGAAAAAAGGCCTCGAGCCTTGAAATTGAACGTAATTTTCAAAAAAAATTTCCCCCTAAAATAGAAATCAAACTAATCAATAATTTCTTTTTCTCTACTAGATGAAATAGTGCAGGGATAAACTGTCATTTATATAAACATTATGCCAATTTAAATTTTGGAACTAAAGAGTAGCGTAACCCCACAGCACAGGGGGTTATCGAAAATGCTTTTTGGAGCAAATGAACTTATCCCTAATTACAATCACTAGAAAAACCTTGTAATAATTTTTATGTCCATCATTTTTCCAAAAGTTGATTCACTTCAGTTCCATGTTGTCCAAACATATCTGCTTTTGAAAGTTAGTTACAAAAGATTAGAAAAATCAGTACATGAAAACGAACAAAAGAAACGAAGAAAATATGAGCGGGGAAGAAGAATCGCGCTAAGAATATTTTTGGCGTGCAATTTTTATTTTTTTTTTATGATTTTTTGAAAACTTACTTTCTCAAATGAAGAACAAGACCATCCCAGCCAGAAGCAGCAGCACGCAGTGGCAACACCTGAAACGAAAAGAACATGAAACACTTATCATTTAAAAAACATATTTAAACCAACAGAAGACCACCAACAGCAGCAGAGCCACCAACAGCATATCTTAAAAGGGAAGCCCTCCCGCCTCCCTCAAAATTAAAAAAAAATAAAACCGCACCCACTACCACCATCCATCTGCTCCAGTGTCCATGTAGAACACTCCAGATCGTTGAACACATCCTAAAAAACAAAAAAACAATTTTAAACATAAAATTCATAAATTTTAATACTCAACAGATTATGAAGCATCTGCGCAGTGATCCATCATGAACAGCAGCAGAAGACCACCAACAGCAGCACACACACACCTGAAACGAAAAGAACATGAAACACTTATTATTAAATAAACATATTTAAACCAACAGAAGACCACCAACAGCAGCAGAGCCACCACCAGCATATCTTAAAAGGGAAGCCCCCCCGCCTCCCAAAAATTAAAAAAATAAAACCGCACCGACTACCACCAACACCATTTGTTCCATCCATGTAGAGCACTCCAGTTCCATTGCACAAGTACAACCATCCTCCATGACGAGACCAACAAGCAGCATCTATACAAAATTAAAATTTTAATTTACTTTTAGAAAAACTTTTAAAATAAAATAAAAATTAAATATACTGCTCCCGTACTCGTTGAAGATGAGCCAGCCGGAACTATAAAGAAAAAATAATGAAATTTGAAAAAAATAAAATTTTAATTTTTTAACTTTTTTTTTAATTTTTTGCCGCGCGCGCATATAGGGAAAGAGAATAAGAAGATGAAATTGAAACAAAAACATATAAAACAACAATAAAAAACAAAAAAAAACACGAAAAACGAAAATACACCCGGGTGCAGTAAAAACCGAAAAAAATCGGCTACCCTACAACTCATCTAATCCTTAACTCATCTAACACTTAACTCATCCACACGGCCAAAAACGCTCAACTCATCCAATCCTCAACTCATCTAATGCTTAACTCATCCACACGCCCAAAAACGCTCAACTCATCCAATCCTCAACTCATCTAATGCTTATCTCATCCACACCCCCAAAAACGCTCAACTCATCCAATCCTTGAAATATCGGCCGGTTGAGTCCCTAGCCGGTTGAGTCCCTGGTCAGTTGAGTCTCAACCGGCCCAAGACTCAACCGGCGGTAATCAACCACTCAAACGGCCGGGACTCAACTGACCAGGGACTTAACCGGCTAGAGACTCAACTGGTCATGGACTCAAACGGCCAGGGACTCAACTGGTCATGGACTCAAACGGCCAGGGACTCAAACGACTGGTACTCAATAGTCTCGTTCCAAAGGATTGGATGAGTTGAGCGTTTTTGGCCGTGTAGATGAGTTAAGCATTAGATGAGTTGAGGATTGGATGAGTTGAGCGTTTTTGGGCGTGTGGATGAGTTAAGCATTAGATGAGTTGAGGATTGGATGAGTTGAGCGTTTTTGGCCGTGTGGATCAGACCTGGGCGAAACTCAAAATTTTTTTCTGACGAAACGAAACGAAACAAAATTTTTTAAAAATCGTTTCGTTAACGAAACGAAACGAAACAACCAAAATCTTACGAAACGAAACGAAACAAAACGAAACATTTTAATATTCAAAAAATTTTCAAAACTGCATTTATTTCGAAATTATTCGACCTCAAATACGTTATTAGTCGACTATGACTTATAAATGATTTAGTTATTGGTTTATTTACAACAATTGTGTCCCATAAGCCAGGCCCGTAGCAAGGAAAATTTTCGGGGAAGGGGGGGGGGTCAATCATTTTCGAAGCCAAATTTTTGGCGACGCTTTTTTTTAAATAAAATTGAATATTTTTCAAGTAAAATTTTATTTTAAGCGCCGCAGACGAAAAATTTTAAAATTTTGAAAGGCCGTAGGCCAAAAAATTCACCATCTTGCTCCATTGCCTACCCAAATTGTCTCCATATCTCCATTTCGAGAGGAAGGCGATATAAGCTAGTGCTTCGCCGGAAGTTCCGGTTCCAGTGTAGTATATAAGTAATTGCTATCTTCCTTTTTCAGCGCCGCAGGCGAAAATTTTGACAATTTGGGAAAGCCAAGAAGCCGAAATTCTTTTTTTTCAGCGCCGCAGGCGAAAATTTTTTAAATTTTCAATAAAAGATGGTAAATTTTATAGATTTTGGCCTTAGTTTAGGCTTAAAAAATTGTTTCGTTTCGTTGAAAAATCACAGGTGTTTCGTAACGAAACGAAACGAAACAAATTTAAAAGTGTTTCGTAACGAAACGAGACGAAACAGTAAAAATCATACGAAACATACGAAACAACGAAACGAAACGAAACGTTTCGCCCACGTCTGGTGTGGATGAGTTAAGGAATTTTAGCCGTTTAGATGAGTTGAGCGATTTTGGGCGTGTGGATGAGTTAAGTATTAGATGAGTTGAGCGGGCACGAAAAAATCAAGAATGAAAAAATTGTGGGATAAAGTTTCAATAAACACTATGCTGCATTTTGGCGTAATAATACTGTACGCGGAAATTTAAATTTGCACTTTTGAGTCCTGAGTTGCAGGCAAAACGGAAATAAAATTTTTTAAATGAAGGTGTTTTAGAGTATTTGCTTCTAATTCCTTTCCGGATGTCACAAAAGCGTTCCGGAAATTGCGAAATATCTTCAGAGTTTTCAATGTTACTTTGTTTTTTATTGCAGAATTTTATTTTGAGTTCATGAAAAATATTAAATTTCTATTTTTAGTGTATTTAATCAAATTTTCCATATTTTTTCAAGATTAAAAATGTTCTACAATTATTTTTGCTGTTCTTATTTGCTCCTTTGTTTTATTCAATCTCGGAATTTCTCTTCTCATCAGGTTTTTTATGGCCTTTCTCACAACAGATAAAAACAAATTTTCTCAAAGAAAGTCAAATTTTTTAGTTGAAACTTAATGCATTATTAAAACAACATTTTGAAGTTACAGCCAAATTTTACCAGCCAACATTTAAAGTAAGCTTTTGTTTTTTCTAAAATTATTTTCTATTCATTGCGTAGTTACAAAGCGAAAGTGCCCTAAAATGGTGGCCGAAGAGAACATCAAATGTGAGTGAAATAATTGAAAATGGTAGTCTCTGCTTGTTTTTTCATGCATTTTTATTTGACTTGAATAAAGAAGTAATGGGGCTTGGACGACAGTTTGGTTGGCTGCTCATTTCCGCCTTATCAGTTAAAACAACACGCACATCAAAAAAGGTTTGGATTTTTCATTGTCCTTTTAATTCCACATCTTCCGATTGCCTAAATTGCTTACAAAGAGGTAACATTTGAATGTAAAAAGCTGCTATAAAGTAAGCTGCATTCAAGACTTGTCCCTTGAGATTTGCCCTGTTTGAGTTTTATGCCTTTACATTTTTGTTCCCCAATAACAATAAGTATGTGCAAAAATATGCATTTGATGTGTTTTAATCTTTCAACACACAATTATACTTGATTGTTCATAAGATTTTCAGATTTCAATAGATGAACAACAATAATAATGAAAATTTTTCGCTTAGTCCAATCACCCCGTCTACACAATTGCCACGTGCTAGAAGCGCTATTTTTCCTGTTAATGATTTGAGCACAATGAACAAGCTTTGCAGTACAAGGTTTTAAACTTGCAATAAGCGAGAATAGTTAAATGTTTCAATTTATAGATTAGCCGGTACTTTATCGACAGATGATGATGATCCAGCTGCCCTATTCCCTGTTAGTGCATCAAATCCGGGTACTACTGGTGTCAATAGTTCTGATATGATATTTACTGATCATCAACGAAAACAATCAAATCCTCGTTTAAAAACAACTTCGTGCTACTTTCGCGAGCCTCAAAACCGGCATCAGACGGTAAATAATTTAATTTGGAATTAAAATTTTTAATTTTCAGCATTGTCGACGCTCCTCAATAATTCTAAACGAAGTGAGGCCGTCAACACTTGCCAGGCACAAATCCATATCTATGGAATTGTCAACAGATTTCATGGGTTCTAAATTAACGCTGGATGAGGAGCTCTACGACATCATTTATGCATTTCTGTGGGTATTTTTTAAATAAATTATCTGATTATCCGACCTCCCTTTTCCTGAGCTTCTCCTTTCTCAAGGTGCTTGAAAACGGGCTCATCAGTAGGATTGTTAGTTCGACATTGAACCGAAGAATCGATGATTTTTCGGTTCCGGATTTCCGAGGATTTTCTACGATCTCGAGGATTTTCTTTTTTATTTCCTAAGCATTTTTCTAATGTGTGAAAAAATTATATTTTAAAAAGATCTTCCTAAAACTTATTTAGGAGCATTTTCTTTAAACCTGTTGCAGGGTTTAAAAATATAAATCCGATCTTTTTTTGTTTACCTATACCTTTCTTCTACATATAACTCATCTTTTCATTTTTGATCATAATATGTAATGACCGGCCAAGCCGCAGATTTTTAGGACATCTGCAAGTTTTTTTCCTTTCTCATTACTCATTTTAAGTTATTTTTTTATCCTTTCTTTACAAAATCATAACTTGGAATTTTTTAAAAATATTTCTAAAGATATTTTTATAATTCCAAAACTAATAAAATACTTCCTTTATTTGGGTTCTTTCCAATTTCTCAAACAACGGCAAAATTTATTTCCTAACAAATAAAAATTCTAAAAAGAAGTCGGTTGATGTCGTTAATTTGCCTGTTAATGATCAACATAGAGCATCATCAGCCACTTATGGTAGCTCACCATCACCTTCCACAATTGGATGGGCTAATGAATTTATAGATTATTTGAGAGGATTGTGAGTAGTAATTTTTAATTAAAAAATTATTTTCACACAAAATTAGTTAACTTTTATTTTTATATTTTCACTCTCCAAAGGTGTATTTTTAACGTCTTATTATTTAATTTCTTCCAAATCTAAAAGATCCAAAATAATATTGAAAAAATGCGTCAGCCGTTTGTTTCATGATAACTAAAAAGACAGCCGTCCCTCTTCCGATTTATTCTTGTTCCCCTTTGGCTTTTTAGGTCCATTACTTCAAGCGTCCATCCTTACCCCAATGACCACCCCACCTCAAGCATTTATACATACCTTTTTGTTTTTTTTTGTTTTTGCTAATCCATCTGCTCAAACATTAATTTGTATTATAACAATTCTTCTTTGTTTTCTTTCCTAATTTTATGCATGTTATTTTTAAATATACACCGGGCTGTCACGGGTTACCTGAAACCCGGACTTTTTTCTACCCGAAACCCAATAAAAAATTCCAATCCCGGCCTTTTTCTCAACCCGTGATATCCTTGATATAATATTTTTAAATTCATTATATCATTTAAATCTGTTCATTTTTTGAATAGATTTTGAATTTATGCCTTCACCTCCTTCACCTAGTTATTCTACTAGACGTTCATCAGTTTTCGCGGATTTATTAACTCTTTTTCGTCGAAAGAGTACTTTTGCGTTTCCCCGTCGTTCTATTTACCATGCAGCTCCACCTTCAGAACAACTCCGATATGCTAGCAAAGATTGTGAATTGGGTGGAAGTACGGTGTTAAAAGGGGCAGTTGCTGAGTTGAGTAAATTGAATATTTGTTGCTTTTAGCACCGTTTTAAATTCAATCCTAGGACTAGATAATTAACATAATCTGACAAAAAATTGTTAACTTTACTTTATTTAATTTAGTGAAGTTGACCGGGAACATGCCGATGATGAAGAAGCAGCTGATACAAGTGGTCGACCATTGACTAGACAACATTTACTTAACAAAATAAGAGAAAAGAAGGAAGTAATTAACAAACTTAGATGTCAACCATGGAATATGAATCGAAAGAGACGAACTCTCAGGTTGATTTTGAAAGAATATATGTAACAGGGTTGTGCCGTTTAGCCCTTTGTTGATTCGTCTTTTGCCTTTTGTCTTTCGCATTTTAAATGCTGTTTCGGCACACTCCTGCTATATAAAAATAAAAATTAATTTTTTAGACTTGCACAAAAATATCTTGAACAAAATGAATCAAAAGTATCCAAAACACATTTGTACAAAGAGGAATTAGTAAAACGCTGGAGACAATTTCTTCGATGGTTAGGCAACATTTGGATATATTTTGTTCCATGGGAATCTCGAATAAAACGAATAGAGAGCCAATTTGGTTCAGTTGTTTCAAGTTACTTTACTTTTCTTCGTTGGGTCATCTGCATCAATTTCACTATAACTGTAAGATTTTTTTCAATTTAAAGTTTACTAATTCTTTAAGGTTGTGATTATTGCTTTTATTGTTGTCCCTGAATGTATAGCTGATGCGATTGCTGACCCAGAACGTAAAAATCGAACGGCTGGTCGTAAACAGATCTCACCTGAAGAATTACGACATGCTAATGAATTGGCAGTTGTTTGGCATTTTGATGTAAATTTTTTTAATTAAAATTTTCTTATAAATTTTTTTCTATTTTATGGCTATTTGCGATATTCTCCTCTTTTTTATGGGTTTTATTCAAATGATCAATTCATATCTGAAAAAATTCGTTATCCGTTGCCGTTGGCTTATCTTTTGTCAATTCTTTTTGTCTTTTTCTTTAGTCTAATTATAATTCCAAGGAGGTAAGATTTTTTCGTTTTACAAGTTTTATTTTTTTAACAGGATAGCAAAAAATGCACGGATTAGTAAGTTGTCAGGCACTAAAGCAGAGCAATACGTATTCAATTGGAAACTTTTTACTGGTTGGGATTATTCTATTGGCTCTGCTGAAACTGCACAGGTTCTTTATTTTTTTGGTTTACAAAATTTTTTTATGAAAGAACACTGCAATGGCTGTAGTTATTAAACTTCGCGAGGCTATCAATGAGTGTCATAGTTATGCCGGACGTGCATGTATACCTTCACGTTGGGCAATCCGAATTGTTTGTTTTTAGATTGTTAAAACATTTTTTATTTGTTAAAATTTTAAGGTGACCAATACAGTGATTATAGGTTATTTTTGATTTTACTATTTTACCAAGTTATTTTGTAGGAATGATTGCCCTTTCAGTCTATTGCATTCAAGCAGCAATGCGTTCTTCAGAAACTGTAGAAAAGTCTTCTGGCAGTTTATTCACTAAAAATCAGGTTACAATTGGAAATAATTATTTTCTTATTAATCCTTAGGTTCCGTTACTAATGTCTACAATTACACACATGTAGGGGTTTTGTTTACTTTGTAATTTATTATTTTATAGCTTTCCTATGATATTTGATCTCATAGGAAGGGGTGAAAGACATCACGCAAGAACTGCATTGCGTCTACATTTAATCAGAATATCAGCTCTTTATATAATTAATTATGTAAGTTTTCTAATTTCTAATCATAATTTCTAATTATTTTTCATTTTTAGGTAACTTTAATGCTTTCTCTATTTGAAAAACTTGACAACATTAGAGACATATCTCGCGTAACTGCAGCCACTTTACTTGATGATTCTGCCGAAAATACAGCAGATTATGAGAGATGGAATTCTAATTCAAATCAACAAACACAACAATTTTATAGTAGAAACTTTTCTTCTCCAAATCAATTGAAACAATTTTTTATGGATGCTTTTAATTTTATGACAAGACAACACGGACGTAGACAAGCAGAAAATGGAGGTGAAGAAATAGGAAAACTTAATGTTGATGGTTTGTTTGACTTTAATAAATTTTTTAAGGTTTTTATTTGTTAGGAACTTCGGTTACTGTTCGGGCTCAATTTGGCCCTGTTGGTGTAAATAATCCAACGGTTTTATTACGAAATTATACGCAACATCCAGTCCTCGAATCAGATTCTTTTGAGACAAGAAAGATTGGGCCAACGCCTTTACCTCTGTTCACTCCACCGCCAATTCCACCAACAACTCGTACACCAACATTTCGAGAACAAGTTTTAATTTTTAACAATTTTTATCAACTTTTAAACTCAAAATTTTTTATTTTAGAATTTTGGCCCTAACTGGAAAAACGTAGATATAAAGTCTGATAAAGAACGAGGGAATGATCACCAATCATCAACAACTCCAATTTTGGCGTCAACAGTGCCTAACATTACTGTTAAAAGGCCGATTGATGGACTTCCATTTGCAAAAATTGAAAAAATGCCGACAATGCCAACAGGGAATGGTGGAGAGGTTCGGCATAATTCTTTCATTTTGTATTTTTCCATATTACAGGAAAGGTCTACCGTTAGAGGAAATGGTCGTTTAACCTCTGGTGATGGCACTTCTCGTACTCGCAATCAGCAGAGACTGTCAGGTTTTTTCATTTTGAATATTTATTTAATTTTGTTAATTTAAGAGCTCGTTGAGCCAGAAGCAACAACTTCTACAGCTATACAAACAACCATGGTTCAATCTACTGATTGGACGAACGATGATGATGATATTGAGAATAATGTTCATTATAACGAAGAAATATGTTGGGAAACTATGCTTGGGCAAGAAATTGTTAAATTAGTTACAATGGTTCGTTTTTTTAATTTAAAAACCAGAAATTAAATTTTTGGTGGATTTGTATCTTAAAGAATATTTTCTAGGATCTTTACATCACAATTATATCAATTTTCTTAATTGATTTTGTTCGTGGTATTTGGATTCGTTATTGTTCCTCTTGGTGGTGTTGGGATATTGAAACAACTTTTGTATCAGTTTTAAATTAAATATTAGAGTTATAATTTTAATTTTAGCCAGAATATGGAGAATTTAAAGTAGCCGAAAATGTCCTTCATATTTGTAATAATCAAGGAATGGTTTGGCTTGGTCTTTTCTTTACACCTTTATTGCCAGCTATTAATAGCTTTAAACTTATCTGTTTAATGTATATTCGAGGTAAAAGTTTTTAGAAAAAATTTAAACCTTTCCTCTTCAAAAGGTTGGGCATGTACAACTTGTAATGTTCCGGCAAGAGAAATTTTTCGTGCTTCTAGGTAGAATTTTATTTAAGTTTTAATTAAAAAATCATTTTCAGATCATCCAGTTTCTTCCTTTATATTCTTTTGAGTGCTCTTCTTCTTTGTATAGTTCCAGTTGGTTATGTAATAACCGTAAAGCGTCCGTCAATTCTTTGTGGTCCATTCGCGTTTGTTTTGATTTTAAATATTTCTAAAATTTATAATTTAAGTGGTCAATCACATTTTTATGCAATTGTTACAGATTTAATCAAAGGGCATGTGAACAGGAAGGTTCTACGTTGGGTACGTTATTTGACTTCGCCAGGTGTGATATTCCCGTTTATTTTGGTAATTTTTAATTTATTTATTTTACTCAATTTTTCATTCAGTTGCTTGTCTTGTTTATTTTCTTCCTTTTTTCATTGGTTCGTGGACTTCGAAAAGCGAACAGTGATTTACAAAATCAACTTATTCATGTTTTTATCAATTTAATAATTTTTTTAAAATTTAATCCTTAAGGAAAGAACTGAAGAAAAACGAAAAATTTTTGAATTGGCTGGCGGTGGTACGCGCAAGAAAGGGCCAAGTTCTTTTGGTGCATCAACCGTACGTGCAGCAGCAAATTTATTACAACCACACAAAAGTGGAAGTCAGCGAAAAATGATTGCCGGTCAGCATTTGCCGGAGGTAGAAAAGAAACGTCGTGAGCCTTGGCGTATTTTTAGGCGGGAATCAAATGTAACGATACTTTTTTATTTTATTAATCACGAAAATTATTTTAAGAGTAAAGACAATCATACTACTTTGTCTTTTTGTCCATCTGATGAACCACCTAGTTCGTTAAATTCTCCAATTTCAATTGAAGCGCCTATGTTGGAATCACTAGCAAAAAATCAGGCAACACTAACTCAAAATGATAAAAAGCAACAACATCCTTCAATAATTCCTTTAAATGTGACAAATGATAGAATTAGACCTTCAATTAGGTAATTTTTGATATTTAATTAAAAATTGTTTTAAATAAACAGTTCTGTTGAAAAATTTGATCGTGAAAGTATTCACTCGTCTTCTGATACACTAAAACATGCTTCTCCTAAAAAGTTGCAAAATCAACAACCAAGTACTGCAGCAATTACTCAAAATAGAAAAAATGGGGATGGCATGCCTAGGAGATTTAGTGGAGGAGATGGCTATGATATTTCAGAAGGCACTCCTGAGACTGTTCGGTAAATTTTTTGAATATTTTTATTCACTAATATTTAACTGAGTTTTTGAATTTTATTGCCGTTTTTAATGCTTAATTTAACACAAAAATTTTGTTTTAAAAACCAGAAAGCTGATTGCACAACATCAAAATTCTCAGCAACAACAACAAAAGCAACTAAATATTCCATTGTTCCCAATAGACTTGCCTTCTATAAGAGAAGATATTTCAAGCATTAAAGAGCCTTCCTGCAGTGTTGTGACTTGTAAAGATGAAATAGATAAAAAGAAGCCAGAAGTGTCGAAAGTTAAAGTAGAACTTCCAAAAGCTACAACAAAATCATCTTCGAATGTGAAACGTCATAAAATAATTCCTAACAAGCTTAATTTAACACAATGTTTGAATCGACAAACTTCAATAACCTCTCCTGTTGACGATGATGTTTTTTCCTCAAAAAATAACATTACTAAATCTAAGTTTGTTTCTTTAACTTTCCGTTGTTTGTCTTTTTTTGAAATTTAAAAACTAAATTTTTTTATTTTATAGTGAAGATTACTCGGTTGTTTTGAGTGATGAGGTTTCTGATACATATGACTTTATCAATGCTGGCATCCCCTCTGGAGAGGCGCCTCACCGAATTTCTTTATATTCACGCGAGCCACGGAGAATTGGTGCTGGTGATGGGACAACACATCGAATATCTGACAAGAAACAGCCTATAATTCATTCCTCGCAAACACAAAAAAATATTAAGGAAAAGCAAACACCAAAACAACAAAAACAAACGACAGCAAAGCAATTACACTCACCACCAGATTCTAAACCGAGAAGATTATCTATGAAGTCACACACATCCAGTGAATCCAATGTGTATGTTTTGATAATTTTTGTTTTTATACTTTTATTTTATTTAGTCTTCCTGCTGGGATGAGCAGTCAATTTGTTCCTTTGACATCCCCTGATGAGATAAAAAATCAACAACGGACACAATTATTACGTCCAACAAGCATTGGACCTATTTCAAAAATTAGGCATATCGAGAGAGGAGGAGAGATTAATAAAAACATTCCTACACCATCAACTTCATCACTTCAATCTACATCATTATCATTGAAACAACAACCAGTTGAAAGGCAGAATCGTGCCAAATCACCTTCAAAAATGATCAAATCAATTCATTCTGTTAGTTTTTCTTTAAATTTAGATTTTAAAGTTTTTAAATTTTCTTAGGGTGAACTGCCAAGTTATCGACAATCTAGACAAATGTCGCCACCACGTCGTTTCCGAATTACAGTTTCACCAACACGGCAAATGACAATTATAAATCAAGAAGTTGAAATGATAGAAGAATCACATCCAACTTTGGAGGAAACGCAAAAAAAGTCTCCAAGACGTACAGTGATCAAGCAACAAGTATTTACTGGATCTACTTCAACTTTTGGAGACCCCGTTTCTGGTTTGGGTGAAGAAAGAGGCTCCTCATTGACTGCAGCTTGTCGTCGTATGAATCAAAAACAACAATTGGGAGGCCAACAAAATTTAGCCCCTCGAATTGAATTTGGGGATGATGATTCACCGCGTGTTGAACAACTTCCCTCCTTTTTGAAACAAAATTTACCCAAATATTAAAATACTTTATATTTTTATATTTTCTATACTCAAAAATTTCTCAAATTTTATATTTTTTTTGGAGTTTTTTTAAAATAATTTATAAATAAATATTTTAAATAAAATTTTATTTATCTTATTGTTAGCTATCCGTAACAAAGTTATTTTTAATTTAGCAAAAATAAAATCTTATTTTATTAATAAATTATATTTTCAATTATAAAATGGTGGAAGAACAACAGCAACAACCTAAACAAAAGACAGAAAAAGAAATTGCACGTGAAAAAGCAAAAGCAGAAAAATTGGCAAAATTTGCTGCAAAACAAAAGAAAATTGAAGAAGAAGCTAATAAAACGTCACAAAATGTAAAAAAATCTGGAAAAAAGGCCGCAACTGTTGATGCTACCGAATTTCAATGGTCAGTAGATCCTGATGGAAGAAAAGGTTTGTTTTCTAAATTTGTTTTTGATTTTTTAATATTTTAAAATAGATGTTTTGAAAATATTGCCGTCAACATATTCGCCAGTCTACGTTGAAGCAGCTTGGTATGAATGGTGGGAACGTGAAGGATTTTTTAGGCCTGAATATGGAGGAAGGGATTTAACGTATGTTTTCATTTCCAATTTTTGTATTTAAATATTTTTAATATTTTCGGTGTGCCGAATCCAAAAGGTCAATTTACTATTGTTATTCCACCACCTAACGTGACTGGTGTGCTACATTTGGGACATTCTTTGTCTACTACTGTTGAGGATTCTATTGCTAGATGGTTAGTTTTTTTTATTGAGTATTCTAGTTCTCTAGCTTACTTATGGTGGTAGGGGTGGGTTGAAGGTAGTTCCGATTTTTTCAAAATTTTGAAGGTTTCTAACCTTGATTTCCTCTTTACACCTTTCTAATCATTCCATTTAAGGCATCGTATGTGTGGTAAGACAGTCCTTTTTGTACCCGGTTGTGATCATGCTGGAATTGCTACCCAAGTGGTTGTTGAAAAAAAGCTTGAGCGTGAATGTGGGCTAAACCGTCACCAAATTGGTCGAGAAAAATTTATTAATGAAGTATGGAAATGGAAGAATAAGTAGGATGATTATATTTTAATTTTTAATAATCATCTTTTATTTCAGCAAAGGGCATATTATCTACGACCAAATTCGTAAATTGGGTGCTGGAGTGGATTGGGATCGCGCTGTTTTTATGATGGATCAGGTTTGCAAAACTGACTTCTGTCATTATTTTTTATTTTTTTAAAGAAAATTGTTCGTGCCGTAACCGAAGCTTTTGTACAAATGCACGAAAAAGGTGTCATTTATCGCAGCAAAAGACTGGTCAATTGGTCATGCACTTTACGTTCTGCTATTTCTGATATTGAGGTTTTTGTTTGTCTTTGAAAATTTTATTGCATAATTTTTTATTTAGGTAGATAAGAAAGAAATTGAAGGACGTACTTTCGTTTCTGTCCCTTCTTACAAAGAAAAAGTTGAATTGGGTGTTCTTGCTGAATTTGCATATCCAGTAGAAGGCTCTTCGGGTGAAGAACTTGTTGTTGCTACTACTCGTATTGAAACGATGCTTGGAGATGTTGCAGTGGCTGTACATCCAGATGATCCTCGTTATAAGCATCTTATTGGAAAGGTATTTCGATTTTCGTGTCTTTTGCTATCAACTTAACCTTTAGAACTGTGTCCATCCTTTCGTCCAACGGTCTATGCCAATTATTGCTGATACATTTGTGGATCCAAATTTTGGTACTGGAGCTGTAAAAATTACTCCTGCTCACGATCATAATGACTATGAAGTTGGTGTTCGACATTCTCTTCCATTTATCAATATATTGAGTGATGATGGAATTCTTTTACCGAATTGTGGTGAAAAATTTGCAGGGATGAAACGGTTTGATGCTCGAAAGAAGATTGTGGAGGAATTGAAAGCTCTTGGTCTTTATAAAGGAGATAAAGGTCACCAAATGATTGTACCCTTTTGCAGGTTTTTAGAAAGCTTTTAAAGGCATTATTTTTATTTTAGTCGATCAAATGATGTTATTGAACCCATTGTTAAATCTCAATGGTATATACGTTGCAAAGATATGGCTGAACGTGCTTTGAATGCAGTGAGTAGTGGCAGTTTAAAGATTGTACCTGAATCACATGTGAAAACTTGGAATAATTGGCTTGGGGAGATTAAGTTTGATTTTTATTTTTTGAGATATTTTAATATCTTTTTACAGGGATTGGTGTATATCACGTCAAATTTGGTGGGGCCATCAAATACCAGCTTACTTTGTGACTATAAATGAACCCGGTAGAATTGAAGCGGATCCTTCCGATGATACATATTGGGTATCTGCGAGGAACGAACATGAAGCAAAATCCAAGGCTGCGAGCAAGTTTGGTGTTTCTGCTGATAAAATTACTTTGAAAAGAGGTTTATTTTATTTTTAGTAATTTTAAATATTTTCTGCCTTATTAGATGAAGATGTGCTTGATACTTGGTTCTCTGCTGGATTGTGGCCTTTTTCTGTTATGGGTTGGCCTGAAAAGACTGCAGATATGCAAAATTTCTTTCCTGGTCATTTGATGGAGACTGGTCACGATATATTATTTTTCTGGGTTGCTAGAATGGTTTTTATGTCTCAAGAGTTGTGTAATAGTCAACTTCCTTTTAAAGAGGTTTTTCAAAACTTTTTATTTGAATATTATTCTTTCTAGGTATTTTTGCATGCAATGGTACGAGATGCTCATGGCCGAAAAATGAGCAAATCTTTAGGAAATGTAATTGACCCTTTGGATGTAATATATGGAATATCACTTGAAGAATTGCATAAACGATTGGAGGATGGAAATTTGGATTCAAAGTAAATTTTGCTTGAGAAAAATTTCAAATTGTAAATTGTTTTTAGAGAATTGTCTACGGCTAAAGCTGGCCAGCGTCGTGATTATCCTCAAGGTATTCCAGAATGTGGAACAGATGCACTTCGATTTGCATTAATGGCATATACAACACAAGGTTTTTTAGGTTTTGAATTTGTCAAAAATCAGAAATTTAAGATCGTGCTATTAATCTGGATGTTCTTCGCGTACGTGGTTATCGATTTTTTTGTAATAAAATATGGCAAGGTGTTCGCTTTGTTTTTTCACAATTAGGCAATAATTTGAATGAATATAAACCTGAAGCAGCTTTTAAGGTTTTAAACTTTTTTGACCAGTTATCGTTGTAAATTTCATCTAATTTAGCGTTATCCTGACATTGAAACGATGACAGATAGATGGATACTCTCTCGTCTTGGAAAATGTGTTGCTGACTGCAATTCAGGCTTTAGCAAATATAATTTTCGACAATTAACAACAGCACTTTATCAATTTTGGTATTATGAGTTTTGTGATGTTTATTTGGAATCATCAAAGCCTATATTTTTTGCAGGTTTATTTTTTTTAAATTTTTTTAAAATTAAATCTTTTTAGTAGGAAATCAAGCCGTAGAAAATGGTTGTTCTAACAAACAAATAGAAATTGTACGTCATATTTTGTATCATTGTGTTGATACTTTTCTTCGATTAGCTTCACCAATAATGCCATTTATTACTGAAGAACTTTGGCAACGATTACCAAAAAGGCAAAATGAAATGGCAAAAAGTATTTGTGTTGCAGCATATCCAGAACCAGAGCAGGTTTTTTAGTAAATAAAGGGAATTTTCTCAAATATTATAATTTTTCTAGTATTCTTTTCATGATGAGGAAGCTGAATCTAACGCCGAATTAATAAGAAAAATCGCACTGGCTAAAGCGAAGGGTTCATCGACGACAAAAGATTCATCAGAACAATGTTCAGAAATGATGAATGATGTTGAAAAAAATAATTGTACAACATAATGAGCTTTTATATTTGTTGAAAAAAAGGTTTACCCATTGTTAAATAGAAAAAGTTTTTTTTGTTATTTATCAAGTTATATAAGTATTATGCATATTGACAATTCTATTGTTAAATAAATGTTTTTTTGAAGAAAAAAATATTTGAAATTTTTTAAAGTTTTTTATTAGAATTTGTTGTAAAGAACAATACATACATATTTTTTTGGATTTTTAAAATTAACTCATGTTTATTTGAAAGGCCTATTTTCCTTTTAAAAATGAATGACATTAAATTTAACGACGTATCCATGTCTTACAAATCTCTTTTGGATGATCTTTGGCGCAAAGGCTTTACATTGGTCTCAGCAGAGCATTACAAATGTTTGGTTGAGGGAAAAGAATTGACAAAAACAGAGTTGGATGATTTCTATTCTCGAATGAATTTGCTGAAAGAAATGTTGAATGATGTAAAGGTTTGAGAATTTGAAGTATTTTTCTAGTAAATTAGCCACTATTTTTAGTTGAGAGTTCATTCGTTAGTCATTACTGGATCAGATGCACTTGAAAGATGGCGTTCATTTACTAGTTTTACACATCCAATGTATTTTTTATCTAAAAATGGTGTAATTTGTCTTCTATTTTAGGCGTCATTTGCCTCGTCAGTTACTTCTAAAATGTGAGAAGGGCAAGGAGCCGTTGCTTTGTACACAGGCTTATTGGTTTATTTTGAAATTGTTTTTAATAAAAATTTTATTAGCAAATTTTTGCAAATTGCTGTTTCAAATCCAGAATTGCTTCAGCCTGGATCATCCTTGGAAAATGATCAGCCAAACGGAATAAAAACATTGAGGTTATTTTCAAACTAGAACAGGGATGGGCCGGGTTACACGAAACCCGATTTTTTCTCAGTCAACCCTGCCCATCCCTGATCTGGAACAACGAAGTTTCAAATGGAACAACGAAATCTCTCATTTTAGATCTTTTCACCTCTGCGAGGCTCCTGGCGCATTTGTACTTGCATTGAAAGTACTTACAAAATTTGTTTTCCAACAAAAAATTTTTTCCTAAAATATATAGCATTGCCTTGCAAATTTGGACATAAAATTGGATTGGAAAATGAACAGGTTTTTTTCATTTAATAAATTTCAAAATAAATTTTTTTTAAGTTTATCCTCTCAACAAAATGACTCATTTAAACATAGTGCATCTCCTATTGAATTTGATGACAATTTTAATAATAATAGTGCTCGAATGGTTTTTGGACCTGATGGATCAGGAGACATTTTAAATTTTACAAATGAATTTCTACAAAAATTTGTTGCTGATTTTGGAAAGTTTCATATAATCACTGCTGATGCTGGAATTGACTGCACGGTTTAATTTTTTTATTAATCTTCTAATTTTAAGTCCACCTACAACTTTTGAAAGAGAATATCTAGAGATTAAGAAGGATATGTAAAGGATCTCTAATCCCATTCAATCACACCAAATACATCGATATCCCTTTAAACCTTCCAAACCCCTCAACTCTTTCAAAAGTTGTGGGTCTTCCGGGTTGATCTCCTATAGTAATTTTATCTCTTTCAAGTTTAGGACGAACCAATTGATCAAGAACGCAAGATGCTTCCACTCATAGAAAAACAATTAGAAATTGCTTTCGAATGCCTTTGCACTGGTGGAAATTTTCTTATGAAAATATTTACATTTTTTGAAACTGAAACAATTCAATTATTGTCTAAATTGTGTGGAGCATTTGAACGAGTGGAGTGTTTAAAACCGCCAAGCAGTAAACCAGGAAATTCTGAGGTTTTTTATGACATTAAAAACTAAAATTAATTTTGAAATTGACAGATTTATCTCCTTTGTATTAACTTTTTTGGCCAATCAAAACAAAGAAATGTGGCCTTTTCTCGATTCTTTACCCAACAAATTGAAGAATGCGCACGGTTTTTTATCAATCATCAAATTCGATTTATCCAATTTAATTTACATACATTTCGCCGACTTTCTCAATCCGAACGGGTAAAATAGATTAAACATCAACTAGCAAAAACTATACTGTTTTTAGGCTAATTTGGAATTTCAAAAGTGTATAGTACAAGAAGTTATGGCAGACTTTTTGTGGCATAAAATATTTGTAATTGACTGACAAAAAAGTACTTTTTCCTTAATTTATGTAATCTTCACATTAGTAAGTTTTTAATTATAATTTATATACTAACCAGGGATTTGACGGGTTACCTGGTACCAGAAACTTGGACCCTTTTCGACCCCAACCTAATTTTCTCAACCCGTGACATCCCTGGTATTAACACCTTGTATTTTTAATTTTATTTTAAACTAATCGAGTTAAATAATAACAGTCGTTTAAAATCAAAATAAATTAAAAATAAGGGGGTAAATTAACAAAAATAAACATGTTTTCCTAACAAAAAGCTCTAATTGTTTGTATAAGATCCTCTATTCGTTCACAGAACGTTAGCTTTGTATGAAACATAAATGTTCCAAAAGATGGCAAAAAATTGTAAAAATATTACACGAAAGTGTAACGGAATCATAGTCATATTAACTGCTTGTAGAAAAGGCCAAAACTTAAAATTTTGAGGGAAGGTTTAGGATTTTTAATGAAATTAAAATTACCTTATAATTATTTGTCATTACATCCAAATAAATTCGTTTTGTTCTTTGTAAAGCATTATTTGTTGAATGAGAATCCATAAAATTGACAGAGAATAGAAAAGCTCCAGTTAGAAGAGGAGCTTAAAAAATGATTTTGATTGTTAGGGGTTTCCTTCTTCAACACTTACCCAAACAACTTTGATCAACAATAACTCTCTTCATTGCGGTTTGAAGTCTCCCTTTACCAGTAATACGACGATCGAGGAATCGAAACCAGTGGAATTGTATAGGAACCTTGAAATATTAAATTATTATTGTTTGATGAAATCGCATGCTTGATATAAAGAAGTTACCCAAAACCCAGACCGAGAAATTTGCCAAACCCCCAACGTTTTTCTCCCTTAATCTTCTTAACTGACCCGCAACCCGACCCAAAAAAAAATTTTGAAAATCATCCCCACTTTTTTCTCAACCCGTAACATCTCTGACAAAAATACAAACCACGATAATCATTGTTGTCAATGCAAATTGTGATACTCGCCGCCTGTCTACATGTTCACGTTTCTCAACATATTTTTGACATATTACATTCCCTACAGCGGCTAGAGTACCTTAATAATGGGAAGCTTTCATTATTTAACATCAAAAAATAAAACCTGCCGAAACAACTTGAACACAAAAAGCTTTACTTGGTAAATATTGTCGGATTCTAGCTGGGTTAATCATAAATCTAAAAATAAATTAAAAAAATTTTTTTAGACTAAAAAATGAAATTTAAAATAGAGAAAACAATAAACAACCATATGATTTTAAGGCAATGAAGAAATATTGTTTACCAACAATGGGGTGATGGACTTTGGACTTCGAGACAAAAAGTCGTTCGTTTTAATTTTTAAATTTGTTCTTATTTGGCGAAGTGAATAAAATGGTAAGAAAATGACAAAATATCCATTGATTTTTCAGTGGGGAACGTTTGAGTCTGATAATTTCAATCTTGCTTTAATTTTTGATCTCTAGGACTCAAACATCTTTCTGTCTGGGATATTTTGTCTGTTCATTGATTGTTGGAAACCGTGTCCATGGCTGCAATCGTGGTTTAGTCATTTCTGTAAGAATGCATGAATGATAAAATGGTTTTGTTTGGTGTTTGGCGTGCGTTACCTGCGTAAGAAACGTGTATGTGTATAATCAACCGCACTTGAGAATACAAACAATCATTTTGCGTTTTTTGGCACGTATGTATACCTTTGGTTGATTCAATATAATAATTATGGAGGAAATGCTTTGCTATGCTTTTCACTGGTTGAAAATTAACTTTTTCGGAGCGAGATTTTTTTTAAAAAGGGATAGAAAACTTGTGGCCTTTAAATCGATTTTAAAGAATTTCACTGGGTTTTAGGGTTTTTTTAGTTAAAATCTGAATAATTTTCTTACTTTGTTTTAGTTCCACTAAATTAAGTCAGTAAGCTGCCAAAGCGGATCGACTCGGTCCGAAATATTAAGTCAGACATAGGGTATTTGGCTCAAAAAGACTCGTAACGGCCCGGTCTGATAAAAACAAACTCGGAAAAATGCCTCAAACTACGGCCCAACTCGAAAACGGCATCCCTAGTCATTAGCAAACAAAAAAATTTTTCTGAAATTTATCGCGCTATTATAAATTTTCAGCTTATGGTTAATGTATATATGAGAATATGTATGTGTCATCCTTTTCCCCCACCAAAAAAATGTGCTTCCACAAAAGTGGTGGCAAAATGGTGGCATTTAATATGTATTGAAAATGATTTTGTATGGCCACTATATATTTTTTAATTTATTATTTTTCAATGGTTAATATAGGATGATCTGATATATAACTTTGGTGGTTATGGGAAATGTTTTTATGGGTGAAATTTTATGGGTGGAATTGTCTTCAATGTTTTTATGGGTTAAATGTATGATGACCTTTTATGGGTTTTAACAAGATAGTGGATCAATCATATATGGGTCAAAATCATGGTGTAGCGCGTTGTTTTGTTTTGAGAAGCAAAAAATGTGTTCCTATCTCAACTCTCGTTGCTATATTTTTCAGCAATTTTCTTAAAATTTATTTGAAATTTTAGAATAATAAACATTTGTTCAAATTGAAAAGAAAATGGTTAGAGATTCACGTTCTCGCAGTTCATCTATCAATCGCTCACGAAGTCCACGACGACGTGACGCTAAAAAGAGCCGCCGACGCTCACGTTCTGGTTCGCGCTCAACATTTTCACGTACTCCTTCTCCTGGAGCTAAACGTCTTCATATTGGTTTGTTTTGAGTATTTTAAGTTAACGATTTTTATTATTTAGGTAATTTGGACGACACCATCCGTCGTTGTGATATTGAGGATGTTTTTGGCAAATATGGTCGTATTGTGGATTGCTGGATGGCGAGGTTTTATTTTTTAATTTCTAATCTTTATAATTCATTCCTTAGCTATCCACCATTTTATGGATTTGTCGTTTTTGATCGAAATGAGGATGCACAGAGAGCTTTGGTATTGTTTCTTAACACAACAAACTTAAAAACAATTTTCTTTTTTAAGAGAGACATGTCGACAGGTTATATTAAGGATTGCAGAGTTCGTACAACCGTGGCGCTACCACGTTATGGAGGATCCGCTGGAAGAGTCAAGTTGGATTTTTTTCCCGCAAACTTTAGTATCTTTCTAATTTTAGTAACCGTGGAGGTCGTTTGCCTCCACCGCCTGGTCGAGGTCGTCGCAACTTTGATGATGATTATGGACGTGGTGGTCGTCGCCGACGTTCGCGCTCTCGTTCTGTTCGTCGACATCGCCGCCGTTCGCCTTCCATCAGCCGTTCGCGCTCACCAGTCTCACCTAAACGGTCCAAACATCGACGCTCTGTTTCTAACGATCGAGGTGACTTCGGCAAAAATAATGGAAATGAAAATATTGTTGAAGGTGTTAAGAAAGTTAAGCGTGAAAAGCGTTCAATGAGCCGCTCGTCCAACAACAGCAGCAACAATGGTCGTCAACGCTTGCGTCGTTCGGCTTCACATTCATCAAAATCTGATTGATGAGAGGAGGGGACTCTTTGAAAGATGAAGAGAAGATGACTTTGAGTACTTATATTTGGTGATTTTATGAACAAATGAGAATTTTGCGAACATTTTTTTCAAAGTAATTTTTTAAGAATTGAGAATTGTTTTTGGGCACCTTACCTTTTGTTGTAATCTTATAGTTTTCGGGTCACTAGGAAAAATAAGTAGGAAGGGCTCTTTCGATTTTTTCGAGGTCTGCCAGTACGCAATCATTTGTGCTGTGTGAATACGTTTCGGTCCGGGGTTAGAAATGAACAAATTTTAAGCTCAGATTCGGTCTCGGCTCACTCGATTGCCTACTGACAGACTTCACAAATATTGAAAGAACACTACCTGTTTATATTCTTTCTTAGGGACCAGTAAACTAGGATTACCTTACAATTTTTTAGTTTTTTAGACAATTATCCTGAATCATTTTTAAAAAAGTTTTCAGAATCCTCTATGGTGCCCAACTTTTATCTTATCGATTTTTTCATGTTATCCAATTTTCCTCTGTTATCTATTTTCGTCAGTATCATCATTTTTTAAAGGGATGTGTTAATCTAAAAATATTTTGACTGGACATTAAAATTTGAATTTATTTTCTTTAAAGGACTATTACTTTCTTTAAAAGTTTTTCTTTAAAAATGGATAATCTCGTATTTTTTAAAAATATTTTCTAGATAAATTGGGACTCATTTTTCAATCAAAAATGATTGGCGCTGAACTTAGCGATGCAGAAAAAACTAAAATTGCTTCAGACATTGTGCTTCAATCGCCCCCTGGTGAATTCAACGAGGTTTTCAATGATGTCCGTACACTTCTAAATGATGATACACTTTTGGACAAGGGCTGTTTGGAAGCTGTAAAGCAATATAATAAATCTCAGTTTGTGACTGTCAAGTTGGATGGAGTTGAACAATCGGTTAGTTCTTTTTGTATGTACTGTGTCTTTCTAGCGATCGATAATCCTACGGGGTGCGTGGTTTCCTTGGTACTACCAATAAGTCCACAATTATTATATGCTTGGTAGCACTTCCACGTGTATCATTTTTCTATAGTGGTTCGAATCCTACGGTTTATTTTCTTTTTAGGCTTCGAGGTCATGTTTTGGGCATAACTTTTTCGATTCTTAACCGATTAAGATAATTATTATATCAATCGAAAGCTCTTGATTTGGAGACTATTCTATCTAACAGGATTGTTTAGATCAGATTATCCTTTGAAAAGATAAAGCCTTATAAAGATAAAAAAATCACGATTGATTACACTTTTCAAGCTGTATCTTCTTCTAGGATGATCCTATCAAATCAATGTTACTGAATAAAACAATCCTCACATTCAGAGCTTTCGGTTAATATGTTAATTAATGAAATCGGGTAAGGATTATCAAGGTTATGGCCCAAAATATGGCCTGGAGACTGAAACGGCTATTCTGGGCTATTCCTGATCCTATTGATCATTCACATTTAATTTAAAATTTCAGACATTGGTAACAGAACATAATGAATTATCTGATGGTCGTTTCGTGGATCCAAAGTCTCAAAAAACCTTCAAATATGACCATTTACGAAAAGAAGCTGTTGAAGTACATCCTGTAGGGCCAAAAGAACTTGACGATAAACATGAGCAATGGAGAAAGATTTTACAAAAGGTTTTTTTACGATATGTTTATCCCACAAATATTTCTTAGGAAGTGGATGAATATGTCCATGAACATTTTTATAAGACTGGTGTTGCTGCTGTATTTACACCTTTACATAAAGAGAAGACAATAATTTTGTGTATTGAATCTCATCAATTTCAACCAAAGAATTTTTGGTTTTTTAAAGAATTTATTTTTTTTTAAATTGAAGTTTTTAGGAATGGAAGATGGAGATCTGAGTGGCATTTACCTCTTTTTGATGGAAAAGCAACAACTCATAAATGTACGGGGAAACTTCGACTTCAAGTTCATTATTATGAGGATGGAAATGTTCAGCTTATTTCTGAAAAGGATCTTAGTGTTGATGTTAAATTGAGTGTTAGTTTATTTTTTTATAAGTTACTTTCTCTTAAGGGATGTCACGGGTACCCGGAACATCTATCAGTAATACCACGATAGAGAAATCAAAACCAGTGGAATTGTATAAGAACCTTGACACGTCACCCGACTTTCCTGGCTTCCTCTCCCTTTGACTGATCCGATCTGAAGAGAATTTTGAAGACCCAATAAACATATTTTTAAACCGTGACCTTCCTGCTTCAGAGAGCATGTATCTGGGAAGTTATAATGTTGTAAACATTTAGCCCCCCTCCTCTTTCCTCAAAAATGACTTTCAAATAATTTTTTGTTAAATTTTCAGGCAGATAAAGAATCAAGTGCAAAAGATATAATTCAAGCTATTTGTGAGGCAGAATCTGCATATCAAATTGCCATTCAGGAAAGCCAATCATCAATGGAAAGTACTTTCAAGACTTTACGTCGTCAACTTCCAGTAACTCGTTCAAAATTGGACTGGCTTAAATGCCATAGTTATCGCATAATGCAAGATGTAAAGCCGCAATAAAGAGATGTTGATTATTTTTTTAAATTTTTGCTTTTAAATTATGCTTATTCACTCTTAATTTGATGTTAATTTGCTTATTTAAAGACTTGCTAAATTTATTGAACTGTAAAATAAAGATTTGAAAGTTGAATTGAGAGAAATTTTGATATATTAAGAGCGATTTTATCGATTTTTGGAATGTAATTTTGAAAGGTATTGATTTTATTGATTGATATCGATTAGTATCGATTTTTTGAAAAATAAAAATTTTTTAAAAATTAATTATCGATTAGTATTGATTTTATCGATTGATATCGATTAGTATCGATTTTTTGAAAATTGAAAATTTTTAAAAAATTAATTATCGATTAGTATTGATTTTATCGATTGATATCGATTAGTATCGATTTTTTGAAAATTGAAAATTTTTAAAAAATTAATTATCGATTAGTATTGATTTTATCGATTGATATCGATTAGTATCGATTTTTTGAAAATTGAAAATTTTTAAAAAATTAATTATCGATTAGTATTGATTTTATCGATTGATATCGATTAGTATCGATTTTTTGAAAATTGAAAATTTTTAAAAAATTAATTATCGATTAGTATTGATTTTATCGATTGATATCGATTAGTATCGATTTTTTGAAAAATAAAAATTTTTTAAAAATTAATTATCGATTAGTATTGATTTTATCGATTGATATCGATTAGTATCGATTTTTTGAAAATTGAAAATTTTTAAAAAATTAATTATCGATTAGTATTGATTTTATCGATTGATATCGATTAGTATCGATTTTTTGAAAATAAAAATTTTTTAAAAATTAATTATCGATTAGTATTGATTTTATCGATTGATATCGATTAGTATCGATTTTTTGAAAATTGAAAATTTTTAAAAAATTAATTATCGATTAGTATTGATTTTATCGATTGATATCGATTAGTATCGATTTTTTGAAAAATAAAAATTTTTTAAAAATTAATTATCGATTAGTATTGATTTTATCGATTGATATCGATTAGTATCGATTTTTTGAAAAATAAAAATTTTTTAAAAATTAATTATCGATTAGTATTGATTTTATCGATTGATATCGATTAGTATCGATTTTTTGAAAAATAAAAATTTTTTAAAAATTAATTATCGATTAGTATTGATTTTATCGATTGATATCGATTAGTATCGATTTTTTGAAAAATAAAAATTTTTTAAAAATTAATTATCGATTAGTATTGATTTTATCGATTGATATCGATTAGTATCGATTTTTTGAAAATTGAAAATTTTTAAAAAATTAATTATCGATTAGTATTGATTTTATCGATTGATATCGATTAGTATCGATTTTTTGAAAATTGAAAATTTTTAAAAAATTAATTATCGATTAGTATTGATTTTATCGATTGATATCGATTAGTATCGATTTTTTGAAAATTGAAAATTTTTTAAAAATTAATTATCGATTAGTATTGATTTTATCGATTGATATCGATTAGTATCGATTTTTTGAAAATTGAAAATTTTTAAAAAATTAATTATCGATTAGTATTGATTTTATCGATTGATATCGATTAGTATCGATTTTTTGAAAATAAAAATTTTTTAAAAATTAATTATCGATTAGTATTGATTTTATCGATTGATATCGATTAGTATCGATTTTTTGAAAATAAAAATTTAATTATCGATTAGTATTGATTTTATCGATTGATATCGATTAGTATCGATTTTTTGAAAATAAAAATTTTTTAAAAATTAATTATCGATTAGTATTGATTTTATCGATTGATATCGATTAGTATCGATTTTTTGAAAATAAAAAATTTTTTAAAAATAAATTATCGATTAGTATTGATTTTATCGATTGATATCGATTAGTATCGATTTTTCAAATTGCCAGGTCGCTCTCAAGAAATCGCTCTCAACCGGCTTTATTAAAAAATTTTCACATCTCGCTCTCAACAGGCGGTACTGAACTGACCACATTTTGCTGAACTTATTTGCTTCTCTAACTACACTATTTCTTTTTTTGGTTTTCTCTAACTTTGAGGATAAAATGTCATTTATTTTAATTTCATTATGCCAAATTTCACGCGTATTTTTAAATCTAATTTACTTTTTATCTCTAAACCACACTATTTCCATCCCGTTGTTTCTCTAACTATAAGGCCCTACCTTTAATAATAGAATTGTATGTCAGATTTGAGTTTTGTAAAAAATAAATATTTAAAAACATTTTAATCGAAAAATTAAAAAAGAAAAATGTAACAAAATATTAAAACCTTGTTTTTAACGGTATAATCAAGAGGTATTTTTAAAAATCTGTCTCCAAAAGGCATTTATTTGACGTATCTGGACATTGTTCTTTTAATTCTTCAGTTATTCTTTCCTGATCAGCTTGTTTAGTGACTGGTTGTGTAAATCGCCGTTCATCTGTCCGATTTGTTCGAGTAGTTACTGCTACATGTTTCTGATTTTGTTGTTGTTGTTGTCCTTCAAGAGATTGGCTTTTTGATCTTTTTCTCATCATGTATTCAAGAATATTTGAATCTGGATTTGTTGGAGAAATGGAATGATCTTGGGATGAATAAGAATCTTGTGATGGAAGTCTGCGACGATGGACCTTGAGAAATATTTGTCAAAAACAAAACCCTCGACCCGGTGCGGTATTGTGAGCGTGTACATAACACTGGGTGAGTAGAGATTCCATCCCTTTCAATCACACCAAATCCATCCATATCACCTTAATCCCTCCAAATCCCTCGCTATTTCCTCTCAAAAGTTGTAGGACTTCAGGGGGGACTCCAGTACCCCTATACACCCGCCCCGAACGTTTGGAGTACAACCCAAGTTAATTTAATCTTTAAAAATTCCATACCAATTCAATTTGTTTATTTACATGTCTTCCTTTATGTTCACATTTTGGTAATCTCTCTTTAGTTGTTCCATCTGGTTGCTGTTGACTTGTTTCACCTTGACAACAACTTCCTCCACTTTCAACTTCTCTTACAGTTAAAGTATACGGAACATTTCCAGCATCATTATCATCTCCTTCTTCCTCACCATTAAATAAATGTACAGTTCGTAAATCTGGTCTTTCTTCGCTTTCAATAGAAATTGCTGTCGGTAAACGTCTTCTATTTGTATTTGAAGTTGCTGGTTGAGCAGTGCCACTATTGTAGTTTAATGTCTCATTTAATGAAAGAACATCTTTTAAAATACTATCAAGTGGATCCAATAATTTGTTAATATTTTCTGTTGTTGCTTCGGGTTCTTTCTGAATAAAATAGAAATGTTAAGGGCTGAGAAAAAATCTGATTGAGTTTCAGGTCGATGGGTTTCAGGTGAGTTAGTTGAAGGAATTAGGAAGAGAAAAAGTTTTCGAAAACTCATCGTATTGGGTTTTGGGCCGAAAAGAAGACCAGGGTTAACCCATGACATCCCCGGTATAGTAAGAATAAAAAATATTCAACAGTGATATGTAAAATATTTTTAAGAAATCATAAAAACCTTGTTAATTAAACCAGTCGGTTTTGGACCAATTACAGGCCGAGTTCCTTCCATTTTTGATTTTGCAGATGAGGTTGTTGGTTGTTGTTTAATATCAATTCCCTCTATTGTTATAACCAAATCTTCTTTACAAATAACACGACCAGGAAGAGGGCCAGCACGATTTGAAGTGTCAATTGAAGCAACATCTTCATCATTATTTTCAGTTTTGTCATTATTGGCAGCATTGGTGGCATCACTATCCGATTTTGTAATTGGCACTTGAAGGGAAAATTTTCAAAAAAATCTAAAAAGTTAAAGAAAACCTTTATCTCCTATAGTTGGTGTTCTAATCACTAAAGGTTTTCTATTTCCTAAATGTCCAAAATTAGAAGTTGATGAAGTACTTCCACGTGTAGAAGAAATTAAAACTGGGCGGATAATTGAAGTAACGCCACCACCACCACAAGACGAATAAATGTTATTTGGAGGAGGATAATCAATAGCAACAGGAATTTCATTTCTGGAAAAAACCACAAATTTAATATTAGATTAAAAAAAAAGCAACCTTAGTCGATTTTTAAAATCAGAAGAACCACAACTTGCTGAAGGTGCATAACGTATCCTTCGTTGTCCATCAGAACTACGAGTTGAAGCTGGGGCAGATGAAGAGGCTATGGAATAATCAGAACAACACGCTGAGGATGAAGTAAATTCACTGCCAGGTTGTTGGCCTAGAAATTTAAAAGTAAAATCAAAAAATAAACAAAAAAGGAAACCGAAAGTTTTTGTTGCTGGCGTTCCTCCTTCATGGGCTAGCGGTGGAATGGAAGATTTTATTTTATTTCCTTCAATAATAGGACTAGGCGAATGAACAACTGCTGAAGCTTTGGTATTTTGAAGCTGTTGACGACGCATTGCTGTTGTTGTAGTTGTTGCTGAGGTAGAAGCAATTGAAAAATTATCAGAACATTGTAACGGCTCTAAAAATAATTTTTAAAAAAATATTTGAAATTTAATCGAAAAAAACCTGAAGTACTTTCAGGCAAAGTAACTTTTTTAACAATAACATTTCCAACTCTTTTAGTTGTAAAAGTTGTTTGATAAACTCTTGGATCAACATAATTGCTGCCAGCAGCGACAGTTGACGATGAGGAAGAATAAATATCAGAACGAGAAGAATTTTGTTGATCACTGTCATTTACTCCATTATTAAGCCGTTTACTTAGTCTGTATGAACCTAAAAATTTAGAGAAAATTAAAATTTTACACAAGTTTAACTAAAAAAACCTTCAGAATTATTGTCTGTATCATTCAAATGTTGAGGAAATTTATTAAAATTCTCTCCACTTAAGGATTTAATTGGTGCATAAAATTCATATCCATCAGTTTGTAAAGATGATGGAGCCAAAACATTTGGTAAAGAAACGGACATCTAAAAAAGTTGTGGATAAAAATATTTTAACTAAAAAAATTTCCCACAGGATCAATTTGTTGACGAAAAGAATTATCCAAAGGAATAGGCACTTCTTTTTTAAGATGACCATTTTCTTTTATTTTATCAGACAAAATATCGCCATAACAAGAATGTTGCATTGGCAACTGATAATGACTATTATTGTTATTGTTTGCTTCTCTTTTTTGATGGCGATGATGGTGATGATTATGTTTTTTATGATGATGATGATGGTTATGTTGTTGGCTATCACAAGCTAGACTACTCTTAAAAATAAAAAAAATTATTAAAAGTTTAAACATAAAATTCAAAGTCTACAAACTTATTTAAGAACAAACCTTCTCAATAAAATATAAAACAAGTTTATTTTTAAATCAAGTATGAACTAAGCTTTCAAGTTAAATTAATTTGACTTAATTCAAGTTTAAACTTGAGATTCTAAGTTTACAAACTTATTCAAAACTTGACAAGTTTATATAAGTATGAACTTAAACTTTCAAGCTTACAAACTTATTCAAAACTTAAACAAGTTTATTTAAGTGTGAACTTAAACTTTCAAGCTTACAAACTTATTCAAAACTTAAACAAGTTTATTTAAGTGTGAACTTAAACTTTCAAGCTTACAAACTTATTCAAAACTTGACAAGTTTATTTAAGTGTGAACTTAAACTTTCAAGCTTACAAACTTATTCAAAACTTAAACAAGTTTATTTAAGTTTAAACTTAAACTTTCAAGCTTACAAACTTATTCAAAACTTGACAAGTTTATTTAAGTGTGAACTTAAACTTTCAAGCTTACAAACTTATTCAAAACTTAAACAAGTTTATTTAAGTTTAAACTTCAAATTTTAAGCTTACAAACTTGTTCAAGAATAAAACAAGTTTATTTAAGTTTAAACTTCAAATTTTAAGCTTACAAACTTGTTCAAGAATAAAACAAGTTTATTTAAGTTTAAACTTAAACTTTAAGTTTTATAAACTTGTTAAAGAGTACTTCAAATTCCAAGTTTACAAACTTATTCAAAACTTAAACAAATTTATTTAAGTTTAAACTTTCAAGCTTACAAACTTATTCAAAACATAAATTAGTTCATTTAAGCTTAAATTAAAATTCTAAGTTTACAAACTTGTTAAAGAATAAAACAAGTTTATTTAATGAACATAAACTTTATGTTTACAAACTTGTTAAAAAATAAACAAGCTTATTTAAGTTTAAACTTTAGTTTACAAATTTATGTAAGAATAAAGCAGGTTTATTTTTAAAACTAGTATGTACTTAACCTTTCACGTTTAATTACTTTAACAAAATTTATGTTTAAACTTAGAATTCTAAGTTTACAAACACAATCAAGAATAAAAAGATTAATACCTTTGGTCTTGTTTTTCTTTCACCATTTTCTCTTGTTATTATTTCTTCACCAGTTGAACGTTTAGTATTATTTATAGAATTTCCAATAAAATTTCCATTTTGATTAGCCATTGATGTGATATTCATTATTAATTTTTGTGTATTTTCAACAGCCTGTCTATTTTTATTATTTTCTGATAATCGGTTTGAGATAAAATAATGTTGTTGTTGTGGTTGTTGAAATTGCTGTGGTTGTTGAAATTGTTGTTGATTCCCATAAATTGGAGGGAAAATTGGTGCTTTTGTATTTAATGGATGAATAAAACTTCGTTGTAAAGGTCTAAAAGATAAATTTAAAAAAAACTTGGCAATTTAAAGCTTCTTATCCTGATTAGTTTTAGTTTTTTGTTACTATGGTTAAGTGGGGGTAATTTTAGGTAGGTCACGGGTTCGAATCCGTTCTTGAAATTCTAATAGACTTTTTATGAAAAATAGTCAATGGCAGGATCTGTGAATTTAGTTCGCTCATTAGAAATTGTAAAGAGCTAACAGAAATTATCAAAAAAATTCAAATTCTTGTTCCTACCGTTTAAAAGGCTCTCGGCGCTTCCTATGTTCACGTACATAGTCCATTAATTGTTTCTGAGTTCTGCCTTGATAATGAAAGATTGAGCCACGGTGGAAGAGCTTTCGAGATTCTCGCGATTCAACAGGTTCAGGGCAGCGGAAGAAACCTTAAAGAAATAGGGAAACTTTAAACAAATTTTTTGTTTAAAAATACTGTGATGTTCAACGCATTTCTTCCAAAAATTTTTGCAATCATCTCGATTATCAAAAATAAATTCTACAGTTTCTTTGTATTGTTGCTGAAAGAAAAATGTAAAGTTTAATTTAAAATTAGAGAAAAAATACAGCGCTATCTGGGTGAATTTTAATCATTAGCCTTTTTCGTTTAAAACACAATTTTCGTATTTTTGCCCAAGAAAAAGTCATCATACAATTTAGTTGATGGAACATCTAAAATTTAACATTATAAATTAAAGTGCCACATGAGTGGATGTGTTAACAAAAATAATAGAGATGTCCAAAAACGAGAATTCTCCAAGACCTAGACTAGACCTTGAGGCTCAAGAAAGTGAAAAAACAAAGAAAATTCCTGAGGACCCAAGACAAAGTTTTGGACGTCCCTAATAAATAAAATAACCCCTCCCAATAAATTCTTATAAAGTACCTTTATTCCCATGTGCGCAACAGAAAGAGCCACCTGAAAATTAATTTAAAAAATTTCAAAAATAGCGAAGACTTCAAAAATTAATTTTGTAACCTCAACGCCTTCCAAATCCCTTGCATTGTGAAGACGTATTCCATAAAAGTCACAACGCCGTGCAGTTTCAAGCAAATTAAAATCAGCTTCGGCGGGACTCATGCCAATAAGCTGAACAAAGTTTACAAAATTATATTCACAAAAGTAACCTTTTTGTGTTGCTCCATTACTTCTTTCTGGAATGCAGGGCTTTGATTGGGTACAAATTGTACATTGCCAGAAGAAACATATCTGTAGTCAGGATAGTCCAATGGAGAGTAATCACCACATTCTGATTGAATCTGAAAAATATTCGATTGAAAATTTTGATAAAAAAGAAAAAAACAAACAATAAAAGAAACAAGCAATGCTGCAGTACTCTCATTACATAACAACTCGCCACGAGCCAAATCACGACGTAATTGTAAGGCGAACAAGTAACTTTAAAAACAAAATAATGTAATAGTAGGGATTTTTGCCAAAGTTGGCTGGACACGGGAAATCTCCAGAAATACACGATTCTAGCAAACAACCGGACCTGATATCCGAACCGAAAAATTTTCGTATATCCGTTATTTTTTCTGATCAAATATTCGGATCCGCACGTTAATTTAAAAATAATACCGTGTATATTCCTCTTCAAGTTCTGCAGGATTAGGAGTATAAAATTTAACAGTAAAGAAGAAACGAGCGTCTGATTGAGCAGCCATAATTTGACGCAAAATACTTTTGTCTTTGTCTAGCCAACACTAAAAAATAAAGAAAAATAATTTTCATAAACAAAAAAACCCCAACCCTATTTCCAAAAGAAATAAATTCAAGTCCAAAATAATCAGATTCCAACAAATTTAAATGTCTGCAAACTTCATCAAAAAGAGCTTGGCCAAGTGCTTTATGCTAATAAATTTATAAAATTGAAATTTAAAAATGTTCAAAACGAAATTTACCCCAAGATGAAAGACCCCTACACTGTCATCAAGCATTCGAACCTAAATTAAGAAGAGATAAATTTTATAAAAATTTTGTATAAATTTACTTTAATGCACATTAGCCTTCCTTTTCCTTTCCGAGGATCCATACCTGGTGGAGGAGGACAACCCTTAAATTATAAAATAAATCAAATGATCTAATAGAAGCCCAAGCACTTGTAGAAACCCTTGTCCTATAAGAACCCTCTCAATGAGACCTATTGAAGGATTGAAGCAAGAGCCCAAGTCCTTGTAGAAGCCCACTAAAAACTGAAAAATAGAAGCCCAGGGCTTTTATTAGAGAGGGTTTCTCATAGGACATTTTCAAAAAGTTATGTATAAAATTCAATTACCACGCCACGAGGAATCTGTGATGACACCGGCTTTTGCATAAGATGTGACAAAATAACATTCAAAAGTATTCACCCGTTTTAATAACAAAAATGTTCAGTATCAGCATCTAAAAAATATTAAAATGTTTTAGATTAAAAGAAATATGGAACAAAAAACTTGTTAAATTCGTAAAAATAAAATATTTTAAATTAAAGAAAAAATAGAGGAGAATTGATCGAATTTGATCGCAAGGTGGCTTTTGCTCTAATCCAAAATGTAATTAAAAAGTATAAAAAACAAAACAACAACAGTTGTTCCCCAAGATTACTCATGAACCTATTAAAAAGTGCAATATTGCAATATTATATAATCTGGAAATAAAAATGTGGTTTTATATCAAACGTGGATATTAGAGACCGGAATGGGAGGTTTGTACAAGAAGCGTGAGATATCTCGAAAGACCAATGACCTATTGCCTGACCATTACTGTCATTTGACCAGTTTTAAAGAAGAAAAGATAACTGAAGGGTACCATTTTGTTATACTATAATCATACGAGAATCTCGACAAAACATGATCTCGACACCAAGATTCTTGTTCGAGATCTCGTCTCGATCCGGTCTCTAGTATAAATATATGAAAAATAAAACAAAGAAAATTTCTTACACTCGATAAACGAAATTTTTTTGAAATTTTTAAATAAAAATAAAAAATCTTAACAAAAACAAAATCTCCAGAGTAACATATAAAATTGTAAGTAGCCCTTATCATTCAAGCTTATCTAAAAATATTTATGACAAACATGTCAAATAAAAACAAGTGTCATAATATTTTATGTTCTACAAACAAATTTAAAAAAACTTTTTAACCCCTTTAAAGTTTTTTAAATCTATTGGGAATGCGAGAATGTTCTCTTGTTTATAGCAGTAAATATTTGTGCCAAAAAACAAAGCAAAAAATATTTAGATTGCCTTAAAATGAGTCGCACAAGAAAATAAATAAATAGATGTATTTTGACAAACTTCTAAATATTACTACAAATAATATTACGAAAGATCTCAAAAAGAGGAAGTTCAAATGATAAATATGTAGAAGAAAATGTGAAAATAAAAAAGCAAAGAAGCTTAGCTTTTTTAAAGTTTTTTATTTTTAAATTTTTTTAATAAAATAAAAAAAATATTCAAAATTGGTAATATTTTTTGTGCTTGGCTTAGTAAATATGTGCAAATTGGCACTTCATATTCTGATTAGTATACTAGTGGATAAATAAAAAAATGCGCTTAAAAAATATACAAACTGGAACCTCTCCCTATGGAATATTTTTTTTATTTTTATCAACCTAATATTAGAGGTAAATAAAAATATTATTATTGAAGAAGTATGCCCCCCCAAATATAGTTTTGTTCCCAAGAGAAATATATAATAAAGAAAATAAAGATAGTACAATTCACACTAAATCAGGGCTCTCATCGACAAAATACCAATCAAGAGTACAAAAATCTCGATTTTAAAGTACATAGGGACAAAATTTCCAAATTTAAAGGACACTCAAAATTAAATTACAAAATATTTATTCGCCCTCAAATCTTTTATACTATTTCTCTGCTAAATGAATTTTTCTAATAATCTCTTGTTTCCACTGAGCATTTTGTGCATTTCATACACGCCATGTCAAAATTCGCTGTCACAAGAAGTAAAGCCCTGACAGTCTTAACCTCAAGCAAGCTACTTTCTTACGTCCATTTTCAACGCCGCAGGCGAAAATTTTGGGAAATTTCGGGGTTCTTAAGACAGATTTTTTACATTTTTAGCGCCGCAGACGAAAATTTTTTAAATTTGGCACCCAAGAAGCCAAATTTCTTCCTTTTTCAGCGCCGAAGGCGAAAATTTTGAGAATTTTGGAGTTCCTTAAGCCAGATTTCTTCCTTTTTCAGCGCCGCAGGCGAAAATTTTGAGAATTTCTAAGGCCGTAGGCCAAAAAAATCCACTTTTTTGCCCAATCCTTCCCTAATTTCATTTTCAATCCGAAATGTTGATTTTAAAGTACATACTTTCAATAAAGTACAAATTCAATTTTGTAAGTACGGAGGTCGATTTTAAAGTACTGTACTTTCAAATAAAGTACGAATGAGAGCCCTGCACTAAATTAATAAAAGCTTAATATATTTCTTTGGAAACAGGCCAACGTACCGCGAGGTCATTGTATCACCTAGTTATGATTTCGTTAAAAATCACCATCCGGAAGCTGAATTGAACCATACCAGGACGTCCGTTAATTTTGGATGAAGTTATAGCTCGGTGGTACGTTGGGGTGTATCCTTTCTTTGGACAGAAAGAAATTAAATTCAAAAATTTACAAAAAGAATAATAAACATTAAGTGGATTTAAAAGCCAAGAATTAGTCTTTAAAAGGAACAGTCTGTTCAATTGTTCATACATATTAAATTAAATACAATTTTGAAGAATGAATGAAAAGTAACTAAAATTTTTATAAAGTCCAAAAACGAAGTCGCTTAAAGGCAAAGGCAGAGATAAGAAAGAAATGCACATGCATAGAAGAAATGCACTTGGCCATTTACTTACTATGCCAGCAGTTTTATAGACTAACAAAGGAGAGAAAAGCATGCAAGGCCTTTGGCATTTTTACAAGGCCAGTGGTCTTCACTCTATACATATCCAGTCATTTATGCGGTTCCCTTGGCCAAATGTGTCCTAATTTGTTTTGGTCTTTCTTTTTCAGTTTAACTCTCGAAATAGCAAAAAAAGGAGCTTCCGACAATCTAACAAGCTAAAAACATTCACTCAATCAGTAGTAAGTTTAAGACACTTTTTACTTCTCTCTGCAGGAGCTTCTTCTGTGTCATATATTGCCAAATATTTCTTTATTTCTTAACTATTTTGTATTTACACGAGTCTTATGCATATCTTTTCAAGAAAAGAAAAGTAAATGAAAAAGAATTTCTAGAGGAAGAGAAGACTTTTTGGCAATTTTGGGAAAGAAAAAAGGATGGAAAAATTGTCCAGCTTTTAAAATTTGTTGAAAAATAGAAAATGATTTTTAAACTAGAAAAAAACAAAAGAATAATTTTAGCCAAGAGGAAACAGGCAGAAATTCACCTCAATCATTAATAGTGCCTTTAAAATCTTATTAAAAATTATTTAATACAAAAATATCCTCCTCCCCCAATCATCTTTGTCACTTTTTTTAACAGCAACAGTTTCAATCTCGTCTACAAGAAAGCTGCTTAGCTTAGGGCATTCAAAAATTGAACACAATTGTTGCTTTCACTAAAAAAAATAGATCGTTTCACTGTGCACTTTTTTATCCGTTCCGTCTTCTAGTTATCCCCCCCCCCTCTTCCATAAAAATACCGGTTGCGGTTCAAACGATAATATCAACATCTCAAAAACAGTTATTTACAAATTTATTTTCCAATAATTTAAATTCTCTAAAAATAGAAAACATTGACCAATAACCGATGATCATTCATGTTACATCCCCCAAATTTATTTGAAGAAAAGAATAAAACACTCCCAAAAAAGCTCATATTTTTAAAATCTTATCTCCCTTTTGATCACGCTTTTAAAAGCTTTTGAGGATCGCCATTCTTTCAGTAAAAGGGATATAAAAATGTGTAGATATTAAGGAGACTTGGATATATAAAACATTGTCGTCACTACTTTCGCCCTTTCCTACGCATTCTTATTTTTAAAAAAAAGCTTATTATAAATAAAACGTTTTTTGTAAACCCCCCCCCCCCCACTTTAGACAAATACGTCCCTCACTTTTCAATAGAAAATATGCTTATATTCGTGCGCAATGATGCGCATGTAATCGCTATCCGGTACTTAAACCCTCACCCTTTCTACTACTAGTTAAACCCCCCTTTATTATATCTCAATCCCAATCTTGCATTCCCCCAAGCTTGGACAGCATAAATTAAAAATCATCCGCATTCCGTTCCTCCTTATATTCAAAAAACTGACTGGGTAAACAAGTTATATAAGTAAATTTTGGAAAAATATCAAGGAATATATATCCAATGTTAATTATCCTTCGATACAAATCATAGAAAAATTTTTTCCTCAATTTTTTCTTAAAGAATAAATTAAATAATTAAGGTTAAAATTAAAATAATCCTTAAGCTTGTCCTCTAATTTATAAATAAACACAACTTCAAAGTGTATGCAGCTTCAAGAAAAACCAGGAAAAAATCAACAACAACAACTAAAACCATCAGCAGTGTCTTTTACAGCGTTTCTTGCAATTTACTTGTTCGGACTTGTAATTTGCATACCAACTTCATTGTTCATTTGGTTCGTTAGACGCCGTTTATTCAAAGAAACAAAAGTTGCAGGGGTACTTTTATTTGTTTAATTAAAGTATAATTATAATTAAATAGTCATGCGTGTTATCATCATCCACCCAGAACAATGGAATGGCGGGTCGGACCGCTGCACTGTAAGCAAACTGAAGCTTTTAAAAAATTAGCTATTCATTAAAGATCGGGTTTCTTCGACATTTCGTCCAAGCCGGACATCAGGTCGCTTGGTTGACAACGATGATTGATGATTATTGGGCAGATGAGGAATTCAAAGGAGTAGAAATTCATGAAGTTCGTCTCCCGCTACATCCTGGAGATTGGTTTTCACAAAATATCGGTAATATTCAAAGACTTCCTCTTAAAAATTGCCTAATCTTAACAGCACTTGCATATCACATAATTTTTCGCACGAAACTGAAACCAGATTTAATTGTTGCTGATCACAGTGCGTCTTGCGTTCCGATATTAAAATGGTGGTTTCCAAAGGTAAGCGTGCTTTTTAAAATGAAAATCTCAAAAAAATTTAAGGTACACGTAATGTTCTACTGCCATTTTCCCCAACAATTGGTTTGAAAATCTTACAACTAAAAATACTAAATTCACTTTAACAGGTAACACCAAATCGCTTTTTTCTGTATCGTTGGTACTCGGCATGTATGGGCCTTATTGAAGCACACATGTGTGAATATGCAGGTAATTTAATAGTTAAAGATTATGCAAAGAGACAAAAAATTTTTAGACATGATCATTGTGAACAGTGAATTTACGTGTAAATTTTTAAACCAGAAACGTTAAAAATTCTTTGATAAAAAACATTTTTACAGCCAAAAACTTCCAAGCTGTAATGCCCAGCATACCCAAAGAAAAACTACGCGTGATTTATCCTCCATGTGATGTTGATTCGCTAAGCGTTGTGTCACGCCCAATTTCACGCAAACATCGGATGCCTAATGAACGTTACCTATTTCTTTCAATGAATCGTTTCTGGCCAGAAAAGCGTTTGGACATAATTTTGGACGCAGCTGGTTTGTTCAAATTATTTTTAAGCTTGGTCAGCCCCCTATTTTTCTTTTGTTTAATTCAAATAACGTAAAATCTCTAATCCCCTCTCTAATAAAGAATTCACTTTTACATACATAAACTACATACATAATTTCCCCTCTACTTTCCCCTGTACTTTCCAATCCTCCAAACTTTACTTTCCCGATTATCCAATAAATCTTTAACTTAAGTTCCATAAAAACAGAAAATTTTACCCGTTTAAAAAGCGTATAATAAATATTCTCGGAGTTTTATTCCTAAGCGATTGATTCTTATCTATGAATTGCTTTAAGAAAAAATTTCTCTCATTCACATCCAGAAATATTTGTTGAAGCAAATATTCTATAAAATGCGTGGATATAGATCCTTACTTAAGATAATTAAACAAATGAAAGTTTTTGACAGACAAAAATAGAGAAAGAAAAGTACAAAAATATGAACTTTGAAAAACTCATCTATCTCACTTTCAGTTCAATTGAAAAGCTTCGGACTTAATCCACTCATACAAATGGCTGGGTCTGTAATGCCGCACATTCCGGAATCTAAGATTTACTATGAATTGTTGAAGGAACAATGTAAAAAATACAATTTGGAGGACATTATTGAAGTATGAGTTTTTTGAAAGAGGAAAATTATTATAAATTGCTGAAATTAATGCAAGAGCAAAAAGATATAAGCAAAAATAGAGGGGGGAATATATTTAGAAAAAAGGGAAGATAAGAAGGATAGTTCAAAGGGAAGATATTTCGACGAAGGGTAAGATAAGAAGGGGATAAATAGAAGGGAGGATATCTAGAAGAAAGGGTAGATAATAAAAGATAATTCAAGGGGAGTGATATCGAAGAATCAGATTCTTATTTTGAATTTTTAGAAGAAACTGATTAGATTGAAAATTAAAGATATTAGAAAATAGAAAAAAATTTCACGCAGAATTTGAATTAGACTTGAGAATTACCAAGGGAAAAAATTAAAAAATTACACTTTTAAATTAAAAAAATGAATAAAACATCGCCCAATCCCAATTTTAAATAAAAATTAATATATTAGTTTATACCTGATCCAAACGATGAGAAAAAATTTGAATTGTACAGCCAATGTGATTCCGTAATTTACACACCACCCAACGAACATTTTGGTATTGTCCCAATTGAGGCCTTAGAGCAACGTCGTCCAGTTATTGTTATCGACAGTGGTGGGCCCTCAGAGACAGTTATTGAAGGAGTGACAGGAACGAAGGTGAATTGTTGTTGTTTTCTAAAATTTAATAAAATTATATAAAAAAAGATTTCTGATACCAATGGAATAAAGTTGGCCGAGGCAATGGTTGAACATATGGAATCCAAGGAATGGATCAATTTGGATGATGATGCTCATTATGTTATGCAGGTGAACAAATCTATAAAATATTGTAGAAAAATGGTAGCCCAAGAAAATAAAATAGCCGGCGGTTCGTGAGAAATCTTCAGATATCAGAAACCGAGAACGGACTTTTTTCGGTTCTACTAGATACCAGGAAACGCCAAACTTTAGAATTACACCTTTTCCACTATAGGGCAGGAATGTCACGAGTTACACGAACCCCGACTTCATTTCGCCCCGAATCCCGAGAAACTTTCCAAACCCCGACCCGACTTCTCAACCTGTGAAATCCCTGTTATAGTTCCAACCCAGACATCAAATAGAAAAGATAAATTTAAAAAACCTTTTGCAGCGTGCTCGCTTCGAAAAACACTTTAGCTTGAATGGATTTGGACAAAACATCGATAAAGCAGTCACAAAAATATTTGGCAAAGATATGAGTGTAAATAATGAAGAAGAGCAGCAAATAATGGAAGCGGTTAAAATCTAAAATATGAACAAATTAAAAAAATTTTCTAAACATTTAAGCACACAAATGGATTCACTTCATACACAAGCCATGCAAAACGGCAGAAGAAACCCGAAGCAAATTTAAAGGGGAAAGGACGCCAAAACGGACAGGATCGAAAAAACGCATAAGCAACAAAAGAAAAAAATATTTTTGTGATCATTTTAGTTTCAAAGCACAAGCTCAGCTCTCATTTTACAAAAGAGTTGGATAACTTAATTAAAAAAAATTTTCTGAACATTTACAGAGCTGAGCTTTATTTAAGAAAGCTCTTGCTTTTGCTATTTATAAAAAAATGTATTAATTGTAATTTAGAAAAATAATTAAATTATTCAGCATAAAGTTTGGAAAATATTCGCGTTAATTTAACTCAAAAAATAGAATAGCCTAAAAGGTTGTCGGTTTGAAAACATTTTTTGGTAATAACTCAAAACGAACCGAAATCTCAGTTAACCAGAACCGACACAAGTTCGGTCTAAAACCGACAACCCTAATCATAAGTTAATTAAAAAAACCTCCATTTTTGGTTGATCGGATCATTGAAAACATGGAGAACATGTAGAAAATTGAACTTCTTATTTAGTTGTTGATCCACCATCTTGCAAGAGACGTAACAGGTTTCGTTCGAGTATTTTCGAATCTTTCACAAGCCACAAAGGTGACATTTCGTCTAGAAATTTAGTTACAGCATAAAAGACAATACGTATCGAGTTAAAACAAAGTGTAAAATCTTTAAAAAGAAGATCAAAAAATTTTTATCATAAAAGGCAAATAAAAAGACGAATAAAAAATATTCAATTTTAAAAACAAAAATATAAAATTTGTTTGAAAGACAATCGTAATAAAAAAATGTTTAAATGCTGAAGCTTCTACTCGGGTTTTTGTTGAGACCATAAAATAATCAGGAAGCAGGCTTGATAATACATCCACAAAAATTTAACAAGAAATTAAATGACGAACAGTTTTGAACATTTCCGTCAAAAGACTGGCAGGGTAACGGGAAAACTACAATGAAAAAATTAAAAAGTAGGGGAGTTTTTTCAATCTTGGGATTGAAGGGATCCTGTGATTCATAGAATCCCGTACGAAAATTTTAAACCCAATCCCGTTTCGAGATCCCAGGATTACGATTTAATCGATCTCCGAAATCTGGACTTTTCCCAGCTTGAAACCGACCCTGGAAATTTTCGAACCCCCGGCACTAGCCCAACCAAACGCGTAGGCTAAAATGTGTGCGTCAACCCCCCCCCCTGACACAACCTTAAACCCTCCCAACTTTTTTCATATCTCGTCTCAATACCCCGTTTTAGAACTTAAACAAGATTGGTACTTTTGATCTTTCCCCGAATATGTAAAAGAAAATAAAAAAATAACCTGATAATGGAAAACGGTAAATTGATCCAATCCGTGTCCAACATCAAAGCTTTATAAGGAATATCTTATTAAATTTAGATAAAATTAAAAAAACCCTTCTCGATGAAAATTGTTTATTCCCAAGCACTTTGTAACAATTCCCATTTGAACATCATCCAAGTGAACATGCCTCCATGGAAAATCACAAATACGTTGAAGAATGTCTACAGCAGCATCGCGGGAAATGATAAAACTTGAACCCTAAAAGAATGATTTAATTGTAAGACTTCTAGGGATAAAAACGGATTGAAATCACATTTTTAAGGGGAGCTTTCGAGGAGTTTTTAATTCAATAAAAGGAACCCTACTTCCTATTGTCAATTAATATTCGTTTTCTTGCAAAATGACTTTGGGCCGAGTTATGGCCAGTCAAAGTTGAACCGATAGATTTGAAATTATAAGGAGAAATCAACCACTTTCAGAATGATAATTAGAGTGGCCATAATTCGGCTCGAAGTAATTTTACAATAAAAGACATCAGACTCAATGTCAAGACCCTTGCTAGGCCGCAAAAGTATTATTTCAAATAGTATATTTACATTAAAATAAATTTTCAAACTTGAACAAACGGTGGATAGCATTTGTGAGGATATTGTTCGGCAGTGACATACCAAGGCAACCATGGGAAAACCAGCCGAGGATATCCACGAGAAACTTTTCCGATCAAATAGCGTTTATCATCAGGAGAGGTTGAAGTATTTTGCCACTGAAAAAAATCGTTTTTTATAAAAATAGAGAAATTAAGAGTTCGAACCAGGGCCTGGGATCGAGTTTTCCTGGCCCGGTACCAGAAATCCTGTTATTTTTATAAAATCATTTCCCGTGTTTGAACACGGAAAACTGGCCCTGGACAGCCTAAAAGAACAAAACACGCGGCAATGTGAAAAGTTCGAACTCTAAAAATTAATTTTAAAAATACGTGTTCAATCTGATGAAATAATTCATTCAATGCTGTAGCATTCACAATTGTATCTAAATATAATTTAATAAAATATTTAAAAGAATAAAAATTATACCATCGTTAATAACCACAATTTGTTGAATATTTGGATGAGCAGTAAAATAACTATAAATTCCTTAAAAAAGAATAATTTTAAGGCAAAATAAAATTTTAAAGTTCATTTTTCTTACCCATCATTTTTGTAGATAAATTCCTGTAGGAGTCTTCAAAATCCATTTGAAGAATGTCGCCATGTTCTCTACTCTCTGAAGACAATTCAGTCGCGTCTCGACCCGTTACAAAAATAACAGGACCACCACTGTGTTGTTCTACTGCTGTTTTCCAGGATGCTCGTATAAATTCGCGATATTCTAAAGCGCGAGGAGCTGTTCGAATCTGAAAAAAATAAGAATTGGAGTAAAAGAGAAAAAGCAAAAAAACGGCCACAAATAGGTGGGGAAACCCTCAAAATAAGTAGAGAAAACCTCAAAAACTCCTCTTCCCACTGGGGAGGCTTTTTTCAAAATGTCATGTAACAAAGGGAGAATAAAGGGAGCCTTTCCTCTAATACAAGTAGGGAAACCCCCTGACAGTCCCACAAAGGAGATTTTGAGGTTTCAAGAAATAAAATTTTAAAAAAATACCACGACAACTCTCTTCAGGTTCGGATCGTCCAAATTGCTTCGCCATGGATGAAGTAAAGTGCTAATCGATTTGTTCGAATTGCAAAATGAAAAACCACTTTGCATGTCACGATCACCGGCGTTGTCGATAAAACGTTCATTGTCTTTCCCATTATTCTGTGCAAAAAAGTAGGCAGCACAATCTTCGGTTGAGGATCTTAAAGCCCGGCGAACAGCTAAAAGATCAGGATCCGTGTAGCAATAAATTCGAAGCGGGAGTAAACATCGTTCTAGATAGTTTGCAATCTGAAACGAAAAAAGTTCCTCAGAATCAACCCATTAGAGTAAAAACTTACAAAAATGTACGGCAAAATCCAAATGAATTGAAGTAGCAAAATTAAAAGAACATCGGGAATTGAAATCTTCTTTATCCATCTTCTTTGAACAGGACTGTTTTTGGCATTTTCTGAATCATTAAAGTTTTTCCTTTTCTTTTGAACTTTGATAGATTGTAGGCCTTTATTTGCTTTTGAAGAAGATTTTTGACAATTATTAATTTGATTGGAAATGTTGTTTTGCGTAATTAAAGCAAGATGAGAATTGGGGGATGAAGAAGAGTTTTCTTGTGAAATTGAAAAAAGTTTTACAAGTAAAGGATAATGTGGTTTTAAATTGGAAGGATTATTTTGACGTGAATTCCGCACAGAATTTGAACGTTTATAATTTAAACGTGCAAGAGGCCAACAAAAAGATGAGGAAGAAATTGTATTGCTGTCAGATTGTGAATTTATTTTTAATAAAGAAGAGGTTGATGAGGATTTGGAAGATTTTGGAGATGAAGATGATGAACGGATTCGGCCATAAGTAGAAGAATTTATTTCTAATTGTTGTTCAGTAATACGTAAGGGATATGAAGAAGATGATGAAGATGGGTTTGATGTAGAAAATGATGAACAGGCAGAACTAAAGGATACAGAGCTGGAACAACGGCGTTGTGACATACAAATATATCAACTGAAAATATTGATAAGGTCAAAAAGAAGTCTATAAAATTGAAAAATCAATTATTTGAAGAAAATCTTCGAAATTTACATCAATGAAACAGTCATCAAAGAAAGAAAAAATTGAAGAAAAAGAAAGAATTACATAAAGCAGAGCTAAAGATTTTAGCAATAAAAGTGAAAAAAAGTCGCTCGCGCCGTCCCGCGATCGCACTGAGAACATTCGAAGGCTATCCATTATTGTTTTACGGCAACACGACTTTGAATAGGAAAATCATATCCCTAGTCCACTATTTATTCGATAAGATCTGTGTTACTCAAATTGTAAACGGCAGAGTAATTCAAATGATGTGTTCGCTTCATTGCACATTAAAAACGTCTTTTTTTAGCTTGAAGTTAACATAACCAGTTCTATGTTTAACCATATTAATAGTCTGCTTTTAATATTTGAAGCCAAATTTGGGGAGATAGTTTTTGATGTTTAAGATGATGACGAGATTGGGAATGTGAAAAACTGAAAGAAATCTAAAAAATCAGGATTTAGGTATGCAATATGCATATTTTCAGTAATAAATAAAGACAGATGATCAAAGTTTAAAACAGCCTTTTTAGAAAAAATAACCAAAAATGTGTTGGATATTAAGTAAAGATTTATGGAAGATTGAAAGAAAAGTTCAAATAAGATGATTAAAAAGTAAAATCCTTAAAACTCGAACCGAAGATAAACTGTGATTAAAATTTACCTTTTTAAATTTGTTTTATTTAAGCATTAAATTAGTTTGGCAAAATGTTTTTAAAAGACTACATAAGAAACGTTAGCTAGCATCTCCATATTCTGCCAAAACATATTTTGCCAATAAGGGTAAAAACTTACATTTTGTCAACATTTTTGTTGGCAAAACGTGGATTTTAGCCATATTGGCAAAATATAGATTTGGCAAAATGTGTTAATACGGTTAGAATAGCAGACAGTTCCATGGAGATTTCCAGCAAATTTATTTAGCTTTACGCTTTCTTATTTTCGTTTTTATTATTTAAGCATTTAGTAAACAAAATGTGGTATTTATTGATTTTAAGTTGTTTATCCACTTAATAAGATCTTGTTTTTATAATTTTTAGCTCTATTAAAAGTCAAAACAACTTTATTGCGTTTAAATCCTGAAATCTTGTACTTGTTCAACTTTTTCAAAGTTTTTTCTTTTTGGTGATCTAACTGGTCTCCTTGTGATTGGTTGAATATGCGAGCAAAGGTTAATTTAAAAGTTTCGAGTCAAGCTTATAAAAATCTAATTTCAGTGGCGTAAGAAAAGGATGCGTCGTTTGAAGCGTAAGCGAAGACAGCAAAAGAAATGAGACTGAAAATTGGCTTTATTGGAACTTGGCAAAACGGAAACGACGAACCAAAAATTTTCTGAAAAGTTATCAACATTTTCAACCTGAAGATGTTTTATGTTAAATTTTATTTTGTTAAAATCAGTAAACAGAAAAACTTTAATAGAATGTTTATAATTGTGTTGTGTATCATTTTGTATTTCTTTTTTAACTTTGCATTGTCCCCGATTATTCCCGGCTCGTTACTTATCAATTTCTGACAGGCTTATCAGTTTCCGACCATTAGGTCTGAGCTCCGACTTCTAGCTATCAATCTTATGTAGCTTTAAGTCAGGTTAACTTTTTTGACTCTTGATCCATGAAACCAATTATAATGCAGGCGATTTTCTTCTATGTTTCACTAAGCTTTGTATTGAGATAGTTTGACTTCGGTCGATTTGTCGTCGTCTTTGAAGTGCTAGCGCCCGAAGTTTCTCTTAACCTAGTCGATGATTTGTTAAATTTTCCGTTTTTATCGTTCTAGTTAACAATCAACTGAGTTATTATAGACTGATCCCTGATTTAACCTATACTTTTGTGTGTGAAATCAGTTCTTTGAGGTTCTTTTTTTTAAACAATTTCCATTTTATACAATTTTCTTGTATGCAACACCCCCCTCAGAAATTCCTCCAGTCATTAATTTTAATTTTTTTGTTCGTTTCATGTCATCTATACTATGAAGTTTGGTCCTTCTGGCGCCATTATTTTCAACCCCCATAGTGTTTATTGGTCGATGAAATAAAGAGTGACGAGAGAGGGATTGGCCATAGTGAGAGGGTGTAAGTAAGAGAAAAAGAGAAGGCTTCTCAATATTCTGCAAACCCACACTTTGCCAATAAGGCTAAAAACCCTCGTTTTGTCAACAACTCTATTGGCAAAACGTGGACTACTAGCCTTATTGGCAGAATATGGTTTGGCAAAATATGGGGACACTAAAAGAGAAAGATTGCTGGCTCTAAGTGTGTGCGTACGTTTGTGTTTTGTTTTAGGGCCTGTGTACACACATTTTTGAGATTCTCGGGTAAAAAATTTTTTTGTTTTCTCTTCAATATTTATTACGCATTTTGCTATTTTCGTTTCCCTTATATTTCCACTCGTTCACTGATATAATCCTTACAATAATGGCAAAAAGAGTAAAAGAGAGAGAGTGAATGTTTGTGTTTCCAAAATAGGAAAAGAAAGAGCGCTGGCTCTAATGGCGACGACTTTCCCAAAACACACATTGGCGCGCATCCAAATAATGTAAAATATATGTACATTATTTTTAGCAACAAGAGCTTTTTAAAATTTGTAAAAAGTCAAAGTTTGCATTGAAAGTTGGGCCAATTTACGCAATAAATAAACGCGTGCATGCTTAAACTGTTTTATGTTTAATTTTGTTTAACTACAAAAAAATTTTTGCTCGTTTTTATAATTTTTTATTATTAATCGGATTAAAAAATATTCTTTTTCTTTTTTTAGAATTGAAAGAAAATTTGTAAAAATTATTTTATTGTACATTTGTTTAAGCCCTGTTCAAAATGGAAGACAAAAGTAGAAGAGGGAATACGCCTGCTCATTCTAGAGAGGTTATAGCTTCAAGATCAGGTTAGTCTTTTTTAAATTTTTAAAGGGTTTTTAGCTAAATTAGAGTTCGAGTCTTTCACGCGCCGGGCCAGTTTCCGGGTTTAAGCTGGCCGGGCCGGGGTTTCATGGCTAAAATCCTAAAGCTATGATTTTATCAAAGTATCTTGTACCTGGCGCTTTAAATTAGAATTCGAACTCAACATAGTCGGACCTGGTATCCGGGTATTTCTTTCAGGTTTAAATTTTTCAACCGGGGGTCCTGGGCTTGAAAAATCGTATTTTATTAGAATTCCCGGGCCAGCCCTGCTTTTAATTCCAAATTTATTAATTCCTTTACAATGCTCTTTTCAAATTAAATTACTATTTTTGCAGAACATGCAGTCAGCAAACCCATTATGGTACAGGCACGTGGTCCTCATTATGGTGCATCGGTGGTCTCGCCAAAATCAATTGGAGGCGAACAGTCTGGACTTTGTCATCAAATGCTTGAGAATGTTTTGTCGTCTTCACCTGGAAGTCTTAATGCAAAATTTGTAATTTTTTTAAAAATTTTTTGAAGATAATTCTTTTATTTTTAGGGTGGAATTTCTAAAAATGGGAAACCTTCCAAGTTGGTCACATCTGAAAACATGGACAAAAAGTTTGTATTTTAAATTTGTTTTCATTCAATTTTTTTAATTTTAGTGGCATTACAACAACAAACGTGCCACGAACAAGTTATCCCTCAACGACAACAACAATGGTCTCATCATCTACACAAATCACTTCAACTCATTCTCAGCCTGTACCTATTCCAAATCCTTATTCTAATGTTGGAGGGGCAGATATTATTGGTGGATGTCACATGATTGGAACGCCGGAATTTAGTCAGGTTAAATAAATTTTTTTTGTTTTTTATAATTTTTATAAATTTTTTTCTAGTATCCTTTTATGGTCCCTGGTCAACCAGGCACTCCAATAATTTATGCAACAAGACAAAATGCTTCTGTCCTTGGCTCAACACCAACAAATTATGGTTATGGCTCTTGGGGTGCCGTGTATCCCCAGCCTGCGCCTCCTCCTCATCCACATCACAATGGGACAATATTACATACAGGTTTGTTTTATACTTGATCGAAATAAGAATGTTTTTGTCAGAACATGCTGTAAGCAATCCAATCATGGTACAAGCACGCGGCCCTCATTATGGTGCAATGATGGTTTCACCAAAATCTGGAGAACAATCTGGTTTGTGTCATCAAATGCTTGAAAATGTATTGTCATCGTCACCTGGGAGTCTTAATGCTAAATTTGTATGTCTTTTTAAATTTTGTATTGATTTTATCATTTATATTTTTAGGGTGGAATTTCTATTAATGACAAGCCTTCCAAGCTGGCAACTGTTGATATGAGGTTTTTATATTTTTTAAATTTACTTTAAATTAGTTTTTTCGATAATTATACCAAGCTTGAACAATTTTTAATATTTTTTTTCAATATTTTGTTTCTTGGTATATAATCAATTACTAATTCAAAGTAAGAACGGAGCAATAAATGTTCATTTTATTAGGAATCATCCTTCAACAACATCAACAATAGTTTCATCTTCTCAAATGGCTCAAGTTCATTCACAACCTGTCCCAATTCAAAATAATTATCCTGGAGTTGGTGGTCCTGATATGGGTGGTGGATGTCATATGATTGGAACTCCAGAATTTAGTCAGGTTTGACACATTCACATTAAAAAATTTTTGTTTAAAAATCTTAATTTAGTATCCTTTTATGGTCCCTGGACAACCAGGCACACCAATACTTTATGCAACAAGACAAAATGCGGCGACTATTCTTGGTTCAACTCCGCCAAATTATGGTTATAGTTCTTGGGGGTATCCACCGCCACCTCAAGCAGCGCCTCCTCCACATCATCATCATCACAATGGGACAATATTGCCTCCAGGTTATTTTTATTGAAAAATTGGTCATTAATTTTCTCGAAATAGTTGGCGGTCGTGTTCCTCTTGTACAGACACTTTCTGATCGTGCTTCTTCAAATTTTCGTCCAAACAGGACACCAGGTTCACTTTAAGGCTAATAGCTTCTTGATTTTGCTTCTTTTTAGGTACTCGCGTTCCTCTTAACACTCTTCACACCAATTCTCTTCATGGTGGCGAAGAGATACAACACTCTAGAGGTGGAAACGTTGCTGCTCATCGTTCTCAACTTTTGGATGATTTTCGAAATAGTCGATTGCCTCATTTGCAACTTATGGATTTGGGTGTGTATGTAGTGGAATTTGCTCAGGATCAACACGGATCACGGTTTTTTTAACTTTTTTCGGTTAATTAGCTTATTTTGAATATTTTTAGTTTTATTCAACAAAGGCTTGAAAGAGCAAATGCTAAAGAAAAACAATTTATTTTTGATGAAGTATATCAACACGCTTTGCACTTGATGACTGATGTTTTTGGGAATTATGTCATTCAGGTTTCTTTTTTAAACTATTTTATAAAAATTATCTTCTTTTTTTCTAGAAATTCTTTGAATACGGCACTGATGAACAAAAACGCAAATTGATGCAAATAGTCCAAGGAAATGTTATGAATCTTGCTTTACAAATGTATGGATGTCGTGTGATTCAAAAAGCTTTGGAATCAGTTGATCAGGACTGTCAGATGGAAGTTATAAAAGAAATTAGCAATCATGTGCTTAAATGTGTTAAAGATCAAAATGGAAACCATGTGGTGCAAAAGGTAAATTTCTTTTTAATTTGTCGAACAACTAAATATTCAACGGGATCAACCCAGAAGGGCTCCTTTTCCACAGGTCATCTGTCTGATAGGCGAATGAAAGCAGGTTATTGTTTGATCCCGAGTCCCTTTATCCGCTCAAATATTTGGGTTCGACCTTCTGGGTAATTTGACCTTTAGGGCTTTTGATCTTCTGGCATGAGTATTGACCTTCTCGGTTTTGGCTTTTTAAGATATGATGGGGTACCCTTTGCACCGTTTTAAAAATTTTTTTAATTTTGTATAGATCATTGAAAGAGTGGAGCCTCAACAACTTCAATTTATCATTGATGCGTTTACTAAAGGAGCACCCGACACTGTTTGTTTTATTTTACTTTTAAATAATTTTTTTTTTAATTTTTAAGGTCTGTTCGCTTTCTTCTCATCCTTATGGATGTCGTGTTATTCAACGTGTTCTTGAACATTGTACAGAAGAACAAAAGAGGTTTTTTTAATTTATTTTCCGATTAAAAAATATTATTTTTTTAGACCAGTTCTTGAGCAATTACACGAAAACATTTTTACACTTGTAACAGATCAATATGGCAATTACGTGATCCAACACGTTATTGAACATGGAATTTCTTTGGATCGAGAACGTATTGTAAAGTGTTTACGTGGTGATGTACTCAAATATGCTCAACATAAATTTGCTTCTAATGTAATTGAAAAATGTTTAATTTGTGGAACAACTGAACAGAAAAATATTTTGATTGATGAAGTTTGTAATGAGTGAGTTTTTTATTTTTTTTGGTCCCAGGAACCGCTAATCTTCTTCGAAGCTAATCCCCGCGTGACGTTTGTTTTAATGCTATATAGGGACGACTAACGCAGCCAATAACTGCCATCAGGCATCGAACCTGGGTCTCTCGGTTTAAGTCAACTGACTTAAACCGAGTTTTTTTTCAATCAACCACTACACCATGACATTGGTCAAAAATAAACGTGTGCCCGAAGGTTGAGTCGAACCTCAACCTTGCTCCACAGGGTCTTGCATTAAACGACTGAACTACGCGAGCACACTTTTCTATAAAAAATTTTTTCTTTAAGTGATGGGGCTCCAAATCCACAACTTCTTGAAATGATGAAGGATCCATTTGCAAATTATGTGGTCCAAAAGATGCTTGATGTTTCAGATAGTGCACATCGAAAGAAAATTATGTTTTCCATCAAAAGTCACATTCCTGCTTTGAGAAAATTTAATTATGGAAAGCACATTATCGGTAAGCATGAGTAATTTGATGATTTGATTAATTCTTCTTCCTTTTTTAAGCCAAATTGGAGAAATATTTTCAAAAGACGAATCCTGGTGTTCCATTTAGTTTAATATCTGGAGAACAATCACCACAACAACAATTTTCCAATACATCAGTCAACACAGCTGTTTCTAATAATAATAATAATTTTGAGAATGGACCGCCAATATATTAAAAAAAGAGGAAAAAATGATGGTGAGAGATGTGACTGATTAAAAAAAATTTTTTGCAGCAACTTGTGTATGAAAGCGAAAAAGTTAACAAACAAACACACAAAGATTGACAATTTTCAGGGGCATCACACACAGCAACAACAAAAATTAGAAAAATTTCAATTTGTAATATGCGCAAAAAACAACAACTACGCAAATATATATTTATTTTAATTTGCCAAAATAATATACAAATTATGTATTCTCGTATATTTTTCGGGGTTCTATTTTAGGGCATTCGACCTCTATAAGCTTTTATGGGTTTCATGATCGTTCAAGATTCCTATTAGCGTTTACGCATCCCATCAGCATATTAGAGGTAGAGGTCCCATACTAGAGGTCAGCACGGGACATGATCCTGTCAGGATTTTAGGGAGCCTGTCCCGAAATCCCAGATTTTATGCGAGGAGCTGGATTTGAGATTAATCCCGCGCGATCCCACGGATGCGATTTTACCGATCCATCAGCATATACTAATATTTTAGGGACCACATTTACTCTGCTGTGGATGCTTAAAATTATCTCGTGAGCTGCATAAAAGCTCATGTTAACGGTTTTGCCCTAAACTAGACCCTATTTATTTTGTTAATTATATATTTTTTCTTCTTTTTCGCTTATGCACATAACAGAATTTTGTCATTTATTTTCATCAATATATCCAAAATCCACCACCATAAAAATATATATGATTCTATTTAAACCTTATATATATAAATATATTTATTTTTAATATATATATTTTTTTTTCCTTCAATTTTTTTGCATACCTTGGCCCTAATTATATAAAAAAAATTATTTTTTTTTGTGTTTTTCCTCTCCATTTTTTCCATATACATATATAAAAATATTTATTTTGCTCTATATTTTATTGTAAACGTCTTGTTAATTAAATAAATGTATTTTTAACAAGACTAAAAAAATTTTTTTGTTTATTTAAAATTAAAAAAAATATGTATTTTTTTCTTCTGAGGGATAAATTATGAAATTATTTTTAACAAATTTAATTTTCTCTAAAAAAAGATTTCACATTCTTTTTTTATTTTTGCCTTATTTTCTCTTAAAAATCATTCATTCATGTTAGCAGCTCACCATTGATTTCATATATTGTTTTTTATTCGCCTTCCTTTTGTTTTTTGACAAAAATCATGTTCGCGTTGAAGTTGTTCCCCGGGTTTGGAACAACTTCAGGACAATCCGCACGGACCCGATCAGGCGTCGTGTCTGTTTTTATCGGGGTACATTCTGTTGGTGCGCGGCAAATTCGATTTTTCGAGAATAGGATATAGGACAATTGGATTTTGATTGGATTTTTGGATTTGGGACACTGACTTAGGAACTATCCGGCCGGGTCTGGGCAGGCGTCGCGTACTACATTCTAGTATTTTTAACATCTCTGACAATGACTCTTCAGTTGAGAAATTGAAATTGTATTGTATCACAAGCATTGTATTCTTCTAGTTTTTTTGCATTTCTTATACTTCTGTTTACAAATTCTTGCAAAGACAATTGTAATATTTTGAATTTTTTTTTGAAACTTCCAATCGCAATGTATTTTTTTTGTTAAATTTACATAGTTTATCCTTCCACAATTTAAAATGTTTTTACAAAATTGAAACGAAGAAAAATAAAAATATTTGAATGTTGCTTTTAATGGAAAATTTTTTTACTTCCCGTAATCCTCCGCGTTGTTTATTTTCTTGTTTAGATTCGTTTAAATTAATTTTTCAGATTTTTCAGGGATTTTTTAAATTTATTAGAAATGCGACTTTTCGCTAGTATGCGTTCTTTTGCTTGCGCAAGTTTTCTTTGTGCTAGATACAAAAGTCTTAGTTTTGTTAATTTACAACAACAAAATGAGGAGCAGGCTGTAAAGTTGTCTCGAAAGGTTTTGTTAATTGATAAAATTTATTTTTAAGAAAAATTTAGATTGTCTCAAATGTCGATAAAAGTGGCCTAAGTCTTCGTTTATATCAATATCAGACATGCCCGTATTGCTGTAAGGTCCGTGCTGTTCTTGACTACTTTGGATTTTCTTATGAGGTGGTAGAGGTGAACCCTGTGACTCGTTCGCAAATTAACTTTACTGATTATAAAAAGGTTTTTTTTGTGGTTTTGATAAGGTGAAAATTAGGGAAGGTTATTTCTGTAGAATCTATTTTTCCGGATTAGTACGGTCCCTAAAAAATCGGGCCGGGTCAGTCCGGTTCTGGTCGCTGGCGAGAAGTCTCGAGGTTCTCTTTAACCTTTTGACAGTTAACTCAATTTTCTTCGTTCCTTTTATTGTCTCTGTTTGGTTAAGTGGTATAAATTTGAGCTGCCTATGAAGGTTTCAATGGCTCGGTGTTCCATTGATAAATCTTTAATCATTTTGATGCATCAAATGATGAATGTAGCGCTGTCCGATGTTCTTTCGAGAACAAGTGAGCACTGACATAGTCATAGTTACTCTGATGATGCTTTTATAAAATCTCTTTTTTCCCATAAAATCATTTTTGACATTTTAATGTAAAATCTAGAGTTTTTACCGACCCGGCTATTTTTCCCTGTAGTGGCTCAAATAAAGAAAAATAATTTTTAAAATTTTATTTTCAGGTTCCTATTGTTCGAACACCTTGTTATGAGCATCCGCTTATCGAATCTTCTTTAATAATTTCAATTTTGGCGACTTATCTAGTTAAACCTGAGGTTTTATTTTATACAAATTTTCATTCAAAATTTGTTGTTTTTTAGTTGTCGTTTTCTGATGCGGTTGAGCTCTATCCCAAGCATGTTTCAAAGGATGCAAAGACAGGAAAAGAAGTGACTGACTGGTTAAATAAATATTTTGTTATGTGGGGCGATACAAAACTTGATGATGGACAAATGCGGGATGTTAGGTTATTTTTTAAAAATATTCTTGAAATTTAAACTGGTTGGTAAAATTCCGTCATACACATGCCCCAGAAATAGGTTCGGACAAGCGCCCTCCCTCTCGAATGAGCTATTGCCTATTCGAATTTTTGATCCCAAAAATCAGCTCAGTCTCTTGTTTCATTTTTGACCATTATGAGACCATGATTCGGCTTAAAATTAAGGCTGGATCTTTATTTTGGTGTCATCGACTGATCATCGGACTCTTACGAATTACTTGTTGGGAGACATACATATGACGGAATTTTTCCAAATGATTTTTATCGAGAGAGGTAACGCAATTTTTTATAGAGACGAACGTGAATGGCGCGAATGGGTTGACACTCATTTTGTTCATCTAATCTCTCCAAATGTTTATCGCACTTGGTCCGATTCATTGGCAACATTTCGCTGGTTTGAACAAGTTGGTGAATGGGAACGCAATTTTCCTACGTGGGAAAGAGTTTTGGCTGTTTATGTGGGTGCTGCAGCAATGTGGGGGATTTCGAAGAGATTGAAAAAGCGGTTTGTTTTTTAGTGTTTTCAGTGGCTTCCGATGGGAATTTCGGGGCCCTCTAAAGTCTAACTCAATAAATTTTAGGCATCATATTGTTGACGAACGCGAAGAAATGCGCAAAGCTTTTGACAAATTTATGAAAGCAAAGGGACCAGAAAGGAAATTTATGGGAGGTGAACAGCCTAATTTAGGTATTTTTTAATTTAATTTTTTTTATTTTTGTTTAAATTCAAAGCGGATTTGGCACTTTTTGGGGCTTGTAATTCCTTTTATGGTTGTATTGCATTTTCTGAGATGTGCCAATATGATAAACGACTTGTTGAATGGTTTGAAGCAATGAATTTGGCTGTTAAGGAAGCAAGAGGAAAGAAATTACTTGAAGCAAAATGTAAATTTGTAAAAGGAGGGAAGTAAAATTTTGAAAGTTAGTTTCTTTTTAAGACTTTAGTCTCTTTTAATTAGAACTAGTGTTCGGCAAATGGATTTTTCCGGAGTAGGATCTGGGTTTGGCAATAGAACGGATCGGATATTTTTGGGTTAATCTGGTCTGGAAATAATCGGGAAACCGTGAAGAAAAAACACGGATTTGGGATAGGGTAGTTCAGGCGAGTTATAGAGGATAGGGCCGGTTAATTTTGCCCTGTAGCGAGGCAAAAATAGAAGGGAGAATAGAAAAGAGAAAAAAAGACCCGGCACAAGGAAAAATTAACCGGGCGATTAACCGACCACGAACTACCCTAATTCGGGACAAGAACTCTGGAAAAATCCGGCTGAATCCGATCCGTTGCTGAACACTAATTAGAACACAAATATTTGTTTATTTTTTTTCTGTTTGTTTTTCACTTTGTAAATTATTTTTTAATTTATTTTTGTTGGTATTAAAAAAATTAAATTTGTTAAATTTTCAAAAAATTTTTTATCTTGTTGTAATGTTTTCGTATATAATCCTTTTTTAGTCTGTTTTAGAGGATTTTTATGTTATTCAAAACAAGATATTTTGTACTATCTAATTTTGGATTTTATTTGCGCTTTTTGACAGATATTGGTAGGTAATTTAGTATATATTTGTTTAGGTGTATTTTAATGAAGGAGGAGATTTTGGGTAGATATATATAGTGGTCAAAATTGGCTAAATAAGAAGCTGATGTGAGTGAAAATTGTTTTCATTTTCAGTCAAAGAAATCATATCCCGCCTTATTTTTATATTTTATCTAGGGGTGTTGGCGACAGGTTAGTAACCAGTACCTCTGTGGAGTTAGGTGTGGCCGGGTTTCTGCCCCCGGTTTTCGGTTCCGGTTCAGTTGACGTTCCGAACATTTTCCCAATTTCCGGATTCCGCCAACAACGATTAACCTAATCGTTGTTGTTTTCCTGACCTCAGTAGGTTATTAAGGAAGGTTTTAGTGTTTGGTCTTTGGTCGACTCCATGTTGATTTTTGTAAAAAATTGCTGACAGCAGTGAAACAAATGTTTTTTAAACCTTTTTAATCCTCAGCTCTGCAGATATTTTTCCCTATTTCCCTCATTCCGTGTTGACTTTTAAGCTGGTAAATACTCCCTTAGATTATTTTAAAGTAAAAATATATAAAAATAAGTGCACCCAATTTGTTGTTTCACTCAATATTTTTCAAAAAATCTCCTTTTGGGTGGAACAAAAAAGGAACACCTCTCTTCCTATCTAAAAATAAGGAGAAAATACGACCAAGTGAGGGACCATCTTTTTTAATAAAAATGAGAATAACATCGTCATAGGTTGTCAATAAACGTAAACATATTTTTGTTTTTTCCGCTGAAAAATGTTTGCGCTATAAATTCGTGATTTTTTACTCTTAATTCTCGTGAAACTCATCAAATGATTAGAACTTGGCGATAAAACGGCTGTAGTTAAAAATTCGATGAAAATGGCGATGAAGCGGCCTTAGTGAAAAATTTTTTATTGAGAAAGAGTATGGGAAAGCGAGAGACGCTAGACATAAAAACAAATTTGAGCGTCATTTTACCGTTTAAATTTTGTGTGGCGTTAGTTAGACTTTCCAGAATTTGGATGGATTTAATTTTCGAATTTCCTTTCATTGTTCCATAAAAATTCCGAGATTGTTTATTAGACGGAAAATTAACACGCAAAAGTTTTGGTTAGCTTAAAGCAACAATCTCCACGTCTTTTTTTAAGCATTTAATACACCATTAGTTTTTTTAGGAATTTTTCCCGCCTTTATAAAATGCAGGCATTTTCTTTCTTTCCCAAACAAAAAATAAAAAAGTGCTGTGTCCCTACCAGCATTTCCAGTGTTTCTTTTCCTTTTTTATATAGCGGCTAGTTTTTTTAGAGAGTGGCACGCTATGGGTTTTCCCTCTTCTTGTTAGTTTGTGATGGCATTTTTATCGTTCATTGTTTTTCCTTTTTAGCTGACTGAATAGCTTTGCACTTATAAACAATAAAAAAAATTTTTAAAGCATTTTTACATTATTTTTTTAAAGAATTCATTCAATTATTAACTCAACACAAAAATGGAACTTAATTTTGATTTGAGCTCTTTGTCTATTCCTGGATGTGTTTTGAAGTCACCACTTTCTAAACTCGAAAATTCTAAAATTCAGTGGGCACGAAAAGCGCGACAACAATCTGAATTTTTGCTTTTGAGTCGTGCAATTGATGATTTGGCAAAGTTGTCTGCTGAGGTTTTTTTGAAGTTTAAATTTTTTTGAAATTTTTTATTCTTTAAGGCTCAATCGATTAAAAAGCCTGTCACGACATTTGAGCGGTTTTTGGATGCCCAAGATGAACAGGCACTTTATCTTCTCTGGAAAGACGAAAAAATAAATGGATGCGGGGGAATTGAGGATGGAACTGTTGCTAATGGAGAAAAGAATGGAGAAATTAAAAATGGAGGTCATGAAGAATTGTTGGCTGTTTCACAAAATGGAACTGCTGCAAAGAATGTTTTGCTTGGATATTTGAAGGTATTTTAATTTTTTAGTTTTTGTGTATTTTAAGAAAGATATTCTAGAGTTGTTTTATAATCATGTCAGGTTTATTATAAAAAAACATCGACCGGACAGAACTCTGTCAGATAAAACTTTGGCTTGCCAGAACTTCGTCCAAAGAAAAATATCTGCATTTTGAATGGGTTGGGTTCTTTTAGGCGTGTTCGTACAACCGAAAATTTTTTTGTTCGTACAGTTTTGATAAGACAGGGTTTTGTATGCACTAAGTTTTGCCTTCACTCTTTTATAATATCTTTTCTTCAAAAAAATTTTTTCTTAAAGATAGTTCGTGATCGTCGTCTTTATTTGGTAAATGAACGCAGTCGTCGTTATGTTCACACGCCTATTTGTGTTTTGGATTTTTATATTCATTCTTCCGTTCAGCATCACGGTTGTGGACTTGAATTGTTTAATGGAATGTTAAAGGTTTTTTTTGGATGTTTGATAGATTTATTAACTCAATTATTTTTACAGTCGGAGTCAACAACTCCACAAAAATGTGCATTTGACAAACCATCCTCTTCATTACTTCATTTTTTGGAGAAGCATTATGGTCTTAAACACCCAATTTGGCAACCTACAACTTTTGTTGTTTTTCCAGAATTTTTTGAAGGATTAAAGCCTGAAGATGGAGGAAAGGATGAAATAATTGATGATCATCAAATGTCAGCAATTGAGCGAAACAGGAAAAATATTAATGAGCATTATAGTGGATCACCGCAGCATTTACCAGTAAGAAGTTTTAATTGTGTAAGTGGTAGAGGTTTAGCACGGGCAATGACCCTACAACGTCCTGGTAGTTCTACGAATTTTCGCTCACCAAGGTCTCTACCGACTGACATGAGCAGGGCCGGGACGTACGGGATTTTACGGAGTTTTTCTAGATTTTTAAGTGTCGAAAAGTATCTAGGTACTGGATTAATCCTGTTGAAACCCTCCCGCTTGGTCTTTAAAAACTCACAAATGAATCAGTCCCGTTACAGGATCCCGGGAATGCGATTTTGCTGAATTCTATTTTACATTAGATTCCCACCTAATAAGCGATCTCACTTCTTTCTTAAAATTGTAAAAAGTTAAATTTTCAAAAATAGGTTCACGGACAGCGTAATTTGACTTCTCATTGTACCACTCAATCATCCATGAAAGATCAGATTGGAGAAGACACTCCTCGAGGACGAAAGAATACGAGGGATTATGGACATCAATCATTGTGGTAGATAATGGACTGTAAAAGTTTTTTTGATTGTAGTATTATTTGGAGATCGGGGATTTTAAATAAAACCTTGGTTCTTAATTTTGTTTGAGGACCTTGAAATTGATTCTTGAACTTGTTCAAGATCTAGGGTCAACCTTGAATATTGAGTTTGATTGTGTGTCAAGAAAAGACTTAAGGAAAAACACTGAAAATTGCCTTGATCTTGAGCAAGGTCTCGATCCATTTCCAGGCCGATCTCTACTATTATTTAATCATTTCAGTTATTTTATTAATAATATTTCCATTTTTGAATAAAAATATGAATTCATGAATTTTAATAATTTTTTTATTCAATATTGTTATAACAATTTTATTCCTTTTTTAAAACTTGAGTTTTTGTTGTTTTCAAGTCGAAGAGAATTTATGGGAGGGAAGATGGAGTTTTGGTCACTCCATTTTTTCGGATTGTTTCCATGGAAACAATTTTTGCGAAATCAGATTTTGACAAATTTTTAAAATAAATTTCCTAAATTCCCTGAGGTTTTAATTTTGTTGCTTGATGAAATTGAAATATTTGAATGGCATTGTAAGCCCTTCGGTAAGTTGAAAAAAATTGTTTTTTCTAAATTCGAGCTTCTTTTACAGGACGAGATTGCCTGTGCAGGAGCACTTTGTTTTTCCCCTAATGGACGTAAACTGGCTGTTTGTACATTGGATAGACACGTGTTATTGTTTGATGATAAGTTCCGAAGGAGAGATAAATTTGCAACGAAACCGGTTGATTCAAAGGTTTTTTTTGAAAATTTTATTTTTTAAATATTTTTTTTTAAGTATGGAAAGACTGGCTACTTAATTAAAAGCGCTTCATTTTCTCCTGATTCAAATAAATTGGCTATTGGACAAACCGATGATATTGTATTCGTTTATAAATTGGGCGAAAATTGGTTAGTTAATATTTTATTTTTCAAGATATTTTTACGGCTCCCTTTATTCTGCAAAATGGGCTAAATCGTTTTGCCAGTAAGACCGAGTTGGCAAAACGTGGGGGAGACATTTTTTGATTTCTTTCAGGGACGAGAAAAAAGTTATTTGTAATAAATTTGCACAATCCTCTTCTTGTGTTGCACTTATTTGGCCAAGTGAAAGCAAATTAATTATTGGTCTGTTAGATGGAAAAATTCGTCAGGCATCCACAAATTCGAATAAATGTTCTACTCTTTATAAAGCTGCTGATGGTGCAAGTGTTTGTGCGATCGCTCAACAGTTTGCTTTAAAATTTAAATTTTTTATAAAATTATTTAAAATTTTAGTCCAAACAAAAGATCATTTTTATCTGGTCATGAAGATGGTTCAATGTTTTTGTACTCATTTGATTCGCGATCTCATGTATGATTTTTTACTAAAGTTTGGTTAAGGTTATGGGTGGTTTGGCCAACAATAACACACACTTGACCTGACATTCCCGAACGTTCGGGATAGAAGTGTCGGGATCATGGTTTGCTGGGGGTAGGGCCTTCAATGTTCGGAGCAGGCCCGTAACCAGGGGGCCCTTGGCCACCAGAAAAATCCTGGTTAAGGGCTAGGTTAGGAATGTCGGGGATTGGGGTTTGTCAGTGGACCCCCCACTTTAGAGTTTGTTTCAGGGCTGATCGAAATAAAAATTTTTTTATCTCGAAACGGAATTTCGGCCAGCCCTGGTTCGTGTCTTTTTCTTTGCCTAAAAAATAGTTGGGTTTCCTGAGGACGGGGTGATACCTTAATTAAAAATGTTTAAAATTTAGACTCGTGTTTGTGTACATACTTGTGCACCTTATGCTCTTATTCTCTCGCAAGTAGGCATTTTGGCGGCTGGGTCTGATCGTCGATTGGTTTCATATACAGAAAATGGCCGTCTTCTTCAACAATTTGATTATAGTAGAGAGCCTTATTTGGATAAAGAATTCTCTGTAGCAACTTTAGACACGAGTGGATTAAATGCCGTTTTTGGAACTTTTGATAGGTTTTTTATAAACTAATTTTGTATAAAAAAATTTTTTCCCAGACTTCATTTAATGTCTTGGAGTCAAAGAAGAGGTGCTTGGGACGAAGGAGGTGTTTTAAATATTCGCAATTTGTATACAATAAAATCGCTTGCTTGGAAATCTGATGGATCAATTTTGGCATGTTCAAATATGTTAGGGGCTGTTATTGCGATTGATTGTTCTATGAAGGTTAAAAAGATTTTTTTGGGTATTTTGTGTTTACCTCCCCTATTTTGAGTCTCATAGTTCAATGGTAATGTCAACTTACTCTATTTCCCTGTGGTATATTCTAATAAGAGAAGGATGAAAATCTGATCATTACATATCTACCCTGACAATGAGAGGGGAAGGGCGGGATAAACATAAAGTACCTTTTTTTGATTTTTGTAAAATTTTTTAAGAAAACTTTATTGAAAAATCGATTTGAGTTAACTTTTGTGTCACCTTCTCAAGCAATTTTAAAAGATTTACAATTACCAAATGAAAATAATGATGAAGATAATGGTAAAAAGGAAGACGAAAATATTAAATTAAAACAAAGAAATGATACAAACGATTCTGGAATTGTTTTACGTTCAAAAATTAGAGCAGAATTGGGAGAAGTGAGAATAATGGGAAGAGAGCAAAGATATGCTATTATTTATACTCCAAGTACTTTAATACTAGCTGATATTTGGACAGGATTGGTATATATTTTTAATTTTTTTCATTAAGAAAAGTCCGAGTTTCGAATATCGGGTTTCGGTTAACCCATGACATCCTTGTCGGGTGAGATTCCAACTATAGTGAAATTCCAGCGATATCCTCGACAAAATTTTTTTTATTTAATTAGAGCTCAGAAATTTCTTGGCAATCTGGGGGAAATGAAAAATTTTATTTGGACAATGAAAATGTTGCCTTTATTGTAAATGCTGGTGAAATTAATTTTGTAGAATATGGTCAAGATGAATTAGCTGGTTGGATAAGAACAGAAAGAGCAAATCCACACCAAATTAGTGTTAGAATACGTCGATCAAAACAAAATAGTAAAGAAATGATGGAAGATGTGAGAAGAGTTGCTTATTTATTAGATGTTCGAACAATTAGTATTATTGATATGGCTAAAAATAATCAAATTGGACATATTCAACATAATATTGCTATTGATTGGCTTGAGGTTTCAAGATTTTCTTTTAATTTTTATTGGCCACTATAGAAGATGATTTGACCCCCGAATGTCGTGAATGTCGGGACCCGGAAGGCCAAATTACTCTGAATTTCAACTCGAAATATTTGAACGGTTAAAAGGGAGTTGGCGATCGGAGTTGGTTAAAAGGGAGTTGAGATCTTCTCTCTCTATCCCCAACAAATCCATCTTAATTCACCCAAAATCACAAAGCCTTCTTAATCCGCGCAGATGTTCCTTTATCCGCCCAAATATTTGGAGTTTACCTTTAGAGTAATTTGACCTTCCGTGTCTTGAGCTTTTATGTTTTGACCTTCTGCGTTGATTTTTAATTTTTATAATTAAATTTTTGTAGTTAAATGAGAGAGCCACAAAACTTTTATTTCGCGATATTCGCTCAGCTCTTCATTTATTCTCTTTGGAAACAAAACAAACAGTTCATTTAATTGGGCATTGTTCTTATGTTCAATGGGTGCCTCAAAGTGATGTTGTTGTTGCTCAATCAAATTCACAGCTTTGTGTTTGGTTTGTTTTTTAAATTTTGGAAATATTTTAAGTATAATTTTACACTTTTTTGAAGGTATAATACAGATGAAAATACGGACAGAGTTAATCAATTCCCAATTCTTGGTGATGTTGAAATGGTGGCGAGGGATGCGTCGAGAACTGAAGTTATTGTTATGGTTTGTTTTTTTTGTTTAGAATATTTTTAAATAAAAATTTTTTGTAGGAAAATAATACACGGGTCGCTTATGAATTGGATAGTGCAATGATTGAATTTAGTTCTGCGCTAGATGAACTCGATTTGGGTCGTGCTGTTCTCTTTTTAGAACGTTCTGAACAACGAGGAATTGGAGTACAAGCATTGTGGAGAAAATTAGCTGATGTTGCTCTTGAGGTTGTTGTTTTTGACAAAATTTTATTTTTATTAGAGATAGGCACGGGAGTGATCCCGTACGGCATTTTATGGGATTCTGTCCGAAATTTCGGGTTTTGGGCGACGAACGGGATTACTGTGATTGACGGGATTAATCCTTCGGAATCCATCCCGTTCTATCTTTTGAAACTCGATCGTTACAGATCAAGAGAATTCGATAAAAATCACCCATTTTTTAGCATTCACATCTTTTTGTTGCTCAAAGATGCTTTGCTAGTCTAAATGATCTAGTTAGAGTTCAATTTTTACAAGAGACACTTTTGAGAGCTGAAAGTCAATTTGGAATGCCTCTTGACTCCCAAGCATTATCAGAGCATTTTGAAGTACAATCAAGACTTGCAATGATGACAAAACAATTTAAACGGGCTGAACGAATTTTGCTTGAAAATAATGCAATTACTGAAGCAATAGATATGTGGAAAAGAATTGGGGATTGGGAGAGTGCTATTCAATTAGCTAAAGCTATGGTAAAATTTAGAAATTTTTTTTTGGCTTTTAAGCGTTTGATTTTTTAGAATTACCCAGAAATTGATTCACTCCAAAACCAATATGAGCAATATTTGAATAAAACTGGTCAAAAAGATAAAGCTGCGGAGCTAAAAATGCGTGATGGTGATAGTCGAGCGGCTCTTGAACTCTTTTTGAGGGCAAATCAACCTTCCCAAGCAGTTCAATTATTGCTTGACAATCTGCAGCTTCTTTCACAATTGAGGACTAGTGAACTTGGAAATGAAGAAGAGGATGAGGAGGACGAGAACAATGGAATAATTGGACAAATAATTCAAAGTTTACAGCAGCAAGAAATATTTGATAAGGTTTGGTTTTAATTTCTTTGGTTTTTAGGTAAGTGATGGATTGGGTCGAGAAAACATTGGTTCGATTCATAATTGTTGGATTTCGGGTTAAAAGTCTGGGGTATTGAATTTTGGCTAACTTGGCCCATCCCTGATATTTATGCTTAAAAAATATTTTAGCTCGGTGATTTATACGAGGCATTGGAAAAACCAGAAAAAGCTATGGACGCCTACAACAATGGAAATTTTTATGGAAAAGCAATTCAGGTTATTTTGTCTTCTTTAAACGATTTTTAAAAAATTGTTTCATTTTAGATTGCTCGAATTCATTTCCCTGAGGGTGTGATTCAATTAGAAGAAAATTGGGGTGATTGGCTGTTTTCTCAGGGAAATTATCATTTGGCAGCTACACATTTTCTCGGTTTTTTTTAATTTTTAAAATTTATTTTGCTCAATTTTTAAAGAATCTGGAAACACTCTTCGTGCAATTGATGCTTCAATACTTGCCAAGGAATGGGACAAAGCCTTGGATATGTTAAAGTCAATAGAATCAACACCCGAAACAACGCCATTTTATGAAAAGATTGCACATAATTTTGAATTGACTGGTGAATTGGAGGTTTAATTTTTATTCGTTTTTGAAAAAATTTTTTTGAAGAAAGCAGAATCTCTTTATACTCTTTCTGGCAAATTTGCTGAAGCTGTAGAAATGTATAATAAAGCAGGAAATTGGGCTAAAGCTTTTAAATTGGCAGCAGATTTCTTTGGACTTGAAGAAAGTCGACAACTTTATAGTGATAAAGCAGCCCAATTGGCAGAACAACGACGTTTTAATGATGCTGAAGAGGTTTATTTATTCCTTAATGAAGAGATTTTTTTAATTTTTTTAAAGCTTTATGTTGCGCTTGGTGCACCTGATCAGGCAATTGCTATGTACAAACAAGCTGATCGTACCGATGATATGATGCGTTTAATGGCCATTTATTATTCTGGAGAAGTTACGGTTTGGATTTTTCATGATTTTTGGTTGTGATATAAATTTTTTAATAGACCGCACAAAGGCGTTTAGCAGAAGAACTTGAACAAAAAGGAGATTTACGTGCAGCAGAAGAACAATATATGCTTGCTGGGGATTGGGCAGCTGCTATAGATATGTATCAACAAGCTGGACAGTGGGCTGATGCTCATCGATTGGCAAAAGCGAGTGGAGGTGAAAGAGCACATAAACAGGTTTTCGAAAACTTTTTAAATTTTCTAAATTAATTTTTTTTGAAAGATCTCCTATTTATGGGCAAAGAGTTTAGGAGGAGATGCAGCTGTTAAATTATTGCTTCGACATGAATTGTTAGATGAAGCTATAAATATTTCTATGACTAAAAGGTTTCTTTTTAATTTCTAGAAAATATTTAAATTTGTTTGTTTGAAGTGATTTTGATTTTGCCTTTGAATTATGCCGTCTTGGAGCAGGTCATCGATTACAATTTGTTCAACAAAAATATGCAGAACACTTGGAAGATGAAGGGGAACTTGATAAAGCTGAGGTTTATCTAAATAAAATTAAAAGAATAAAATTATTTTTTCTTCAAAGGAGCAATATTTGCTTGCAGGGAAAGCACGCGAAGCAGTTATTATGCGAATACATAACCGAAATTGGGAAGCAGCTGAACGAATTGCACAGTATTATTTTAAATATCTTAAATCAGCATTGTGTCCCATATCGAGTCCAATCCAGAGGGTCATCCCTGGGGGTCAACCCCAGCCCTGAGATCAGCCCCAACTGATCCTAGATGTCAACTTAGCTTGATCTCTGGGGTTTCTTCTAGAAAGTTGACCTTCGGTTTGGGAAGACTTCTAGGAGGTTGACCTTCTGGCGTGCTCCTATTTTGAACTTTATAATAATTCTAGGGAGCAATGCCCAGAAGAATTGCCTGAATTATTTGTTCAACGAGCTCGAGATGCTATTGAAAATGTGAGAGGAAACCTTTAAAATCTAATTTTTTTTATTTATATTTTAGCGAGATTTTGCCGTCGCCGAAAGTTATTTACTACGTGCAAATCGTCCAGATATTATTTTGGCATTTTATCGAGAATCGGCTATCTGGCAAGAAGCATTGCGTATTGCAAGAGATTATTTACCTGATGAGTTACAAAAATGCCAGGTTTTTTTAAAATTGTTGAAAAAAAAATTATTTGAATTTAAGTCTGATTATGAAGAATATCAACTTCTTTCGGGTGCAAAAGGTGCTCATTCATTAATAGCTCAAGCAAAAGAATGGGAACGACAAAGCGAATATCGTCGAGCTGTTGATTGTTGGATGAGAGTTGATGGATTAACTCAAGATCAACAAATTGTTTCGCAATCGTTGGCTAAGGTTTTCTTTCGATTTTAAAATTGTCTGATGATTAATTTTATTTTTCACAGGCTGCAGAATTAATAGTTAAATTTTTGGCTGATTCAGACGAAGAATCAATGGATTTGCTTACACAAGTTGGACAACGTCAAATGGCTTTGCGTCAATTTCTTGCTGCTGGTGAAACTTTTTTACTTGCTGATAAGCCAGTGGATTCAATAAAAGCTTTACTAGAAGGGCATGAATGGGCAAAGGCAAAACGGGTTGGGTTTTTTTAGAAAATATTTTTGCACAATTCTTATTGTTATTTAATAGGTAGCTGAACAGCTTGCCCCGGAACTGGAGCAACACGTTGATGAGACGTATCGTGAATTCCTTCGCACACACGGACGTATAGGCGAGCTTATTGACGTTGATGTTGTTAGTGCGATTGATATGCTTGTTCAATCCGGCAATTGGGAAAAGGCTTTAAATACCGCTAAACAACAAAAGGTTTTTTTAAATTAGTTTAGGCAACATTTAGAGCATTTCCCTCCTTTTCAATTTCTATTCTCTTTTAAGCATCGCCCTCTTCTAGACAAATATTTAGCTGCATATTCAACAGAATTACTTGCGAATGAACAATTTGAACAAACTTTGGATATCTTCCGAAAATATGGAGCTTCTTTCAATCCCCAATTGTTGCCTATTTATGACACTTTAGTTGATAAGGTTTTTTTTAATTTTCAAAATTTTTTGAAATTTTTTAAGCTTTTAAATGCACGTCCAAATAATATTAATTATGAAACAATTGCAACTTTGCGTGATTTATTGCTAGAGATATTTCAACAAATGACAGAACAGAATGATTCAACAACAGCAACAGATGAAGTTACTGCTCAATCAATTCAAGTTTAAATTTCAAAAAAAATTCTAATTGAAAAATCTTCTTTCTTTAGCATTTTGAAAGATGCCTTTTTGCTACTCATTTCATAGCGTTTCAAAAAGCTTTGGATCTTGTGGTTGAACAACAGGAGCAAAAACAAAAGTCTACTACACACCAAACAATGGAAGGTTCTATTTCTGCAATCAATGAAGAATTAAATATGTTAAGACTTCGATTGGGCATTGCTATTTTGAGGTTTTTTTTAGATTTTATGGGAAAGAATGAGATTTCCTATTTTAAGATATATTGACCCAATACGACCAGATAAAGCATTTTATGATGCTGGAAGTGCTTGTAAGGTTGTTTTTAGTTTACTAATTTTTTAAAAATATTTTTTAAAGTTCTGGGGCGGCTCTGACTACGAAAACATGACCTTCCTTTTATTCAACCATCTTTTGGATATTTTGGATGCAATTGATGAAGATGATCCCAATTTAGTGGATAATGGACTTTTTGAAGGAACAGATATACCTACAAGTTATGCCCTTCCAATGAATAAATATTTGAATGTATGTTTTTTTTTGAGAATTTAGAAAAAAAATTTTTTGATTTTTGAAGGTATCAGAACAGGAAGAAGTCAAAGAATGGGTTTTGGCTATTTCTGTTGGACGTCAAAATATAGAAAAACAATTGAAATTGGATAAAGAACGTGAAAGTTATGAAGCTAGTTCAATCGATTCCCTTGGAAATGATTACCCAATTTGTGTTATTTCAGGTTTTTTTAAGAGTAATCTTTTAAGCTTAAACATTTTCTTTTCAAAAGGCTACCCAGTATTAGATGAAGGTCATCAATTAGGTGGCGGGAGAGTGGCAACACACCAGGCATGGGCCACATTTACTGCTTTGGCTAAGCAAAACCCAACTGACGAGCTGTTTGATATACAACAATTTTTGGCAAAATGGGCCGGTGTTTCTAATTGAAAGGTTTTTGGAGGGAAAAAAGATAAGAAGAAGAATGTCTTTAAAAGGTTTTCTTTCAATTTTATATTTTTTTAGTCATTTTTAATCTTTTTTTCGACAAAAAATTAAAAATTAAGAAACATAAAAACCCGCGTCGAAATCGGTCTTTGAAATCGCTCATCTTTATTTCTGGATTTAACGTATTATCCTCCATGTAATGTAGAAATGAATGTAACAGTGTCACCATCATTTAGATCAGCATCCATCTTTAAAAAAGGGAAAAATTTTAGAATAACCTAGGAATATTGTGTTATTCGGCCTAGAACGACGAGCTCTTTTCGAATGACCCCAAAAACAACTGTCTGTCCTACAGTTTTGACGAATTTCGAGACCCATATCTCAACCTAAATTAGCAACCCAAAAATAAATTGGTGTCATTCGTCTAGCTCGATATCTCTTTTCGAATGACATGTATATTTTGTTCATATTCCGAAGTGGAAGTTTTTCCCCAAATTTTGATTTAATTTTAAATAATTTACTTACACCTCCAATAATTTCCCAATCTGTTTGATTGACAAGTACTAAAACTCCTGGCCGCACTGTGTTTCTTTGGATAAGCATGTCTTTGCGTTCATTATTTTTTAACATATTTTGTTCCATCCATTCCAATAATCCCTTTATTGTCAACTTAGTTGTAGATAATTCAATTTTGCATCCCTTCTTTCCATCAAAAATTACTTCAAGACCACCAGAGAATTCAAGAAGTATTTGTTTGTTGGTTCCCATTTTCTGCAGAAAATTTATCCTTTTGTTTTGTTTTCCTTTCGTTTTTTCTTTTTTACTTAACTATTTTCTCTTTTCGTTCTCTACTTTTAATGGAAACATAACGCCAAGAATATTTGGGATCAATTTTCATTTTCACATTTTCTCTTTTTCTCTTCCTTTCAGTCTCTCCATTCTTTTCATGTCTTATTTCGGCTCCGGTACAAAATATGGAATCGTTAAAATATGGAATCGTTAAAATCGCGAATAGGCTAAAAAGGGGTTAAAATACCGAATCGTTAAAATATGGAATGGTTAAAATATCGAATCGGGTAAAAAAGGGTTAAAATATGGAATCGTAAAAATATGGAATGTTTAAAATCTCGAATAGGCTAAAAAGAGGTCAAAATGTCGAATTCTTTTAAAAAGGGTCAGATGAGTGCCGTACGTTGATTATTGATAATTTTATCAGCTTATCAACCTATTGTTGATAATTTGATTGATAAGTTTCGTATGTCGTAGTCCGTCGCAATCTTTTCGGCCTGAGTTCACTGTATTTTACCGAGTAAAACCGGACCGGATAAATCAAGCATAATCGACCTGATCCGGTCCGGAATGATCGTGCGGATCCGGAAAACATAACGCGATCTTGATACGTCAAATTAGAGTGGAGTGCCTAGCTTCTAATAAAACCCGGAATTTTTTAACTGTACCGTATACGGTACAGAATACCGAAAAATACCGATCAGCTTTTAAATTTTATCGGTCGGCATTCTGTACCGTATTACCGACACGGAATACCGTCGGTATTACGGCAACGCCCGGATTCTAGGTTTTGGCGCCATTTTTAAAAAAATTCGACATTTTGACCTATTTTGGCCGTGTCGACATTTTATCAATTCTATATTTTAACGATTCCACATTTTGACCCCTTTTTACCCTATTCGAGATTTTAACCATTCCATATTTTAACGATTCCATATTTTAACCCCTATTTAGCCTATTCGCGATTTTAACCCATTTTTACCCGATTCGAGATTTTAACCCTTTTTTAGCCTATTCCATATTTTAACGATTCGGTATTTTGTCCGGACACGCTTATTTCACAACTTCCTTTGTCTTTCTTTACTAGAGTCCTCTACATTCTGCCAATCCACATTTTGTCAATAATGCTAAAACTTTACGCTTTGTCAATAAGGTTGTTGGCAAATGCGGGGTTTTACCCTTATTGGCAAAATATGTTATTGGCAAAACGTGTAAATACGTTTTCAATCTTATTTCGAAATTTCGTTTTTTTACTTTTATTTCCATTAAGCTCGAGACTAACTTTTTCTTGAATCTTCGAGTTGATAATACAGGACTTGAGGCTGTTCAGCACTCATTTTTATCTTTCTGGAGCTAGTTTCCGTTTTTTTGTTTACGCGAATTTGATCTAAATTCTGTGCGTGTTCTTATTTCCCTTTTCTCTTTGATTAATAGATTTTTATTAGTAAATAAATTTTAATTTCACAAAATGACTGATCGTTTAAGTACATATTAGTAAGAATTTTTATCATAAATATTTATCATTTTGTTAAACCGATTATCGTCACTTAATTTTCACACTTAGAAAGTGTCATTTTAATTTATTTCATCTAATTTTGTTATTTATGTATATGAGATTCATTTCTGAAGACCTTTTAACCCTTAAAACCTTCCTCTTTTAACGGAACTACCGAGGGATTAAGGTTGATAATGTGGTATTATGAGTGGTGTATCATAACTCTGGGTGTCTCTATCTTCTTCAATCACGCCAGATCCATCAATATCTCCTTTTTGATATCCCCCTTCAATCTTTATACGTGACTCATATTATCTATCGTCTTAGCAACAACTTTTAAAAAAACTTCTTTTACTCAACGCTTCCCTAGTAAATGCCGCCAAGTTTTATTTTTCTTCTAACGGCACTAAGCATTTCTAGAAATTAATCCTAGCATTGGAAATGACATTTTTTTGTTGTTTTTTGTCTTATTTTGTAAAAAAAGTAGATGCTTTACTATTTATTTGTCTCGTGTATTGTTATAAATTAGTATATTTTTCCTGTTAGTGTAGGTTAGCCTCTCTATTTTTTACCCTATAAATTTACCACAAGAAGGGAGAGGTTTTCATTGATTTTAAAAAATGAAGGGCAGCTAGATGAAAACAAGACGTGGAGTAAATAAATAGAGAGAGTGAGTGACACGAAAAAATTTTTATTTTTATTTTAAAAACTGGTTTTTTGTACTATTTTTATTTTATATAAATATATTTTTATATTTAATTTAATAATAATTTTTATTAATTTTTCAGATTTAAACTAAAATATTTATTCCTTAAGTTGACTACTTGGACAACAAACTTTTCAATTTTCACAACTCAACGAAAAAAATAAAATGAGTCATCAACAACCAAATGCGCCGCCTCCCTACGGTTCTTTTTTTATTTTAGTTTTATTTACATTTCTCGTTTACAGATAGTGCGCAAAAATATTCTGCTTATCCGGACATTAACATGCAAGGTTTGTTTTTGCTCTTTTATTTTTAAATTTCCGGCTGCCTGTTGTTGGAAGTATAAAATCTTTTGTTAAGTACTTCTGTGGTTTGGCGGGTGTGTTCTTGACTTTTGGCAGGTTAGGCACGGTTCGATTCCGGCTGGGGAAAATTAATTATTTTTGACTATTTAAAAGATTTTTAAACGGTTTTTAAACAACTTTAATTTAAAATTTTTGTTGTCAAAATTTTTTGATTATTTTTGATAACTAAATTTAACGTTCTCTTTACAAAAATTATTTTTCTGTGGCCATTATTTTTATCGATAATTTAAATTGTTCCTCTCAAAATATTAGCTGCTTATCTCTTACTCACCTTTCAAATGCTTTCCAAGGGAGAGAGAAAGGTTACACACCCATTTTCCTTTTTTTATTGGTATAAATAAATGAATCATTATTGAAATTATTTTAAAAATTTCACCTTTTTTCCTTTTCATTTAATTAAAAAATTTTTTAGGCGATCCTTACCAACCAAATATGCAAAATCCATACCCGCAACAACAGGCGCCACAACAGCCTGCACCTACGACGACTTATGTTTATGTTAATGATGGACAGCGCCCGCCGTTTGGACCACAACCGCAAAATGTTTGTTTATTTTTAAGTTTCTTTGACCTTAAATTAGGAGGGGACCCTATGGGGTTTCAGTTTTTCCAATTAGGTTCAAAATCCAAGATTCTGAGATGTTATGTTTTCGATGTTTGGACTAGAGAAAAGTATTTCCGGCTCGACGGCATTTTACGGGATTATGTGCTTATTTTGGCCTTAACTTGGGAAGTACGAAGCCCTGTAGCCTGTTTTTCATTTTATTGACTTATGTCCAAATCGAGATGATCTTGTCGATATATGGGCTAGAGAACAGCATTTTCCGACTCGTCTGGATTTTATGGGATTTACTTTTATCTGTCACGTTCTTAGGCCATTTCTTTGGCTCTTACCTACTTTTAATAGCTATAAATATATTCTTAATTTTTTCAGGCATATTGCCCGACTTGTCAGCAAAGTGTGCTTACAAAAGTTAAACATTCTGCTGGTCTTTTAACTTGGCTTGTTTTTGGTGGATGCTTAATATTTGGGTAAATTTTATTTTATTTTAGGGATTCAATTAAATTATATTTTTTTCAAGATGTTGGTTGGGCTGTTGTTTGTTGCCATTTTGCATGGATGACTGTCAAGATTGTGAGCATTTTTGCAGTAATTGCAACACTTTCTTGGGCCAGTACAAACGCCTCTGAATGAAGAGACTTTCTGCTATTTTTAAAAGTAAAAAGAAGACACATTTTGCGATATATTTCATTATCTTTTCATTTTTATAAACATTTGACAATTTTAATTGATTAGCGTTGAAAGGGTTCTGTTGGCCTTTTGAATGTTTTGAACATTTTTCGTTTGATATCTTACGTTTCTTTTAACATTTAACAATATTCGTTTCAAAATTCAAAAATCTGCGATATTTGGCATAATGCAAAATATTAAGATTAAATGACACTTCATCCCAAAAATCAATAATCGATTTTTGATGTTTCATTTGGCGTCCTCTCTCGTTCATCTTTAGCAAAGATGTTCTACAACAGAATGCGTGGCTTTTCCTTTTTTGGGGATTAACCTTTTTAGGAGGAGGGTAGAATTGAGTTGCGGACAAGACTTGCTTTTTTTCAATTTTTGAAAAATTTATCCAATTTTTTCAGTTCTTCAGCAGCAGCAATAAACAACAGCAGCAGCACAACATCAGCAACAACAGCAACAGCAGCAACAACAACAGCAGCAACAAAATGCACCAGTTTCTCCGGAGATAGCAGGGCAAAAAAGCACCAGTTTCTCCGGAGATAGCAGGGCAAAAAAGCACCAGTTTCTCCGGAGATAGCAGGGCAAAAAAGCACCAGTTTCTCCGGAGATAGCAGGGCAAAAAAGCACCAGTTTCTCCGGAGATAGCAGGGCAAAAAAGCACCAGTTTCTCCGGAGATAGCAGGGCAAAAAAGCACCAGTTTCTCCGGAGATAGCAGGGCAAAAAAGCACCAGTTTCTCCGGAGATAGCAGGGCAAAAAAGCACCAGTTTCTCCGGAGATAGCAGGGCAAAAAAGCACCAGTTTCTCCGGAGATAGCAGGGCAAAAGCACCAGTTTCTCCGGAGATAGCAGGGCAAAAGCACCAGTTTCTCCGGAGATAGCAGGGCAAAAGCACCAGTTTCTCCGGAGATAGCAGGGCAAAAGCACCAGTTTCTCTAAGGAGATAGCCGGGCAAAAGCACCAGTTTCTCTAAGGAGATAGCCGGGCAAAAGCACCAGTTTCTCCGGAGATAGCAGGGCAAAAGCACCAGTTTCTCTAAGGAGATAGCCGGGCAAAAGCACCAGTTTCTCCGGAGATAGCAGGGCAAAAGCACCAGTTTCTCCGGAGATAGCAGGGCAAAAGCACCAGTTTCTCCGGAGATAGCAGGGCAAAAGCACCAGTTTCTCCGGAGATAGCAGGGCAAAAGCACCAGTTTCTCTAAGGAGATAGCCGGGCAAAAGCACCAGTTTCTCTAAGGAGATAGCCGGGCAAAAGCACCAGTTTCTCCGGAGATAGCAGGGCAAAAGCACCAGTTTCTCCGGAGATAGCAGGGCAAAAGCACCAGTTTCTCTAAGGAGATAGCCGGGCAAAAGCACCAGTTTCTCTAAGGAGATAGCCGGGCAAAAGCACCAGTTTCTCTAAGGAGATAGCCGGGCAAAAGCACCAGTTTCTCTAAGGAGATAGCCGGGCAAAAGCACCAGTTTCTCTAAGGAGATAGCTGGGCGATCTTCACTTCAACGATTAAACTCCAATGCTCTCGTCTACATGGTTAGCTTTTTTTTATTTTATTAAAATCGCAAGTTTTGTTCGCAAAGTTACTCCCTTAAATAAGTTTATCCTTTCCCAATGTTAAAGCCAATCAAATGATGGCCCAAATTCTTGTCAAATGAGATGTACAGCAAATGTTCAACTGGTTAGATGCATTGATTTGCTTGCTTTGAATGGTTGATCTTTTGATAGGTTGTTTTTATTTTTAAGAGTTTTTCAATTACTTAATTTTCAGCTTTGAGAGAGTGTCCAGAAGATGTTAAAATTTTTAAAGAGGTTATTTTTTAATTATTTCTATGGTTTCAAGATTATTTTTTAGGCCGGTGGATTGTTGCGGAAAGGACGTCTTTTTTTGAGTATGCTTTGGAGAACAAGAATCAGCAGAAAAAATGACTGAAGATTTCAAATCTTGACAGTATTCAGCAAATTAGGTTTGAAGATTAACTGATTTGTTTGTTGGGTTTCCACAATTTTCGTTTATTCAGGTTTTGCCCCTTTTTAAAACTTACTAATTTAAAAATGCATGTTATCAATGTTTAAATCTGTTCAGTTGCTTCCCTTTGGTATTGTGAGTTGTCGGGGGTTTTGTTGGCCCGCCAGACTTCACGATTATACAACGTTCGAAAGAGCTCGTCGAACTGACTTGTGCGGGGGACGAAGGCGGGTGGACGTACAGGGACCGAGTTTTATAGGCTTTAGGGGTTTGTAAACGGCATAAATTCCGGACATTTTTGTCTCTAACGATTTATTTTTTCAGTTTAAAGAACGTGTAAACGAGGAAAAAATGGTCAAACATGGACAAGAATTGACCGCCCACAAAGACAAACACAACATCTGGTCGTTGAGCAATAAAGAAGCAATGGAATTGCAGAAGAAGGAAGCGCTGGGCACCAAATATCAAAATTGGATTTGGGAACGAAAACATAGTTTTTTTTAAATTTTTTTGTTTACTTAGATACAGTCGAAATACCATCAAGCCGTTGGAATCGACATTTTCTCAAAAATGAAAAGAAAATCGGATTAATTGTCAAAATCCTAATTTCGACTGTATTGCTCACAATTATTTTGTTTTGTATAATTTTTATTATTTTTTAGCCAAATTTTTATTAGTTTGAATAAATAAAAATGAATTTTTTGTTGTTGAATTACAATTTTTTATTAAACTTTATCGAGGACTTTAAAGAGAAATCAACTTCTAGAAGAATTTAACGGTCTTATACCCTCATTAAATTCCAAAGAGGCCATCTTTCATGTTATCAGACTCTTGTATTCTTTTTTGTATAGAGGACTACTCGCTCCTTTTGAAGTAAGTTGTAATGTAGCAAGTAGAGAAAGTAAATATTTGAAATAGTTGAGAAGTTGGGATGTAATGCTAAAAATAAATGACATTTTGTCCCAAGAGTTAGAGAAATTCTATAAAATAAATAGTGTGGCTAGAGAAAAAAATAAATATCAAATGTTTAGGTCGGTTCAGTGCTGAATTCAAAGAGTGTGAAACTACTGTATTTGAATTAATTTTTCATTAAATGTTCCAAATTTAAAAAATTTTGTTTGTTTATTTTTGATTCTTTTAGGATGGTAATCCTAAGAATTTAGTGTGCAGAAGATTTCTACGGATTCTACCTTTACAGTTCGATTGATGTGTATTTAGACTCGGACAGTTTGAGATGGAACATTTTGGGATATAGACCTTTTAGGTCCATCTCGTCTTTTAATTTACCGGTCTTTTTATTAAACGGTCTTTTAATAGCTTCTGGACTTGCCGGTCTTTTAGCATAACCAGTCTTTTTATTAAACGGTCTTTTAATAGCTTCTGGACTTGCCGGTCTTTTAGCATACCGGTCTTTTTATTAAACGGTCTTTTAATAGCTTCTGGACTTGCCGGTCTTTTAGCATAACCAGTCTTTTTATTAAACGGTCTTTTAATAGCTTCTGGACTTGCCGGTCTTTTAGCATACCGGTCTTTTTATTAAACGGTCTTTTAATAGCTTCTGGACTTGCCGGTCTTTTAGCATACCGGTCTTTTTATTAAACGGTCTTTTAATAGCTTCTGGACTTGCCGGTCTTTTAGCATACCGGTCTTTTTATTAAATAGCTTCTGGACTTGCCGGTCTTTTAGCATAACCAGTCTTTTTATTAAACGGTCTTTTAATAGCTTCTGGACTTGCCGGTCTTTTAGCATACCGGTCTTTTTATTAAACGGTCTTTTAATAGCTTCTGGACTTGCCGGTCTTTTAGCATACCGGTCTTTTTATTAAATAGCTTCTGGACTTGCCGGTCTTTTAGCATACCGGTCTTTTTATTAAACGGTCTTTTAATAGCTTCTGGACTTGCCAGTCTTTTAGCATAACCAGTCTTTTTATTAAACGGTCTTTTAATAGCTTCTGGACTTTCCGGTCTTTTAGCATACCGGTCTTTTTATTAAACGGTCTTTTAATAGCTTCTGGACTTGCCGGTCTTTTAGCATACCGGTCTTTTTATTAAATAGCTTCTGGACTTGCCGGTCTTTTTATCCGGCAAGTCCAGAAGCTATTAAAAGACCGTTTAATAAAAAGACCGGTAAATTAAAAGACGAGATGGACCTAAAAGGTCTATATCCCAAAATGTTCCATCTCAAACTGTCCGAGTCTAAATACACATCAATCGAACTGTAAAGGTAGAATCCGTAGAAATCTTCTGCACACTAAATTCTTAGGATTACCATCCTAAAAGAATCAAAAATAAACAAACAAAATTTTTTAAATTTGGAACATTTAATGAAAAATTAATTCAAATACAGTAGTTTCACACTCTTTGAATTCAGCACTGAACCGACCTAAACATTTGATATTTATTTTTTTCTCTAGCCACACTATTTATTTTATAGAATTTCTCTAACTCTTGGGACAAAATGTCATTTATTTTTAGCATTACATCCCAACTTCTCAACTATTTCAAATATTTACTTTCTCTACTTGCTACATTACAACTTACTTCAAAAGGAGCGAGTAGTCCTCTATACAAAAAAGAATACAAGAGTCTGATAACATGAAAGATGGCCTCTTTGGAATTTAATGAGGCACAGCGGGTTAAAGAGGACATTGTGTAGTGTCTAATTTTCTCTGCTTCTCTAATTTTCTCCTAGAATAAAGCATTACTCTCATTTTTCATTTTACCCACAAAACTTTGAAATCCAATATCTCGGCTTATAGACGTTAGTTTTAAAATCGCTCCCGCTATTTTGTGCAAAACTATTTAATAAACAATTAGGCAAAAAATTAAAAAAATTTACCCATTTTTAAAAAAATTGAAAGGATTTTACTGCGGACTTAGATCTGCGACTTAGATCATCTAACAAATGTTAGTTCATTCGAAAGAACTCCTCGAGATGAGTCAAATAAAACCAAAATTAACGTAATCCGACTTCATAGGGCCGAGTTAGAGACCCACGAAAGTTGAAAATTTTTGGAGTTAGAGTTTCGGACATGCAAATTATAGGTCGATCGAAAGAGCTCGTCGAGCTGAGTCGAATGACACCAAAATCAGCTTGACTGAATAATTCCTAACAAAGTTATGACCTATAGATGAATTAGCCTTGCGTTTATTTGGAGAGTATTCGCGAATAAACAGGTTGTATTCGCGAATAAACAGGTCGTTTTTGCGAATAAATGGGTTTCTCTGCCTATGTCCTGTCTGTCAACTAAGTTAACCCGCTGTGATGAGGGTATAAGACCGTTAAATTCTTCTAGAAGTTGATTTCTCTTTAAAGTCCTCGATAAAGTTTAATAAAAAATTGTAATTCAACAACAAAAAATTCATTTTTATTTATTCAAACTAATAAAAATTTGGCTAAAAAATAATAAAAATTATACAAAACAAAATAATTGTGAGCAATACAGTCGAAATTAGGATTTTGACAATTAATCCGATTTTCTTTTCATTTTTGAGAAAATGTCGATTCCAACGGCTTGATGGTATTTCGACTGTATCTAAGTAAACAAAAAAATTTAAAAAAAACTATGTTTTCGTTCCCAAATCCAATTTTGATATTTGGTGCCCAGCGCTTCCTTCTTCTGCAATTCCATTGCTTCTTTATTGCTCAACGACCAGATGTTGTGTTTGTCTTTGTGGGCGGTCAATTCTTGTCCATGTTTGACCATTTTTTCCTCGTTTACACGTTCTTTAAACTGAAAAAATAAATCGTTAGAGACAAAAATGTCCGGAATTTATGCCGTTTACAAACCCCTAAAGCCTATAAAACTCGGTCCCTGTACGTCCACCCGCCTTCGTCCCCCGCACAAGTCAGTTCGACGAGCTCTTTCGAACGTTGTATAATCGTGAAGTCTGGCGGGCCAACAAAACCCCCGACAACTCACAATACCAAAGGGAAGCAACTGAACAGATTTAAACATTGATAACATGCATTTTTAAATTAGTAAGTTTTAAAAAGGGGCAAAACCTGAATAAACGAAAATTGTGGAAACCCAACAAACAAATCAGTTAATCTTCAAACCTAATTTGCTGAATACTGTCAAGATTTGAAATCTTCAGTCATTTTTTCTGCTGATTCTTGTTCTCCAAAGCATACTCAAAAAAAGACGTCCTTTCCGCAACAATCCACCGGCCTAAAAAATAATCTTGAAACCATAGAAATAATTAAAAAATAACCTCTTTAAAAATTTTAACATCTTCTGGACACTCTCTCAAAGCTGAAAATTAAGTAATTGAAAAACTCTTAAAAATAAAAACAACCTATCAAAAGATCAACCATTCAAAGCAAGCAAATCAATGCATCTAACCAGTTGAACATTTGCTGTACATCTCATTTGACAAGAATTTGGGCCATCATTTGATTGGCTTTAACATTGGGAAAGGATAAACTTATTTAAGGGAGTAACTTTGCGAACAAAACTTGCGATTTTAATAAAGTAAAAAAAAAAGCTAACCATGTAGACGAGAGCATTGGAGTTTAATCGTTGAAGTGAAGATCGCCCAGCTATCTCCTTAGAGAAACTGGTGCTTTTGCCCGGCTATCTCCTTAGAGAAACTGGTGCTTTTGCCCGGCTATCTCCTTAGAGAAACTGGTGCTTTTGCCCGGCTATCTCCTTAGAGAAACTGGTGCTTTTGCCCGGCTATCTCCTTAGAGAAACTGGTGCTTTTGCCCGGCTATCTCCTTAGAGAAACTGGTGCTTTTGCCCTGCTATCTCCGGAGAAACTGGTGCTTTTGCCCTGCTATCTCCGGAGAAACTGGTGCTTTTGCCCGGCTATCTCCTTAGAGAAACTGGTGCTTTTGCCCGGCTATCTCCTTAGAGAAACTGGTGCTTTTGCCCGGCTATCTCCTTAGAGAAACTGGTGCTTTTGCCCGGCTATCTCCTTAGAGAAACTGGTGCTTTTGCCCGGCTATCTCCTTAGAGAAACTGGTGCTTTTTGTTGCTGCTGTTGCTGAAGTTGTTGCTGCTGCTGTTGTTGCTGTTGTTGTTGCTGCTGCTGCTAAAAATTGGATACATTTTTCAAAAATTGAAAAAAGCAAGTCTTGTCCGCAAGTCATTACTCCTCCCCACCCCTCAAAAAGGTTAACCCCCAAAAAAGGAAAAGCCACGCATTCTGTTCAGAACATCTTTGATAAAGATGGACAACAGAGGACTCCAAATGAAACAGAGAACACTATATGAAATATCAAAAAATCGATTATTGATTTTTGGGATGAAGTGTCATTTAACCTTAATATTTTGCATTATGCCAAATACCGCAGATCGTTGAATTCTGAAACAAATAAATATTGTTAAATGGTAAAGATATAACGGTTTTAAAACCGATTTCAATTTGATATTGAGAACACATGAAGTAACAACACACAAAAAAACATGTAGCGGTCAGAGAAAAGCATTTTCACTACTCTGCCATAAGAAAAATTAATTATTTTTCTCTAACCAGTACATGTTTTTGCATGTCTAAACAATGGCCGCCGAGTAAAATCAATAAATGCAGAAAGAGTGTGGGAAATAAAGAGATATTAGACAGTTAAAGATTCGAGGTCGGTTCAGTGCGAAATAGTTAGTGACAGCTAACTTGTTTTGTTGAAAATACTAAAAGATTCTCCCTTCAAGTTTCAATTTGAAATACTACATATAAAATGGATTAGGGACACTGAACCGACTACAGACAATAGTAAATCAAAATAAACAGTTGTAAAGAAAATTAAAAAAAAAATATATAAAAAATCAGCAATTTTAATTTGAATAAAAAATAATTTAAAAAAAACGGTAATCCTGCAGAATCTGGGAGACACTTTAAAAACACCTTCAAAATTATTATTTTTTTCACAAAAATAATTTTATATAGGTAATAGACCATGCTGATAACGAATCTGAGCTTAGAAAATGTTTATTTCGAATCCCGGACCCGGATTCGACCAGGTCGAATTCGGGGTAAAAAATTCGAAATTAAAAATTTAGGGCTAATCTGACACGCCTATTCGAGCTGAGTCGAATGGTATCAAAATTATTCAGTTTCGACAACTTTGGACGAAGTTATAACCAGTTAAATAACGCTTGGTTAGACTTCCGTATACAAATCAGATACCATAACTTCGTCTAAAATTGTCGAAACTGAATAATTCGACTCACCATTCGACTCAGAATCTCACCATTCGACTCAGAATAAAGAGACGAATCAAAATGACCATAATATCATCATTTCGAATTTTTACCCCGAATTCGACTTGGTCGAATTCGGGTCCGGGTTCGAAATGAGCAAATTCTAAGCTCAGATTCGTAATCAGCATGGCCGATTACCTAAATAAAATAATTTTCAGAAATGACAATTTTTAAGGCGTTTTTCAGGTGTCTCCCGGATTCTGCAGGATTACCAAAAAACATCTTTTAAAACAACCTTGAAATCATCATCCTTATTCTCCTCAGCATCGGCCACCGCTAATCTCGATTTTTTCCGAGCTCATCCACTAAAAAACAGAATTTTTTTCATCTAGCAATTCTAAAAAAATTTCTTACCTTTTCCTTCTCAATGATAAATTAACGTCTCCCTTGGATACATCCTGAACCAAATGCTGAAGATTGTGCTTCTTCTAAATTTAATTTGGAATAAAAAAAATAAATTTGAGAAAATCCCTCAAAAAGGCCTTATAAAAATTCAAAGGGCATTAAAAATATCTCTCCCTTTTTTGTTGTTCCCTCAAAAACTATACTAAAAAAGAGATAAAAGGATCAATCAAGCATGTGATCAAAATAAAAACGTTACGAGAAAGAAAAAAAAACATGGATTTTTGGATATAAACTCTTAATCAAGAAGAGCGGCTGTCAATTAAAAAAAATTTTTTTTATAAAGGGTAAAAATAAGAGAACAATTTAAAAGACGAAAAAAAATCATTCTTCGTTGTATCAAAAAAATATTTGAACTAAAAAAGTGTGGTTTTCCTTCTTTTTATTTTTTTAAAGATCAAGTTTGACTCAAAAAAATTTTTTTGATTGAGAAAAATGCAGAGACTTTCAATGCCTAATGTACTCCAAACGGAAGAAGATGATGAAGAGTATGATGAAGATGAGGAATGGACATATGAATATGTAACTGATAGTGGGGAAGAATGGGATGAGGATGAAGTTAAGGATGAAAAGAAGGCAAAATTGGAAGAGAAGGAAGAGAAGGGAGATAAAGAAGTGAAGAAAAGGGAAGAGAAGAAGGAAAAGGAAGAAGAGAGGAAGAAAATGGAAGAGAAAAAACAATTGGAAGAGAAGAAAAAAGAAGAAGAGAAGAAAACGGAAGAGAAGAAGAAAATGGAGGAGAAAAAGAAAGCGGAAGAGAAGAAAAAAACAGAAGAGAGGAAGAAAATGGAAGAAACAAAGAAGAAAGCAGAAGGGATGAAGAAAGCGGAAGAGAAAAAAGTTGAAGAAAAGAAAGCAGAAGAGAAGAAGAAACTGGAAGATTTGACTAAAAAATCAAAAAGTGAACCAAAAAAGGAAGAGGTGAAGAAAGATGAGAAGAAAAAAGAAGAAATAAAAAAGGTTGAAGATAAGAAAAAGGTGGAAGAGAAGAAAGATAAAGCAGAGGATTTGACTAAAAAAGCAAAAACTGAAACTAAGAAGGGGGAAGAAAATGTGAAGATGACCAAAAATGAAGATAAAGGATCCTCCAAAAAGACCCCAATACCTCCACCAAAACCAGCTACAGGACAGAAACTGAAAGAGGAAGCAAAATCAACAAAAACACCCTCCAAACCCCCAACACCATTAACAACCAAAAAATCAACTACAAGCACCCCAGAAAAACCAAAACCAGTGGAATCAACAACAAAAATTGGGACAAAAACAGAAAAAGAAATTCCAAAGAAACCTGCACCTACCCCACCCCCAAGAAAACCTGCTGGAACTTCCGAACAACCAAAAAAGGAAGAGAAAAAATTGGAAAGTTCAAGGAGTGTTTCCCCAGTCAAAAAAGGGGTACTGAAACCAACAGAAAAGGGTAAAATTTGTAAAAAATTATAATTAAATTTAAACAAACCTCTAAACAGAACCAAGCCATAAAAGTAAACAAGAAGAGAAACCACGAAGATCAACAGTTGAACAATTAACCAAGGAAGACCAAAAAGATAAAAGATTGTCAGCTGCAAGAGGCTCTTCTGTTGTTAGAATAAAGGAACCTGAAGAAGAAAATAAAAAGTCAACAACAAGGAAAACAGTTCCACGCTCCCATTCTTTGGTATTTTTTGAATCAATTTTGAAGGGTTAAACTCTAGAAGGTCAACACTCTAGACACCTCTATAAAGTCAACTCGACAATGGTCAATAAATCCAGCGATATATAATCCAGCCCCAAGAGGGACCAATAGGGAGTGATCTAGAGATTGTTGACCTTCTGGGTCTTCCCATTTCAAAAATTCAATTCAAAAAGGCTGGAAGCGAAGACCCCCGAAACCTGACCAATTCAGCAGCAGCCAACAGAGGAAAATCATCATCGCCTTTCCGCTCTTCCTCACCAGTTAAATCAGTTAATGAAAGGCGGAAGGCGTTCATCAATCCAGAAGCGCCTCAATTGGTTTGAAGAAAGTTTTCTTAAAAAATTTTTTTCAATTCAAAAAAAGGTAATAGATAACGTACCTCGAGGCAATTTGCTTGCTCGTTTTCTCAAAAATCCTCCAAAACCTCCATCCCCTCCACCAAAGAAGGAATTTAAATGGGCATTGCCAACAACTTCAAAAGCAACAGAATCGACATATTGGAAGCCGCCACCAAAGCCTCAGCCATACAAATCTTCTGGTAAAATAAGAGGGAATTTAGAGACATTGAAAATATTTTTTTCGACCCCTGGAAACGTGGCGTGAACTTTGTGGACAAGAAGTTGCAGATCCGAACTTTGGGAAACGAAAGTGTGCGAATTTATGGTCCGCAAAATTCGAATCCACAAGTTTCGGGTCTGCAAATTTTAGGATCCACAAATCTCGGCTCCACATATTTGAATCCGTAAGGTTCGGAATACCCCATGAAATACTCAAAAAATTTTACTTTAAAAATTAATTCCCCTTTACAGCCCCAGAATACAAAGAAAATCCATTAATTATTGAACCAATCCTTTTCCCCGAAGAGCAAAAAGTTTATGAAGAAGAAAAACGAAAGGAAGAGGAAGAGAAGTCGGGAGGAAAGAAAGGAGAGAAAAAAGGAGGAAAAGTTGAAGGGAAAAAAGGAAGTGGAAGAATTGAAGAGAAAAATATTGGGAAGAAAAAAGACGCGGTAGGAGGGGTTAAACATAAATTAGAAAAAAAATTTTAATTTTAAAAGGATGCAAAGAAAGCAGCCAAACCTGAAGCAAAAAAAGAAACTGGGAAAAAAGATGAAATCAAAAAACCGGCAGCCAAAAAGGAAGAAAAAGAGACTGGGAAGAAAAAAGAAGGGAAGGAAGATGCGAAAAAAGAGAAGAATTTAAAAGAAAAGGAAGTCAAAGGGAAGGAAAAAGGGAAGGAAGAAAAGGTTGAGAAGAAGGAGGGCGAGAAGAAAGGAAAGGAAGAGAAGAAGAAAAAAGAAGGGAAGGAAGAAAAGGAGGAAGAAAAAATTGTTGATGAAGATGTGGAAGATGAGGAAGAAAACTTGGAAGATGAAGAATTAAGTGCAGAACTAGACGAAGAGGAAGAAAATGTGGAAGATGAAGACAGGGAGAATGAAGAGGAGGAACCAAAGAAAAAGAAGCGAAGGAAGAGCAAAAAGAATAAAAAACCTAAAAAGGTTAAAGCTGAAAAACCAAAAAGAAAATGGGTACCACCTCCAAGGCCTCCACCAGGTGAGAAGGGGAAAATGAAATAGAAAATAATTTTAAAAAAATTCAGAAGCAATTGAAATGCCTCCAGAAGAAAGGCATTTATGGGAGATTGGAAGAGAGGAAGTAAGGCATGGAAATAGGCCTGCAAAAATGTACGCAAAAAGGGAAAAAGCGTAAGGATTTTAAAGTTAAATAATGGAAAAATATTTTTGAAAATTAAAACCTCAAAAAATTTTCCTTGTTCACCCACTGTCCATTCCATTTCCACCCATAAAAAAGCATCCCCATCCTAAATTAAAAAAATTTTTCAATTCTTTAAAAACCCAAAAAAACCTCTCAAACTTAAAGCGACTCCATCGACCTGCCTTATGTCTTTCCATGGGAGGCTTGTCCAGCATTACAAAGCCAAACAGGAATGTGTGCATTTGGAACACATCGAGATCCAAAAACAAAAGTTGACCAAGGGCATATTGAACTTGTACAGGTTGGGTTAAAAATTAAAAATTTTTTCTAAAAAATTTTTAAAAATACATAAATGGGTCAACAACCCAAAAAATTTTTCTAAAAATTCAAGCAAAAAATTCCATTTAATATAAAAAATACAAAGAAATTAAAAAAAGAAAACCAGAAAAATATGAGCAATCAAGAAATTTTTTTATTCGCGAGCAAAATTTCTCTTTTTCACAAATTTATTCGGTCAAGTCTGTTGTAAATCAGTATGCAATTCTGAACGATTTGTTGCTTTTTTGAGTTCATTTATCTTTAAGGAAAAAATTACAATTTTAATATGTAAGAAATTTAAAAATCCTAAGAGAATAGACAAAAATTCTTAAAGGGTTTATAAATGTGATAAAAATACAGATAGCTTAGGGAGGAGAGATCTGTGTAGGGAAGGCAGGGAAGATTCCGCTAGTTTACGCGGGAGATCTAGGATTCTCCTATACATATGTGATAAAGAAAAGAAGTCATAACCCGACATCCACTCATCAGTTAGCAAAAACTTAGCAAATTATTAGCAAAAACACATGATATCCTTGTTACAGGCCAAGAGTCCTCTACTACTGGTTCAATTCCGTTGCTTAAAAAGGTATACCCAAAACTCAAATTTGAGAAGGTACCCCTCGAAAAGAATTTAAATTTTAATAACCCTTCCTAAAAGTTGTATAGCCTCTCCTTCCTCATTTTCTATCAAAAAACAACCAAAATATAAATTTAAAAATAACCTTTGAAGCAATTCTATTTGCATAAGTTGTTGTCAATTTAGCTCCCAAAAATTCTCTTTCTTCCAAAACACCAGATAAATTTCCAAGTAAATCTTCATCCATCTTTTCCCATGCTTCACAAGCGGCAGCATTTAATCTCAATTCATTACAAATTTTAATTCTGTATTGCTCTCGTTTCTAATTTAAAAAATCATAAAAGAAATTTAAAATTTAAAAAGAAACCTCAAAATTTAATCCTGGAATTTTATTCCGCATTTTTTGCGTAGTTGAAAGAAGTAGAGGATAATTGTCTAAATTTAAAAAAAAATTTTAAATAGTCTTTTCAAAACGATTTTTGAAGTTTCTATCAGGAATGGGGGGGGGGTTCCTATCAGGGATGTGGGATCTGAAAACCTTCTTTTTTCTCAAACCGTTCATCCCAGTTTTCTACACTCAATAAAGGGTGTTATTCTCACACAGATTTTACACAAAAACCCCTTTTTAATATTTCCTCTGATTGTGAGGATGGGACGGGTAACGAAACGTGGACTTTTTCCGAGCAGAGACACGACTTTTAACTTTCTTCCCTCTTAATCACTCAACTGACCCGAGCCGAAACCCTTACACGGACGTCTTTTCGACCCTAGACCCAAGCAAGGTTGGCGAATCCGAATCCGAAAAAGGCCAGATATCCGGAAATTTTTGGATCGGATCCGGATATCCGAAGATTTCCAACTATCCGCCAACCTTACTTACACTTATTGTTAGACCCACTAGCCGAAGAAAACTTTGAAAATCCAACCAGTTCTCATCCCTATTCTTATACTCAAAAAAGGGCGCCATTCTCACCCAAAATCCCCATTTAAACCAAAAATATTTTTCAAAATTTCAAAAACAAAACCTGCTTTATCCTCCTTCAAAACTTTTCCAGCATCTGACCATTTCGGAATTTCATTTAATGAACTTAATCTTCTTTTTCTTAATTCACTTTGAACTAGTTCTCTAACACGTTGACGCTCTTCTTGTTCTTGAATTGTAGGATCTCGGCCCATTCCTCCATCTCGAGTATTTTCATAATCAGCGTCTTTCAATAGGCTAAAATTTGAAAAAATCGTATCAATAAAAAAAATTAGTTATTTTCTCAATTAGGGGGAGGTTTCAAACCGATCCGGAGCGAGAACGAAGACGAAGATTTTCAGTTCGTTTGTCAGCTCGGCTTACCAAAAATCCCTAAATCCACCCAACACATTTTTTATCGTTCGATATCAGTCCCCTTACCCCAAATTATTAATAAATCCCCTTATATCCCAAATCTCCCAATCGCTAAATCCACCCAACACTATATATCCCTTTAATCTTTGACAAATTTTCGGTTCGTCTTTTTGGTTAATCGAATAATTTTATAAACCAACAACCCAATTCTCACCGCTTTCTTCCTCCCCCATAAAGTTGTCCATCTTCTTCTTTATTATTATTCATCCCTCTTCTACTAGTATTTACTCTTTCAAATTTTTCCAAACATTTTAATCCTTCTTTGACTTTTTGTGGATTTTTACAAAAATCACAATTATTTGAACAATTTACAACATTTTCATCAAAATAGCGTCCAATATAAGCATGTCTACAACTAAAAAATTTCAAAATTTCATTTAAAAACAAGCTAAAACAAGCATAAAAACAAACTTTGCCTTCTCCAAATATTCAATCATTTTTTCAAAACCTTTTTGAATTTCTTTTTTTCGTTGTTCAACTACTTGGGCAGGAACACTTTTAGTCTAAAAAATAAATTTTCAAAAAATTTTAAAAAATAAAAAAAACCCTATTAATTCCATTAATTGAACTATGCAATCTAAAATTCATCATTCCTTGATATTCACGAGAATAGTAAATACGGCAATAGCTTCGCTTTCCATCACGACCTGCACGTCCAGATTCTTGATAATACGAAGCCATGTTTAGAGGCGGATTCCAGTGAATTACAAATCTGAAAATGAATCCAAGGCCTTAAAAAATTTTTAAATAAGAAACCTCACTGTAGCCTTATCAACACCCATTCCAAAAGCAACGGTAGCAACAACTACAGGCAATTGATCACAACTCCATTTATTTTGGACTTCATCTCTTGCCTAAAAAATAATTATTTTCTCAGTTAATTTTGTGAGGAAGATAGAAAGAACGAAAGTCCGCCAGGATTACGACACTTAAAAGGGAGAGGGAAGAAGCAAAGGGATCATTCGGTCTACAAATTTCTCCTAGCCAGCAATCGGCTAATCCAGTCATTTCCCCCCCCCCCCGGATTCCTCCATCAATTTAGCACCTATATTAATATTTCCAGCTCGTTTCAGAGCGACAGCGAATTCCAGGAATGGCCAGCCTGAGAATCGCTTACCAATTAGTCGCTCACCCCCAAATCCCCTCTGGCATTGATCCATTCTAATTCCTCAAAGGGAACCTCGGACCAATACCTTCACTCTTACTAGTTAAACTGAAAAAAACCTTATTGCTCAGCCCAGCATGATAAGCTTCTGCCGGAATTTTTCCTGAAGTCAAAACATTAACCATATGTTCACATTCTGCTCGAGTTTGACAATAAACAATTCCACTTGCTGGGTGAGGCTTTTTTCCTTCTCTTTTCTGCTTTTCACGGGCATCAAAAAGAATTTTGCGAATAAAGGCAACCATATGAGCCTTAAAAATTTTTTTGAAAAAAAAATTAGAAAAAAACCTCTGGTTTAGTTGGCAATAGAGATTCTCTAACAATAACATCATAATATAAATTAGCACGATAAGTAGACGATTTGAACATTTGTGGAGGTTTTAATTGTAATTGGTCTAAAATGTCTCTTTCAGTTTTCTCATTAGCTGTGGCAGTTAAAGCTATCCAGTGAACCTTTAAAAATAAAAAGAATTAAAATATAAGTTAGGGAACAAGTTTTAAGCATGAATCCTAAGATTTAAAAATAAAATTCTGCGACAGGGTTCGAACCCTCGCCCTTCTCCTTGCCGTACAACATTATTCCACTTAACCAAAATAACACACAAGAGTAAACTCAAATCTCACAAAAAGATATCGATAAACAAATATTAAAAAATTTCTACTTTCAGGATAGAAAAAACAAATTGCCATGAAGGGTTCGAACCTCCGACCTTTCGAATAGTTGTCCAAACATTTTCCCAATAAACCAAAACATCACTTTATAGAAAACTCAAATTTCCCATCAAAACAATGTGAGACAAAACAAAAAAATCTTAAAAACAAACCTCACTCCCCATTGCCTTTCTTAAAGATTTCAGTTTCAAATAATCTGGTCTAAAAGAATGTCCCCATTCACTAACACAATGTGCCTCATCCACAACAAAATAATTTAAAAGAGAACGTGAAGCCAATTTTGCAAGAATTTCGCGGATATATTCCAAGGCTGCTGATTCAGGCGTTATATAGAGAATACGAAAACGAGGGGTTGTATGAAGTTCCTAGAAAATTAAAAAAAATTGCCAAAAAATTAAAAAAAAAACCCTCAAAATGGCCCTCCTTTCCTCTTCTTTCAATGTTGAATTTAAAGTAGCACATCTAATTCCTAGAGATTTTAGAGCATTTATTTGGTCCTGTATGAGTGCCAAAAGTGGAGAAAAAACAATCGTAAGGCCAGGATGAAAGCACGCAGGCAATTGATAACAAAGAGATTTTCCAGCGCCGGTTGGGAGAGAAATAAAGACATCGCAATTTTCTAAAATTTGCAAAGTAGAAATTTCATAATTTTAATAAACATCCTATAAGATACCCCCTTACGGAAGAGAAAGACCAAATTTTAAGAAACGTCTCTTAAATAGGTGTATCAAAAATAGGGGGTATTCTATAATGGGGTGTATCTCAAATAGAGGATATTAGAGATCGAGCTGGGCCTGGACCAAGGTCTGGGTTTTTCCTGTAACCAAAGTCCAGGCATTTTTTGACTTCCTGGATTTTTCCTGGGTGTGGGTTTTTCCTAGACTACAGGAACATGTCAGGCATTTCAAAAATCTCGATCTCTAGAGGGTATCGCTAAGGAAACTCTCCCACCCGTTGTCCAACCAAAATTTGAAAGACGTCTCTCAAATTGAGGTACTAGAGATGCCCTACGAGGCCTGACAATATAGAACCGACAGGCCTCAGTTTAAAAATCGAAAAAAATTCTCTTACTTTTAATAACACAATTTATTGCATCTCTTTGAATTTGACTTCTAAAGCTTTTGTGTTTAAATATTTTTTGTAAAAGTTCTTCTTTTCGTTTTTGAGGTGGAAATTGTTGAATTCGATCGATTGGATCAACAGGGTCATCCTCATCTTCTTCTTGTATTTGAGAAGCAAAAAAATCTTGAATATTTTGCTTCTTTTTTGTCATTTTTGTTAAACACCCATTCTGACTGTGTTTATTTTCTTCGTCCTCTTCTTCGTCCAAAACAATTATTTCTGGAGGTGGAAATGGATTCGAGGCGAGAGAAACGTCTAAAATTGTTACGTCTTCGTCGTCTTCAAAAGTTGCGCTAGTTCCTGAAGTTCCGGGCTGAAAAATAATTTTTTTTTCGGTTTTAAAAAATTTAAAGAAAACCTCAAACATTGAAAAAAAAGGCAGTTTAACTATTCTTTCCTATTTTACAAACAAGCTAATAAATGCGAAAAAAGCAAAATACAATTATTAAAAGCTTAAAAAAGGAAATAAAATTAAAAAAATAAATTTCAAAAATCGCTTAAAGCGTCTGGCAAAAGAAAGAGTGACCAAATGTCAAAATGACCAATTGTAAAAATTTAACAAATTTACCATTTTGACATTTTCCAAAAAATGATAAAAAGACATTTAGTACCTGGACATTTGGACATTAACAATTTAGTCATTCGGACAATTTGGAAAATTTACAAACTTAGACATTTTGACAAGTTACCATTTTGACATTTTCCAAAGAAACATTCGACAAAATATAATTTAAAACAAAACGCCAAAATAACGCCACCAATGAATAAATTCAAAAATCTTTTAAGGGAGCACTAAAGCCCGAAACAATTCTTCCACTTTTCGAAGAGTCTGAGAGAACTATAGCTGCCCAGAACGAACTTACTTCGTTTGGAGCACATCGCAAAAATGTTGGAAAAATTGTGGACAGTCATGAATATATAAGTGACGATAAAGTGAGAAAAAATAAGGGAAAAATTTTAAAAAATTAAATTTTCAAGTTGCATTTATCAGAAGGAATTATTCCTCGTCATATGCAAGGATCTGTACAAAGTCATGATTTGGATCCAATTTGGGGAAATCTTCGATCACAAGTGAATTTAAAGTTTTTTTCGAGTTTCCTTTTTTATCGAGTCCCATGCCCCTACTACCCTATTTTTTTTATTCGAATGTACATAATGGTCAGGCTTCCTCAATTCCACTCGATTTCCCTGTGGCATCATCAGTTCTCCCCATTTCTGTCTCTGTGCATTAGAGCAGTTTATTCAATGCTTTCAAGAGGTAAGACGAAATTACGAGCTTTGACTTTTGAACCATTTCCGGCACCTTCTGACCGTTATGTACCTTCTAATAAAGAATGGTGAAGAGGGGGAGAGCACTCGGTATATTAACTTATTTTTCTTCAAAAATTATTCAAAAATAGACAACAAAAGTTTGGCAACCAGATGGAACGAGGACAGAACTTCAATGTGCACCCGATTCGAATACAATTATTGGACGCCAATTTGCCCCAGCTAATCCAGAGAATAGGGCTGGGAATAATATAATGGATAGACGACGTTTAACGATTCAACAGATTGAGGCAAAAATTCTTAGAAAAAATTCCGGCATGTCCCATACGCCGATTCAGACATGTCATTTGAAAGAGCTACGTTGAACGACCCCAAAACTAAGCTCGGGACTCAATTGAAAGCAGAGTTATGGTTTCATAATGAAAGAATGTAAGCTGATTTTTGGGGTAAAAAGCTGATTTTTGGGGTAAAAAGCTGATTTTTGGGGTAAAAAGCTCATTTGAAAGAGCTCACCAAACCCCTTCAAATGACATTTGATTGTCCGAATCGAGTCTTGAACTTATGACGGAATTTTACTTTTTTTAAAAATTTTCAAAAAACCTCAAATTTTAGGGAATAGGCGAACTAAAACCTTCTCGTCTGTCAGAATGTATTGTTCCAAAAATATTTTCTACCGACTTCATTTCACTAAAGAGCGGTGCCGATTTTGGGGCTTTCAGACCAACAAAAATGGAAACGGTTGGTGGACTTGGGATGAGTTTTGACGACGAAAAACTTTGTAAATTGGTTATACCTTATCAGGTTATTAGGCCTTAAATTCAATAAAATTAAAAAAAAATTTAGACTGCTGCTTCGCTACGATAAGGGGGCATGGCAAAAAATAAAATAATCGGCTTGAGGAATTTGAAGAAAAATGTTCAATTAAAACAGGAATTTTGAAATTTGTTTTTTTTTTGAATAAAATTTATTTTTTCTAAAAAATCCAAAAAACCCGAGAATTATTAAAAACGGTTAGAAGTTGGCCTAAGAGAAAATTCAAAACCCCCCGAAAATTATTTAAAAAATATGGACAGTAGGAAAAAATCCAAACAACCTACTAAAATCAGTTATTTAGAAAAATAATTGTTTAATCAAAAAATAAATAGGACAAAAAATAATCTCAATATCCTCACAAATTTAATGAATAAACAAAAAAACCTCTTTCCATCTTTTCCCTCTCCATTTTTACTTCTCCAAAGGATTGTAGTTCAACAATTTTTCAATCAAATCAACATGTGAAAGTAACATTCTTCGACAACAATATCTACGCAAATTGAGTTGATCCAAAGCATCGCCTTCTGTGCTTCCATCCTTTAAAAATTAAATTTTTTGTTTTTTTTCGTTCAAAATAAACCTGTAAATGTTGCAAATAAGCATCCCATTTGTTCCCAATAACTTTGCCACAAGTAAAACAACGAACTGGAATTATCATTTTTTGATGAAAGAGTTAAAAATAATTCTGAAAAATAAAAAAATCTTAAACAATGAAAAAAAGATAACAAAAAATATACAAAAAACAACAGGGAATTTAATGGTTGCGCCAATTCGTCCCAATCCTAATTCGTCACACTTAACAAATCACCAGAATTCGTCCCTCCTCAATTCGTCCACAATGCAAAATAGACAATTAGACATTTTGAGATGGGCCTAATTTGAGGAGGGACGAATTAGGGACTTTTTTCAGTAGGACGAATTGGGCTGGGACACAAAATAAAGAGATCAAAAAGTGGAAGTGGTAAAAAGTCTCATTTTTTAGTTTTTCTTTTGTTTACTCTCCAATTTTAATGACTACTCTCTTTCCGCTTTTATACTAAAAAAAGAGGACAAATTTGGTTAATTGACATATTTTTTCCTATTTGGTGAAACGAAATAAATCGCTCGCTAAATTTAAAAATGGTAAAAATAATTATTACCCTAATTTAATATTTTCTTCTGTTTGGTGAAACGAAATTTAGCTTTGAAAGAAAATACATAAAGCCTAAAAAAGATTAGAGAACATCAAAATAGGGAACATGCCAAAGTAGCAATTGTTGTTGTTGTCTGCGCTTTTAGGAACGAGATGTCTACTTTGTACTTTTTTTTGTGCAAAACGTCAAATTCATCAGAAAAAGCAGCGAAACGCCATGAGGATTAATCGATTTTTGTTTGATGCTTCGCAAAAAATGCAATTAATAAATTATTAAGCTAGATATTTTAAAGCTTTTCCTTTTTATTTAGAAAAAAAATCCTGAAAATTTTTTCATTTTTAATTCTTTTTGGTACTTGTGGGATATCCCACCCAGTTTTTGCGGACTCATAATGGTCAGATATAAATGGAAAGTCACTCCAATTTCAGTATTTCCCCCAGACAGATCTTTGCTTCTTTGAATACGTCACCTTGGATGCTATGACCATTACGAGAAAATGTCCGCAAAAGTTTGTCCGCAAAAACTCTTGCGGACATAAAAGCTAATGCCATCTTTTTTTAGAGACAAAAATTGGAAGACTCTACACTTCATTTTAATTTTATGCCCTTAAATTTAAAGTAAATTGATCTCTTGATTTTATGATACACTTTTGAAGAAACCAGAAAATTACTCAAAAAAACATTTTTTGGAATTGTATATTTATTTAAAAGGTTTTTTTTTGAAAAATTGATAAAAATATTTTTTAATTCTTCAGTTTTCCTCGCGTGTTGAATGAGGGGACATCGACGTGAAATAAGCGACTCACATATGCCACTTCGCCAGTCAGAAGTTCAATCTAATTTTGATGGACAGGAACTTCAAGTTTGTTCTTTTTTAAAGAATTCTTTATTGATTTTTTTGGGTCCTTGGGGATTTCATGATATTCTTTGGGTCGTTGGTGATTGGTTTTTAAATTTGTCGGTCTATTATTTGAATTTATTGACCATTTTGAGGCCCTGTAACCTATGATTTTCTATGCCTGTAACTCAGCTCAGAGATGTTCCCACAGACTAATTTTGGTCTCGTTTGACTCCAATGGAGAGCTTTATCGGCTTAAGGACTTACTGACCATTTTGTACATCCTAATAAAAAAATATGTAGGCGAGTCTACTATTAGTTTTCGTTCCTTTCAGTGATTAACCTAATGATTTATAAGATTTTTTTAGAATGTTTTTAAGTCCTTTAAATTCTTATCGACTAAACCAATGAACCTAAACTTAAAAAAATTTTTTTTCTTTGTCTATAAAAATTTATTTTCAATTAAAAAAGGTTAGAGTAGAGTCTCCTCGCCCTTGCAGCTCTGTAAACATTAGAAATTGTATTCAACTTAATGGGGATATTACAACAAATACTTCACATTTACAGCAACAACAACAACATTTAATGATTGAATCGAGTTCACCCATCTCTAGACAAACAACAAATAATAATAGAGACAGAATTAATAATAACACAACAGTCAAACAAACAACCACATATTATTCAACACGAACTGGGGTATTTCTTTAATGTTTTTTTGAAAATAGGAACTTACTTTAACTATACACATACGTTTATTCGCAAGCTTAAAACGGTCGAAGGACCGTTTGTGGGATTCGAACCTTTGGCTTCCCCTTACGAAAGGCTGGACGACTACCAATTAACCAAACAACCTTTAATTAATTTTCTCATAAATTCGATTCTCTAATCTCTAATTTTTATTAAATTTTTTAAACAGACCTTCTGTTCAGAACTTGTAAAAACTTTTGTAGCCTTTCTCTGTTTGACAGTTTCTGCATTCCTTAATTTTTTTCTTCTAACAATTATTCACGATATTGTGCCGAGAGTGCCGTTAAAGTTTGTTTTTTAATTAAATTTATTAAAATAATTCGTTTTTGTAGTGATCTGGTTTGGTTTATAGTTCCACAACAAAGTTGGGCTTGGCCTGTAGGGGATGTTCTTTCTACTGTCAAGTATTTTTTAAAATTTTCGGCACTATATGAAAGGAAGTCGATAATCGTTTTTTTTCATTACTTTTTCTATTACTTTTTTCCTTCCTTGATATGGCAGAATGGTCAGCATTTTCCTCCTTGTTCAATTCCATCATATTTGCCTGTGGCATAATCAAAAGAAATGAAAGATACAAAAAGTCTCCTGTTTTCTTTTCGTGCCAACTCGGACAAACAAACACGAACGGACACAGACAGACAGAACTCGGACGTACTCGAACAAAGCCAACACGGACGAAGACGGGCAGAGCCAACACAGACGGAAACAGACAGACAAAACACGGCGAAGACGAGCAGAAAACTCGAGTTTTGTCTGTCTTTGTGTGTGCTTTGTCAGTCCTCTCATTTGAATATGCCACAGGTAAAAAGAGTGGAAGTGAACGAGAAAGAAAAGACTGACCATTATTTATAATTAAGGAAGGAAAAAAGTTAATGAAAAAAGTAATGAAAAAAACGATTATCGACCTCCTTTCATATAGTGCCAAATTTTCTAGTTTTTTTTTTAATTTTTTGGAAAAATTTCTCTTAATTGTTGGGTACTTTTCCAAAAAATTTTTTTTTGAATTTTTGAAAAATTTTTCAGATTTTTTGGGAAATCTTTTGAAAAATTTTTCGAAAAATTTCCCGAAAATTTTTTCAAAATTTTTTGAGATTTTTTCCAAAAATCTTTTTTCTATTAAAAAAATTGGAAAAATTCCGTTATATGTCCCGGAAACCAATTCGGACAAATGATATGTCATTCGAAAGAGCTCAACGAGCTGAGTCGAACGACACCAAAATTAGCTGGGGGACTCACCTATGGGCCGAGATATAGGTCCCCGAAAATCGAAAAACCATAGGGGGGAGTAAGCTCAATTTTGGGGTGAAGAATTTGATATTTTGAATGATAGCTCATTCGAAAGAGCTCCTCGAGCTGAGTCGAATGACACCAAAATCAACGAAATCCGACTTGATTGGACCGAGATATAGACCCCTAAAAACCGAAGATCCAAATGGGCGATTTTTAGACTAAAAATTTTTTTATACAAATAATACCTCATTCGAAAAGCTCGACGAGCTGAGTCGAATGACAACAAAATCACCGTGATCGAACAAGATTAGACAAAGTTATGACACAAAAAACAAAAACCTAAACCTATGGAGCGTCGGCGAGGCGCTTGTGCAAAACCCCGCGCTTCGCGCGGGGTTTTGCGGCACGCGCCTCGCGGGGAGTCTACGGGCGCTGGGTCTGGGCTCGTAACATAGACCTATTCCTATCTCCCTTGCTCTGGACGTATTTGGGGTTTCCGTAGCAGCAAAAATCTCCACAGATGCCATAGGTAAGGAGCTAAAACAAATGCTCATAACTTTGTCAAATCAAGTCGGATTTTGTTGATTTTGGTGTCATTCGACTCAGCTCGACGAACTCTTTCGAATGAGCTATTATTTTCATATTCGAATTTTTTACCCCAAAAAAGTGCTTGGTCCCCCCTATGGTTTTTCAATTTTCGAGGACCAATATCTCGGCCCATAGGTGAGTCCCCCAGCTAATTTTGGTGTCGTTCGACTCAGCTCGTTGAGCTCTTTCGAATGACATATCATTTGTCCGAATTGGTTTCCGGGACATATGACGGAATTTTACCAAAAAATTTTTTATAATTTAGTTCTATTGTTGGTTTTGCCATTGTAATGTTACACAGCCACCGCTTGGTTATTTTGAGAAGAGTATTTTTAATTGCTGCAATTCTTTACGGTTTCTTTTTTAATTTAAAAAAATTTCTAAAAATTCAATTTAAAGGTTTAAGAGCTATAGTTCTCGGAGTTACCTTCTTGCCGCCATCCTTTGAAAATCGGGATACCATTTGTAGACCTCAAATGAATGGAACTTCAATGTATGCAGACGAAATAATGGCTAGATTTGTACGGTTTTTTAAAATATTTTTTGGGGAATTATTTTTAAAAAATATTTTTTGAAGGTTACCTATGTTGTTACACTTGGATTGGTTAGTTTAAAATTTTTTTAAATTTAAATTAATTTTATAATTGTGAGCGAGAGGGAAATATTTCTAAAAATTCTATTGACTTTTTGGATGACTCACTAATTAAAATAGAAAATGAAAAAATAAGTAAAAGATGATACATTCATTCATTTCATAAATTTTTAATTCATTAAATTTTTTTTTGTATATGAGTTGTCGGCAAGAAGTCCGACTGTGAACTTTTTTCTAAATTTATTTTGGAATTTTTTTTAAGTTTTTTGATGTTTTCAAGTTTTTTCCAAAAACATTTTTGGGTATTAGGTTTGGAAATTTTTCTGAAGTTTTGTACCGTAAAAACCCTCTCTCTAACCCTCTCCCTTAATTTTAAATTTTATTTTATAAATATTTATTTTTTCCAGACTTCTAGTCAACCAGAAATTCTTTGCGGTGATTTAATGTTTAGTGGGCACACTGTTGTTTTAAGCATAATGTATTTTACTCAATTGCGTTATAGTCCTAGAGGATTGTTTTTAATTAGGTTTTATTTTAATTTTGTTTCAAAAATTAAAAAAATGTTTTTAAGATGGATAGCCCTTCCAGTGACATTTTTGGGTATCGGGGCTTTGGTGTTGAGCGGTGGACATTACACAGTAATTTTTTTTATTTTTTAAATTATTTTGGGGATATTGTCCATTTTATGAGTCCAATTACACCTTTATGCGTCAAAAAAAGTTTATACGTCCATTAAGGGAGGCATACGTCCAAACAGATACGTCCAATCAAAAAATGCGTCCAATCATTACATTTTTTGACGTGTTTTGTTAACTTTATTATGCATAATGTTTGAGTGGACGAAATAAACTTGTAGATGAACGTATATAAATTTGTTTGGACGTAGTGTTGGACATTAAAGATTGAGATTTTTGAAAACTCTGGGCTTGTTTTTGGATTCTATGGGGTCTGATTTATTGACATGGGCCAGTAGTCCAGGGAAAACCCAACCCAGGAAGGTCAAAAAATGCCCTGGCATGACTCTGGGTCAAGAAAAACCCCGACCTTGGTGCAGCCCCAACTCAATTTTTAGCAGACATTACACAGTAAATTAGACGTTAAATTCTTTATTGGACGCATATCGGCGTGATTGGCCTCATAAACTAAACAAGAGCCTTATTTTTTATAGATGGACGTATTAATTGCATATTGGCTTACTTCTCACGTCTTTTGGGCTTATCACCAAATGTTTGAATGTCCCAGACATCGAAGACCTAAAGCGCCGCTTTCAAATATTTGGTGGTTTTGGTATGATTTTTATTAAATTTTCGAAAAATTTTTTTAATTTTTAAAGGCTCTGTTATTGGTTTGAAAACGAAGTACCCGATACTGGACCTTTAAAAAACGAGTGGAATTGGCCTTTTTCTGGACCTAGATGTTTGCATCGATTAATGGCAAAATTAAATTGTAAATTGAAATAAGTATGAATTTTTATTTTCTTTTTGTTTTTGAGCATGGTAAAAAAAGGTTCAGTTAGTCTCATTTTGTGGCCTATTAAATTGTAATTAAGTTATGGGTTTGGTGAAGACTCCCCCTTGTAATTTTGGGGATTTCTAATAAACACTAAAATTTTGGTCTTGTTGTTACGGGCGGGGGACAAAAAACAGCGGGGACCGATTTTACAGGAAATTCCCTTCCCAGGGATATGTATCGAACCCTACTAAAAACTACCAATTGAAACCTTTCAACACCTAAAAATAAAAATTAATTTACATCAGCAGGACTCGACCCCTCTCTCTCTATAAAGCTTCCCATTAGTTCTCTCCCTCCTCTAATCCAAGTATCACTAATTCCCCTCTCACATAACGAGATGAGACTCACTGAACTATTAAAGAATAATACATATTGTGCCAATTTCAATAGAAACTATAATCTCTTAAATCCTTTGAAAATATATATTTATATTGTTTTTAGGTAAATTATTTTATTTTGTAGGTAAAAATACATTGTAATATATTTATTTTTATTATAAATAACACTTCTTTCAATCTTTTGTCTCTCATTTTATTTTTTTGCTTATTTTTAAATCTGACCTCTTATAAAAATAAAATTTATTTTTGTTAGTAACCGGGGTTATTTTTTAAAGAAGACTACTACTAATTAACCTCCACCCACTGTCTCCATTTATTTAATTTCTTTTTGGTGTTGTATTTTTTTTTATTTCAAAATACCTTTATTTTAAACGCTTCCTTGCCTCATACTTTTTTCTCTCAACTTTGTAAATTTGTAAAAAAACTATTTCCTTCCCCCTTCGTGATACTCCTCAAAACATATTTAATTTTAAACATGGAGAGATCAACGTTTTTTGTTCCGGTCATTTCAACGACATTATCTTTTGTTTTTTTTATTTTTAAAGGGTTTTTAAAATTTTTTTTGAATAAAATTTCAAAATAATTTTCACCCAAAAAATACAATGGTAAAAAACCCAAGGCTTACTGATGCTCCGGTGTCTTGAGTGTGTACTATACCTTTGGGTGAGTACTGCCTTTTCTTCCCCCCCCCCCTCCCAAATGTGGAAGATGCTGACTCACGACATAGACTGTCCATCTGATGGAGAAAGTCTGACCATTTTGTACGTACATATGAAAAAAACTGGGGACCCTAAGCCTAGGTTTTCACGATACAATTTCGGAAATAATTTATATAGGGTATTTTTCGGTCATTGAAACAGATTCTGTGGAATTTTTAAGTTGGCATGGATTTTCACCTTTATTGAGCATAATTTGACTAATATATAATGAAAAAATAGTATTAAAGAAGTATAAATATAAAATAACGATTTATAATAGAACCCGTTTTTCTCATAATTACCTTTTTATTTTCCCATTAATTAACCTTCCCTCAGTCTAAACTTGAACTTCTTCAATTGTCCTTTGTTTTTGCTGTCCATTACTTCCATTTCCATCAAAAGCACCTCCATTTAATGAAGACGAGCCATTATTATTGTTAATATTTGCTTGTATTTTTTGTGTAGTAGTCGACATTATAGAATTATTGTTGTTTAAATTCATTTGAAGGGCTGGAGGTGTTGTTATTGTTGTTGAGGGTATGTTGCCTCCACTGATACCTTCAAAAAGAGAGATAAATTTAAAAAATAATTTAAACAAAATATTAATCTAACGTATACGCTCAAACACTAGCCCTGGGTAATTATTGTCTCAATCTCTGGCTGGAGGAGCCAAGTATTTGAAAGGGGGTAATCATTCGAATTTTGAATTTGAACGTCCTGCAGGGGGAGTTAGGGGAGGGTTTATTTTTTCCCTTGTTTTGAGGGGGTAATTATTCGAGGAAATACAGTAGTTATAGAAATTCAGCAATAATTTACAAAAAAACACCTCCTCCATCAACCCCAATCCCTCCTGAACGATTTGCTGCAGCTGCTGCCAACAACATTTGAGCTGCGCGCCCATGTCTTGGGCAGGTAGGAGAAATTCCAGGTCCAAGATGGATTAAACCTGAAGGTTGATGATGTTGTTGCTGTGGAATACACATTGAAGGGTTTGAAGAACTAACACCTCCCCCTTTTGTACAAGTACTGGTTGTTGTTGATAGAAGAGGTTCCTGAATAAAAAACGTCAGTATAGATACCTCCAATATAAGGTAACCTCTATTTAAGAGACTTTTTAAAAATTGGTTTGGCCCTGGGTGAGAGCAATACCTCCTATTTAGGATACACCCCGTTTATGAGTACCACCAATATAAGCGACACTACCATTGAGGGGATTTCTTAGTTTGGTTAGACATTGAGTGAGCGGAACTTAATAAACGAACTTCATTCCCAAGAGATACCCTCATTTAAAGTACATACACCCTACTAAGGGTTAAGTTTCAACCGCAATCTTTTAGCGTGGTCAGTGTGTTAAAAAAAGCCACAAATTTTTGTTAAAAATAACAGAAAAAAGCCAAAAAAAACATCTAAACCTTTTTTAATACTTCTTTATCCTCTCCTTCATTTATTCTTCTTCCATAAGTTGATAATAAATGTAAAGTTGCTGCTCTGCTTCTTTGTTCATCAGAATAATTATTTGTATAATTTCTGTTATTTTTTGTTGTTTTGTTATTATTAAATAAACGAAAAATATCAGAATTAGTATTTTCAGAATTAAAATTTCTATTCAAATTAATATGATTGCTGGTGTTTGTTGATGTTGTTAAAAGGGTTGTTGGTTCCTCCTGGCAAATATCAGGGTATCCGGAATAGATAACCGAACTGTAATGTTCAGGTATACAGAAAAGGAACACGATTCCGGATCCCCGAGGCGATTCCGAATATCTGGACCGATTTAGGATTCCCGGACCGATTCCAAACACCATGAACGTTTTCGGATATTGCTCCAGATATATGGATATATATCCATAGCTCCGTTACCAATTCCGGATTCCAGGATCGATTCCGGACCCCAGAGTCCGGATAACGATTCCAGATAAACGGAAATGATTCTTGATTCCGACTACCCGGGTCAGTTCCAGTTAACAATTCCGAATATTCGGATACCCTCTGGCTTTTTCGTTTCCGGATACCATGAATCGCTTACCTTAGGTGTTAATAAATACGAAGGCTTCCTTCCCTCTTTTTCTTCTTTATTATTTTTTATTTTTTCACAATTCATTTTATTTTTATTATTTTTTAATTCATTATTTAATAAATTTTCTTCTTTTTTAGTAGAAAAATCTGTTTCTAAAATATCATCAATTAAACAAGTTGAATGACGCTTATTTGTTTTATATGATGTTGATAAATAAGTATGTTGATGATTATTATTAGAAATTAAAGCTTTCTTTTGTTGTGGCTAATTAAACAAAAAAAGATTGAAGCAAACAAAAAGCAAAAGCCACGACAAGAAAGATTTTTTACACAGCAAAATTTTATAGCAGATACTTAGGTAGGATTGGATCAGTACTGGACATTGGGGGGTTCTGTAGCTCTGGCCCTCTTATGTGGAAATCAGAGGCTCTCCGCCTCATATGAAGCCTGAACCTCCAATGTGAATTTGGTCCTCCTATGATCCCTAAAACCAATTTTTTAACTCTTACCAATGCAGCAAAATTCATATCCAATCCAGGAAGAGGTTGTTGTAAATTATTGTTATTATTTGAAGAAGTTGAATAGCTTTGATAATTAAATTTTTTCTTTGAATTTGAATTGCGACGAACACACTTCTTAGAAAATACAACCAAAATACACAAATTTATAGCAGTTAAACCAACACCAAAAAGAATTAGCCAACCCCATGTTGGGTTATACAAAAATAATAATCCAGCTTTTCCTGTATTTTCTATCAAATTATTTTCTTGTTGTTTGTTAGGTGATTCATTAGATTTTTGAGTTGGGTGATTTGTTGATGTTGGAGGGATTGTATATGCTGGGAAAATTGAGAGAAAATTAAAAATTGAGAGAAAACCTGCAATTAATTTATTGCGCAATTCTTTAGGAAAAGGTGTTGGAGGCATTGGAGGTGGAGGAAAAGCAAAATTATGGTAAGTAGAGAAGGGACGTGGTTGTCCAAAGAATGAAGAACGATCAAAATGGTTGGGAAGGAAATGGTGTTCCTAAACGGAAAAATTTCTTAATAATGTAAATGCTCTAATAGAAGCCCACTCTCTAAAGGAAACCGATCCAAGGACTGTCAATGCAAGTCCACTCTAATAGAAGTGTTGCCTAATAAAAGCCCACACGAGGAGATCCCTTGAAACAGAAGCCTGGGGTCCCTTAGAAGCCACGACCATTAAGAGCCCATCAATGAACCCCATTAAAAAATATTAGCCAACTCTCTAATAGACGCCCACTTCTAATAAATAAGCACAACCGAGGAAGTCTGTCAAAAAATAAAAACTCAGGGCTTCTATTAGAACTTTACGGCATTTTTTTAAAAATTCAAAAAAACCTCAGGAATGTCCTTATCTCCTCTTTTGTTTAATATAGGAATAAATCCATTCCAAAACTGAACGTTTGAATTTCTGTAATAATTCTTCACACGCGGCCGAGTAGAAATTTCCAAATAAGCCTCACGGGTTTGAGAAGAAAATTGAGGCCATGGAAGGCCTTGAAAACGATCCTCAATGTTTGATTGGGAAGACATTGGAAGAGGACGAGTTGGGTCTCTTTAAATTAAAAATTAAAAAAAATTTTTGCGGACAAAAAATTTAAAAAAATTTTTGCAGACAAATTTTGCGGCAAATTTTTGCGGACAAAAAATTAAAAAAATTTTTTTGCGGACAAACTTTGCGGACAAAAAATTTAAAAAATTGCGGACAACTTTTGCGGACAAAAAATTAAAAAAAATTGCGGACAAACTTTGCGGACAAAAAAAAATTTAAAAAAATTTTAACAAACCCAGATTTAACAAAATTAGCCATAAAAGTCATCATAACACGAGAAATTTGTTTATCTTCTGGAGAAAATTGTAGCAATTTATTTGTTGACAAGCTTCCATCACTTAAATCTCCTCCAGCAGTAAAAGGATGTCCAAGAATATAAGGCAAATGATCCCCTGTAAAAGAGCCTTGAAGTCCACTATTTGGCTGTTCTTTCATCCAAGCATTTGTTTCGTGTGTAAAAACAAAACTGAAGGGGAGAGGAAAATTTAAAAAAAAAAATTTTTTTTAAATACAAAAATGTGTTTGCTGCCTTTATTGGTCCTTCATCAAGTGAATGGGCTTTGGCTGTTTCAATTAGTGGAGCTAGAAAAAGATAAAAATTAGAAAAGGTCGAGGGAAGTCGGGAAATCTTAATAAAGCTCAAAGGATGTCAAAATGTCAAAAAATGACAAAAGTCAAAAAAATAAACAAGAGACACACCTAAAAAGTAATTGCCACTTTTGGCTTTTTTAAACCCTATGGAGCCATTTTTGGAAGTAAACGGCCTACAATGTTTGGCACAAGCGGTCCAAACAACTCGCTAACGACTAGGGTTGGTGAATCCCAAGGACGTAGCCTGGGGCTCGATTTCAGGAGAGCTAAAATGGTTGTGGGCCAAAATTTGGCATTTACTTTGGCGGGCTGAACCAAATTATTGCACACGTATTTTTATTTTTTCAGCATCGCAGGCGAAAATTTTTTGAAAATTAGGGGTCCAGAGGCTACACCCTTGGCGGATCTTGAGAAACCCTCGGATCAAACACCGAATCCGAAAATCCCCTGATATCCGAACTCTTTTTTGATCCGGATCTGCTAACCCTAACTAAAACGACTCTTAATTAATTTAAAAGACCTGTGAAAAGTAAATCTCCCAGTATTTCCATTAAACCATTCCGCATTGATTTTGAATGATTCTAAAAAATAAATTTATTTTTGATTAAAAAATTCAGAAAAAAAACCTTTGGATTCTCCCAATCTGTATATTCATTTAAAATTGCTTGAAGAATTTCTGATCGATGAAAATCAAAAATATTTCTGACAAGAGTTCTAAGGAAAAAATTTTAAAAGAAAAATTAGGAAACAGGGTTATCCTGAAACTCGATAACCAAAAGCAGTACTTTATTGACCTTAAACCCGAGACCCGAAATAAGAAATACGGGTTTTTTCAATCCAATCACTCGATCGGACCCGGTCATGAAGACCGATCATCGGAGACAAATATGAAGACCCAGCCCGAAACCCTACCGACTTCTTCACAACCCGTGACATCCCTCGTTGGAAAAAAGAGAAAAATCATTTAAAAACCTCAATATTTTATCCCTTCTTTCAATATTCAAACCATTTTGCATATCCTGATCAGCTATTAAATGTTGTGCTGGATGTTGGACTGTTCCTACAAGTAAATCAATTTCTCTGAAGAGTGAACCATATTTGGGAGAGAAGGATAAAGAAGGATGATTTGGAACAACCTTTGAAAAAAATTTTAAATTTTAAGAATGATTTTCAATTTATAGTGGTCAGACTTCATTGTGAGATAACCCATGATAACTTGAATAGAGAGTATTGCATAATTTTTTAAAAATTAAACCTGTCCATCAATTAAAGGTGCAAAAGCACTCAAAAATGTAGGGGACAAATTCGAAACTTTCTTTGCTGCATTCGTCAAATTTTGTAAATTTTGTTCTTGCATACATTCCAAAAGACGCGAAATAAATTCTTTTTGATTTTTTAAATTTATAAAGTCGTCGCCCTCAGACGTGGAAGAACACTGAAAAACGAAGCAAGTTCAGTTGACTCCCAGCTAAATTTTTTTAAAAACCTGCAAAATTCTGGCTAATTGAATAAACTGGTCTTGAGGATTATTTGCCATAGCCCAAGGGGAGAGCTAAAAAATTTTAACCAAAATTAGAAAAAAAATTTAATTTAATACCGCTGTTCCATCCAATAAAACTGCTCGTCGAAAAAGACGTCCTTTTAAATTTAAATCTTTAAAAAAAATTTTCCAAAAAAACCTTTAGGCTGTGTAATTGGAGATGCCATTAAAAGTGAAACTAAGGCCGCTCCAGATTCCCAGCCTTAAAAAAATTTAAAAAATTATTTAAATTTAGAATAGAATTTGAGAGTGGGGGGGGAGGGAATTTAATGGAATTTTTTCATCTATTTTGTGGGAGAAAAACAGCAACAGTAAAATTATTCCACCCAGAATTCCAAATTCCACACATTTATCAAAAATTTTCCTTTGAATGGATGGATTGCCCTGACATAGATTTTTGTAAATAGTTATAGAAAAGAGAACGCCCTCCCCAAAAAAAGTTAATAAAAATCCAAAAAAATTTAACAATAATTATACCAAGCAAGGTAACAGCATCCGGATCCGCACCAAATGAAGGTAGAATAAGTGAAAGCTTCAAAAATTTAAAAATTATTTAAAAAATTTAAAAAACCATTTTTAAGGCAGCAACCAAATCAGAAAGTCCAGCATTTCCAGCACAACTGTTTAAATCACAGCGTCCCAAAAAACCGAAAACGCCCAAACTTATAAAAAAATTTTTTTAAGTTTTTTAAAAAAAAATTTCTCAAAAATTTCAATAAAAAAATTCAGAAAAATTTCAAAAAAAAATTTTTCAAAAATTTTTCAAAAAATTACAAAAAATTAAAAAACCGATAATTAAGAGTAACAACGACAATTTGTCCAAAAGATGCAAGTAAAGTTGCATTGAACGCATTTGCGCCACCCCAACCGTAGTCAGTATCTCCATGAATTAGCACAAGGACAGGCAGAGGTTGAGCGTCTTTTTGGGGGGAAAAAATTTAAAGAAAAATAAAATTAAAAAAAAACCTCTAAATTTATCCTTTTCTGGCACAAATAAATTCAAAAAAAGGCAGTCTTCCGATTGAAATTTTAATCTGCTCAAAATTCGATGGAGACGATCAAAACGTTGGGCAGTAGTTACTTTTAGGGCTCTGAATAAAATAAAAATTAGAATTCGAAACCGAGCCTGGCTTTGGGAACGAGTTTTCCCGACCTGGCCATAATTGATAAACTCTGGTTATCATTGTTTTCTGGCCCCGGAATCCAATATTTCCCAATTCCTGGGAACGGGCAGGGGGGTTTACCAGGCCCAGTAGTGCAAAAACCGGATATTTTGAAAAAAAAATCTAGATTTTTGGGGGTTTTGAAATTTTATCCCGGAAACCCCAGCCCTGATCGGTTTGAAAGAGACGGGGGTTTCTTCCCCAGATACTGGGTCCGGCAATTTAAAAATGTCAGACTCTAATAAAAATTAAAAAAACAAACTCAGATTCTGAAAGCAAAGGAAGTCCAGATTGTATACAAGAGGGAGGCGATTTGAATGCATCTTTTGGTTGATGAATCCATTTTGGGGCGGATATAGGCATTTTAAATCGATGCTTTAATAAAAAATATTTTTTTGGAGGTTTTCGAGGGTTTTGGAGGAATTCTCATAGTTTTTGTCAAAAATGAAGAGGAAATTGAGACTCATGGTTTGAGTTTTGACTTGACATTTTTAGGGGTCGCCCTCTTCGGCTTTTTAAACTGTAACAAGGCCCTTCCCCGGCTCACACGATCCCGAAAACCGAGTTGTACCCAAAAACGTATGTCAAAATGTTTGGAGTGTCCCCTGAGAATTTAAAACTAAAAACCCTATAATTCTTTAAGATTTCCCCCAAAAAAATAATTTTTAAAATTTATACATTTCCAACAGGAGCGGAACCATAAGGAATTCCCAAATATTGAACAACTGGAGACAGCGAAACGTCAGCTTTAGGCATTCCTGAAGGCCAAACTTTAATTCCTCTGACTATTCCAAAAGGTGTATTAGTTGAGTGAACATTGTTTTGTTGTTGGTGGTTATTGTAGGGAGTGTGTTGTTGTTGATGGCCATCATTTGAAAAGAAATTGCTTCTTAACAAATAAATTTTAAAATGAAAAACAAGGCTCCCTATGTTTATAGGTCCCTTAAAGTCTTACAAATCTGCAGGTATTTATGACGGGGCATTCGAAAAGATATGAACAATTTTCCACGGTGAAGTCTTGGATTCGGTGACTTTTCGGTAAATTGTCCATATTTCAGTGAATTGTCCACATTTCAGTGAATTGTCTAGATTTCGGTGAATTGTCTATTCCGAAAACCGTGAGTTGTACCCAAAAACTCAAGTTAATAGGAAACTAAGCTGGGATTGGTAAGAAACACCCGAACCTGAAATCTATACTTGAAGGGTACTTTTAGGTTTTAAAATTTAAAAAAATTAAAAAAAAAGAAACGTAGAAAATCCTCCAGTTGACAAATTGACCAATAAAACGAAGAAAAACAGCATCAATAAATATTTTTTAGAATTTTAAGCCAAGTGTCATTTCCATATGTAGACGAAAGTAAATTTTTTGTTTAAAGAGCTCTCTGAAAAAAAAATTTTTTTTAAGTTTTATAAAGGAAAATTTCACTATAAGAGACACCTAAAAATTTTTAATGTGGGTTGGACTCTGAGGGGGGGGGCTGCCCAAACAAGATACACCCTCCTTATAGGTACGATTTAAAAAAACTAGACTGGTTTTTGAAATTTAAAAATTTTTCAACCTTTGCCCATTAAAAACAAAAAAAGTAGCAGAACAATTAAATTAAATTACTTAAAAATACAAATTTAGAAAATCTTATAAAGACAAGCAAAATTTGGACAAGTGTGAAGAAGAAAAGGAAAAAATGTGAGGGAAAGTGTGAGGGATTTGTTGGCGCAAATTCAGAGGGGAAAGCGCCTTTAAGTAAAAAAAGGGGGAAAAGAAGAGTAGGGGATGGGGACGGAGACGTCTTGGCGCGGGGCCAACTTGGCGCGAAGCCGTCTTGGCGCGAAGCCGTCTTGGCGCGGGGACGTCTTGGCGCGAGCCTTAGATTTGGCTTAGGTCAGCCTCTGACAAGGACCCATATCGAACTGTCACCAAAAATTTCGTAATTATTTTTATTCCATCGTGTAGAGCAGGGTCGATTTCCTCTTGCCAATTTTTTTTTCGGCCCTACCACCCAGATCGAGAAGTTGTAGGGCGCCAAAAACGTCCAAGCGCCAAAACGACTCTACCCCGGGGAGAAGAAGAAAGGAAGGAAAGTTGTTGAAAGACCTTAAAATCTTTAAAAAACAAATCTTTTCTCCTAAGCGTCAATTGACTCAAAAAATAAATTTGTGAGGAAAAGAGGGAAGGGGGGAAGGAAGAAGAGTCAATTTAAAAGAATTTTTAGAAGAAAAAATAAGGTCAGAAAAAAACAAAAAAAAACCTTCTAAAAAGGGAAAATTGGTCCAATTTGCATAAATAAGTGGTTGGTATTTGGACTGAAAAAAGGTTGAAAAGCTGGAAGGAATTCGAAAATAAACTTAAAAAACACAGGATTGATTAAAAAATTCCCCCCCCCCCCTCAACAAAAAAGCCCCCTATTTCTGCTCGATAATTTAATCAGTAAAAATAAAAAGGACTTTAAATTGCCCAATATAAATTGCCCTCTAAAATAGAATTAGCTGAATAAACAAGATTAAATGAATGGGATATTCTTTGAAAAAAAAGAGGGGATTTTTTGAAGAAAGAAAATATTTTTTGGAAAGGATTAAGGAGTTGAACCCAAAAAATAAGAGTAAAGACAATGAGAGGGAGTAGGCCACTTAACAAGGATGCGTGGGTTACCTTAGACCCGATATCTGACATGTGGAGACATTTTCTGATCCAGACCCCGACCCGAAGAAAATTTTGAAGGACCGACCTGAAACCTGGTCAGTATATCGTTAGTCCCCCTCCGCTAAAGGACTTTAACCTATAATTTCAGGGCTCATTAAATTTGTGAACAAGGGGAAGGGAGTAGACCACTGAGAGGGAGTAGGTCATCTGGGGGTATGACACTTTCCGGCCCGCAACCCGACCCCACAACACGACCCGGTGAAGGACCGACCTCTCATCTGGTCTACCTGGTTACACAATAATCTAAAACTATAACCTAGTTAAACACTATTGAATCCTGGATGCCCTAATGGAAAAGAACCCTTGAAACCAAGAACTCTTGATCTACAAAGGGAACTAAATTGTAATTTTTAGGCTGCCTACCAGAGGTAGGTCGGAATTTTTGAAAAGACTGGACCTATTCCTGGACTCTGGGTTAAATTTATTGACCTAGGCCGAATCCTGGGCCTGTAGTCCAGGAAAACCCCAGACCCAGGAAGGTCAAAAATGACTAGGCCTGGATTCTGGGTACAGGAAAAACCCAGGCCTTGGTCCAGTCCGCTCTGCTGCCTACCAATAAAAAATTTGAGGGGGGGGGGGTGGAGGGGGTCAAATAGGGGAGAAATTTATGTCAAAATAAAAATTAAAAACCTGTCAAAAAAAGTATTTTTTGCTGTTTGAGTGTAAGATTTGTTTAAATACTTGTTTAATCCATCAATTGCTGTTTGAATAAATACCTCAAAAATGAAAGGAGTAGACTTGTATTGATTCACACAAACATTTTTTGATGGGCAAAAATCCTTGCAAGTTTAAACAGCTGTCTAAAAAGAGTGAAAAATATTAAATTTTTGTGTAAATACTAGAGGTAGGTTAAATTGTGTTTGCGGGATTCCGCATGCGGATTTGCGGGATTTTTAAAAATCGATGCGGGACGGGATTCGCGGGATAAATCCCGCATCCCGCAAAATCCCGCAATTCAAAAAAATGCGGACGGGATTGCGGGACGGGATCCCGCGGGATAACTCCCGCATCCCGCGAAATCCCGCAATTCAAAAAAATCGGACGGGATTGCGGGACGGGATCCCGCAAAATCCCGCGCGGGATCCCGTCCCGCACCGACCTCTAGTAAATAATTTTAATAAAGAAAACTTTTTGTTCTCTGCAGTTGCTGTATAAACATCTTTCTCTAGGCGTCCTTTGAGTTGCCTGGTGTGTTCTCCTCCAGCTAGCTACTTCATCTTGACCATATTCTACAAAATTAGAAAAATAACGGCGCAAATTCATAACGGCGCAAAGCCATAACTTGCTGGAAAATTTCTGACCCTTATCAATTTTGGTACCAATCTCTTCAGCTCAATGAGAGGAATCGTTTGATTCCAAATTTGGTAAGAATCGGACATCTTGAAGCAAGTTATGGCTAAGCGCCGTTATGGCAGCGCGCCTACTTTGGCCGAGAAGGGCTCTAGCGGAATTGAAAATAAAATTTTAGTTAAGTGGGTTAGAGCGGTGACTACAACAAAATGTTTAAAAATAGGTCTCGGGTTCGAGCCCTTTCATGGTTAATTAATATTTTCTTATTAAATAAATAAAATAAAGCATTAAAAAAGGATTTTAAATAATATTTTAAGGGTATAAAAATTTTTTTAATCCGACTATATCCAAAAAATGTCCGCAAAAAAATGTCCGCAAAAAAATGTCCGCAAAAAAATGTCCGCAAAAAATGTCCGCAAAAAAATGTCCGCAAAAAATGTCCGCAAAAAAATGTCCGCAAAAAAATGTCCGCAAAAAAATGTCCGCAAAAAATGTCCGCAAAAAAATGTCCGCAAAAAATGTCCGCAAAAAATTTTCTAAAAGTTCATTTCTCTATTTTTTTCTGATTTTTATTTACTTATAATTTTATTTTTTTCCTTTAAATAACTCGACTTATTTATTTATGCAAACACAATTTATAACAATTTTTGCATAATATAATATTTGAAGCATGCCCTCCTAACATTTATTTTAAAAAGTAAGAATTTTTTCATTTTCCTTTAAAAAAATTTTTTTTTAATTTTTGAAGTTTTTTTGGACTTTTTGAAGTTCGGGTGTCACTTACCAATTCCAACTTAGTTTCCTACCAACTTAAGTTTTTGGGTACAACTCACGATTTTCGGGATAGACAATTCACCGAACTTTGGACAATTCACCGAAATTTGGACAATTCATCGAAAAGTAGACAATTCACCGAACTTTGGACAATTCACCGAAATTTGGACAATTTACCGAAAAGTAGACAATTCACCGAAATTTGGACAATTCACCGATTTTTGAAGTTCCTCTTTTTTCAGAATGCATTTTCTTCCTCTATTTTCAATTTTATTCAATTTTTTGTTGTTCAATTACTCCTCTTCTACATTCAAAAATAATACTATTTTACCAACAACAAGAAGAATACCTTCCTTAAAGTTTTTGGAATCTTTGCTTAATTTGAAAAATATCCAGGTTTTTTTTAATATTTTTTCATGAAAAGGGCCTCCTTAAGGAGGGGTTGTTCTTGAGCTTTTTTGAGCTTTTTCTGGGCTGTTTTGAACCTTTTATGCCTTTTTTTAGGCCTTTTGAGATTTCTGGAAAATAGGTTTGTCTCAAAAATAGGGTAGTCGTTACTGAAAAATCTTTGGATAACCGGGAACGAGTCTAGGGGTGTAGTCTACCCATTTCCTATAATCAAAAATTTCCTACGGTTTTTGACCGGGAATTCCCGAAATGAGGAAATTAGGGCTTTTTAACTTTTGGGCTTTTTCCTCTTTCCAAATTAATACAAAACAAGGGTGTCGAATCCTGGGAAGTTTTCGATTATCCAAAAATGAGTCAGAGGGTTGGCCGACTCGTTTCTCTAAAATCAGAAGTGCCGGAGGTTTATGGTTCTGGAATTTTTGGATCCAAAAAAGGGAATTTTTATGAATGTTAGCAAGGGCGTAGCCAGGGAACGCCTGGGTAAACGCCAAAATTTTGGCTTACACCCCATTTTAGTCCCCTGAAATCGACCCCCTCGCTACGCCCCTGACAGTTAGACCTCCGAACCAAGTCGAAAACCTTCCTCAGTTTTTTTGATTCATGAACCGACGACCCTGTCCTAAATATTCTAAATTTAATTTTTTCCCTTTTCAGTCAGCAGAAGATTTTGATTTTACAAATATTTCAAATAATTCTTTGTTGGTAAATATTAAAGAAAAAGGATTGGAATTAATTGATAAAAATTTGGAAAAAGCTTTGGCGATTAGTATTTTTTATTATTTTTTTAAATTGATAATTAAAAAACGTCAGAATTTTTAAAACCAGAATTTCGATCAGAATTCAGAAATATTCTGATTTTTGATTTAAAAATTCTGATTTTTACCAGAATTCAGAAATATTCTGATTTTCAGAGAAATTCTGATTTTTGGGAGGCATTCTGATTTTCAGAGAAATTCTGATTTTAAGAATATTCTGATTTTCAGAAAAATTATGATTTTCAGAGACATTCTGATTTTTATTCAGAAATATTCTGAAAAAATCAGAATTCACAATATTCTGATTTTACTTCAGAAATATTCTTATTTTCAGAAATATTCTGATTTTTAGTTCAAAAATTCTGAAAAAAAACAGCCAATTCTGATTACGTTTTAATTTTTAAAGAAAATTCGGCTTCTAGAACAGAAGAAAATTTATACAAAAAATTATTAAATCTTCAAAATTATGAAAAAAATGTGAGGCCAACAAAGCATCATTTATTACCTACAAATGTTACTTTTGGGGTGTTATTAAACCAAATTGTGGAAATGGACGAAAAAAATCAGATATTAACTACTAGGTGTTGGATAAATGTAAATTGGATTGATTATAGATTGGCTTGGAATGTTAGCGAATGGGAGGTTTTGTTTGAGATTATAAATCAGAATATTCTGAAAAATCAGAATTTTATAATTTTTTTAGAACTTTTTGAAAAATCAGAATATTTTGAAAAATCAGAATTTTATAATTTTTTTAGAACTTTTTGAAAAATCAGAATATTTCTGAATTCTGAAAAAGCAGAACACTTTGAATTAAAAGTCAGAATCTCAGAATTCTGTTCCAAATCAGAATTCTTTGAAATCAGAATTATTAAAAAATCAGAATTCTGATTTTTTAACAAATTTTCAAATTAAAAAACAGAATATTCTGATTTGTGTTCTAAATCAGAATTTTGTATTTTTTCAGAATTTTGTTCCAGAATTCTGATTTCCAAAATTCTGGTTTAAGGCAGAGTTATTCTTAGAGTCATTTCAGAATCAGAAAAAATTTTAAAATCAGAATTCTGGTCTAAATCAGAATTTTTTGAATTTAAAATCAGATTGTTATCAGAACACCAGAAAATTTTAAAAATCAGAATATTCCTGAATTTTCATTTAAACCAGAATATTTTTTCAAAGGGAATTGAACAAATTTACGCCCCGCACCACCGTATTTGGTTGCCCGACATAATTTTAATAAATAATGCGGCCCACGATTATCGAGGCTCTCTACTTTCAACAGACGTAATTATAACAAATGCTGGAAATGTTACTTGGCTATTATCTGCTTTGTTTAAATCAAATTGTGCTATTAATGTTAAATATTATCCTTTTGATGATCAAGAATGTAAAGAGAAGTTTTTTGAAATTTTTGGGATTTTTTTCTAAACATTTATTCCAAAAATGTTCGCGAAATTTTAAAATATTACGAAATTTCGCGAAATTTTAAAATATAACGAAATTTTCGCGAAATTTAAGGATATTGCGAACTTTCGAAATTTCGCGAAATTTTAGAATATTGCGAAATTTCGAAATTTTAAAATATTACGAAATTTCGCGAAATTTTAGAATATTACGAAATTTCGCGAAATTTTATGATGTTGCGAAATTTCGAAATTTCGCGAAATTTTAGGATATTGCGAACTTTCGAAATTTTGCAAAATTTTAGGATATTGCGAAATTTCGAAATTTCAAAATATCACAAAATTTCGAAATTTCGCGAATATTGCGAAATTTTGAAAATTTCCTAAAAAAATTTTTAGTAATTTTTTGAAAATTTTCAAGAAAAATTTCGAAAATTTTTTTACTCCCTCAGAATATTTTCTATCATAAAATCAACTCTAAAAATATTTTTTTAAAGGTACTCTAAAATTCGCCAGTTGGGGTTCTCATGATTCCCGTGAAATTGACATTGGACTTACCACGGATCAAGGCGATTTATCAAATTATTTGAATTCGACAGAATTTGATTTGCTTTCGTTTAAGGCGGAAAGAAGGGTTTTTTTATTTTTAAAAATTTTTTGAATTTTTTTTAAGTTAATTCGATTCTCAACAGATAAAGTAGCTAGTTGGCCAATGATAATAGCTACAATTAAAATGCGTAGAAGGCCTCTATTTTATGTTTTTAATCACGTTTGTTTAATTTTTTGAAGGAACCTTAATTATAAAAAAATTCTGAAATTTCGCGAAATTTCGTGTTTTGCGAAATTTCGAGTTTTTGCGAAATTTCGGGATTTCGCGAAATTTTTTCGAGACGAAATTTTTTTGAAATTTCACGAAATTTAAGAATATTACGAAATTTCGAGATTTCAAAAAATTTCGTGTTTTGCGAAATTTCGGAATATCACGAAATTACAGAACATTTCGAAGTTTCGTGTTTTTGCGAAATTCTTTTTGAATTGTTTTCGGAATTTCATGTTTTTGCGAATTTCAGAATTTTACGAAATTTCGAGAAAATTCTTTCGAAATTTTTTTTCGAAATTCTGAAAAAAATTTTTAATTCTAATCCTTTTTACAGATAATTCCGTGTGTATTAATCTCTTCGATGGCTCTTCTTGGTTTTTGTATGCCTCCGGAAACTGGCGAAAAAATTAATATGTTAAATACGGTTTGGGGTTTATTTTAAATTTTTTTGATTTTTGTTCTCTTCAGCCAATGAGTGGGGTGAATGGAACAAGAAGAAATAGGGTGAAGGGAACCAATATAATTATGCTGAGGAAGGGTGTGAAGGGAGCCAAGGGCAGTAAGGTGAAGAGAACCAATAGATAGGGTGAAGAGGGGGGGAGTGTAAGGGACCTCATGCACGAAGGGGTCCAACAAATAGCGTGAGGGTGGGCAAAGGGGAAAGGGTGTGAAGGGAACCAAGGTAGTAGGGTGAATGCAGGTGGGGGTGTGAAGGGAGCCAAGGGGAGTAAGGTGAAAGGAACCAATAGATAGGGTGAAGAGGGGGGAGTGTAAGGGGAACCCCGGACACGAAGGGAATCAAAAAAATATGGTGAGGGGTGAAGAGAAATGGCATAAAGGGGGCCATTGAATAAGGTAAACGAATAAGAGCTGTGTAGGTGACAAGTGAAAATTTACTGGGAAAATCACAAATTAAATTTAAGGTGATCCTTTCAATGGGTGTGTATCTCCAATCAATTATTGAATCAATACCTCCTACTTCTGAAACAGTTCCGCTTATTGGAATTTACTATGTGGCATCTTTAGCAATTGTAAGGGGTCTTTAAAAAATTAATTTTTGGAATTTTGGAAAATTCTGATTTTTTCAGAAAAATTCTGATTTTTTTTCAGAAGAATTCTGATTTTTTTCAGAACAAATTTCTGATTTGTTCTGACAAATATTCTGATTTTCTTAAATATAAATTAGAATCCTTTTAAAAGGTTTGTCTTGCAACAGCAATGAATGTCTACACCTTAAATGTTCACAGGCGTGGAATAACAAATCAAAGCCGAGTTCCTTGGTGGATGAGAAAGTATTTTAATTTTGTTATAAAAATAATTTTTTATTTTAATTTTTAGATATATTCTTGGTTATTTGGCAACCATTTTATTTATACGTGTACATGAACCGGATTCTGTCACTTTAATTAAGGCTACAAAGGTTTCTTTAAATTTTATTTTTTTAAATATTTTTTGACACCTTCGTGTTATACCCACACATGTTCGAAAAGGTGCCTGAAGGTGTTTGTCCGCAAGATTTTATCCGCAAATTTTGTCCTCGACCGGTTGTTCCCTATTTTTGTGCGTAAATGCATTTTCACAAATTTTGTCCGCAAGATTTTATCCGCAAATTCTGTCCGCAAGTTTTGTCCGCAAATGTTAATCCGCAAATTTTTATCCGCAAATGGAGATATGGAAATCTGCGTGTCTAGCATTTTATTTGCCTGACCTTTATTAGTCCTTGTAAATTTCTTTTAATCTTAATGAGAGGAGAAATGAAAGCGGAAGAAGTTGCGGACAAAAATTTGCGGACGTTTGGGGGTTATAATGCATTAGTACCTATTTTTATTTTTTAAAGACTAGACGTTCTACAATTCGTCGAATAAGTTTGTTGAGGGATCTGAAGCATATAAAAAATATGGAAAATTGTAAAGAGACGAGAACCGATGAAAGCAAAAATTGTGAGTGTATGGAAAATGGGGAAGTTGAGGAGGAAAAATTGCCGTCTTCTTTAAATTTGGTTTATTTTTTTTTAATTTTAGGGGAAGAGAAAGATTTTTTTTATTTTTTAGAAGAGAAGACTAACATTTGCTGATTGTTCAGAAGATGGGTGTAGTCCAAGAATTGAGAGACGAACTCGTCGTTTGACTCAATGTACTCAAGAAAGTATTGGAGGGGAATGTGTAACACTTGAGAAAATGTTGATGGAACAGGTTTTTAAGGATTTTTTTTGGCACTTGTCAAGGGTAGGGTCCTTTTCTTAGGTCCAGTAGGTCCAGTCCTTTTCTCCCACAGCACTAGCGAATAAACCGAACATCGAAATCGGGACCAAATGTCTTAAGCCTGGGAGTATTTACTAGTGACCGGCGCGGGACGGGATCCGGCGCGGGACGGAAGTTTTTTTGGCATTTTGTCCAGAGTAGGGGATTCCCCAGTCCGGCTCTGACACACCAGATAAGAAACCAGACTAGGACATGGATACGGATTTTGGTATCCGTATCCGGATATTTACGGCGGATACGGGCGGGATACCCGCAGGCATTTTGGTATTATCTGTATCCGTATCCACGACCAGGTCTGGAAGAAACAACGCATGAACATTAACTTGACTAAATGGCCAGGGTTGGACCGGAAAATTTGATACCCGGAATCCTATCAGGGAAATTTTCTAAAACCCCGGTCCGGGATCCTACCCCATTTTTCTCTACCTCTCCTTGGAATTAAGTAAATCCGGAAATATTCTAAAATGAAAGGTTGTCCCATTCGTGACTTATTTCTAGGCTTCCCTTCTTTTTACGAATCGGGGAAGGGGTAGCAGAACATGAAGAAGCACCTAGCCTTTGCGGACAACTTTTGCGGACTTAAATTTTTTTCTAGTTATATTTTAAAGGTAATGCCTCGCTTAAATGCCGTACGTCCTGTAATGTCTACAGAATTTGAAGAACGATTCAGAAAAATTCTCAAACGTGTTTATCGTTCTTTGCAACAATTTGAAATACGTGACGAGGTTTTTTTGTTTTTGTGGGAATTAGGATTTTTCTTTGGGAAAAGGGATTTTTTGGGTAGGATGGTGACTGTTTTCCCTGTAGTTCTTTTCACTTCCCGTCCATTTCTCGGCTTCCCGTCCATTTTTTCGGCTCCCGTTCATCCCCCTTCTCCCAATTGTCCCTCCTTCCCTTTTAATTAATACAAGTGGTGATGTTTTTCCTCTGGTCCTCCCGACTTTTCTGCCCATTTTTGGAGGGATTTTTGTAGCTGGAGACATTTCCGATGTTCCTCTCCTCGTTTGGCTGAATGAATGCGTACAGTTTTTTGTTGTCCAACCAATGGTTAGGTACTTGGAGAGCGTGGAGGACTAGAGGGGGAAGAAGCTCCTTTAGAGCTTCTTTAGCCTTGTCGGAAAAATCCAAAAAATATTTTTAAAAAATTTTCCGATTTTCCAACCAATATTTAGGTAACAGAGGTTGATCGGAATTCCGATTTCCGACGTTTCTTTTTCTTCCGATTTCCGAAATTTTGGAAAAATTTCCGAGTTCCAATTTCCGGTACCTTCGTCATTTCCGATCGACCTCTGGTAGGTACTTGGTGAACGTGTGGGGGATGATAGGGGAGAATCACCTTCTTTAGGCCTGTTAGATTTTTAAAAATTTATATTCAAAAGGTAATTGATGAACGCAAACGAATTGTTTGGCAATGGAGAACATTGGCGTCAATAATTGATCGTTTCTTACTTTTTACGTTTTCGTTTATAACACTTTTTACCGTTACAATTTTTATTATTTTTCCCATACTTTTTCGGGAACGTCTTTTAGGGCAAAATGAATTTATTTCTTAAAATGTTGACCCTTCCAACCCTTTTCTCTCCAATTAAAAAAATTTTTTTCCTTCAAAAATTCTTGATATTTATACAAAACGAAATAAATTTCGATCAGAGATCGGTTTTTAAATTCTATCAAAAAAATTTTCATTTTGCTACAGCAATAAGGGACCGAGAAAATTATGCGATTTTATATAATAAGAACAATTTTTAGAGGGAAATTGAAATAAAAGATTTTGTCAAGAAAATATTGTGGAGGTTATGGGAGGATTTAAAGGTTCAAAATTAATGTTCGGCAAAGGGGCTTGTTAGGTAACGCAAAGGATCTTGCGGAAAGTCCGCAAAAAACTTGCAGAAAGTCCGCAAAAAAATTTGCGGAAAGTCCGCAAATGACTTTGCGGAAAGTCCGCAAAAAAATTTGCAGAAAATCCGCAAAGGAGTTCGGGATTAAGACTTCTGGGGGTCAAGTTTTAGCTAGAAACCCCACAAAAATCTGACAAAATCTGACAAAACAAAAGTCAAATCAATTATTCATGGATGGGCATTTTAAGTGAGAGAAGGAAGAAAAAACGGGAAATACCGAAAAGAATTTAAAACAAAAAAATTTTTTTTAATTTCTAAACTAAACTTCCAACTAATTTTTACTTCTTTTAAGCTTTAACTGCCTGTGGGCCAGAAGAACTTGTCGCTGCCAATCCAGTGAATTCGCCTTGTTGCTGCGACAGTCGGGCTGAACGACGAGCGCGTCGAGTATTGCACATTCCCCACTGAAAAGAAAAATTTTTTGAGAAGGTTTAAGGCTTAGAGGGGGTTTAAAGGGTCTTAAAGGCTTAAAGGTTCTTCAAGCTGTAACTAAATTAACCCTCTCGTATTTTGGTTAACCCACGATTTGCCATTCCCCTCCCTCCCCTTCTCTTCCCACAGGCTTTTTTGAGACAAAAATTGAAAAAGTTTTCCAGAAAATTTTCTGTGAATGGGCATGATTAAGCTTTTCAATTTATTTTCGTTAAAAAAAGAAAAACCCTCGAAAGGCATCGAACCTTTGCAAAAAGTCAACGTGCCTGAGCACATTAACCACTCGGTGCAGCTGTATTTACATATAACTAGGGTTGGTCCCCGAGCCTTCGGGGTTGGAAAAGTCGGGGGTCGGGGTTTTCGGGGTTGACAAAGTCGGGGTCGGGGTCGGGGTTGCTCAAATTGTTCGGGGTCGGGGTCGGGGCTGAAAATAATGTCGGGGTTCGGGGTCGGGGTTGAAGTGAAAATTTACAAAATCCAGCATTTTTATCCAAAATTACTGTTCAAAATCAACATTTTTATTAAAAAATCATCTTAATCTTCATTATCTTCACTTTTTGTATCTAATTCGTGATTAGTTGAAGGCGCAAGAAGTACTTTATCCAAGTTATCCTTCATAATCGCCAAAATCCCCAAACCCACAAGGTAACTCTTACTCCACCTCTTATGTAAAGGGATTGAGGGGATATGAAGGCATATCAGAGGATTAAGATGGATATAATGGGATTTAGAGGATTTGACGGGATATCGGGGAGTTGCAAGGATAACGGGAGAAATCCATCTATCCATCAATTTCTCCTAAAGCCTCTGTATCCCTTCATTGAGTCTAGCGCCGCAGGCAAAAACTTTGAGAATTTTGGAAGGTCAAGAGCCAGATTTCTTCCATTTTCGGCGCCGCAGGCAAAAATTTTTAGAATTTTGGAAGGCCAAGAGACAGATTTCTTCAATTTTCTGCGCCGCAGGCGAAAATTTTGGAAAATTCATGACTAGCTTAAAATTTCTAATATTGTTTCAAGTTTAAAATATTTAAAAAAAAAAAAATAAATTTGCAAATTTAAAATCAAGATCATAGTTTAAAAATATTTTTGAGAAGAAAAATTTTCTCAGCCTTATTTCCATCCCTGGATTCGAACAACATTCCTATCAAAATAGCTAGATGGCTGAATTCAGTTAACCTAACCACTCAACCATCGACCAACAAAAGGAAACAGGAGAAAATATAAATATTCCTTTCCATTTTCCTTCATATATTTAGCATCAAAGTCCCGATCCCGTTCCGATCTCTAGTTAATTAATGCAGTTTGAGTCGGGGGCATAAAATTTTTTCGGGGTTCGGGGTCGTCGGGGTCGAACTTTCGGGGGTCGGGGTTTTCGGGGTTGGGAATGTCGGGGTCGGGGTTTTAGGTCAAAAAATGTCGGGGTTCGGGGTCGGGGTCGGGGTTAGTCGGGGTCGGGGACCAACCCTACATATAACTAAAAAATTTTTCTTCTTTTCATTTCTTTTGTAAAGTCAAAAGACTCCCTCACATATGTATGTGTGAGCTTCTTTTTATTTTAATTACCTTCTGTCCTGAGGAGTGAGGAATTGGGAAGGTTTGACTTGCCTGGGAATTACACCTTATGCTTCAAAAATGGGTCTTAAATGAATGGTCGGACCTAGATTTAGCACCCAGAGTTAAATGAGGGGTGAATTGTATCGATCATACAACCAGAAACCGAGATACAGGGCCTTGAAAATTGAAAAACTCATAGGGAGGACTAGTCTCATTTTTGGAGCTTCCAAAAAGTTTCTGAGAGAAAATTCCCCCTAAAAAGCCCAAGAACCCTCTTTTAAAATTAAAAAAAACCTTATCAAAAACAGTCTGATCGTCCTTCTCAGAAACACAAAACCAAAGAATGCAAGTAACAGAAATGACAAAAATAACGGAGAAAAAGACAATTGACGCTGCCAAAGGGCCAAAATAGTCAAGCAAATCCAAATTTTGTTTTGGCATTTTTTTAATTTTTGAAGAGAATTAAATTGAAAATTGAGCTTTTTGAGCCTTTTTGGATCTCTAAAATTAAAAAAATATTTTTAATTAGAAAGAGATGAGTTCAGAAGGTCAACACCAGGATGTCCGCAAATGCGGATGCATGGTTTTTTGGATTTGCAGATTGCGGCTGCGGAAATTTTTTTTCATTTGCGGACACCCCTGGTCAACACTCTAGAGGTCAACTCTCCAAATATTTGATTGGATAAAGGATTAAGGCCCGTAGCCAGGAGGCTACGGCCCCACCCCCCTCCCTCTCCCGCAGAAATGAAAAAGAGGAAAATTTGAGAAGGGGATTGGGCAAAAAAGTGAATTTTTTTGGTCTACAGCCTTCTAAAACCTCAAAATTTTCCCCTTGCCCCCCCCCCCCTCTCCACGAAAAAAATCCTGGCTACGGGCCTGAAAGGATTTGTTGAAATTAAGGGGAATTTTAAGGAACAGAAGACGTAAATTCTATCGTGCACCTTCTAGAATGGACCAATTAGAATTAATTTTTTAGCTCATTAAAAACAAAAAAAAACAAATTTTTTTCAATTAAAAATTAAGTTTACCCACTTTAAAAAATAAAAAAGTCAATTTTCTTCAGTAAATGAAAAAAGGGAAGGAAAAAACTCTCAAGAATGGCCGAGAATAAAATGTGTGCTAGGCAATATTACTAGAAAAAAGGAAAAAAATGTCGATTTATTTACTAAACTAAAAGGGAAGAGGAGAAGCACAAGATTAAGCTTAAAAAAAGAAAGAAAATGCCCCCTTATTTTCAGCAGTGTGGACTGTCTATTAAAAAAGCTTCCGTATCTAGACATTTTGACAACACGACATTTTGCCAATAAGGGTAAAATCCCGCATTTTGTCAACAAGCTTGTTGGCAAAACGAGGATTTTTAGCCTTGCTGGCAAAATGTCGTTTTGGTAAAATGTGGAGGAGACAAGGCTTTGGCCATAGAAAAAGAGAAAGAAGCTTTAAGAGAGACTATTGCGGTTGTCTCTTTTTAATTTTTAGCTAAAAAATGAGTAAGCTAGTTAATAAAGTTATTTTGGATAGAATAAATGATTAAAATGACTAGGAAATTGAATATGTAAATAATAAAAGGAGGCCAAAATACAACAACAAAAGTATGCTCTATAAGCCAGTGCAGATGTTTATTACAGATGAAAAATAGGCGAGAGAAATAAACAAAAAGTATCTGAAAATGGTCAAAAATCGGCTCGGTGACGAAAGAATGGTGGTTCACCAAAATTTTTGAATCATTTTCAAATTTTACCACCAAACTCTGGCGCAATAAATGACAATTTATCCCATTTTTACATTTTGAAATGAGAAGGGTCAGTTGAGTATAGAAGATTAAGAGGGGATTGTTGAAAGCTGAGGAGAAAGAGGTGGATGAGGAAGCTTTAGCTGAAAGTTGTTGGAACACTTCCTCATAATTGAACCAACATCCCCCCGTTGCAAAAACAAAAAGGGACCGCCCAAAAGGGCGCGCGGCCATAACGGCGCAAGGCCATAAATTGCTTCTAGATTTCCGAATCTTGCCAAATTTGGTATTAAACGATTCCTCTCATCGAGCTAAAGAGGCTGATACCAAAATTGATAAGGGACAGTAATTCTCTAGCAAGTTATGGCTTTGCGTCGTACGTTCTCGCGCCGAAATGACCCCCTCCTATTGCGGATATTTCCTTTGGACGGTGTCCCAAATTCGATAAAAAGAAGAATTTTTTCTTTATTTTTTTTAAGTTTGTGAATTGATAAATATGTAAAAAAAAGTCAACAAGCTATCAAAAAATTTAAATTAATCAAAGTTTCTTCTCAAAATCAACGTTTCTTAGCATCTAATCCCTTGCGCAACAGTCATAAAAACACCAAAAGAACCACCCATTTGGGCTGCCACTTTGCCAATTTGTCTGAAAGCTTCTCTGCCGCGTAGACCGGCCCTTGAAAAATTTTTTTGAAAATTTTTAAAACTTTGCAAACCTCAAAGTTGTAAAAGTCCCAATAATAACGCCAGTAGAACCACCTATCATACACCCCATTAAAAAGCCCATTTTCAATTTGTCAAAGCATGAGAAGCCTTGGCGTTGTTGTGAAATTTGTTGTTGTTGGTAGCCTTGAGGAACGGGCATTTTTTAATTTTTTAAAATTCTAAATTGTGAGATTTTAATTATAAAAGAAGGGCTCAAATCGGCGCGAGGCCATAACGGCGCAAAACCATAACTTGCTGGAAAATTTTCGGCCCTTCTCAATTTTGGTACCAATCTCTTTAGCTCGATGAGAGGAATCGTTTGATACCAAATTTGGAAAGATTGGAAATCTTGAAGCAAGTTATGGCCTTGCGCCGTTTTGGACGCGTCCCAGAAAAGAAAGCCTAGAAAAAGTTTGTGGGGGTAAAGTTAGAGAGAGTGGAGAAGAGAAAATTAGAGAAATATACAAAATGTTTTTGTCACTCTTGTCATTTTTCGTTTCATCTACTCGACATAATTTAGTCTTTTTATCGAAAATGTTAAAGAATTTTTGAGTGTTATTTGAGTATAGCGAATTCAAAAATTAAGGGAATTGGATTTTAAGACTCTAAAGTCCCTTTTTGTTTTTATTTGTTTTTCCGAGAGAGAGTGGGTCGGAGAAGAAGAGATTTTTAGATTGCGACATTTTGCCTATACCATATTTTGCCAATTAGGCTAAATTTCTAAGTTTTGTCATAAGGGTTGTTGGCAAAATGTCGTTTTTTAGCCTTATTGGCAAAATGTCGTTTTGGCAAATGTGTGGACACTAAAATTTTTTAAAGCTTGTTTTAATTTTTAAATTTTATAAGCTGAAGCTTGTAAGCTATTTTAGAATCCTTGTATTTTTACGCTGTTTTAATTCAAAATGCTACATAGAAAGCTGCTTTGTGGAGCTAATAAGGTTTCTTTTTTATCTGAGAGAACGTTGATTTTTTGTTTAGTTTGTTTCAAACCAATCTGTGAGGACTTTAATGCTTCAAGAATATAATGGAATGACTGTTCTCTCTGAAAATAATGTTCGAGTGCCTCCTTTTGGAATTGCTACAAGCGCTGAAGAAGCTTATAATCAGGCAGTGAAAATTGGTTTGTAAATTCTTAAAATTTGGACGGGGTCGAGGAAAAAGTCGGATCGGGTCTCGGGTTCGAAAAAGCCCAGGTTTCTGCTCGGAATTTTGAAAAGTTCTGGGTTCGGAACGAAAAAAGACCGGATATCTAATTTCGGATGATTCGTGACATTTTTGTACTTGTGGCTTAGTTGGTTAACGCTCCGATTATTAGCTCAAATGGGGGAAATGTTGTTAAAGTTCGAATCCTTTTTGTTTAGATTTGTTAAAGAAAATCGAAACGATTTTCTTTTTTCATAATTAACGTTTAAAATGATTTTTAAGTCAAAATAAATTTTTTAGCCCATTTTTAAATTTTATTTTAAGGTGGGAAAGATTACGTTGTTAAAGCCCAAGTTTTGGCTGGCGGGCGTGGCAAAGGCAAATTTGACTCTGGTCTGGAGGGAGGAGTTCAAATTGTTTTTACGTTTGCTTTTTTATTTTAAAAATTTATTTTTAATTTTTTTAAGACCCGAAGAAGCCAATGAAAAGGCAAAACAAATGATTGGGCACAAGCTGATCACAAAACAAACGGGTGCTGAAGGACGACCTTGCAAGGCAGTTTTGGTCTGCAAAAGGCTTTTTACTCGTCGAGAATATTATTTTAGCATAACTTTGGATCGAACAACTAATGTAAATTTGTTTTTTGAGTGCTTTTCCGTTATTTCTGCAGGCTTTTTGGGGGGTTTTGCGGATTTTTCCTCTTTTTTCGAATACATTTAGGGTTCCTTCGGTAATAGCTCGGATAAGACCCCCCTCCTTTTTTCTTTCTAAAAGTATTAAAAAATGGTCAGTCAGTCTTAGGTTATAGAACTCGTCGAGCTGTGTCGAATGACACCAAAATCAATCCCCGGTATTAACATTGAGCTGAGATACATGAGACGCTTTTGTAAAACCTTTGTTTTGCACAGGGTTTTTGTCTGTATCTCGGCCCAAAGTTAAGACCTGGGTTTGATTTCGGTGTCATTCGACAGAGCTCGACGAGTTCTGACTGACCATTTTTAATATTTTTAAAAAGGAAAAGAGTACGGGGGGGGGGTCTCATCCGAACTATTACCGTTCCTTCATTACCTTTTTTACAAAGTTTACTAATAGGTTAGGAACCAAATCCTTGACATTGAGTCGGCTTCCCGAGCCCTTAATTTTATTCATATTACTGTGGGATTGGTTTTTGACCATTTCGAGCTTCTTCATATAGGAATAACGGAAAAGCGCCCTTCATGTGAGCTTTAAAAAATATTAATTTTTAGGGCCCCATTCTAATCGGCTCTTCAAAAGGAGGTGTTAACATTGAAGAAGTTGCTGCAACTGATCCAGATGCTATAATAACAATTCCTATCGATATAAATGAAGGGGTAACAAAAGAAAATGCTGAAAAAATGGCAAAGAAAATGGGATTTGCTGATGAATGTTTAACGGAAGCGACGGAGTTGATAATCAATTTGTACAATTTATTTATCAAAGTTGATGGAAGTTTGTTGGAAATTAATCCTATGGCTGAAAATGTTGATGGACAGGGTTTGTTTAAAATTAATTCTTATTTGAGGGCTTTTAGGGTGTGACCCCGAAGGCCGAACCATTTCTGATGTTAATCCCCACAAGCCCTTTAAATATCAAGACGAAAAGTCAAAACCCCAAAAAGCGTCGAATTGATCGTGGGAATAACGTTATACTTTTACCGGCTTTTGAGTAGTTGCTGTAGCTCCTACAGGTTGGATTTTCGATTGATTTTTGAGAGGTTTGGCGTCATTTCCTGAAATCATTCGAGTGAAATTTTTTGCGATATTTCCTCTAATAATTCCCGTAACCGCCGTGATTCTAATTTTCCGAAATTCGGTTGATTTTGGATTTTTTCGACGTTTTGACTTTTCGTCGCGATGCGGACTTTAACAAAAGTTAGTCGTCGAGTAGGAATTGAACCTAAATTTTAATTTTTTTTTCAAGTTTATTGTATGGATTGTAAATTAGTTATTGACCCAAATGCCGAATACCGCCAAAAAGCTTTGTTTGAACAAAAAGATACCAGTCAGGAAGATGAATTGGAAGTTAGAGCACAAAAATCTAATTTGAATTATATTCGTTTGGATGGAAATATTGGTTGTATGGGTTGGTTTTTTTCTTTAAAAGTTAAAAAAATTTTTTTGAACGTGCAACGACCCCTGGAGAATTTTTTTTAATTTTTTTGAAGGCTTCAGCCTTTGAAAAATTTCTTTGAAGGGGCTCCAAACCATGGAAATATTCTTAAGAGATTTTGAATGGTCTCCAGGGTTAAAAAAATTTTGTGGGGTCCCCAGCCTCTGGAAAATTTTTACGAAAAAAATATTATTGAAGGAGTCCTACCTTTGGGAAAAATTTTAAAAATTTTGTGTGGGGTCTCCAACCCCTGGGGAAAAATTAAAAAAAAATTTTTTTAAAGTTAATGGTGCTGGTTTGGCTATGGCAACAATGGACATAATTAAACTGCATGGAGGCGAACCAGCCAATTTTCTTGATGTTGGAGGTGGTGCAACAGTTGAACAAGTTTATGAAGCATTCAAAATTATAACTTCTGACAGAGGAAAAGTCAATGCAATTTTGGTTAATATTTTTGGAGGAATTATGAGATGTGATGTTATTGCGCAAGGAATTATTAAAGCAGCGGTTTGTTTGTTTGTTTGTTTTTTTTTTGAAATTTTTGTCGAAAAGAATTTTTTGAGATGTCTGGGGTTGAGAAATTTTTCACGTACATGTCTGGTCGCTAGGGTTGGATTTTTCAAACCGGGTCGACGTTCAAGTCATTTTTTTCGGGCCTCATTTTTATCGAACCGAGCCGTTCGAGTCTTTTTTGGGTCAAAATTCGAGGCCCGGTTCTATCTTTTGAACCGGGCCCCCAACCCTACTGGTCGCCTCTCGCAGATTTTAGTCGCACTTTATGAGTGACTTTCGCCAAATTTTTGCCTTTTTTGTATCGTGTTTTGCTTTTGAAATTACCTAATTTGTGTATTTTCAACTTTCGTGTTTTGCTTTTTACAAATGACTTTCGCCTTTTCGGCGGAAGACGAAACACTAAAAAGGCGAAAATTAAGTGTAGATATTGGCCCACCTCTTGAATCGAACCTAGCATTATTGAGAATCATTCGGAAAAGTCCTCAAAAATTGCCTGAAATAAATTTATGTCTTTTAAATTGCTGTTTGTTTTAAATAATAAAATTAACTTTTTTTAAGAGTGAACTTGACTTGAAAATACCTATTGTTGTTAGACTACAAGGAACGCGAGTTGAAGGTTTTTTAAAAGTTTTTTTTTGAATTTTTTTATATTTTAACAGACGCAAAGGCATTAATTGCTCATTCAAAAATGCGTATACTTGCTTGTGATTCGCTTCAAGAGGCTGCTAAAATGGCTGTAAAGGTTTTTTTTTAAATTTTTTTTGGATAAATAGTATCGTTTGTGTGGGTTATTTTTTTAAATATTTTTTGATTTTCTTTTTTACTAAAGTACCTAATGGATTTTTATACAAATCCAAATCTGTATAATTAAGTGAACAGCTTTGAGAATCAGGTCCACGGTCACAGCAGGGATGGGACGGGTTGAGAAAAAAAATCGGTTCGGGTTTCAAAATTTTTCTCGGATCGGGTTTCGGATCGAAAAAAGTCCGGTCAGGTACTCGTCCATCCCTGGTCCACAGCTCAACGTTTCCCATGGTTTGACTTACAAGGTGTTCATGGATGTGGGTCTTTCTTTGCCTGCCCTGTGAATTATTTAGAGAGGATCCCGGACCGTTTTATCCCTCCTTTCTTCTATAATTCCTTGTAGAAAAAATGCCGCACACAAACAAGACTATTTCCATTTTTTAGTTAAAATTAAAAAAAATTGTTTTTTCAAAGTTGAGTTCAATTGTTTCGTTGGCAAAAGAGGCAGCGGTTGATGTTAAGTTTGAGCTGTCAATATAAAATCTATATAGGGAAGATGATAAATACGAGAATTGATAGATTGATTAAATCAAAAGTATATATATTTGTATAATTAGGGAAATTTACGAAACTTTTTTATAAGAAACTTTGTTTGCGGACAAAACTTGCGGATTTGGTATTTCGGTGGCTTTTTTGTGGGTTTGGTATTTCGGTGGCTTTTTTGGTATTTTGGTGACTTTCGAAAAATTCTTTTTAAAAATAAGTCAGCGAATATTCCTCAAAAATAAACTGCAAAAAAATTTCCGCAAGAAAAATCCGCAAAACTAAGTCTGCTAACAAATATCCGCAAAAAGGAATAGGAAAATTTTTGGGAGTGTCCGCAATTTACAAAAATTTTTGTTTATTTTTGGGTTGGGATTGTCCGCAAGTTTTGTCCGCAAATCTAAATTTTTTAAATTTTTGGGAATTTCCTATAAAAAGTTTCTTAAAAAATATGTTCAATTTTACCTTATTAGGTCAAATTTTACCTTATTAGGTCACTTTGGGAGTGTCCTCAATTAAAAAAATTTTTATTTTTGGGTTGGGTTTTGTTCAATTTTACCTTATTAGGTCAAAGAAAAGACAAATTTTTTATTTCTCGGTAATTTTTATATTAAAATTGTATAAATGCTTTAAGCATAATTTTTAAGAAAAAAATTTTTTTGTGTGCAAAAAAAAATTTATTTTTTTTCTTTTTAAGGGGTTATTTGCCTTAATTATTTTTTTATTTTAAATTTTGACACTTTTTATAGTTTTAGAAAATTAAAAAAAAATTTTTTGGAATATTTTCGAGATATTTTCTCTTTTTTCAAAATCACTTGGACGTTCATTTTGGAGAACTAGTGCTTATATTTCTACTAATAAATTAATTTGTGTGAGAACAAAAATGAAAGAAAATGCGGCATCTCAAACAGAATGGAAAGCTGGTGACAAGTTTGTATATTTTTTTGTTAAGGGTTAACATTTTTCTGAGAAACCTGAGGTTAGTTGGGATTCTTTTCTCTTATGCTGTCGAGGGGCTCGTGAATTTTCTCCGCATGTTAAAGGAGTTTTTGAAACATCAGGAAGGACTGGGACGGGTTATCTTAATGACGGACTGTTTTTCGACTTTAAACCAGGCCCAAGGAATTTTTGGAAGTCGGACTTAATACACGAATCTAGACTTTCTTTGACGACGCGAATCCCGATTCGGCTTTCCTTTCCCATGCCTGATTGGGAAAGGAAAGCCGATTCAACCATGAATTAACTGGTTATATTTTATTAGCAAATTTTTTTCCGCAAATATATAAATCTGTAAATATCCGTGTCGTCTTGCATTGCCAAAACATTGAAATGCCAAACTCCCAAAGGTGTAAAAATGCTAATAACTGGAAAGGTATTTCAATGTTTGGCATTTTGATGATTTGGCATTACAAGATGTGTTAAGTTGAAAACTAATTTCTTTTTTCTTTCCACAGGATTCCTTACTTAATCTTCGCAAAAACATTGGAACAAATTGAAAATACTTCTTCACGTTTAGAAATAATTAAAACACTTGCAGAATTTTTTGTTAAAGCAATAAACCTTTCTCCAAATGATTTGAGTCCAGCAGTTCATTTGTGTGTTAATCAACTTGGACCAGCTTATGAAGGTTTAGAATTGGGTATAGCTGATGCTTATTTGATTAAAGCAATTGCTGGTGCTACTGGAAGAACGGTTAAAAAAATTTTAAAATTAATATTTTGGGGGGATGGTGCTGAGGGTTGAAATGACGAGACGTAAGGATTGGAGTGCATTCTCTTAAGGGTCTTTTACTGAATTCTTGCGGATTTTTTTGTAAATTTTCACAGATTCTTTTGTGGATTTTCTCGTTTTTTTGCTTAACTTTTGCGGACAGTTGTTTGCGGATTTTTATCTTTTGTCGTGATTTCTCTTTCATCGAAAATTAGTTGTTTTACTCAAAACTATTTTTCCTAGGCATTCAAGAGAATATTAATTTAGAAAAATCCGCAAGAATTCCATTCCAATCCGTACAGGTTTTGAGGTTTTTCTTCTCTCCCTTTATAATTTTTTTTAAATATTAGGCAAATAAAATCAAAGAAGAGCTCAAAAAAGGCTTGGATCTGGGTGTTGTGGCACAGCAAAGTCGATCTGGTCAAAGTATGCTTTTCAAGCCAAAGCCACTTACTGTTCCATTTGTGTTTAATAAACTACGTGAAATTGCTCAAATGAGTGGAACTGATGTAAATTTTATTTTTTAAATTTATTTTTTTTTTTATTTGCGGACAAAACTTGCGGATGTCCGCAAAAAAATTTTATCATAAATAAATTTCTTTATCAGTCTGTGGGCAAAAAAGTTGACAAAATTCAAAGTCTAATTTTACATTGTGTTGATTGTGAAGCTAAATATTTGGTACGCTGTTTAAGTGGAAAGCTCAGGATTGGATTAGCTGAACAATCTGTAATTGTTGCTTTAGCTAATGCTTTTACAACTGTTGAATTGGGGGATAAAAGTTTGCTTTTTTTTTAAATTTTATTTAAAGTAGGCGTTGTTGGCGATCGGATATTCACGTTTTCTGGATTTGTATGGTCCCGTAATGCCAAAAATGCTGAAATTCCAAACCGTGGAGAAGGTGCCGAAATGACACTCCCAGAAGCCGACGAAATGCCTACATGTTGTCGGGTTGACTTTTTCTCGTTTGGCATTTCAGAGGCTTTTGGGGGTTTGGCTTTACGGCATTTTGGCATAACGGGCGTTAAGTTTTTGGGTAATCCAACTTTGAAAAAATACTTGATTTTTTGAGGTTTTTAAAAAAATAAAATATCGGTTATTTACTCACTTTCAAAAAATTTTTGGTTTTAAAACCGTTCACTAACAACCCCAATTTTTATAGAAAAGAAAATGTCTGCAGAAAAATTAAAAGAACGAATGGCAGAAGATGCACTAACAATGAAAACTGCATTTTGGTTTATTTTGAAATATTTTTTGAAATTAAAAAAATTTTTTTAAAGTGAATGTCCAAATTATGAAAGAATAATTGAATTAGTTTTAAAATCTGGAATTTCAAAATTGCCCGAAGAATGTAAAATTACTCCCGGAATTCCAATAAAACCAATGTTGGCACATCCAACAAAAGGAATTGATGAAATTTTTGATCGGTTTGGAGAGGAAATGTTAGCTTGTGAATGGAAATATGATGGGGAAAGATGCCAGGTTTTTTTAGTTTTATTATAATTAGGTTCGTGGTGAGCCTTCTGAAAGGACTGGATATGAGTTATCTCTTAGGGATTGACCTCACTATAAGATACACCTTTGGAACCGGAAGATTCTTGTTTTGAGTTGCCTTAAATTTTTGGGTATAGTTTTTGTTACTATTTTGGTCTCTCCCAGTGCACAACTAAAAGGACGTAATCAAGGTGTATCTAATATTGGTGGATAACTTATATTGAGGCGTTTTTGTGATTTGGGTTCTTTTGTGTTTTTTATTGTGACAATTGTCATTTGACAACTGACTTTTTAATTGTGTCAAATGTCTTGGTATCAGCTGACAATTGTTGTTATTTTTGTCAAATTTCATAATCCTACTACCTTCCTTCCAGCTTCTTGTCTAATATTTTCTTTTCAAGATTCACCGTTTGTCAGATGGAAAAGTCAAAATTTTCAGTCGAAATCAAGAAGATTCAACAAATAAGTTTCCTGATATTGTTGAACGTGTACCAAAATGTATTCGAGATAAAAATGATGGGAATATAACATTTATTGCTGACGGAGAGGTTTTCTTTTATACAAAATTTTATTAGGATTTTTTCTAATTTTAAAGGTTGTTGCTTGGGATCAAGTGAATAAACAAATTCTTTCATTTCAAGTTTTATCTACCAGAAAACGAAAGGTTTGGTATTAAATTATTTTTATGATCATTTAGGTGTGTTAATTAAACGCCTTTTTCGGTTAAAAAAAGTCCGTGAACGATCCTTTGGTATTTCGGCGATTTTTGGGGGTTTGATATTTCGGCGTTTTAGCATTACGGGGGTTTACCAAATTATTCTATTTAGTTTCTTTTTTTTTAATTTTTAAAATTAGAATGTTGGAACTAGTGAGGATATTCAAGTAAAAGTTTGTGTCTATCTATTTGATCTTCTCTATTTCAACGGTGAATCTCTTACTAGCGAAACTTTACGTGAAAGACGAAATAAATTGAGAGAAAATTTTGTGGAAGAAAATGGAAATATTCATTTTGCAAATTATATAGATTCAAATGATTCTGAAGAAATTAATAAATTTTTTGAAGAATCGATTAAAGGAAATTGTGAAGGTTTTTTTCTAAATTTTTTATTTGGGGAGATTTTTTGGACACTTATTAGGAGAGGAGGAGTTGGGTGCTAGTACATCTAGAGAAACATGGAGATTTGTCCGCAAGAATAATCCGCAATAAAATGTCCGCAAATAACTTTCCCAAAAATTGTCTGCAAATATAAATCTGCAATAAATGTCCGCAAAATTTGTCCGCAAGAAAAGTCCGCAAATTCCTGTCCGCAAAAATTGTCTGCAGAAATAGGTCCTCAAGAAAAGTTCGCAAAAATACGTCCGCAAAAATTGTCTGCAAAAATAAATCCGCAAATAATTGTCCGCAAAAATAAGTCGATGCAGAAATAAGTCCGCAAAAATATATTCGCAAGAAAATCTTTCCAAAAAATTTTTTGATTGTCAAATTTCTAAATTATATCAACCCTTCTACAGGTCTAATGATCAAATGTCTTGATGATGACTCAACCTATGAAATTGCTAAACGGTCAAGAAAATGGCTTAAACTTAAAAAGGATTATTTGGAAGGTATTGGCGATACTTTAGATTTGGTTGTTATTGGTGGTTATCATGGATCGGGTAAACGTGCTGGTGTTTATGGGGGTTATTTGTTGGCTTGTTATAATGAAGAAAGTGAACAATATGAATCTATTGCTAAGGTTTTTTTTATTTTTAAAATTGTCCGAAGAAAAGTCCGCAAGAGAAGTCCGCAGAAAAGATCCGCAAATAATTATCCGCAAAAATTAGTCCGCAAATCTGTCTGCCGAAAAAGTCCGCGGAAAAAGATCCGCAAAATTTTTTTGTATTTTTAATTTTTTTTTTTAAATTTAGATTGGGACTGGATTTAAAGATGAAGATTTACAAAATCAATACAAACAATTTAAGGAATTTATAATTGACAAGGTTTTTTTTAAATTTTTTTAGGTAATAAAAATATTTTTTTAATTGTTCGCAAATTCTTCACAAAAATTAATTTTCTAAAAAAATTTTTTTGTTTAGCCTCGTCCTTATTATTCATTTGACCCTTCATTGGCACCTGACCACTGGTTTGAGCCAGCAGTAGTTTGGGAAGTTAAAGCTGCAGATATGTCTATATCTCCAAGACATTTGGCTGCGAGAGGAATGGTGGATAGTGAAAAAGGTTTTTTTTAATTATAAAAAATTTTTTAATTATATTTTTAAGGCATTTCTCTGCGTTTTCCTCGCTTTATTCGGGAAAGATGTAAATTTTTTAAATAATTTTTTAATCTTAAAAATAATTCCTTTCTTTCTTCAAAGCTGACAAAAAACCTGAAGATGCTTCTTCATCACAACAAGTAGCTGACATGTATAAAAATCAAGAATCAGTGAAAAATAGACAGCCAAAAGCGGAAGATGGAGATGAAGAAGAATGGGATGATGAAGTTTAAGTTTGATTTTTACTAATAGGGTTTGGACCCCAGACCTCGAATTGTAACCTTTTTTGGCAAAAACCTCGATTTTGGAAGTCTCAACTTTAAATATCGACATTCTAAACTTTGAATTTCTTTGCGGATTTTCTGCAATTTTGGAAAAATTCTGTCATATCACCCGGAAACCGATTCGGACAAATGATATGTCTTTCGAAAGATCTCGCCGAGCTGAGTCGAACGGCACCAAAATTAGCTGGGGGACTCACCTATGGGCCGAGATATTGATCCCCGAAAATCGAAAAACCATAGGGAGGAGTAAGCAAAATTTTGGGGTGAAAAATTCGATTTTTCGAATGATAGCTCATTCGAAAGAGCTCCTTGAGCTGAGTCGAATGACACCAAAATCAACTCGAGATCTTGATTCTGAGCCAAGATAAAAGTGTTCAAAATGGTCAACATAAACCTATGGGGCGTCGGCGAGGCGCTTGTGCAAAACCCCGCGCTTCGCGCGGGGTTTTGCGGCACGCGCCTCGCGGGGAGTCTACGGGCGCTGGGTCTGGGTCAGTAACATAAACCTAGTCCCATCTCTCTTGCTCTGGACGTACTTGGGGCCTTCTTAGCAGCAAAAACCTCCACATAGACCATAGGTAAGGAGTTAAAACAAACGATCATAACTTTGTCCAATCAAGTCGGATTTCGTTGATTTTGGTGTCATTCGACTCAGCTTGAGGAGCTCTTTCGAATGAGCTATCATGCTAAAAATCGAATTTTTCATCCCAAAATTTTGCTTACTCCCCCCTACGGTTTTTCGATTTTCGGGGATCAATATCTCAGCCCATAGGTGAGTCCCCCAGCTAATTTTGGTGCCGTTCGACTCAGCTCGGCGAGGTCTTTCGAATGACATATCATTTGTCCGAATCTGTTTCCGGGTGATATGACGGAATTTTACCGCAATTTTTTTGCGGACTTTCTGCAAAATCTTTCGCGTACTTTCTGCAACTTTCTTTGCGGACTTTCCGCAATTTTTTGCGGACTTTCTGCAATTTTTTGCGGATTTTCTGCAACTTTTTTCATAAAACTTTTCGCCTCTGAAGTGTCAGGGGTCCAACCCTACTTGGGTAATGCATATAATTTTGACTTGATTTCTTGAGTTTTTTTTAATATTTTTAAATTATTTTTTAAGTAAAATTAAAAATAAAAATTTTTTGTTTAAAAATAGTTGCTTTTCAATTTTATATTTATAAATTTTATTTTTTTACTAAAAAAATTTTCTTAGGGAGAATGAATATTATTTTTGTCAGCATTATATTTTTGCTGACAAAAATTTTAATTTTAAAAATTTCTTCGGCAAGTATTGATGTAAATAATGAAGATGATGAAGATATAAACAAGGGAAATTTATATAGACGAGAAGAATTTAATAACAAATCTGAACCGGAATTTTATAAAAATGTTTGTTTCTTTATTTAAATTTTTTTGGGGAGGGGGTTGCTTTTAGGGAAAGTTTAGTCTGAGGAGATAGAATATATTTTGGATTTGACTACTTTGTCTGGACCAGGATGTACGTGTAAAGAAAAAATCGCGTTAGAGTTGGGTCAGTTAGAGGGGCAAAGCTTAAAATCTTTTCGGACTCCGCACTTTTTTGCAGACTTTCTGCAAAACTTTTTGCGGACTCTTTTAAAAAATCTGCGGACTTTCTATAAAATCTTGCAGATTTTTGGAAAATCTTTTGCGAACTTTCTGCAAAAAATGTCATACATCCCTGGGATTAAATGTCATCTAAACTTAAAACTTTCTTGTAAAATTTTTTGCAGATTGCCCGTATCAACGAATTTAGACATGTCAATTCAGAATGGAGTGTGGCACACAAATGTCGTATTTCTTCTTCATTTCATACAAATGAGCAATGTATAAATACAAATCAATTTTGTTTTTCTGCTCAATTAAATTATAATTTTATTGAACAAAACTACAAATTTGGAAATTTTCCAAAACAATTGGAATTTTTGAGACATTTTCCAAGGTTTTTTTTTGTTTTTTTTTTAATTTTATTTTTTTATTTTTAAAAAAGGTGTTGGTTAAGGCTTGCACCTTTAATTTGTTTGGGTCATTATCGGCCTTGTGAAGTTTCAGAAAAAAATGTGAGGTTTTTTTCTATTTATAATTTTGGTAGGAGAGGGATCAAATGTCTAAAAATTCTAAGGAAATAGTTTTGGCTCAGGGGTCCAAATACAGATGATCCTCAAAGTCTCATTTTAAGGTTAAATGTTGAGGCCGGCAAAATCGCACTTCCGGGATCCCGAGGGATAAATCTCGAAAAAATCCCGGATCCCGAAAATCAAAAAAATCCGGGATTTCGGGATCCCGAAAAATCCCATCGGGATCCCGTCCCGCGCCGGTCTCTAGTTAAATGCATGGGTTTAGGATTATGTGTCTTTGGTTCAAATTTTCTAGCTTTGGATCAAATGTCACTCTAAAAAATCTTTAAAATTTTCATTAAACAATTCCTTTTATTAGATAGCAAATCAATTGTATGTACTTATGGAACAATTTTCGATGACTTCTTGTACAAATATGTTAAATCATTGTGGCTTTGCGATGGAACATTTGTTAACACATTTTCCTGGCTATTTAAATTGTGATGCTTTTTTTGAAGGAAATAAATCTGGAAATAATTCAGACAAAATTATTTACAAGAAGGATTGCAAGGTTTCTTTTTATTTAATCCGGGTTAAGGGGTAAATAACCAACTAACCGAACTATCGTTCGGAAACTAGGGTCAAAAACACCGACCATGCAGTAATTCGTATATTAAGAAGCCCGGTTTTTCTAGAACCTTTTGGTCTGGGTTGGAGCGGGTTCAGAAAAAATTTTTTGTCAGCTTTGTAAAATTTTTTCGGATCGGTTTTTGAATCAAAAGTGAGTCGATTATGTCAAAGCCATGACTTAATAAGTCCAAAATCTGATACAAAGAAAATTTTGAGCGCACACCCCAAAATCAGACCTGACTTTTTTCTTAATCCGCCCCTTCTCTAGAATGAATTTCTATTTTATTTACCCCTATATATAGCAGGGAACAGAGATGTCATGGGTTATCAGAAACCCTAACTCCGGGACTTTTTGAAATTTGAAACCCCGAACCCCAGTCGATTCCTTAACTACATCCCCTATATTTAAGATTAACTACACAAAAGTTCATCCAGAACTAGCTTCTTTAGCTACTGATTCTTATCAATGTCTGTGGCCTTTGATAAATCCTGGAAGATTGTCGTTAATAAATGATGGGTTTACAAATTCTTCTTTAAATAAAATTCAAGTAGAGCCGGTAATTGATGGTTGTTATTTACCTTGCAGGTTTAATTTTGTTATAAAATTAGAATTCGAACCTTGGTCAGGGTTTTCCTGAGCTGGAACTTGACTTTTCCCGGAACTTGACTTTTCGAAAATTTCGTGTAGCCTTGTAATTTTCGAAAGTTTAGTCAAATTTCGTGATTAAACTTTCGGGAAATTTCACCGAAAATTTAGCAAAATTTTTTTGAATTTTCTAGGGGTAATTTTTGAAAATTTTCACGATTTTCGGAGATTTTAGCCTAGAAAACCCCCTTCCCAGGTTAGCTTAAAAAAATAAACTCGTCGACAATGGGAAAGCTTGAACTCTAATTAAAAATTTTTTTATTTTCAGGTCACCCCTTTTCGATTTTGAAAATTTACACACTTATAATTTTGTTGTTGCTATTTTACATTTTTGCATTGTTGTTCTTATTTTGTTGACTATTTCTTTTATTGTTGCAAAGGTTTTTTTAAATTATTTTTGTTATTTAAAGGAAAATGTGTTGAGGTTCTGATAATCTGTGTTTTTCATGGGGTATTTTGGGCTTTTAGGAACTTGAAAAAATTTTTCGAGATATTTTAAGGGTCTTTAACCTATAACAGTCAAGGGAATTTACAAAGGGGTTAGAGAAATTATGATAATTTTAACTTAAAAAATAAATCTTGGCTTGGGATCAAATGTCATTTTTTTAAAAGAAACTTGTTTCTGTTCTAGTTTGTGAGTCCCTATGAGCTTTTATGAGTCATATAAACTTTTATAAGTCCAATAAAGCTTTATGGGTCTGGTGAACGTTTATGGGTACTATAGAGAATTTATGAGTTCAATAAAATTTCCCATGGACTCGTAAACTAGTTTAGGGCTAAAAAGTAAAAAAAATGTTTTCAGAATTCTCAAAATTCTCAAAAACATCAATTTAACAAAATTAACAATTATTTGCCCAACACTTTTCGTTTTTCAATTTTCTCAATTTTATTCTTCATTGCAATTAATTCTTTAATTATGGCTATTTCAATATTACCTGATCCAGATGAGAAAAGTGAAGGAATTATTGGAGACTTGGCTATTTGTTTAAATTTAAATGGAATTTTAATTAGAAGATCTTCAGAAAATTTGTTGAATGATGGGTATTTTTTTAAATTTTTTTTATTAAGAAATTCCGAAATTTTGTTAAACTTCGTGATTTTCGAAATTTCGTGATTTGCGAAATTTCGTAAACTTTGGATTTTCGAAATTTCTTTAAATTTCGTGATTTTCGTAAATTTTGTATAATTTCGAAATTTTCGAAAATTTCGTTGAACTTCGTGATTTCCGAAATTTCGTGAAAATCTGAATTTTTTTAAATTAAAAAAATTTTTTTTCAAGTGGAAATGGAATTGTGTGTGCCTTACAAGCATTTATTTTAAATTTTTCTTCATTATTTATAAATTTAAGGTTTATTTTTTTGTTTAATTTTAAAAAAATTTTTTTCCTTTTCAGTTTTATATTATTTTTAATTAAATTATTATTACTTTCAAAAATGCCAAATTTAATTTATTTTGTTCTTCCAAAATTTAATTCAATACTTTTTCCAATATCAATATTTTTGTTTTCTTTTATTTGTGCTTTATTTGATTTGTATTATAACAAGGTTTTTTTAATTTACATTAGGGCCTCACTATAAAATACACCCTGGGGATTAAAAAACTTGCAAATTTTTTGCATATTTTTTTTTTCAATTTTTCGCGGGTTTTCGGCAATTTTTCTGCGGATTTTCTGCAGTTTTTTGCGGACTTTCTGTAAATTTTTTGCGGACTGTCTGCATTTTTTTGCGGACTTTCTGCAATTATTTGCGGACTTTCTGCAATTTTTTGGGGGATTTCTGCAAATTTTTTTGCGACTTCCTGTAAATTTTTTGCGGATTTTCTGCAATTTTTTATGGACTTTCTGCAATTATTTGCGGATTTTCCGCAAATTTCTTGCGGACTTTCTGCAATTTTTTACGGATTTGGCCAATACTTTAAATTGACGTTTATTTAATCTTGGATGGATCTTATAGTGGAGAGTCAATTTTATTCAAAAAAATTTTTTACAGATTTTTATTGACCCGGTGAATGGTCTTTGCAATTATTCTTTGCATAATCAAATATTTTCTCGTTTAATTTTTGCCTATTTAATTATTGCTTTGTGTTTATTTGGATTAATTTATTATATTAATTGGATTAAATATTCACAAAAAAGTATGGATTTTAAATTAAAAATTTTTTTTTAAATTTAATTTTAGAAGAAAAATTGATGCCTAGGGTGAATATTAAAAATAAAAATTGTGATTTTGAACAAAAACAAAAAATGTTGGAAATGAATAAATCTGAAAAGGTAAAAATTTTAATTCAAGAATTTTTTAAAAATGTCTGCAAAACTTTGCGGACTTTTTGCAATGATTTTGCGGATTTTCTGCAAAATTTTTGCGGATTTGGAATTTTTTCGGATTTCTGCAATTTTTTACTGACTGTCCACAAATTTTTTTCGGCTTTCTGAAACTTTTAGAATTTTTTGCGGATTGTCCGCAAATTATTTGCAGATTTTCTGCAACTTTTTGCGGCAATTTTTTTCGGGCGTTGATTAAAAAATAATTAATTTAAATTTTTTAGCCTTGTAAAATTTTTAAAGAATCTCATCATCAAATAAATATTGAGCAACACGAAGAAGAAAGGTTCTCTCAATTTTCTTCTTCATCAAAAATTTATTTACAAATTAAAAAAAATTTACAAAATATTTTTAATTTTTATTTAAACAAAATTTTTATTTTGTTAATTATTTTGCTTACATTTCGAATATATGCTGGAAATAATTTGATTAGTCAAGAGGAGGAACGCCAGTTGATTTTGAGGAGTATCAAGTAAATTAGTTAAAAAATTTTTTTTAATTTTTTGAGGGGGTCAAAGCTAGGATTTTTTAGTTTATTTATTAAAAAATAATTTTATCCGCAAAAAACTGTCCGCAAAATTTTTGCGGACTGTCCGCAAAAATGTTCGCAAGATTTTGCGGATATCCGCAAAAATGTTTGCAACTTTTTTGCAGTCAAATTTTTTGTCGCCAAAATTTTTCGACTTTTTTCTGGCTTAAAATTAGTAATATTTCTTTATTTCTAAAAAAATATTTTAGCTGTTCAATAAATCGTTCACTTGCCGAAGGTACTTCGCTTAATTGGATTAACATGACTCATTACAAAACGATTGAAAAAGCAGAAACAAATCCAGAAATGCGTAAAAGACTGCTCGCAGAGTAAGTTTTCAGGGAAAAATTAAAATAGAAAGTCCGCAAAAAATTGCAGAAGTCCGCAAATTTTTGCGGATTTTTTCATCTATCCGCAAAAGCTTGCAGATAGAAATTTTTTGTTTTTAGAAAAACATCTGCTCCTTATTGTCAACTTTTACCTCAAAAACTTGTTTGGTATTGGATATTTTCTATATTAATATTTATTTGGCATTTTGGTATAATTATTGTATTACTGGCTATTGAACAAAATTCTGAATTAATTTTGAAAGAAAATGAACCAAAAATGGCGGAGGTTGATGAAGGTAAATAAATTTAATTTTTTGCGATTAAACTTGCGGATAAATAGACATTTGCGGATAATCCGCAAGTATTTTTTATCCGCATTTTCTGTCCGCAAATTTTTTTTGTCCGCAAATATTTTTGTCCGCATTTTCTGTTTGCAAATTTTTTTTTTAATTAAAAAATTTTATTCTTAAGATAACGTCGAATTACAACAATTAAACAATAATATTCCTTGTAATATTGAAGACAAAAACGAAAAAAATATTGCAAATGACCATCAACATGCTATAGAAAACGAACATCATTATGATAGAATTTGTGAGTTTTTTAAGGAATAATATTTTTGCAAGTTGGGAGGCAACCGGAAGAAAAGTCCGCAAGAAATGTCCGCAAAAAATGTTCGCGAAGAAACGTCCGAAAAGAAAAGTCCGCATAAATAGTCCGCAAAAAAATCCGCAAAAAATGTCCGCAAAAATGCCCACACCAAAAAAATTTGGGATGAAAATCATGAAAATAAAATAATTTTTCCAGCCTCAACTCCAGCAAGCACATTATCAAATCCAAATATTAATAATAATAATCTTGTACCTACTACTAATTCGCAACAATTACAACAACAACAACAATCACCACCACTACCCCCATTAACTTCTCCTCCTCAAATAAATCCAATAAATGATTTGTTATCTTCCTCAGATGCACTAACTGCTTTATATTATCACTATTATTTTTCACAATATTCATTACCACCACAATTTGTGTTGCCTCAACAATTGGGAGGAAATGGAAATTGTTGCAAATTTCACCAGGAAAATTTGAAAGGTTTTTTTGGAAATTTTGGGGAATTTTTTGAAATTAAAAAAAATTTCAGATACTCAGCAAAATTCTGACCAAAATCCGTATACTTCTCGCAATTCTGCAGTAGTTCAAAAGTGGATGAAAAATGGTTGTTGTTTTTCTAATACTCAACAAAAGGAAGCTAAGGATAAAAGGAAAAGGGCTGGAAGTGATCCAGGTTTAATTAAAAAACTATTTTTCGGTTGGGCAGGGATGTCTCGTGTTGAAAAAAAGTCGGGGTTATGATTATGTTTTCGAAATTTTTTTTGGATTAGGTTTAGGGTAAAAAAAAGTTTGTGGTTATTTGGAGGGGTCATTTAGGTTGGGGTTGGGCGTGAGTCGGATTTTTATTGTTTTTTTCTGTGTCGGGCCGGGTTTCGAAATTTTCTCAGGGTTTCGGATAACCCGCGACACCATTCCGCTAACTTTTTTTTGAAGATTTAGAATTTTTTTTAAATTTTTTAGGAACGACTAGACAAAATTCTTGCCTAGAAAATCAACAAATAAATAATTCTTCTGATCGAAATAACAACAAAAATCGTCGTCATCGTGTATTACATATTTGTGGAGCTCCAAAAGAATTACAAAAAGAATGGAGAAAAAGGAAAGAATTACGAGAAGGAGGAAAAAATTCTAAAAATCATAGTTCTATAGGAGGAGAAGGAGAAAGTACATTATTTGAAGAGGTGGAAAAATTAAGGAAAGATAGATATGGACAATTTTTGGTAAAATTTAAATTTTTTCCTTTAAACATTTAAGCAAAAAATTTTTACCCTCGAAGGGTTCGAACCGGCGACCTAAAATATAAAAATTAATCCACTTAACCAAAGAATTAAAAATTTTTACCCATAAAGTGTTCGAACTGGTGACATAAAATATAAATTTATTCCACTTAACCAACAAATTAAAAAATTTTTTTAAATTTCTTTCAAGCCTCCAAAATCTCCAAAACAATTTACTACTACCAAAAATGAATTAAATAATATTTCACAAAATCCATTACAAAATTCATGTACAACATCAAGTCAACAACATCACCAACATCAATGTTTTTGTAAATTAATTTTATTACCTCAACCATCATTTCCACCATTACAACAATTAATCCAACAACAACAAAATTTTTGTTTATTAAATTGTTGTCAACAACAACAGCCAATGATATTGCCATTAATACCTTCATGTTGGAATAATAATGGAGCTAATTTTGATTTACAGGGTGGGTGGTATTGAAATTTTTGTTGGAAATTTTTTTGGAAGTACAGGAAGTACAGCCAAATCTCACTATAAAAATATCAAGCCATAATAGTGTGTTAGGGAGCTGAAGAACGTAGCTCTGTGACGGGGGGGGGGGTGGACTTGTAGTGGAATGGCTTCCCGTATTTTACTCAAAACCCAAAACCGAGTGTTTTTGACTTGAAATCCGATCCGAAGAAAATTTTTGGAGCCCCCTACAGGGCCGTCCGCAAGTGAAAAAAATTTCCGCAGTCCTCAAGTCCAAAAAACCACGCAATCCGCAATTACGGACAGCCCTGCCACCTTAAATCAGGCTCGACTTCTTTCTCAACTCGACCCATCCATGGGGTACTTTAAGCGAAGAGTGGATATTTTTTCTAAAAATATTTTATTTAAATTCAGCAACACAAACAATAAATCAACAACAAAGACTTCATGAAGAAGAACAAGAAAAATCAACTTCATCGTCTTCAGAAACTACAGAAGTTGAACCATCTTCAAGCATTAATAATGATGAAGGAGAGGAAACAAATTCTAACGATTTTGATAGTGATTCGCCTGATTCTTTTGAAGAAAAACGATGGGAAGGTAGATTTTGAAAAAAAATCCGCAAAAAGTGTCCGCAAAATTTTTGCGGACAAATTCTCGTAAATTTAAAAAAGTCCACAAAAAATTGTCCGCAAAATTTTTGCGGACAATTTTTTTTAATTACAAAAATCCGCAAAAATTGTCCGCAAAATTTAAAAATATTCGTTTTTAGCTTAAGAATTTTCTTTAATTTTTAGAATTAACAAAGAAACAATCATCACATTGAACACATTAAAACAACAAGGACATCTTCTTCTCTCAAATGGGGTAAAATCAAAGTTGGACTCAATTAGCAAAAATACTCAAAATCATTTTTAGAATCTTTTCCTACAAAATATCGTCTGTTAAAAATGTCGTCACGGCCAAATTGGGTCAGTTGCAACTACAATTTATACGATTTTGCTTTGACGATGTTTTGATAAAACGATCTTTTGTACTTTAGCCTTTAAAATTCTCTAAGCCATTTTCTCTTCTTTCTCACTATTTTCTTTCTCTGTATTTGTGACTTCATCATATTCTACCAAAACTACATTTTGCCAGTTAGGCTAAAAATTTACTTTTTGCCACAAATTTGTAGGCAGAGTGTAAGTTTTTACCCTTATTGGCAAAATATGGAATTGGCAAAATGTCGCACAAACACGCTTTTTGTTATCATTTTTGTTGTATGATCTCTTTTTTTAATGTAACAATTTTGTTCCCAGTTAAATTTTTTTGTTATTTTGTAAAAAATTTTTTTTTCATGTTTGACTGCTATTTATTGCTGTTAGCATATTTTTTGCTTTTATATTTTGTACACTTATTTAATTGTGGAGGGACAGCCCAAATAGGCGCGCGGCCATAACGGCGCGCGGCCATAACTTGCTTCAATATCTCCAAATCTTATCAAAATTTCCGAATCTTATCGAATCTTATCAAATCCTCTCATCGAGCTAAAGAGATTGGTACCAGAATTAATAAGGGCCAGAAATTTTCCAGCAAGTTATGGCTTTGCGCCGTTATGGCCGCGCGCCTAATTGGGCTGTCCCTTTTTAGATTCTCTGTTGATTTTCAGTGTTGAATCAGTTCTTGAAGACTATCGAATTTGAATTTTATGCTTATAAATTCACTGAAAATATCGAACTTGTGTATATTTTCTCGCAAAATGTCTTCAACTTTACAAATCAATTTGGGCCTAAATTTGGAAAGAAAACTGCCTGATACACAAATTGTGATACTTGGACGGAAAAAATTTCTTAAAGGATTGGAATTTGAAAAGAACCAACTTTCGAAGAAATTTGAGCCTTTGGTTGGGAATGATTTGTTTAAAAAGGCTATTAATCAAATTGAAACGAATGGAGGTTCTGTTCCGTTATATTTGGATCTTGCCAAGGTTTTTTCTTTGTATTTTATTTTGGGTAATCTTTTCGGTTCTGTGGTCGGACTTGGGTGAGAGTCGCCTTCAGGGTTCGGTTCGGGGTTTGCCAAAAAAATCGTAGGGGACGGGGTCAAAAAAGTTCACTCGGGAGTCTTGGCAGTTCGGGACTATATCGGAGAGAATTTGAGACAGGATTTCAAAAATGTCTGGGGTTTCGGGTCGACAAAGTTTTGATATTTGTTTTCGGATACCCGTGACATCCCTGTGTCGAATATGAGTTCAAATTATATCTATTTTGAATCCCGGGCTTTGCTTTGACCGGGCCTTAGTCCTCAGCTTTGAACATTTATTTCTGAATTTTAAATTTAGATTGTTTCTGTTTCCGATGATATTTCTCGTCACAACACTCCATCAAATGCTTATGCAATTACTAGAGAAGTGAAGGCTATAAAATCGATTAAAGGAATTAAGGTTTTTATTTCATAAATTTAAAGGGCATTCATGAGTTTTCTATCAGTTCTGAGGACATTTTAGGGCTTATAATCATATGGGCTCATAATGGTCAGAGCATCCATACCCTTTCCTTATTGTTTTCAAAGGAGCTATGAGTGGTTGGGTGATATTAAAAGTTGGAATGGGGTTTCTTTTTATTTCTGACTATTATGAGTCCGCACAAATATGTCCGCAAAACAAGTGTGAACAATTGGGTGGACTGCTGTCCTTCGATCCATGGCCCCTTCTCTTCAAACTGCGATCTGATCCGTTAGGCCATCCATCCACCCATCGGCTGCTGCAAATTTTGCTGTTGTTATTATTTCCAGCTGCTGCCCATTTCCTTGTCCTCTACACTTTTCTTACCTATTGATGACTAGATAGTCGTGACACAAGCATCATTTAAGTAAATGATTCAATTTCGAAAATTTTTTTGTAGAATCTCAGCATTCTTCTTTACTGTGATTTTTCAAATATTATGGCTTCTTGTGCTGCTATAGCTCGGGCTTTCCCTCTATTTTCTTTGAAAACGACAAAATCTGGTTATGAATCGATAGAAATTGAGTTGGTGTTGCCTAATGAAGAGGAGGTTTTTTTCGGATTTTTTAAAAATAATTTCAAAGCTTTTGAAGAAACCAACAGATTCGGACATCAAATTTTTACAAAATCTTTGTACAAATATACGGGAATGTTGTAGACTTGTGGACACTCCTGCAGATATTTTACATACTGAGGTTTTTTGTTTGTTTGTTGAAATGAGGGTTGTTGACTGTCAGTCAATAACCGAAAAATCCGAAAACGGGGATTACAGTTAATAACCGACTGCCAGCATTTTTATTTAAAATTTAGGTTGAAAATTTCTTTTCAGGCCTTTTTGGATGAAGCTCTTTCACAAATTGAACAAACTGGAAAGCCAGTTACAAAAACAATAATTAAGGTTTTTTTAAATTTTTTTATTTTCATTTGTGACACCTTTGAAGATCTCCGAAATCTTTTATTTTCCCCTTATTTCCCAATTAGTCTGGTGACTTATTAGGTAGCTCTCACCCAGCCCAGTTCTTATATTCATGTACGCCACAGAACTAGTGCCCTAATTTAACTATATGAATTTAGGTCAGCGTTATCTTCCCATATAGGGTTTCATTGAGCCATAACTTAAGGCTAGCCTTCAAAAAATTTTTTTTCTTTTTAGGGAGAAGAATTGAAAGAAAAAGGTTTTGGAGGAATTTATAGCGTTGGAAGGGCTTCATTGCATCCACCAATATTTGCTTGTTTTTCCTACATTCCAGAAGGCAGAAAAGATGAAAATTCGACGTCAAGTTATGCTTTAGTTGGGAAAGGAATTGTTTATGATACTGGTGGACTTTCTTTGAAAGGAAAAACGCTTATGCCAAGTTTGTTTTTTTTGGAATTTTTTGAAAAATTTCGGGGTTTAAAATTTTTGATTTTCGAAAATTTAGAATATCAAAAAAATTTTTTTGAAAATTTTTTTTTCAAAATTTTTTGATTTTTTGGGAGCAGGCCAATGTACCAAGAGGCCAATGAACCGCCCAGCTATAATTTCGTTCAAAATTGTCTAATCGGTGGCGCCCTGATATGATTCGGTTAAGCTTGTCGAGCCGCATAGAACCATACCAGGGCTCCCGGATTGGTATATATATATACGAAGCTATAGCTCGGCGATACATTGGGCTCGCGGTACATCGGGATGTACCCGATTTTTGAAAATTTCGAGTGTTTCGAAATTTAGAATCGGACTCGAAATAATTTCGAAAATTCTCAATTTTTACAGCTATGAAAATTGATATGGCTGGAGCTGCTGGAGTTTTGGGTGCTTTTTGTACTTTAGTCAAAACAGGATTTAATCAACCTCTTCACTGCCTTTTGTGTATCGCTGAGAATCACATTTCTCCAACTGCAACGTTTTTTTTTAAATTTTTTGGCTAAAAAATTTTTTTTAATTTTTTTAGACGTCCAGACGACATAATTAAGCTGTTGAGTGGTAAAACTGTTGAAGTCAACAATACAGACGCTGAAGGACGTTTGGTGTTAGCTGATGGTGTTTTTTATGCAAAGGAAACTTTGAAGGTTTTTTGGGGGTTTTTAAATTATTTGTCCGCAAAAAAAAAGTCCGCAAATTTTATCCGGAAGTTGTAAAGGTATATAACGGGGACAGGCCTTGGTGGATTTTAAAATGGGGAAGCGTAAGGGCGAAAAAGACTTAAATTGGCGAATGATGGAAGTGGAAATGAAATCCCATTCCTGGGGTATTTCTCAAAGAGAATTATTTTTTAGTTTAAAGAGACTGGGAGAATCGTACAGATATCTCGAAATCTCAAAAAAGATCGACCTTGATAACCGGGTTTTTTGATCGAGATCTCGTCGAAAAAAAGTCGGGTCGGATTTCTGATAGGGTTTTAAAATTTACATCGCGTCGGCGTTAGTTTGAAAATATACTGGGTTAGGGACATCGTGTTTCGCTTATTCCGACCCATCTCTGTTTTATCCTCAAGTCTAAACCTTTAAACCTTAAAGAGGATTTCTGTACCATTCTCTTGTTTAATGAATTGAGGACAAAACTTGCGGACTTTTTGGATCGCATTAAAGCAATTTGCCTTTTTGATTATTTTCATACTTTTTGTTTTTAGGCCAAAACAATAATTGATATGGCAACACTTACAGGATTCCAGCCAATGACTACTGGACGTTTTCATGCTGCTATACTTTCTAGTTGTGAACAGCTTGAAAATGAATGTGTAATTGCTGGAAAGAAGAGTGGAGAATTAGGTTTAGAAAAAAATTTTTTTGAAAGGGGTTTGGGCTTAAGTTGCACCTTAATTTAAGATACGGCTCAATATATAGAACATCTTAATTTTAAAGGACACCTTAATTGATGATGTTCCTTGTGTTGTCTATACTATTTGAGGGAGCTGTCTAACCTCCAATCTAACCTCCAATCAAAGGCTTATCCATAGAGATGGGGGAAGGATTAATGGGGGTTAATCAGTTCATCAATTAGCTCTGGGGGCTCCTAATTAATGGCCAAAGGTTTGGCGATCTCTTCATTATACCCTCTCTCCCTCTCCCTCTTCACCAATATCGACTTACTGATTAATCCTTGATCTTACTGATTAATCTTCAATTAGAAAAAATTTTTTTCATTAAAGTTCACCCACTTCCATTCTCGCCCGAATTACATTTCTCTGATATGTCTTCCAAAGTTGCTGATATGAAAAATGCTTGTTTGGGTGTTTCTTCTGGTCCACCAACAGCTTTAGCTGGTTTATTTATTGGAACACAAATTGATTATGGAGGAAGAAAAAATGTTGCTGCTGCTGTTGAAAATGGAAGTGGAGGTGGAGAAGGGAAAGAAGGAAATGAAGAGAAGAATGAAGAAACAAAAAATGGTGCTGATTGGCTTCATATTGATATGTGTGGATTAACAGCACTTGAAAAGTAAGGGAGAGGAGGTTTTTTTTGAATTTTTGGGAACGTGAATAAATAGTAGTGTCGATTAGGGTGGCCCGGGCTCCTGACGCCGGAAACCGGATCCTACACAGATTTTTCTGGGTCTGGTTCCTAGATCTGAGTAGTTTTTTGGAGGATGTGTACAAAATTTTGGTAATTTTTTGGTACCAATTGATCGACCATTCACTTTCTATTGAGTTGTGATGTGGATCTTTCTGCAAAATGACTTGGGCCGAGTTATGTCCATAGCCAAATTTGAGTTTTGAGTTTTTTTTAATTTTTGGGAACATGAATGGGTATTAGTGTCGATTCGGGGCCTGGGCTCCGACGCCGGACCGGGTCCTACACAGATTTTTCGGGTCTGGTTCCCAAATCTGAGGGGTTTTCTGGTAGTCTTCGGAATATTTTCCAAATGTTCTAGATCTATGGATTGATCCAAAAAAATCTGACCGGTTCAGGTCCGGCTCTGTGGTTATGGTTATTGTTCAAGGCTTTCTCTCAGCCCGAATCCATCTCCGAAAAAATTCGGATCCGTTTCTGAAAATCTAATTTGCTGGAAACTAGTAAATATCCGTAAATCTTGGCGGAATACTCTTAATTCTTAAATAGTGTTTCGTTGTAAAATTCGGATAAAATTATAATTTTAATTGAAAAATAAATTTATACAACCTCTATATAAATGATTAAATTTGTTGTATAATTTTAAATAAAAATTCAAACATTTAATCTCATTATAAGGTACCTTCAATTTAGAAATTTCGTTATAAGATACCAGATTCACCTCTATTTAAGTGACGTTCTATTTAAGGTACTGGGCCAGTGGATATGGGCGTGTTGTTGCCTAAATGATACCCTCTGTTTAATATACACCTCATTATAAGACACCTCATTATAAGGTACAATTCTTGTCCGAAGAGTGTACCTTATAGGGAGGTCCAAATTTTAAAATTTATTTTAACAATCTTTGTAATATTTATAGATGGGATGGACGTGCAACCGGTTATGGTGTTGCTTTACTCTGTTCACTTCTTTCAAAACATGTTGACGTTAAAATTGCAAAATGAACACACAAAATTAAATATGGAAAAATACCAAAAAGACGTACAGTGGTGCACAAAAGTAATGTCCGCTACATATAAGTTTTTGATTTTAACTTGTCAACGAGTCATATTCTATTTAAAAATATTTTTGTTTAGTATAAAATAAACTATCTTTCATGGGCTTTAAAATGACTACAAACTTTAGTCTAAAAAATTCATGAAAAATATTTTTTGAAAATTTTAAAGATTTTGACTAAATTTTTTATGGTGCAAAAGTAATGTCCGCTATTTATTTTCGACAGAAAAAAATAAAAATAGGCCAATATTCTGATTTTATTTTTACTAATTATAGAATAATAAGTAAAAATAAACAGAAATGACATTAAAAAAGCAATAAAAAATTCAAAAGACCGAGGTAAAGCTCAGAGGCATTTTCGGGGGACACAAGGGGTAGGGGGTACGTTTGGGGCCATAACCAACCGGAGGATGCTAGCCAGGTCCTGAAACTTTACCATTTGCTAGCTAGGAGGCCTGCCAAGAAACCCACTAAGTATGAACTATATCTAGCTTTGCGCCTTCAAAAGGTGGTTCAAGATCAACACAAGTCCGTGGAGCAGTTGTGAGGGTGTTACGGAGTAATGAAAATCTTTAAAATTTTCACGACCCTGATCGGAGAAATTACATTTTTTGACTTCGAAACGATCGTTATTATCCAAAAAATATGAAAAATGCTGGTGGAGGGGTCTTTGAATGGGTTAATAGACACTTAATATTTTGGGTCAATTTACACTCGTTTCCAAGATGCCTTCCTTGCAATGGCTTTAGTCCGTGTGTAGAAATTTCTAGCAACATAAGTGCTCCTATGCACCGCGACATTCTGCTGAACAAAATGATACCTCATAATCGGAAAAAACTAGCACTTTGTTGGAAATATATCCGAGAGTATGCCCCACCCCCTTGTGTCCCCCGAAAATGCCTCAAAGCTTTACCTCGGTCTTTTGAATTTTTTATTGCTTTTTTAATGTCATTTCTGTTTATTTTTACTTATTATTCTATAATTAGTAAAAATAAAATCAGAATATTGGCCTATTTTTATTTTTTCTGTCGAAAATAAATAGCGGACATTACTTTTGCACCATAAAAAATTTAGTCAAAATCTTTAAAATTTTCAAAAAATATTTTTCATGAATTTTTTAGACTAAAGTTTGTAGTCATTTTAAAGCCCATAAAAAATAGTTTATTTTAGGACAAACAAAAAATTTTTTAAATAAAAACTTAACTATTTACACGTTGAAATCTAAAACATACATGTAGCGGACATTACTTTTGTGCACCACTGTATATAGGTTTTATTATGTTGTGGGAATTAATATAAAATATACAAAGAATGATTTTTTACTTAAACTCAATTTATGACTTAATTTAATAAAATAAATATTAATTAAAATTTCATTTTTTTTGTGATTTGACAGTTCAATCTGTATTTCTATACCTTTTAAAATTTTTCCTTAATTATTTAATTGATATTTCAGCTACTTTTAAATATTTTCTAATGAGCATTATTAAAAAGAAGAGAATTGAAGAAAATGTTGAGGGTGGAGCAACTTCTTTTTCAACTCCCCCTTCTTCACACTTTGTTCCGAATTCAAAACAGCGCTACAGAAAAATCGTCTACGTCCCAGGAATTCAAAAATTGATTGGGACAACAACCTCACAGCCAAACCCGCAACACTCTTTTAGATGGGACAATTTTCTTGAATTAGTGCGTAAACAAGCAAACAAGGATGTGAGGGAATTGCCTGGATCGGTTTTTGGAAACCCCCCAATGGGGATTTTTCTGTCGGCGATTACTCCAGGAATTAAGGTTTTTTTAGAATTTATTTTTTCTTTATTTTTGGGTAGACTGGGTGTGAAAAGATTTTCGGATTTGACTGGGGAATTTTCGAATTTTGTTGTTTGGATGATTTTTTGAAGACTTTCCCTTTTTGTTGGAAATTCAAATTACCCTGAAAGTTAACCCCAAATATTTGGGCTTATTAAGACGTCTTGAGATTAAGACTAGATTGGCATGCTCCTTTTTGTTTTTTCCGGCCGCTTACTAAAGAATTTCTGGTTTTTGCCTTCAATCCCCTTAATCCCAATAGATCTGTCTTAATTCGCCCAAGTCTGGCCGAAATTTCGTTTCGTCCAAAACGTCCGTTCCGAAACGAAATAGAAAATTTTTATTCCGTTTCGACTCAAAATAAAATTTTTTTTTCGGCCAGCCCAGGCTTAATCCTCTTTATCCGCCTTAATATTTGGACTTGACCTTTATTGACCATTTAGAAGTTAATTGAATTTTGAGGATTTTTTAAGTTAATCTATTCACTTTATTTTTAGCTTGAAATTCGTCATTATGACTACGACTCTTTGTTTCCCGATAAGAAAATTTTTTGGATTGCTTCAGTTATTAAGGTTTATCGATATTTTGATTTTAGACTGATTTATAAATTTTAGGTGGTTGGTTATCGATTATTAATGCGTTATGAAGGAATGGATGAACCTGGCGATGACCGTTACGATTTTTGGATCAGTTTGGGGTCCGATGAATTACAACACGTTGGACATTGGTATTAAATTCAGTTTTTTTGTTTCTGGGGTATAATGGGAAACAGGGGTGGGACGGGTTTTATGAATTCAGGTTGCTTTTCGACCCGAAACCTGATCCGAGAAACTTTCCCTCTTAATCCTCTAATTGACCCGACCCAAAACGTCAAGAAATCCTGCGTTCTCAACGCGAAACCCGACCCTTTTTTCTCAACTGTCCCATCCCAGTTGGGAAAATATGTGTTCCATTAGTGGTTTTATTTTTCCAGGTCTCTCATTTTTGGTGATGAATTTTTTAAATTTTACACCGAGGGCTGGACCTTCAATTTAAGTAAGAGGTGTGTTTATTGTTAATGTTGGGTCCCAAGGATAGGATATTGTTGAGCTTGTTGTACTCCCAAAGTCCTTGGAAACACATCTTGTGTTATCTGTCCTATTGGAAGGTCCTATTAAAAAAGACCTCTCCCAGTACCAGAAATATTTTTCTTTTATTTTCTAGCAAATTCCACAATTCAACCTGCGATCTATTGCCTCCAAATTCTATTCGAGAAAGGCATCCAGATTGGTCTGTTTATATGGCTGAAAGACTGGTCAAGTGTAAAACTCTTTTGGCTAATTGGGAAGAGGAAAGGCAGATAGCTTTGGTCGAAGGAAGATTTAAGGTTTTTTTGTTTTAAAGAATTGAAAAATAGGCTAAAATTGAGTTTGGTTTTCCCCTTTTTTCTTACCTCGAAATATAGGAAGACGAAATCCCAATCAGAACTCTAGGCAGGCCGTAGCCATGATTTTTTTCGGGGGGGGGGGGGCAAGGGGGAAAATTTTTTCTCCAATTTTTTTATGCCAAAGACGCCAAAAATTTTGATTTTTAACCCCTGGCTACGGGTCTGACTCTGTGGATCAGGTTTTGGATTTCGGGTTTCGAAATTTTTGTTGATTTGAGTTTTGGATTGGGGTTTCGATTATCGAAACCTAAGGATTGAAAGGGGAATGGGGAGTTCAATTTTACCAAAAAAATTTTTTTAGGTAGGCACTCGTCTAGAATTACTCGATCGACAAGCCTCTGATAGTGTCCGTCCAGCACGTGTTATTCAACAACTTGGGCGACGGATTTGTGTACGTGTCAGTTCCCAAGATGTAGATGCAAAAGATTTGGGGGATGATTCTGCACAGGTTTTTTATTTGAAATTTTTTTGAAATTAACAAAAATTCTTTTTAGACAAAAACGGGCATTTGGTGCGATGAAAGTTGGGAATTAATTTTTCCTGTTGGATGGGGGAAACAAAATGGATGGAAAGTGGTAAATTATTTTTTTAAAATTTGGCTTAAATTTATGCATGGAAAGGCTTGGGTTTTTAAGTTTTTTTGGTTCTGATTTCGGATCGAAAAAAAATCGTGGGTTTTTGAGGACCCGGCCCAGTTTTGTTTAGATATTGATGCTCTCTAAACGATGCCTCAATATTAATAAATACTTTGGTTATAAGATAATAATCGTTCTTTTCATATCAGGGATGAGATGGGTTACTCGAAGCCCGATACTTGAAATCCTTGGCTTTTTTTCTAACCCTAACCCATCCCTGAATATATAATCAGGGCATAGTTAATGCCAAAACACCGAAATGCCACGCCGTGGCTAAGGGGAATTTTTTTTAGGGTTTTGGTATTTTGATGTTTGGTATTACGGGATCATACCTAAGGATGTTCGACAATGTCATGTAAATAGGAAGAAGATCTCTTTTGGTTTTCTTATAAAAATTTTTTTTATTTTATTAAGTTTTTTTTATTTTTAGGTAGCAAATGCTCAATATCGCCAACATTGTGAACAAATAACTTCAGCTTTAGCTCAAGGTCGTAAACCTGATTATATGCCTTTTGATGCTATGCCAGAAATATTTGCTTGGTATAAAAATGAAGAAGAGGGAGGGGAATCTACTGAAAAAAATTTGAAACAAAATAAGGCTGAATGGGAAGGTTTTTTTATAAAAAATTTTTGAAAATTTTTCAAAAAATTTTTTTTAAAGTTGGAATGAAATTTGAATGTTTGGATCCTTTAAATGAAACATTTTTGGAATTAAAAGTGGCTACATGTATTGAAATATTGAAAGATGGCTATTTAAAAGTTGGATTTGATGGACCTGATATGGAGACTGAAGTATATTTTTAGACCTTAAAAATTATCATACCTCATTATAAGTTCTCCTTTTGGGGTTAACCTCATTACCTTGCGGTGGTCTTATTATATAAGATATTTCTTAAGACCTCAATATAATATACCCTCCTTGGGTCTGCCTACTTAGGCCAATTATTTACCTCTTCAGGTTGGCCTTTTTATAAGATAGCCCCTTTAACCGAGCCTCTATAACTCTTGGAGCTGATCACTGTAACGTGTACACTATTGTGGCTACCTTGCTACTGGGGCTTATAATAAGGGTGTATTTAAGTAAAGGATGTTGTTTAAGAATCTCCCCATTAAACAGTTAACAAAAAATAGGTTTCTCTTATAGTGTGTATTTTTTATAAAAAAGGTCCGGGCGAAAATTTTTAAAAATTTTCAAAAAAATTCTTTAATTTCAATTTCTAGGCAGTTCCTTTTCATTGTACATCGCCATATTTATTCCCAATTCATTATGCAAAAAAATATGGAATTAAATTGGATGGTCCTTTAGGTTCTTTTTAATTTTTAAAAATTAAAAAAAATGTTTTTTAAAAGATGATATGAGAAATTTTTGCTGGGAAAAATATATTAAACAATCTCAAGGAAGTGCTGCTCCAGATGATTTATTTGTAAGAGAAATTTGGGAGAGGTTTTTTTAATTTAAAAATTTTTTAAAGGATAAAGTTCCTTCACCTAATGAAATGGAAGAATTTAAGGTTTTTTTAAATTTTTTATTTAATTACTACATGTAATGTATGAAAATATGTAACTATTTTCTGAATAACGGTAAAACTCGAGGGGAAAACTCCCAGCGAATAAACTTTTCGGAAAACGAATTTTTTTAAAAAAAATTTCCGTAGAAAAAACAAGGGAGGGAAAGACGCCGAAATACCAAACTGCGTTAAATATGTCTAGATACTAAATCCTCTAACTTAAATATAGTAGTAGGTCCAACAGGGTGGGCGCATTGCGTTAAATTTTGGCTTTGCGTTTTTCGAGATTGTCTCTTGCGCCCACCCCTGGTCCAATTTTGGGGATTTTTCCCCAAATCAGGCGAAGGTTTTCGGTATTTTGTCGTTTGGTATTATATTCGAAACGTCTATTTATTTTATTATCTGAAAATTCTCTGTCTCTACCCCCTTGAAATTTGGTAAACAATGAATTGAAAGTGCAAAAATATGGCGGATCAAAACAAAATATAAATTTACATTTGAAAAGAAAAAAGAGAGTTGTTTACGTTTAGGAAATAAAAAAAGGAAAAAAATGAAAGAAAGTTTCTAGACAAAACATATGCGCGCGTTAAAGACGAAAAAAATAGAATTTTAGAGAAAATTAATTAGAAAAAAAGGCTTTTAAATAGTATAAAAAATTATTTTTTATTTTTAAAAATTTGCGGATAAATTTTGCGGACTTTTATTTTTTTTAATTTAACATATTTTTTTTCTAAAGATTGGATCAAAATTAGAAGCTACTGATCAATGTGAATCTAATCTAATTTGCCCAGCAACCGTTCGCGCAGTTCGTGGACGTCTGTTACAGATTCATTTTGATGGATGGGGAAATGACTATGATCAGTTATTTGACTATCGGTTTTTTTTTAATTTTAAAAGGAATTTTTTATTATTTTGTAGGTCTCGTGATTTATTTCCTCTTGGCTGGTGTGAAATGTATGGCTACAAGTTTGTTTATTTTTTATTTTTAAATAATTTTTAAAAAATTTGGAGGCTGAAGGGTTCGAACCTTGCCCCCCTTTTTTTTTAAATTTTGAAATTAACCCACTTAACCATAAAAGCAGAGAGAAATTTTCAAGTTATGTAGCCGAACAGAAGTGGTTTTTTTATTCGAAAATAGTTTTAAAAAAATTTTTGGGGATAAAAGGAGTCGAACCTTACTCTTTTTTCTTTAAATAAACGTAACTAACCCACTTAACCACAATGACGATTTTTGCGGATTTTTCCTGTTTGTTGAAATTTTTGCGGAAGATTAATAATTTATGAAATAAAACTTTTTATTTTCTTTTCATTTAGATTATTTACAACAAAAAAAATTTTTTTTAATTAAAGATTGGAAATTCCCCAAAATGACGAACTTTTGCAAGCAAAAAAGAAGTAGAAAGCAAAAAATTTTGGAATGAATTTATGGTATATTTATTGTCGTAAATATGGTAAATTTATTGTTTTTTTTGTTTAAAAAACGTTTTAGACCCCAAAGATTTTTTTCCATTAGAATTTTGGTGCAATAAAATTTTGGTATTTTTGCGGACAATATTTGCGGATTTAAAAAAAATTTTTTTTTCGGTTAAGCTGTAAATAGGGAGTGCTGAAAGTGGGGCGTTTTATCACTCCGGCTCCGTACATTCCAAAATTTTAGTCCTAGGCTCTGCCCGGTGGTCGACTTCGAATTTAGAAATTTATTTGTCAAAAAGTGTTTGTCCGCAAAAATTTTCAAAAAAAAATTTTATTAGCACCAGAACCTTGCTTTTGTTGTAATTAATTTATTTTTAATTTTACTGACCCCGACAATATAATAATGAATGGGTTTTAATTTGAACAACATAAAAAAAATATTTGCGGACAAAAAAATATTTGCGGACAAAAAAATATTTGCGGATAAAAATTTGCGGACCAAAAATTTTTTTTGTTTGTTCAATTTTACTATCCATTAATATGCTCAAAAAATAACTCTTCTTCTACTTTTTTTCATCAATTAAATTGTAAATTTATTTTTTTTTCTTTATTTTTTGTTTATTTTATTTCTCTCTCTTCCCTTTTTTGCCAATTCAGTTTTTGCCATTTATTTTATTAAAAAAAATTTTTTTTGGTAAAAGATCTCAATTGAAGAAATTTTTTTAAATTTACAACGTATTTATTTTTACGTTTAAAATTTTTTTTTTAATTTTTAAAAAATTTTTAGAATTTTTAAATTTATTTTTTTAATGTTTCTCTATGACTTCAACAACAACTACAGCAAAATCAGAAGCAATTTTAGCTATTGATGTTGGCACAACAAATTTAAAAACTTGTATTTTCTCAGATGATAAATGTAAATTGGTATGTAGCAGAACTGAAGAGGTTTTTTAATTGTTAATTTTTATTAGGGAAGAATTTTAAAATTAATTTGGGGTGAGAGGGTTCGAACCTTGCTCCTTTTTCGCCTTTAAAATATTCAACTAACCCACTTAACCAAAAAACCTGAAAAAGTTTTTAAATGATAATTAAAAATTTTCTAAAGTATTTTTAAAAATTTAAAAATTTGTGCGTCCAACGGGAATCGAACCCGTGCCTACTGCTTGGAAGGCAGCAATGCTAACCACTACACCATGGACGCTCGTATCAGAAACTTTAAATAAACCTTTTTTATAATTAAAAGTAAATAGATTTCTTTATTTAATTAAATCGCGCATGTAAATATTCCTGTTTTTTGGATACGTAAACGCAATAAAAATCAATCTTTCTACATTACACAAGAGGTAGAAAGAAGAAAAAGCCTTCATAATGGAGAAGGAAAAGCCTTTAAGAAAGGTTTATTTAAATATTCTGATGTGAGCGTCCATGGTGTAGTGGTTAGCATTGCTGCCTTCCAAGCAGTAGGCACGGGTTCGATTCCCGTTGGACGCACAAATTTTTTTGAATCTTTAAAATTGTTTTTTAGAAAAAAATGAAACAAATGGAAATTTTTTTTTAATATTTAAAAAAATATTTGGGGTCCAACAGGAATCCAACCTTCCCCTTTCCCCCTGTAAAATATAAAATATACCCACTTAACCAAGAAATAAAAATGTTTTTCTAATTGAAAAATAATTTATTTTAGCTTGTTCTAATTACTTCAAAAGATGACCAACTTGTTGAAATTGAACCGGATCAATTATGGAAACAAATATTTGGAATGATTGAAAGTTTAATTGTTGAAGCAGACAAATTGGATTTAAATATTTTGTCTATTGGATTGAGTTGTCATCGAAATTCTTTTGTGACTTTGAATAGGTTTTGTTTTTAAATTTTTATTTTCTTCCACTCATTTACGGTCCATCGCCGAATTTTTTGGATTTTAAATTTTTAGCTGAATAGTGGACCGTAAGTTTTTTTGCTAATAATCAAGGTGGATTTTTGCGTAATAGTTGTCACATATTAAAAATCTTTGCCCCTTTATTCTCCCGAAAAGTCTATTAGGAACCGAGTTGGGCTTGGGCCATGGTTTAGGGGTTTTTTGTATTGAACATGTACTTTTTGAACTTCTTTTGGTATTCTTGAATTTTAGGAACTTTTTATAAACTTATTTATTTTTCTCGAACTCCAGGTTTCCCCCAAGTCCATTAAATTCTTGAGACTGGACTAGCGAGGGGCTTGCGAGAATTTTTATATGAATTTTTGAAAAAATCGATTTCGATAAATGAAATTTTTTAAATTAGAGCTCTTCGCCTCAGTCCAATCTTTAGCCTAGATTTTAAGGGCTCCCGGACAATGCGTCAGTGTACAATGCGTGAGTGGAAAATGCGTCAGTGGACAATCGGTCAGTGATGATATAAAGTGGTTAAAAGTGATGATATAAAGAGATAACTGATACACTGATATCTCTCCAAATCGAATGATCTCCATCCTAATTCAACAAACAAATTAATATCTCTGTTAATCCTCCCAAACACGTGATATCAGCCTTAATCCCAACAAATTCCTCTATATCTCTTTTAAACCCCCAAAATCTCTTTTTAAATACTCCTAATCTGTTTATATCCCATCTTTAGTCATTTTATAGCACTTTTTATCCCTTTACATCATCACTTTTAATCACTTTTTATCAATACTGACCGATTGTCCACTGACGCATTGTCAGGACACGATCCTAAGACTTAAAAAATTTCATCTACAAAATTTATAGTCAAAACATCATTTTAAAAAAATTTTAGAAAAACATTAGAACCTTGCCATAGAATAATTACTTGGAAAGATAAACGTGCCCAACAATATTGTGAAAAATGGAATAATTCTTATAGAAGAAAGGTTTTTTTTAATTTTTAAACTTAAAAAATTTTTTTAAAGTTTTTAAATTTATTTGGTCTAATTGCTGGAACTTTTACTCATTCAGAACGTTTCAAAGCTGCCAGAATGTTTAATTTACTTGATGTAATGATTGCTCCAAGATTTTTGGTTGTTCTTGAAGAGGTTTTTTTGCTTTAATTAAAATAAAAATCGGGATTTGTAGGTGACCGATTATTAGAGATCGGAATTTTTGAAAAGTTTGTGTTGTGTAGTGGTATCGCTATAGTATAAAAGCCAGTGAAAGCGTCAGTCTAGTGGAATCATACTAGCCCGGCTAGTCCCTGATTTCCCTTCGTCTGTTCCAAGCCCTTTTACCTTCGCCTACACTTTGTATTTCTACACCGGATAAATTGTTCTTGTTCTGCACGTCAACATTCAGTAAAACCTCGGACACCTCCGGACGTAACAATGGCGCGGTCGACTACGGTTCCTGCTCGTCTACTGCAACGACTACGATCGACAACAGCAACAGTGGAGACGAGTGGATTAGTGAGGCGAAGTGTAGTGAATTGCTATAAGCAATTAGTGAAGGAGTGTGGACTGACGTCGTAGTGTAGTGATCGGCGAGAATTGAAGATCAGTGCAGTGGACCCGTTAGTTTAAGGCAAAAAAAAAGCCTAGTAGTCCTGAGTGCACAAGCCGATCGAAGTCAAAATCAAGTACCTGGCATTAAAGAACATGTAAGTCCAGAAGTTGAAAAAATTGAAAATTGAACAAAATTAAGTATAAAAATGGCCATACATAAAAATGAAAGTAAAATTAAACTTGGCAGCAAAAGAACGCGTAAGCCCAAAGTAAAAGTAAATTCTAAACTTGGCAGCCAGTGAAAGCGTAAGCCCAATGTAAAAGTCAAGTCAAATTTGGCCGCAAAGAAAGCGTAAGCCCAAAAGTAATTCGGCTGAGGTCAAAGACCAAGAAGCCTCGTCAGTGAATCACCCAGACTACACATAGTGTATGTTCAGGAAAGTGTTGCGGTATCTAGTCTTTGAAAGAGGCAGGATGTATCAGACATCCTTTGAGTGGTTATTAGTCGTAGTATTCAAGTAAATTATTCAACCACGAGCCATCCTAAAAGTACACAGAAAAACGGCACCGTACTGCGCACTAGCAGAAATGTTAGTGTTGTGGAGTTGAGTTCATTGAAATTCAGTATAAATTATGCTCAAGCAGAGCCAAGATCGTAAGTAGATCCTCTGAGCCTGCAATAAAAAGTCAAGCAGTGCCAAGATTCAAAAGTGATCCTCTGAGTCTGCAGTAAATAAATTATTAGTTAATACACGAGCAGTGACAAGATCAAAAAAGTGATCCGCTGAGCCTGCAACGAAACACTAAGTGAGCTTATGGACAAGCAGTAAACAAATCAAACAAGTGTCATTCAAGGACGTGCGTTTGCCCTGTTTTGTTCCTCTGCGCTTGCTGTAAACGTCAACAAAAACGACAACGATGACTGCCACCAAAGAAGAAAGAAAAAGATGTGGATCAAAGATGACAAATTTTGATTATATAAATTCTTGTATTGTAAATGTAATTTGTTGTTTTGTCCCTTTTTGTCATCCCACATCTTTGTATTTTGTTAATGAGTGTTTGCTAAGTGAGACAGACGCTCTGGCTTAAAAGATTGAATAATAGTCTAAAAGACTATAGTGATATTGTCACAACAATTGAAAGCTTCGGCTTTAAGTGAAGCCGAACCTTTTTTTCAAGGGGGGAGGTGTTGTGTAGTGGTATCGCTATAGTATAAAAGCCAGTGAAAGCGTCAGTCTAGTGGAATCATACTAGCCCGGCTAGTCCCTGATTTCCCTTCGTCTGTTCCAAGCCCTTTTACCTTCGCCTACACTTTGTATTTCTACACCGGATAAATTGTTCTTGTTCTGCACGTCAACATTCAGTAAAACCTCGGACACCTCCGGACGTAACAGTTTGGACCTGTTTCTGGGCTCTGGATTCGATCTATTACCTGGTTCGGATCCTTGGACTGTAGTCCAGGAAAAACTTAGGAAAGTCAAAAATGCCTAGGCCTGGACTCTGGGTACAGAAAAAATCCAGGCATTGGTCCAGACCCAGCTCGATTTCTACTGATTTTAATACTCTTAAATTAGGTTAATATACGTTAACCTGCAGTTTTCGGTTAATCCAAAAATTTCGCTAGGAATGGGACGGGTTGTGAGGAAAAAAGTTGAAGGGTATCTGGCGCGGGATTTTGCCAATTCAACATCTTTAAACTTAAAAAAAATTTTTTTGCGGAACAATAGCAATAAATAAATTTTTTTAATGTTTTTTTAAATTTTTATCTAAAAAACTTTCTCTAGGACAAAAAAATGCAACATTTATTGTCAACTAATAATTTAATATTAACAACTTTGGATTGTTGGATTTTACAAAAATTAACTAAAAATAGTGATTTGTTCGTAACAGAGCCTTCATCAATTTCTTCTACTGGATTATTCGATCCTTTTACGGTTTTTTTTGAAATTAAAAAAAAATTCTAAATTTTTTTCAAAAAGAATACTTGGGGTGTCCAAATACTTCAATTAATTGGATTTCCATTTGATTCAATTTTATTGCCTTCAATTTCACCAACTTCACTTTTATCGTTAACTACTGATATTGAATTGTTTGGAAGAGAAATTGGAATATCTGCTTGTGTAAGGTTTTTTTTTAATTTTTTTATTTTTTGGAAATAGAGTCGAACTTTGCTGATACTTGCTATAAAACGAGGTGCCAAAAAGCTCGTTCCACAATCACCGTTTCAGTGTTAAGGCCATATTTCGGGTCATATCTTTTTTGATCGTCAACTGAATTAAATAATTTTTATATCAATCAAAAGCCCTTAATCCATGGATTATTTTTTATAACAAGATTGATCTCATCAGATCATTCTACGTAAAGTTAGAGCTGTATGAGTGTCCAAAATCACGATTGCGCGCACTTATTCAGACGTAACTTTTTGTAGGGTGATCTGATCTAATTGATCTTGCTAGATAAAATAATCAACACATTTAGAGCTTTCGATTGGTATATTAAATATTTAAATCGGTCAAGTATCCAAAAAGTTATGGCCCAAAATATGACCTCGATACTCCAACGGTGACGATGATACTTCCCTTCATTTTTGAGTATTTATGAGGTTCGACTTTATTAGGACTTTCTTATTTTTGCTTCATATTCTTAAAAAATTTTTTTTCAAAGTTAGGAGATGCACAATCCGCAGCATTTGGTTCTGGTTGTATTCAAAAGGGAGACGTTAATTTATCATTGGGGACTGGGGCTATACTGGATTTTGTGTCTGGAGGTGAAGTGCATGCCAGCATGTGTGGTATTTTTTTTTATTTTAAAAATTAAAAATGTTTAAATTTTATTAAAAAAATTTTTGGACGCCAAAAAACTTTTTTAAATTGATTAAAAACTTCAGGGCACTAAACGGAATCGAACCCCTACCACTTCCCCACAGAATCTAGAACGATACCAATAAGCCACAATAATTTGTCTAAAATTTTTTTGGGTTTCAACGGTTTTCTAAATTCATATCTTTGTTCTTTCTTTATTTTTCTTATCAATTTATATATCATTCGAAAGCCCTTGATCAGCTGAACATTTTTTATAACGGGAGTGTAAAGTTCCGACTTTTTTAAAAAAAGATATGGCCAAAAATCCCTTCAAAAAATTTTTTTCATCGTCTTTCTAAATTCATATCTTTGCTGTTTCTTTATCTTTCTTATTAATTTATATATTAATCGAAAGCCCGTAATTTGCTGAACATTTTTTGTAACGGGAGTGTTCAGGTCCGATTTTTCTGAAAAAAGTTATAGCCAAAAATAGGGTCCATGTTCACCAGTTTCGGGCCAAAACTTCCTTTACACCCCTAATTTTTTAAATTTTCTTTTAATTTTTAGGTGGAGTATATCCCTTAATAGGATGGAAATTGGATGAACAATCTACTACATATTTATTAGAGGTTTCTTTTTAAAAATTTTAAAAATAAAATTTTTTTCCAATTTTTAAGAGCAAATTTAACCACTTAATTTCTTCACTTAAATGGGGTAATTTAATTAATTTAATTCCTTCACTTGCTCCAACTGATTTAAATAAATTATGCGAAGAAGTATTTAATGAGGAGGAGGGTGGACTTTTGGAAGATGATGATATCACTTGTTTTATACCTTTTGGATTGGAGAAAAATGGAAATGATGATGATTGTTCTTCACTTTTTGGGTTTATTTTTTTATAATTTTTTGATTATAATTTTTCCTCCCCGGTTCCGGTTTCCACACAGTCACAGTCCAAAGCTTTTTCAGAACTTATGAGGTTTTTGAGGTATCGGTTCCTAGATTAGAAGCTATTCAAAACTAGTACGGTTTCAGTTTTTACCTGTTTTCCTTTGATTTCAAGGGTGCTGGTTTATTGAAACCAGTGTTCTTGAAGTCGGCTTCAAGAAACTTAGAAGCAAACTCTTTACAAAAGAAAATTTTTTCCTGATGTAGTTTCTAGTTTGCGAATCGATTACAGATTTTATTACCCACGATTCTGCAAAAAGTAGTTTCACATAAGTTCTGAAAATGCTTTGGACTGTAACTGTTTTCTTTGAATAAAATTACTGCTGGGTATGGCTCAGGATCTATCTCTCTTGCTCCGGATCTGGCTCCAGTCGGAGCTTTTTTTATTATATTTATGTTAATTCCACTATTCCTTCCTTTGGTCTCCTTAGAATAATCTTTTTCTTGTTCAGAATTCGTTCATCTACAAATCAAAAACAAATTGCTCGTTCAATATTTAAATCAATAATATTTGGAATTTATCAAATTTGGACTTGCCTGTTAACTCAAATGTCTTTAAATGATGTTAATTTAATTAGAAGAATAAGGTTTTTCTTAAAGAAAAAATTTTTTTTTAATTTTTAAAAATTCAAAGATGTTGTGGGGGTATTTCTTTAAATAACTTTGTCTGTCAACAAATTTGTACTTTAATTAATTTACCCTTGGAAAGGGTTGAGGAACCTCAATTTTGTTCTGCTAAAGGTGTTGCTTTACTTGCTGGAATTAAACAAGGTGTTTTTTTATTTTAAAATTTTTTTCTGATTTCTAGGGGTTTAAAATTTCATTTAGGGGTTCCAAAATTTTTTGGGAATTTAAAAAAATTTTTTAAATTTATTTTCGTGTTTTAAAAAATTTTGGGAGTCAAAAGGAATCGAACCTTCCTCCATTTCCCTTCAAAATTCAAATCATAACCACTTAACCATCAATTTCGGGGTATAAAATTTTTACATGTTTTTTAGAAAAATTTGGCGTCAAAGGATAAAAGAATTTAAAAAATTCGAAAAAATTTGTGCGTCCAACGGGAATCGAACCCGTGCCTACTGCTTGGAAGGCAGCAATGCTAACCACTACACCATGGACGCTCATATAAGAAAATTAAATAAACCTTTCTTAAAGGCTTTTCCTTCTCCATTATGAAGGTTTTTCCTTCCTTCTACTTATTGTGATTGATTTTTATTGCGTTTACGTATCCAAAAAACGAGAATATTTACATGCGCGATTTAATTAATAAAAAATCTATTTACTTTTAATTATAAGAAAGGTTTATTTGAAGGTTCTGAGGTGAGCGTCCATGGTGTAGTGGTTAGGCCACGGGTTCCCTTCCTATACTCCTTCTCAAAATTCAAAACATAACCACTTAACCAAGGTTTGTTTGCCAATAAACATATGGCAGGCTAAAATCTGATGTTTTCCCAATAAGTTTGTTGACAAAACAATTTCGATTTACTTTCAGAATTTTGGACTCTAAATCAAGTAGAAGATTTTATTGTTCTGGAACGTCGATTTGACCCAATTCAAGAACAAAGAACTCGTTTGCTTCAACAATACAGTTATTGGGTAGATGTACAGAAGAGATTTGGCAAATCTTGACATTTTTAAAAGATTGTTTTTAGACTTTTTTAGACCTCTTAGATTATATTTTGCATATCTTTTTTAGTTTAGTAATTAATATCAATAAATATTCTATACTAATCGATAATTAATTTTTTAAACATTTTTAATTTTCAAAAAATAGATACTAATCGATATCAATCGATAAAATCAATACTAATCGATAATTAATTTTTTAAAAATTTTTAATTTTCAAAAAATCGATACTAATCGATATCAATCGATAAAATCAATACTAATCGATAATTAATTTTTTAAAAATTTTTAATTTTCAAAAAATCGATACTAATCGATATCAATCGATAAAATCAATACTAATCGATAATTAATTTTTTAAAAATTTTTAATTTTCAAAAATCGATACTAATCGATATCAATCGATAAAATCGATACTAATCGATAATTAATTTTTTAAAAATTTTTAATTTTCAAAAAATCGATACTAATCGATATCAATCGATAAAATCAATACTAATCGATAATTAATTTTTTAAAAATTTTTAATTTTCAAAAAATCGATACTAATCGATATCAATCGATAAAATCAATACTAATCGATAATTAATTTTTTAAAAATTTTTAATTTTCAAAAAATCGATACTAATCGATATCAATCGATAAAATCAATACTAATCGATAATTAATTTTTAAAAAATTTTTAATTTTCAAAAAATCGATACTAATCGATATCAATCGATAAAATCAATACTAATCGATAATTAATTGTTTAAAAATTTTTAATTTTCAAAAAATCGATACTAATCGATATCAATCGATAAAATCAATACTAATCGATAATTAATTTTTTAAAAATTTTTAATTTTCAAAAAATCGATACTAATCGATATCAATCGATAAAATCAATACTAATCGATAATTAATTTTTAAAAAATTTTTAATTTTCAAAAAATCGATACTAATCGATATCAATCGATAAAATCAATACTAATCGATAATTAATTTTTTAAAAATTTTTAATTTTCAAAAAATCGATACTAATCGATATCAATCGATAAAATCAATACTAATCGATAATTAATTTTTAAAAAATTTTTAATTTTCAAAAAATCGATACTAATCGATATCAATCGATAAAATCAATACTAATCGATAATTAATTTTTAAAAAATTTTTAATTTTCAAAAAATCGATACTAATCGATATCAATCGATAAAATCAATACTAATCGATAATTAATTTTTTAAAAATTTTTAATTTTCAAAAAATCGATACTAATCGATATCAATCGATAAAATCAATACTAATCGATAATTAATTTTTTAAAAATTTTTAATTTTCAAAAAATCGATACTAATCGATATCAATCGATAAAATCAATACTAATCGATAATTAATTTTTAAAAAATTTTTAATTTTCAAAAAATCGATACTAATCGATATCAATCGATAAAATCAATACTAATCGATAATTAATTGTTTAAAAATTTTTAATTTTCAAAAAATCGGCACTAATCAATATCAATCGATAAAATCAATACTAATCGATAATTAATTTTTAAAAAATTTTTAATTTTCAAAAAATCGATACTAATCGATATCAATCGATAAAATCGATACTAATCGATAATTAATTTTTTAAAAATTTTTAATTTTCAAAAAATCGATACTAATCGATATCAATCGATAAAATCAATACTAATCGATAATTAATTGTTTAAAAATTTTTAATTTTCAAAAAATCGATACTAATCGATATCAATCGATAAAATCAATACTAATCGATAATTAATTGTTTAAAAATTTTTAATTTTCAAAAAATCGATACTAATCGATATCAATCGATAAAATCAATACTAATCGATAATTAATTTTTTAAAAATTTTTAATTTTCAAAAAATCGATACTAATCGATATCAATCGATAAAATCAATACTAATCGATAATTAATTTTTAAAAAATTTTTAATTTTCAAAAAATCGATACTAATCGATATCAATCGATAAAATCAATACTAATCGATAATTAATTGTTTAAAAATTTTTAATTTTCAAAAAATCGATACTAATCGATATCAATCGATAAAATCAATACTAATCGATAATTAATTTTTTAAAAATTTTTAATTTTCAAAAAATCGATACTAATCGATATCAATCGATAAAATCAATACTAATCGATAATTAATTTTTAAAAAATTTTTAATTTTCAAAAAATCGATACTAATCGATATCAATCGATAAAATCAATACTAATCGATAATTAATTTTTTAAAAATTTTTAATTTTCAAAAAATCGATACTAATCGATATCAATCGATAAAATCAATACTAATCGATAATTAATTTTTTAAAAATTTTTAATTTTCAAAAAATCGATACTAATCGATATCAATCGATAAAATCAATACTAATCGATAATTAATTTTTAAAAAATTTTTAATTTTCAAAAAATCGATACTAATCGATATCAATCGATAAAATCGATACTAATCGATAACTAATTGTTTAAAAATTTTTAATTTTCAAAAAATCGATACTAATCGATATCAATCGATAAAATCGATACTAATCGATAATTAATTTTTTAAAAATTTTTAATTTTCAAAAAATCGATACTAATCGATATCAATCGATAAAATCAATACTAATCGATAATTAATTTTTAAAAAATTTTTAATTTTCAAAAAATCGATACTAATCGATATCAATCGATAAAATCAATACTAATCGATAATTGATTTTTTAAAAATTTTTAATTTTCAAAAAATCGATACTAATCGATATCAATCGATAAAATCAATACTAATCGATAATTAATTTTTAAAAAATTTTTAATTTTCAAAAAATCGATACTAATCGATATCAATCGATAAAATCAATACTAATCGATAATTAATTTTTAAAAAATTTTTAATTTTCAAAAAATCGATACTAATCGATATCAATCGATAAAATCAATACTAATCGATAATTAATTTTTTAAAAATTTTTAATTTTCAAAAAATCGATACTAATCGATATCAATCGATAAAATCAATACTAATCGATAATTAATTTTTAAAAAATTTTTAATTTTCAAAAAATCGATACTAATCGATATCAATCGATAAAATCAATACTAATCGATAATTAATTGTTTAAAAATTTTTAATTTTCAAAAAATCGATACTAATCGATATCAATCGATAAAATCAATACTAATCGATAATTAATTTTTAAAAAATTTTTAATTTTCAAAAAATCGATACTAATCGATATCAATCGATAAAATCGATACTAATCGATAATTAATTTTTTAAAAATTTTTAATTTTCAAAAAATCGATACTAATCGATATCAATCGATAAAATCAATACTAATCGATAATTAATTGTTTAAAAATTTTTAATTTTCAAAAAATCGATACTAATCGATATCAATCGATAAAATCAATACTAATCGATAATTAATTGTTTAAAAATTTTTAATTTTCAAAAAATCGATACTAATCGATATCAATCGATAAAATCAATACTAATCGATAATTAATTTTTAAAAAATTTTTAATTTTCAAAAAATCGATACTAATCGATATCAATCGATAAAATCAATACTAATCGATAATTAATTTTTAAAAAATTTTTAATTTTCAAAAAATCGATACTAATCGATATCAATCGATAAAATCGATACTAATCGATAATTAATTGTTTAAAAATTTTTAATTTTCAAAAAATCGATACTAATCGATATCAATCGATAAAATCAATACTAATCGATAATTAATTTTTTAAAAATTTTTAATTTTCAAAAAATCGATACTAATCGATATCAATCGATAAAATCAATACTAATCGATAATTAATTTTTAAAAAATTTTTAATTTTCAAAAAATCGATACTAATCGATATCAATCGATAAAATCAATACTAATCGATAATTAATTGTTTAAAAATTTTTAATTTTCAAAAAATCGATACTAATCGATATCAATCGATAAAATCAATACTAATCGATAATTAATTTTTTAAAAATTTTTAATTTTCAAAAAATCGATACTAATCGATATCAATCGATAAAATCAATACTAATCGATAATTAATTTTTAAAAAATTTTTAATTTTCAAAAAATCGATACTAATCGATATCAATCGATAAAATCAATACTAATCGATAATTAATTTTTTAAAAATTTTTAA